ATATAAAGTTGATAACGGGAGCTGTGACAGGGAGGGAGCCAGGACCTGAAGGTAGAAGTTGCCTATGCCGTTAACCTGTTCTGGGCCTGACTCAGAGAGGCTTAAAGGCAGATTTTGAAGTATTGACATCTGTGCCGTGCCTGTGATCTAGTCAGCAAGAATGGACACCTATTATTTACAATACACAGCTTAGTAGAATTGCATAGCTATCTTGTAGGGCAAAGAAGTCTGTACGGTTTGTGAGAGTATGACAACTTCGAGTGTGTTGTCGATCCCTAGGAGACATTACTCACGTGATAATGTGTGGATACCCTCGCTATCATGATTGCCAAAGACGGTTGCGAATGGGATGGAACGCTCGATGATAGGAGCAACCACCTTGAAGAGGGCAGATTGGCTGTCAGAGATGTCGTGGTGCAACTGATCTCCCGTGAGAATCACAAGTTCTGGTTTCTCGACATCCAAGATCTTTCCAATGAAGTTTGCCGTAAGCTGGTCAGCCTCGCTCTCTGGCAGATTCTTTCCATGGGCATCAATGGCATCTTTGCATACTCCGACACCAGTGACCATATGCGTGTCAGAGATCTGGACAATCTTGAACTTGCCATCCCCTTTGACTCTCAAAGCCGCTCGAGCATCTGGTCTTGGCTTGGCCCTGCCATGGAGTACGCTGAGTCTTGCAACCGGTACTTTTGGGTGAGCGTTAAGTTGAAGCGATGATCGCATGAGATCCCATTGTGGTCGCGGGTCAACGGCATATATACCGAAGAGAATGTCCACCTCTGTCACAGCCTGATCAATCTTGCCAGAGAAGTTGCTTCTCAATACCCAGATTCCGCCAGGTCGACTCTCCCATGAATGACCTGAGCTAGGGGCAGACGGCGCCTTGCCGACTCTAATATCCATGACTAGCAGGTCCTCAGCTGCAAGCTCTTCTTCATTCGCTAGCGCTATATAGAGGTATGCACTCTGTTGAGACGCATGTAGATAGAGATCCTTCTCTATGCGGTGCCACTTCTGCGAATCCAGTTCGTTGGTGGAAGGAGAAATTGTCGGAGAGAAGATGCATATGGTTAGATCCGTGACAACTGGATGAGCGACAGCGGCCATAGTATAGAGAGTCGACGGTGTCGCAGTTTTGGAAGGGATGCTTCTAATGTATTCAAGAGCGCGTTTTATCACGGCTAGTTAGATGACTACTGCAGCAGCAAGCTTCAATGTGGACATCTATCATTATTTGCCATCACGCAGAGCCACCCCACCAACCACGTGGTTTTGGTTGCATCACGTGACTGGTAGACTAATCAGCGGAGACACGCCTAGCTTAGTTAGGCTAGTGGACAACGGCCACAAACCATCCTCGCCACCGACGAGGAGGGGCTGTTTAAGGCACTGGCTGTGAAGTCCCTCAATCACAAGGTGACATTCAGAAACGCCCTTAGTCAGTTCCGCAAATCAGCCAGGAGTGCAATCATCCCGCACTACAGCACCCCGCTGAGCCTCACGTCAAGGCCGGCCATGTAAGCGGCAGTGATACTATTAAAGAAACCCTAAAGCATATTTTCCCATGGTGAGCATGGAAAACGACGTGATCCATGGACTCTCATAATGCGTGCGAGGCATGACGCCAGATGGGGAAGTGGTATGCATAAGCACGGTGCAACTCTTTTGTGTGTTCTCTTGCCCCATCTCAGCCAGCAATGATCATGCCTTTCCTAACTTGGCTATCGCCCAATCCGTGCCTGTATGAATTGCGAGTATGGCCCAGCTATGCATAAGACCTCGCCGTCATCCATGTCGTACACATCGCTGGCAAAACGGCTGTCAGCGTGTAACGCCAGCTGCATCCGCAAGGGAGACATGCTTGGTTTCGGTTCGCTTGGGATGGATTTGCCATCGTGGGGGTGCTCGGTAGATCAGGAGGGTGTCGCCCAGCGTCTCTCATTTGGGGCCTCCAGAGGACTCCCCCAATACGCGCTCTTCGCCGGAGACGCAGAGGGCCTCGGGCAGAAGCTGTCTGTCTGAGGACCCGCGAGTCTTTTATTATGTTGCAGTGCCTTCCAGTTCCTTCATCTGTGGCGTCAGGGCTCTGGGAAAAGTCACACCCTCTCTTGCATGCTTGAGAATTGTCTCTCCCCTCGAAGGAGCTCGGCTACCTCCTAAAGGCCCTCACCGAACTCGTGTTCCATTACGATACATTCATATCTGCCTAAGAAAAGCTTTTATTCAAGTTTAAGGTCTTGCGCTAGGGTATAGATAGGCAAAGCGTCATGTGGATGCGTTGGCACCGGCCAAGGTCGTTAAGCCCCTGGGCTCCCGGGTGTTAGTAGGAGCTGGATTCAGGTGATTGATTACTTCTATATGGAATGCTGTCAACCTTTGGTCGAGTTTTTACAGCGTCTGGCTGAGAAAACAGGCGAACGAACCATGGAGGCAAATCCGCAGGAGTGTTCATGCTGGCAACGGCTGGGGATATCGATGGGATACTCGGCGACAAGGCTTTGTTTACTGGACAAAAAGTATCAGGGAGCAGAAACAGGGCTGCTACGGGATGCATGCATGTTTGGGTTCAGGCTTTGATTCGCTAGGCACACCGGAAGATTGCTGAGAGTAGACTATTTAAGGCCAGTATCAAACTTCGCTGGCAAAGACTTAAGGCATGTCCACAATCATCGAGCTTTTTCAAGAGCTTGTCGCTGAGACGCCTCGAGCCACGAGATTACACAGTCGGCAGAGCGGGCGGTTTTCTTGGAGGATATATAAGGCGTCCTTGGGGTCGTCAAGTTCGATGTCAAAATGTTGCTGAGTAGTCGGGGGAGGTAATTTGAGTTAGGCCAGGAGCTAATGAGTCGCATACATGCGTTGGCAATATCGTGTAGCAGTAAGGGGTGAGTGATCCTCACTAACGGGTTGGCTCACCATGGATCGGTCCCTATCCTTGGAGCCAGTCACGTGATCAAGCGTTCCCCCTGGTCACATGATCCTCTGCTGACCTGTCCGGTCGGACTTGATTGTTCCGGAGTGCTTTCTCGTCCAATGCTTTTCCTCGTCTAGTACACGGACCTCAAATGCAGCCATTCACTTAACGTCCGTGCATACGGGCCAGGCAGTCTGTTCTGTTCATATAGCAAGAACTACTGACTGCCACAGTGCCTGCTAAACCTGCCAGCACATTACACTTATGTTGAGGAAAGTCCATTGCAATCTTCACAGAGACACCCAATTCCGCCCAAAGAGTCCTTCCCCCAGTTGACAGTGATCTCTTCTCCATCGCCTATATCCCGTAACACATAAACAATAATCCGGTACCTCTGAGATATCGCTGTACCACGTACCACTGCTGAGGGGTGTTGGCACCGATGGTTCACAAAGCGGAAAATGTTGCTCTCCATTCCAGTATAGATCTGGGCGACAGTCGGCTCGCCTGCAATATCATCTCGCATAAAATCCAAAGCAAAGCCATCCTCGTGCATGCCCGGGGCTACCATGCGTCCGAGAACCTGTCCAATACACTCGTTCTTCTTGTATGCTACCTCTCCCCGGGCAGCAGAGGTAGCTTGTAAACCTAGACCTTTACGGCCATAGCTAGTAATACGAGGAGGTTCAGCGAAGCAATTCTGGATGCATTTGCATGCACCGCTGTCGCAGAGAACGCACTGCTTGCCCGTCAGGAGCGAATCAGGTGCCACGGGCCATTCCCCGGGCCAATCGTCCGGTTTTGGCCAATCAGGAGACTCGCCGACGTTCTCGTCTATATGGCGAACCCTTAGTAACCGTACGAGAGACTGGAAACCCAACGTGTCGAGATGCTCTGCGTCTATCTTTTCTCAAAGCATAATAGGGAATGCCACATGTGTCAATACCGACTTTTCGAATGAAGAACCCATTTTAGCAAGTACCGCTGTACTACTTTTAGCCTCCAGGATGGCATGGAATTCGGAGATGTCATCTTCGGACATTTGTTGATACCCCTCTAGAGTGACCCAGCCGTCCTCGCCTAGAGGAAGCTAGGGCAGGAGACCATGGTAATCGCCTAAGAACCTAGTTAATTGTCGCGGTAGCCTTAATGATTTATAGAAATTGTTCCGTGAGGTTGTTGTAATGGTTGTTCCCAGCGTTTGTAGGATCTTATTGATCATGTTGGAAGGCGCCCTCTGATACCCAAGAGCCAGAACCTGATCGTCGATAACCCTGGTGACCTGGATCCTCGCGATCAAGGAGAGTAGCTTGTGGAGCTTTAACGAATTCCTGAAGCCTTCGCCGAGCTTGAAATACCCGGCGGCTCGTTCATCCCAACTTCCTGTGATGCTGAAATCACAGTCATTTATTATCGAGGTACCACCAGCTCTCCACGTAGTGACGTGGGTCATGAACCGTCGAACACTACATGTACTCACGAGTCGAGCTGCTAAGTCCGTCGGGCACATGCTATCTTTTCGCCTTTTAGACCCCGGTTTAGATGGGGCTTCGGCGCCTCTCTATCTGTCATATTGTGGTTTCACCGGGGGCAAGGGTTGCCGTGCTATGGGTGCCGACGGGATAGGCTTGTTTCTCGCCGATGGAGTAGGCTTGTTTCTTGCCGCTCGTTGTGGTCGCAGGTCTCTCGATGTATCTGCCACCTTAGGCTCAGGTTTATTGTCGCTTAGAGGACAGGGGACTAGTGTGAAGTTGGGGTGGTTAAGGGGATATAATCCACAATTCTGGCATACAGCTAGAGGAGTAGATATGGTCGGCTCGCCAGGAAGCAAGAAGTTGATCGCTATTACAAAGCAGTTGGTAAGGTTGACAATCGCATGATATTGCCCTGGCGCTGTAATGACCATATCCCCAGGACCAGCTACGAGGATATCAAATTTAACCTTCTCTGTTCAAAGCCTTGCTGGGCTAATTAGTAACGACCTATGTTGTACAAATTGAGCACAGCTGTTGCCCCCCCAGTTTCGTCTGATAAACGCCTCGAACGTAACTGTGTGCTCTTCTTGGATCATGATCCAGAGCTTTTATCCAGAAAGTGTAAGGTTACAAGACCTGAATCTCGCGTCTTCACAGTGGAAAGCTGTGCCCAAACCTTGCTCGCCGGCGTGCCAATATGGCGTGTTTATGCCGGGAATATGATCCAACTTTGAAAGTTCATTGCCAGGGTGGAGGAACAGATCGAAGTGTGGCGTTAGAAGAGGCCCGACATAATACGGAATCGGCCGCTTTGGGGGATCGTTAGTCAGTTGCTGAAGGTACTTGTCGATGTCGGGTTTCGAAGGACCGTTGACAGCTTCAAAGTTAGGGAACTTGAATTCCGTCCGCATAGATGTCGTGAGTAGTGAGAACCCCTTGCCAGCCTGGCCAGATACATACTCCACCCCAAGGAGATCATGGTTTTTGGGTGGCTGGATCACTGTTTGGAGATCGGCCCAATGCATATCCTCGAGGTTCTTGATGTGTACCATTCCCTTAAACATGTCGTCTGCAATGACTTTCGCAACGCTCGGTACTAAGCTCTCCCCTAGCTGTTCAACATCCAGACTGTGCATTTGCCGTCCTCCAACAGACAAAGCCTCGTCAGCAACGCTTAACTCGGAAAGCGGTGACGTGGCAGCGCCTATATCTACAGAGGTCGACTTCGACCCCGTAGAGTAGTTATTTGTGACTATGTCAGCATTTTTTTCGCCGAGCTGTAGAAGGAGGCCCAGCGTGGCCAGATTCGGCAAGCGTTCTGTGGTGCCTTGGTCAATCGGATGCTCGTCTCTCGGAGGTGCATCAGTCCATGCCCTTGCCCTACCGCCGACCGTGGTGTCAGCTTGAATTGGACCGCGCTCTGTGGATACGCTTAGTGAGGAGAAGCGCCGGTTGAACTCGATATTGATGCTCCGGACGAAATGCTCGGCGAATTCGTTTAGGTGCAGCGAGATGACGTTACTCAAGTCGTTCCTCCCGGGTAACTTGCCAGACCGCGTCTGGCTGCGTGGGCCTGAGGCTTGACTGTTAACCGTGCGGAAAATTGTAGTCCCCAATGTTTTGATCTCTTGCTGGAGCTTTGCTAAGATCTCTTGCTGAAAACTATCGAATTCTTGCTGCAGTCCAGGCGGCAGTGATTGGGGAGTCATTCTTGAGTAGTAAGCGCATCGCGTAAAGGTTGCAAGGAGAGGTCGCCTCGTTGCGGCTTCCGCGCCAGAGCTGAAGGAGGGGTTTTGGCTGAGCTTCGAACAAGCCAAAAAGGTGTCCTCCTCCTCCAGTAAGGAATCCGGGGTATCGAGAAGGTCGAGCTCTTGCTTTACGTCGAGGTATTTATAGGGCCAAGGGCCAAATGAGCGTCATGAGAAAAGAATAGGCAAGATCAAGTTCCCCAAACGATCACGCGGGGCAGGGGGTCTCGCCCCATAATAATTGCGCATCCCGGTGACGTGACGCCTCAGCCTTCCCGCCGCTCATTTTCTCCCACCTACATTGCTGCGTCATTGCAGTCAAAACCCTCTCCAACCACACCCACGCGCCCAGACACGTACAGTTAGCACTGCGTTTGTCACTATAGCAGAAGGTGACAATTCGATGCGGTCTCCGACCTGATCACCGTGCACACCATGGCGGGCTTCGTCGAGCTCCAGGCATGCTTTGGCACGAAGCCTATCGTTTTCAAACAGGTCTGGCTGACAGAAGCCACGAAAATAACGAGCTTTGTGACGGTTATCTCAAAAACATCCACAAAACGATCGCTTTTTCGCAGCGCATCTCGTTGAAGGTATCCTACTTCGGTTCCAAGGAGCTTGCGGTGGGAATATGCTTGCACATCGACCTCGACGCATGGCCAGGCCGAGTCATTCAGAATCGCTAGGAACCAGGAAAGGCCGACGGCAATAAAAACGGCAAACCCCTCAGAGCTTATCTTTGTGATTGCCGGTAGAAAGTATAGTTGAAACGCGAGCTCGCCAGCCACCAGCAGGAATGAGAGGAAAAGGCAAAGGGTGATCCATGCTCTGTTCCAGTCTTGGAGAGGTCTCTTAGTCCCTACCATCACTACTCATCCTGCGCCTTGGATGACATTGTCGAGATCACACCTTGTATTGAACGCGGCCAGGGCAAAGACAGCCGATGCTACATTGGTGGAATGATGGTGCGTTACGAGGATGGCAATCGAGCCTGCCTGGGCATGTGCCGCCTGGACTGGATGGGAAGCCCGCTTCGGGTGTGGTACGCATCTGCACATGGCTGCTGTGCGGTGCCAAGGCGAGAGACGGGTAGTGAGAGTGACTGTGGATACTGCACCACCACCACCACTGGGCCAGTCAGAGCGCTGGGTGCGATTCCCCTGGTCCGGGACTCTAGACTGGTGGTTTATTCGGTCTATTGCCGTCATTAGGCATTGACCTTTTATAGCGGCAGCTACAGGCGATTCCAAGTAGGGAGCGAGAGGTTGCCGTCGGCGGTCTCTTCAAGCGCGTCTGTCGCATTGACATTGAGAGCGAATAACGACCGAATAGATAGCGAGAGTGGTGGATATAAGCGCAATGGGAAACCCAAATGTATTCTCTTGCCCTGTCTCACATCCAAATGATCGTATGCCTTTCTTAATTTGGCTATCGACCTATGAATCCGTACCTGTATGATCTGTGAGCATTTCCTGACTACGCATCAGACCTCGCCATCCTCCATATCGTACAGTTAGCTGTAGCTGTCCTCCTCTTCTTTGACGCGCAGCGGGCCGGCAAGGGAGACATGCTTGGCTGCGGTTTGTTTAGGACGGTTTTCGACATCGTAGGGATTGTCTCGGTCGGGCGGGGAGGTGTCGGGGCCGTCGGGCTTGAGGAATGATTCGTAGTGAGCTCTGGCTGTAGCAGCGTCCTTGAAGCCGGCTCTGGCAGCGAGCTTCGGGAAGTGGGACGGCCCGCAATGCATAAGCATCAGTCGCGGGTGAGAAGCTTTGGCCAGCGCGCGTATGGAGCAAGATGACATGCAAGCGACTTATCGAAGGTACCGTGTGGGGTGGATTGAGGCACTTCCCCTCACCCGGAGGGGGGACTCGCGAAAGATTTGCGAAGTCGTCGACAGAAGGGGAGATGTAGTAGTAGTGTACAACATGTGCGAACTTCCAGAGACGTCGGGGGGGTGACGATTTGTTAGATGGGTTAAGTGACAAAGTTCCTTGTCATATACCGTATCGGTACTTCCTAGCCTAGCACGCCTGTATGCCCCTAGGGAGGCTCGAGATCGCCGCGTAGCGGCTTGATCCCCTGGCGTTAACAACAACAACAACAACAACTTGCTGCCAACCATCCCATCTCCGAGTGTGTCCAATGCAACAACAGTGAGCTTGGTCATATGATTCATCAGACATTTAATTAAAGCAAAGAGACACGCTTCTCCCAGCCCCATATTTAAGCGATTAATGTCTTGGCTCTTATGGTTGGTTCCGCGTGGCGGAAAGAGATGCCAGCTCGTACAAAGGTCACCGGCGACTCACCGCCATTCCAGGTGACGCTTTGTGCTTCCATTGACAGGCTTGAATAACATTCGCCTGAAGCTTCAATACGACACCTCCCATTTATCAACCTCAAAAGACAGGTGCTTGATTTTCCCTCCAACGAAACCCATCATTGCGATCTTCAATCTCGAGCATTTCATAGCTCCAGTTCACCCGACATCTATTTCCCCTTAGCATAACACTTGCTTCAACCGCCATGTCCGAGGCACTAGGTGATTGCGTGAAACAGATATCCCAGGATTCATGGCTCATCGGCAATGATCTGGTCCTTCAACGAACGACGTCGGCTGGAAATCATTTGTGGAGGGACGAGATCGATGGCTCATACTATGTCCTCTCGGAACCCTTAGGGACCCCTCAGGCCCATTCACTACCGCCTGACAGTCATGTGCAACGCGTACGCCTTGCTAAAGACGCGGCAGTCTAGAGCTTCGGTGATGCGTTCCTCAAGATCAAGTTTTGTGCACCCGATGCGAAGACATCAGAAGAATACACAACACTTCACTGGCTAGCTCAGCAGGACCTAAGCTTCGATATTCCAAGGTTCTGCACCATACGCAGGGAAAAGATCGAACCTTTCTCTTTGTATCCTGAGTGCCTGGAAAGACGCTCGATCAAGCTTGGAGGACCATGTGCGAAGACGACAAGGAGTATTACGTTAACAGGGTTGCTGGTGTTTGCAAAGAGTTGTCTTTGAAGACATCTTCTGCTATCCAAGGCGTGGGTGGCGGCTATCTGCTAGATACCTGGCTGGATGTCCGAGACTGCGGTGATTTCAGCCCCGGAATGCTCCGCGCTAATTGCGAGAAGATGGGAATGGATTGCTCGTCTTTGGTGTTCGGCCACAATGATCTCGCACCATCTAACATTCTTGTCAGTTCAGGCCAAGCACGCGGCTTAGGGCTTATTGATTGGGAAATGGCGGGATACGTTCCTTCGGCATGGATCAGGACCAAGCTTGCTACATCATAGGGGCTTGATTTTGAATGGCCCGGCTGCACATCAGGATCTGTGCCTGCGAAGGAGTGGAGAGAACGAGTCCAGCAAGAGCTTGGGACCAGTGGCTTTCAGAACGTCAAAAAAGCTTGGTTGACGTGGTATAACGAACCCTAGAGGCTGACTATGAATAGAACCATCACATTCTGTGCTCTCCCTCGAGTGCATCTTCTGTCAGTTAAGAACGGCGTACCTGCAGTCGTTCCAAGATATCGCAGCGGCTTAAGACCAATGTGCATCCCATTCATCACCCAAGAGCGAATCCCATGCGCATTCGACAACCCCTGACTTTATCGCCTCGATTTAAACCCCTAATCTGAACAAGTAGTAACAATCAAATATACATTCATCCCTCCATCTAGAAGCCATAGCCTGGTCTGCTCAGATCACACAAGCCAAGCCACATATCCCCCTTGAATACCATGTCGGACTAGAAGAGGCTGAAGGGTGCACTATAGGGACCAAGAGCAACTCCCCAGGAGTAGACACCCTCACAGTACGGATTCTGAAAGCTTGCTGGCCAGTCATTGGGGAGCATATCAGAGCCCTTTTCCAGACCTGTCTATAGATTAGACACCACCCTAAACCATTCAAAGTAGCTGAGGTGGTGATGATCCCAAAGCCAGGCAAGAAAGACTACTCTAACCCCAGGGGCTACAGACCAATATCGCTATTATCATGTCTTGGCAAAGGCCTAGAATGACTCATTACAAAAAGAATTGCCTGGTTTGTCATCAAACTCGGAATTCTAGCTCCACAACATTTTGGAGCTCTGCCAAAGCGCTCTGCCGCCGACTTGGTAGCTGCACTCATACACGATATTGAGCAGGCCCTTGATCAAGGCCTTATTGCAACGGTAGTCACAGCAGATGTGACAGGGGCCTTCGACGCTGCCCTAATGGGACGGCTGGTGGTTCGCATGAGAGAACAGGGCTGGCCAGACTTTCTCATAAGATGGGTCCAGTCATTCATGTCTGAACGGTCTGTAAGAGTTCGGTTTAAAGGTATTGTGACTAACATAAAAGCTCTCACTTGTGGGCTACCACAAGGCTCACCAGCTTTTCTAATCTTTTATATGCTGTATACAGAGCTAATCTGTGCCCGACTCAGTATGAAAAGGAGACGCTTTGGATATGCAGACGACCTAGCGACTCTCTATATTGGAAAGGACCTTAAAGAAACAGCCAAAGAGGCTTCTAAAAATCTTTATCTGCTCAACCAATAGGGATATAACAATGCTATTAAATTTGATCCCGACAAAACCGAGATCATGCACTTCTCACGGAAAAAGAACTCAGACAATCCTCCGGTCCGCCACGGGACAATAAACAGAACAGCAAAGAACTCTATGCAATGGCTGGGTGTCTTCCTGGATAGAAAACTAAACTTCAAAGATCACGTTTCCTACTGGGCTTAGAAAGCTAGTAGGGTAGCAAACCACTTTTGAGGACTATGCAACACAGTCAAAGGACTTCTAGTAAAATTAACCAAGAGGGCTATGAAAATTTGTGTTATTCCTATTCTTACATATGGCCTGGAGGCCTGGTACCCAAGAATGGAAAAAATTAGGAGCTTAGGTGGGACATCAGCATGTCGCATTAAAGGGCTTCTTAGAACAATAGATACTGTACTACAAACGGCAATCAGAGCTATCTTGCCAGTCTGGAAAACACCCCCTGGACATATCCTACACTTTGAATCATAGATTCCTCCAGCAGGGATTCTTGCAGAGTCAATAAGAAGACGTCACGGCCTCCGACTCGGACGAGTAGATCAGAGACACCCTCTTGTTGGCAGGCTCCAAATACAAGCTCACAAAGAACCAACAAGGCTACAAAGGAGCTTCCAACTAGTCCCTGACTTCTAGAGACCAATACTTACCAAGCCATTATGAAAGAAGCCCCCAGTCTGTAAAGACAAAGACAAAGAAATAAAGCTCTTTAAGCAATGGCTACAGGAAAGAAATGCGAATACTGACCTTGTCATCTATTCAGATGGATCACAATTGGACGACCAAGGCACAACCCACACTGGATGGGGCTATACCATCAAGAAAGGCGGCACTACACAAGAAGTATACCGGGGAAGGGGCAGACTTCTACAAGCAGAAGTAGTAGATGCTAAGTCCATAGTGCTCTCTAAGGTCTTGCAGCAGCCAGGGCAATTGGACACGAAAAACAGCTATATGTTTGCCTGGACAACACATCAGTGGTGGATGGGCTCAATGGGACTCCACCCGAGACATCACAGAAAACTTTTCTGCGATTTCAAGAACTCGCCACAGCACACACTCCTGGAGTGACCGTTAAGTGGATTTCTGGACACAGAGATATTAATGGTAACGAAGCTGCCGATATATTAGCAAAAGAGGGTGCTATGCTAGAAACAGACACAACAAACCTTCCTATAATTTCTTGGGTTAAGAGAAATCTCAAGAGAAAGGGCAAAAAAGAGTTCAACCAATGGTGAAAAGACTAATCAGAACTTAGATATCAAGAAATATACTCACATATAATAACTAAAAGAGGCCTTATATCCTTTAAGAGGAGCACTCTACACAGACTTCTAGCGGCCAGATCTGGACATGGCGACTTTGCCAGATACCACGAACGCTTTGGGCATACAGACTCGAACAACCACTACAGCTGTGGTGAAAAGAAAATACCACAACATATTTTCTTTTGTAAGAGGCTAGGAAAAAATCGGTTGTTGCCTAGGTACTCGCTTAGGACAGCCTGTTTACAATACTTAAGAGAGAGGAGCACAGAATGGGCAAAATTTGTGGAGAAGAGCAAGTTCTTTTCAACAATCTGTCTCCGATAGATAGCTGTTCTTGAAGGACCAGATGGATGACCCCAAGGTCATACCGCCGCAACAACGGGGATGGGCCCGTGAGCGGGACTGACTGTACTTATTTTCTTGAGACCTCCACAACCCTGCGATGCAGAGGCTCTGAGAGGCGTGGTCTGCACTACTGAGGAGCTACCCCCCACGTTAAATACAAAACAAACAAACAAACAAACAAACAAACATAGAAGCCATAGCATCGTCTCTTTCCAGTGCTATCCATGGCTTAGAACCCGCCTCAAATTACTAAACACATATCTTAGATCACTCATCTTTGGTAACATAGGACGGTTAGTGGCTTACACCTTGCTTTGTGTTAGGGTTGTCTTTGCCACAGTTCTCGCACTTTTTGGTCCTTGTTGTGTTGTTCTGCTTGCATTCACACTCCCACTCATTGACAGGTGCGAAGGCGCTGATTATAGCCATAGTATAGAAGTTTGCAAAGGCTGGAGTCTTGTAATCTGGCGGACAATAGTAGAAGAAGATATGTGTTACGGGAACCTCTGCTAGTTCCCTTACATAAGCATGACATGCTATATATAGACACTAGGATCCCCAGAGCCAGCAGGCTCTTCTATTCCCTTTTCCTCTTCAATAGAACCAACATAGCTTCGCTCACCCTTCCTCTTAGGCTTCTTGTCAAAGGTCTGGACCGTTACAATATGAGCTGAGAAGGATAGAAATGTACATAATGGAACTTTGAGATGGGAATTCAGTGTTAATAAGTACTTGAGAACGCCATGATTACTGTACGACCAGAGGAAAATGAGAGGGTTTCTAATACGGCTTACCCGCATGATGTAGCCGACGTTGCTTGTGATATGCAGGTTAAAAATGACGAAGGCCAATAGCAACAGTGTTACACGTAGCCTTGATTTCTCCATGAGAAGTACACGGAAGCAAGTGCCAAGGCGATGGACGGGTAAAATTGCTTAATCGGGTCGCTGGCATGCCTTCCCTGTCTGCTCCGAACACAAACACACATGGCCTGCATTGGGAGAGCATTAGCAGGGTCCAACGGCACAAATGGTCCACGACAGCTGACCGTTGCAAAATAGTTCTATCGCCACATCAACGTGGCCAAGCTCACATTGGATAGCGGCAGTGCAGGTCATCACCTTTTAGATGACATGCGTTCCAAACATGCGACCTCGTGCAGGCATTACCCGTGCCGTTGTCCTGCACGACATTTCTTGGCTGCACCACTGTGTGCTGTACGTGGCAGACGCTGGAAGCTTTGGAAGCTTTCCGGTGCATCACGACTATCTTAAGTTCATGTATTGAAAATGACGGTTTCCTATTCAACGCCCACTGCCCGCATATGCAGTTATAACCAGCAATATCCTGCAGTATAGATGGAAGTGACGTCGGAGACTACGCGATTTTGGTCACCAGTAGGAAATTGTCCTTTCAAACTGTCAATCTAAATGTCTCTTGCGGGGGTCACGAATCTTGCATAGGCCACCTGGCACGCACGACGACGGTTGTCGCAGTGTCAAAGTATTCCTTGGTCGACGTTCTCCTCAGCCATGTTAAATATATCTCGCTAATAGAATGACCACCGCTACAAGCACAATCAATGTTTAGAACCCGTGCAGTGTATAGGAGTTGCGGCTAATCCGCCACCATTTACTTATCGAAGCGGACATCTCGCAGGTTAGGCACGCTACTTTGGGCGCAAACCTCTATGACGGGGTTCTCCGCCAATCATAGTGCTTGACAGTCTCGTCCGCCATGCAAGTGGCTCCCAGATGGCCACTCAGCGCGCATGTCGCGGTTTTGGTTCTCCCGGCGGGTCTATCCCCTATGGCCCTCCGCGCTACTCTCTGTTCTCCACCTTGCATGGTGATTTGCAGATGCACTATAGTCGATAGAATGACTCATTCACCAACAATTCTCGACAGGGCTGACCTGAGGGCGTGGGGCCGTCTGCACCGCTCCCGTGGTTGACCTAGCGCTCACCCATCAAAGGGTCACACCTAACATATAAGTATCAATTCGTTCCATCATATTTGGCCGTACGATTTAACAAAGCTCACACCAGACCCGTGCACTATTAAAACACCAAGCCCATTATCCAATATTTGTTATAGAAGCAATGGCTCAATGCGAGATTGCACAACCTGTTGATAATTGCAACTGGATCACGAGATACCGCAACGATGGATCATCATATAGGGTCAAGGTATCGGACTGTGGTCAGACGGATAAAATGGTCTGATAGCTACGTTGCACCGCAGTGAAAATGTAAGTTACTCATGCCACAATTAACAGTACAAAGTCTAACATGCCTAGACGCATTGCGAGTGCCACGACCCAAGATGCAATAGGCTTGTGGGCCGGCATAGTGCAGAGCAAGGGTAGAGGGACAACTCGAAAGCAACAGGGAAACGTCACATCACGGAGAGTGATATGGTGGAGGAGCAAGTCGGTTCGATATGAACGCTGGTCTATCGAGACAGCAAGCATGGAAATGGGCACACGACGCTATAGGTTCCCTAGCTAGCTAGCGCACATAATCCTTACTTCGCTGATCAACATGGGACTTCTTTTCCTATTTCTTTGACTTTGCAGAGCGGACCTTTCAGGTGATATTGATCGGAATATCTTTTAACACTCCAGACATTCCTCTAGGAGGGCCGACCGTAGCTTTGAGAGGCTGTACAGGTCGTTCTCCCGCCTTGATCGACTCTCCCCATCTGGGGTCCACCCATAGGTCCCTGCCTTTGAGCCCAGCTCATCGCCCTCTTGCTTGCATGAGTCAAAATCTATGATGACAGGCCGGTCCCCGTCCATCATGATATTCGACGGATTTAGGTCGTTGTGTACAAGTCCCAGTTCATGCATGTGACGGACACCTGCTTCAACACCAAGCAGACACCGACTCTTATCAAAACGTGTCTTCTCTTCCAATAACTGCGACAGTGCCGTCGGATACTTGGCAAAACCAAGGCCTCTTATCCTTCCTGCCTTCACGATGCAGCCGAGATATTGAGCAATATTGGGATGTGGATGTTTACTCAGGATCTCGCACGCCTTCACCTCGGTCAATATGTGGCAGTCGTAGCCAGGGATATCAGCGGCGTTTTCGTAGTACAGTAGTCGGGGTCGCTTGAAGTAGGAGGTGGAGGGTAGAGGGTCGGGAGCTAGGGTCAGGTTGGGATCGGCCAAAGGGTAGATGCGATCCCCAGGAATTGGGCTTATGTCCAGTTCATTGATATCTATCGTCGGTGATCGAAATATTCGTTGTGTAGTTTTGGCGTAAAAGTAATCGCCGGCATCGTCACGCAAGATGATCTTGGCGTAGTCAAAAGAGAGACCATCATCTGTTTCAATGAAGAATTCGCCTTTTTCGCAGATGTCCATTGCTGCTCTGGGTTTGGCAATCAGTATTATGTAACCAAAGAGGATGAGTAGAGTTAAGCAGTGCATTTATCCACGGGCATCAATCGTAACGTCGCGTCAAGGTTCGATCTGCCAGCATAATTGATGTTTGGGAGATGGAGAGGGACACGTAGTTTGACGCGAGCATCGAAGTATCCCTAGCCACGATGCTAAGCCACCTGCCCGCCACCCCCACCGGCTCAAGCGGCTGCTGTGCCAGGCGCTAACTGCGCCGAGCTGTTTGTCCATCGTTAGGTTGATGGGCGGTCTCGTCGTCGGACGACGAAGGCAAATACTAAAGCCGGATCTGGCAGCAAGCTTCTCCTAGTTGACATGAAAACGAGTCAGCTGGTATCGTACGGGTCAGGCGTGGAATGAAGGAGGGAAATGTCGAATGGGAGGGCGTACCCTGGGCTTCATGTCAAAGCATTCCTAGAGCTTGACGAGGGCCGCCATGTCGCGCACAGTAATCGTCGGAGGCCGCAGCTTCATGTGCCGTCGTCTGCTGTATTGGAAGGCGCAGTGGTGAATGTACGTGTCTGGGCGCGTGGGTGTGGGTGCTGGTGAAGGAGTCGACTGCTGATGCGGAATGATGGGTGGAGGAAAATAGGCGTCGGCAAGGCTGAGGGATCTGCACGACGTGGGAATGTGCTGTCATTGCGGGCCAGGACCCTTGCCCCACAGCAACCGGATGGGGTGAGCCACCTCTTGAGTTTATGATGCTCCTGAAGCCTTACAGACGCCTCGACATAAAACAGTAGCTCGACCCACTCCATACTCCGGATCCTCAACTGGAGGACCCTTTCTGTTATCTGTTCTAACATCAGCCAGAATCCCTCCTTCGGCTTTGACACGGAAATCGTAACGAGGCGACCTTTTCAAACCTCGGGCGGCTACGCCTGCTACTTAAGGATGGCTCCCCAACCACTGCCGCCCGGACTGCAGCAAGAATACGATAGTTTTTGGCAAGAGATCTTAATGAAGCTCCTGCAAGAGATCAGAACGTTAGGGACTACAATTTTCCGCACAGTAAACAGTCAAGCTTCTGGCCAGCCCAGCGAGACGCGGTCCGGCAAGTTTCCCGGGACGAACGAGTTGAGTAACGATATCTCAGTGCACCTAGAAGAAGTCGCCGAGCAATTCGTCCGGAGCATCGATGCCGAGTTCAACCGGCGCTTCTCCTCGCTAAGCGTATCCACGGAGCCCGGTCCGATTCAAGGTGACGCTACCGCCGGCGGTAGCGCAAGGGCACGGATTGATACGCGTCCGAGAGAGACGAGCATCCGACTGACCAAGGTACCACGGAACGCTTGCCGAATCTGGCCACATCAATAACCTCGAGGATGTGCATTGGGCCGATCTCCAAAAAGCGATCAAGTCGCCCGAAGATCATGACCTCCTTGGGGTGAAGTACACATCTGGCCAGGCTGGCAAGGGGTTCTCACGACTCACGACATCTATGCGGACAGAATTCGAGTTCCCCAATTTTGAAGCCATAAACGGTCCTTTGAAATCCGACATCGACATGTACCTTCAGCAACTGACTAACAATCCCCCAAAGCGGCCGATTCCGTATTATGTCGGGCCTGTCGCTGAGTAGTCGGGGGGAAGTGATTCGAGTTATGCCAGGGGCTAATGCGTCGTATGCATGCGATAGCAATATCGTGTAGCAGTAAGGGATGATCCTCACTAATGGGTTGGCTCACCATGGATCGATCCGTATCCTTGGAGCCAGTCACGTGATCAAGCATTCCCCCTGGTCACATGATCCTCCGCCGACCTGTCTGGTCGGACTTGATTGTTACGGCGTGCTTTCTAGCAAGAACTACTGACTGCCACAATGCCTGCTAAACCTGCCAGCGCATTACACTTATGTTGACGAAAGTCCATTACAATCTTCAGAGACACCCAATTCCGCCCAAAGAGTCCTTCCCCCAATTGACAGTGATCTCTTCTCCATCCCCTATATCCCGTAACATATAAACAACAATCCGGTACCTCTGAGATATCGCTGTACCACGTACCACTGCTGAGGGGTGTCGGCACCGGTGGTTCACAAAGCGGAGAATGTTGCTCTCCATTCCAGTATAGATCTGGGCGACAGTCGGCTCACCTGCAATATCATTATGCATAAAATCCAAAAGAAAGCCATCCTCATGCATGCCCGGGGCTACCATGCGTCTGAGAACCTGTCCAATACACGGCTCGGTTTACTTGGGACGGTTCTCGGCATCGTGGAAATTTTCTCGGTCGGTCAGGGAGGTGTTGGGGCGATCGGGTTTGAGGTATGGTTTGTAATGAGCTCTGACGGCGGCAGTATCCTTGAAGCCGGCTCTGGCAGTAAAATTCTCCCATCTAACCTGAAAACGAGTCAACTGGTATCGTATGGGTCATGCCTGGAATGAGGGAAGGAAATGTCGAATGGGACTGAGTACTTTGGGCTTCGTGTACAGCATTCTTAGATCAGCTTCAAACAAGCACCAGTGTTTCCATGCTCTGTCTGGGATCTCCGTGGGTTTGAGTAGTCCGTATGGTTTGTGTCGTGCTGCCTTGGCTTTGTTGCAGATGTTGCATTCCTTGATGACTTCCTTCACCGTCTTGGTGAGTCCTGGGAATTCATATCGTCGTCTCAGGCATTCCTTCGTCTTGAAGATGCCTTGGTATCCGTGAGTCAGGTGTTCGTGGAATTGTCGTACAAATTCCGTCCTGTGTTGCTCCGGAATCTCTATCTTCCCGTTCGTGGTTGCCGCGTTTTTGAATGTAGTCGTCCACTCGTCTTGGATCTCGATTTGGTGTGTTGCGTTGATCGTGAGGTTTCCGTGTTCGTCAGCCTTCAGCAACGCTCGTACTTCCTTTGGGACCTTCTGCTCTTGGTCACTTCGTCTGCTAAGGATGTCTGCCCTTACGTTTTCTGTTCCTTTGATGTAGATGATCTGGAAGTTGAACTCCGATAGGAACTCCGCCTATCGTGTCTGTCGTTTGTTCAACTCCTTTGTCATCATAAAGTGTGTCAGGTTCTTGTGGTCTGAATAGACCTTTACTGGTCTCTCTGTACCGCTAAGATATGGTTTCCACTCCTTGAACGCTTTGATAACTACCATCAGTTCCTTGTCGTGGATCTGGTAGTTTAATTCTGGTCCGTGTAGCTTTTTAGAGAAGAACGCTACAGGGTGTAGCTTGCCATTCTCATCGCGTTGGCCAAGCTGTCCTCCGAGTGCGTAGTCGGATGCGTCTGTTTCGACTTCGAATTCCTTTTCAGGGTCTGGTAGCCTCGTGACCGGGTCACTGAGGATAAGTTCTTGAATGGTATCGAAAGCCTGCTGTTCTTTGGCTGTCCATTCGAATTTCCGGGTGTTCTTCGTTAGGTCCATAAGGGGTCCGGCGTGCTTCCCAAAGTTCGTGATGAGAGGTCGAACGTAATTTATAAATCCCCCGAATGCTCGTACGTCTGCGACACTGTTTGGTACTGGCCGGTCTCTGACTGCTGAAATCTTTGACTCTTGGATCCGCACTTCTCCTGGGGTGATGGTGAATCCTAGGAAGTCTACTCGTTGCGTATGGAAGTTGCTTTTCTTGGTGTTGACTAGTAACTTGGCGGCTTAGAGGGCTGCTAGTACTAGATTTACGTGCTTCCGATGTTCGTCTATCGTTTACGAGTGGATCAGGATGTCGTCCAGGTATACTACCACGAATTTGTCGACAAATTCGCGTAGAACGTGTGTGATCATAGTCTGAAAACTTGCTAGTGCGTTGGTTAGCCCGAACGGCATAACCAGGTATTCGTAATGACCGTAGCATGTTCTGAATGCTGTCTTCCATTCCTCTCCTTGGGCAATTCGGATGAGGTTGTAGGCGTCGGATAGGTCCAGTGCTGTGAACCATCTGGCCTTCTGTAGTCGATCCCGTAGTTCTCGTATCAGTGGTAGGGGGTATTGATTCTTCGTCGTGATGTTGTTGAGCTGTCGGTAGTCAACGCATAGTCGTAGCTTCCTGTTCTTCTTAGGAACAAATAGTATTGGGTATCCAGCTGGTGATATCGATGGTCTGATGTAACCTCTTGTTAGGTTCTTATCGATGTATTCCTGCAGTTCTTTCCACTGCGTGTTGTTGAGTCCGTATATCGGGAAGAATCTTGGATGTTGTCCTTCCTGTATCGGTACGCTGTGATCCCGTCTGCTGCGCTCTGGTAAACCTGTTTCTGTGTCGTGTTTTCTGCTGAACAGGGCGCCGTACTGCTGGTACTCCTCTGGTACTCGAGCCTCGTGTATCGGCTTGGACTCCTTGGTCATCACAAAGATCCTAAGTGTCCTTTCAGGCTTGCTTGCGGGCTTTTGCTCTGAGCGTTGCGCAGAGGCTAAGTCTCTTCCTGGTGTATTCCACTGGAGATGGCCAGTTCTCTAATTGACTCTGGGATTGCTCACCTGCAACCAGGGTATCCCCAAAATCATCTTATGCCCTGAGATGTCCGCGATGTCGAGCATAAGTTCCTCGGCGTATCCTTGGATATCGAGTGAGAGTGCTGCAGTTTCTCTCTTGATGTTTACTTGTTCGTACGTTGCTAAACTTCTATTAACGGTCCTGAGTCGGTATGGGGCGTCTTTTTGTTTCCATGGTATTCGGAGCTTGTTGACGATTCGTGATGAGATGTAATTTCCTTGTGCTCTTGTATCGATCATCGCCTGGATCCTGTGTTCTTTGTATATGGCTTCGATGATGATGTGTTCGTATAGTCATGTATTGATTTTGTACAGGGATTTATTGTTTAGGTCCAGCGGTTGTCCCGTTATTGCTGGCCTCTTCCATTTTTTGAATAGGCTCGTACTCGTCTTTGGCGAGTCTCGGGGCTGACTTGCGCATTGTTGCTTGGTCGTTGTCGACCCGTAGGTGCTGGTGTCGATTGTCTGGTCCTCTTCTGGGGTTGATTGTTTCCCCTTACTGGAAGTAGGATCCTGGTCTGCTTTCCTTGGTAGGCTTGCTTGATTTCTCTCTATGCCTTGGCTTTTCTTGTGGCATGGATGAGACATTCGTCCTGGAGGCACTGGCTCTACTCCTGGTCTTGCAGACATTCCCAGGGATATGCCGGGTCGGGTCATAAAATCGCGTAGGTCTCCCTATGCGTGGTAACGATTCTTCGAGTCTTGTGTTCCAGGTATAGTCTGGTGATAAAGTGTTACCCAGTCCTTGTGGGGAACCACTGATAGTGTAGTTTCTCCCTCAGGTGTAATCCACAGTCATTAAGAATACAGGAAATCCAGGACAATTCCTTATGTCCTAGTCCTTTTGGTATCAAACGTGTGTCTTCTTTTTGTGTGTTGACCTTTGGTGGTTTGTCCACATAGGTCTGGATGTAGTCGATTACTTTTTTGTCTTCTTCTACTCTTCGCCCTGGGACTGCAATCCATCCATCGGTTTGGAGTCCTCGTTTCTCCTGGAGTTTTTCGCTTTGTTTTTGAGCTGTCATCTGCTCGAATAGTTTTAGATTGAGTTCTTGGAAGTGTTGTGCATTGAATTCTTGTGTGGTAGCGCTGCTTTTGCTGGCCGTGGTTGTGACGTGGACTTCTGGTCGTGATCTGCCTTGTGTCACGATTCGAATATCGTCCTTGAATCGGTGATAGTTTTCTGGAGTGATCTCGGGTAGCTCTGGTCGTCCATTGTCGTCGAATGTCAAGGTATCTTCGTCCGAGTCTTTGTCCTCACTATCTGTCCAACCGTATGGGTGTAGTTCGTATATGACAGTAGTGTAACAATGGCATCCTTTGCGAATTGCTTCCTGTGATTTGGCTGAGTATGGGTGTGCCGGGCACGCCCTTCCTTCCTGGTCGTGATGGCACCTGTATTCTTTTTCTGAAATATGAGGTTCTTGTGAAGTGTTGACCCTAGCCATCATGCTGACTTCCCGCTCTTTGATGTATCCTGAGCGTGTCGTGGCAGCAGTCTGTCGCTGTGGTTCTGGTACCTTTCTCCATTGGTTGTTGTTCCTTGGTGAGGAGCGGCACTCTTTTTTGTAGTGTTCGTTCCTTCCACAGTTGTAACACTTGACGTCCTTCTTGTCATGTTTGGTGGCGTCGAGGTCCATGGGTCCCGAATGGTATCCTGTCGCGGTACTGGGTACCCTAGGGGTGTAGTTGCGATTATTGTATCGTTGTTTCCCTATGTTTGGTTTAATGAAAGTCCTGACCCCTGAGCTTTGTTTCTCTGCCTGTTGTTCGTAGAGTCTGTTGTTGATTTTGATCACCTGGGTGACATAGTCATCTAGTTCGTCGGGTCGCTGGGTCTTGGACACTTTGTCCTTGATGTCGTCTCTGAGTCCGGTGTAGAACTGTGCCATAAGAGCATCTTCATCGGTCCAGTCGGTTCGAGATGCGATCTGCTTGAATTCTGCTGCGTACTTGGATGCTGATCCTCGTTGTTGCAGTGTCATGAGTCGTCGTTCCGCTAACCTGGCTTTGTCAGGGTTTCCGAATGTCGTCCTGAGCTTTCCTTTGAAATGATGATAGCTTTGGAAGACATTGTTGGTCTCGTCTTCCCTCTCTTCCTCGTTCTTGTCGAGATAGTTTCTCATGGTTGGTTCGAACCATTCGAGGGCCTCGCCCTTAAGGAATCCTGCCACGCAGAGCACCTTGTCTGGTTCTGTATTGATTTGGCGTGCATAGAACCTGAGGTAGGCTTTGGCCTGGGTAAGGAAGCCTTGGACATTGCCGTCCTTCCCATTATCAGAAGCTGGAGGGGGTAACTTATACCCACTGTTTCCTGTCATTGGGGTTGCCATGACTTGTGCTTCCAGTTGCTGGTTGCTGCCTTTGAGTTGCTGGATCCTGGTCTGGAGTTGTTGTATCATGCGGACCAGGTCTTGGGCCGACGTGGTCGGTCCGGTTGCCGTGCTTCCTTTGGGGGTTTGAGGTGCTATTGTCGAGTCGATATTGCCCAGCAGTCGTCGTGAGTGCTAACTGAACAAGAGTGATCAAAATGTGACGAGCCGTCTAACCTATAAGGCTAAAGGGTTCTATAGGGTTTATGTTCTGAGGTAAGTCAACACAAAAGACGATAGAGGCTTCTGTCAACTAGAAGACACTCAGATACTGGGGCTTGGTCTGAACTGGGTTCACTGAATAGTCGAGTCGTCAGGAGATTTCTCCCACCTTAGGGTTGGCTAAGATGCTTAGATTGATCACTGAGATAGAGACTGTCTATCTGTCTAGCTAGGAAATGTCTATCCTTATATATCCAATCTCTCCCTCACTAATGGGGTGGATATGTTGGATAACCTTGCTATCTAAGCTATCCTGGATATGTTGGATAACCTCGCTATCCAAGCTATCCAAGCTATCCATCACGTGATGTCTTGATCACGTGACCTAGACGTTTCCTTAGCCCGTGCGTTCTCCCGGGTTCTCCCAGTTACTGTCCATCTTGTTGGGCCTGCCAGCGGGCCTCATTCCCTGTACGTCTCGTTAGTTTGTAACATCATATAAGCGCATAGTTTTTAACTTAAAAAAGCTAGTAATATATGTATTGATGTTTTTATAGCTTAATATAGAGACTATTATATCTTTTATAAATACTACGTTACCTTGAATCGCCAAACAGAAATTTAAAAACCTGCTAATTATATTAAATATACTAGTGGCCTTGTGGATTATTGCTCAGTATAGTTGTTAAACGGTAGTCAACATATAATTGGTCATAAATTTGATGTTTTTCTGATGTTCTGTGTTTTCCTAGCTCTTATGTGTATATTGATTCCAATCCTGGGTATATGCCGACCTCTTAATCTGCGTAATTTCTATGATATTTGTTGGTGTTGGATTAAAGGTACGCCTAGAAGGTGTCACGGCGAGCGTACTGAGGAGCTGGGACATGGCCGGTAGCAAGCAGCTATTACTCTATTGACGAGAATATCAAGACTAGAGAGGAAAGGAAGAGAGAGAGAGAGAGAGATAGGTACAGTGGGAGGTTGCCCCTTTAAGGGGATCCTTTGGTCAGATCCTTCCCCTATTGGGAAGTATCCGCTTGTCATGTGGGAAGGTCTGTGGAGGCCGTCACAGAAGGCACCTTGACAGGTAGACAACGGAACCTAGTTGTTCCGTCCCGATCCAGCCCCCTCTAGCACAAAACTGCCACAGTCGCACAAGGATACTCTAGACAGACGGAATACAGACACACACACTACACTCTGACGATTGGTTCAAATCTGACAGTTGGCATGCTGTTTGGGTCGACCGATTCTTTATCTCTACCAACGGTTATCGAGCTTGAGGTTCTTGTTCCTTGTCTGAGCTTCTTCGGGTAATTGACATACCATCCCCCCCATAGAAGTCGGACACCCCCACTAGTCGGACAGCTAAACCCCACCATCACCACCAAAACACCCCTTTATTCACACACATGTAAAAGAAGTCATTCAGATCAGAGAAACTCAGCAAAATTATCATTTGAGAGCGCTGAAGCTGCTCATTTGTACAATCTAGTGGGCGCCCATATTGCGCGGCCAGAACGTGTCAACCTAGGCTGCTGGATGGCCTCCAAAGCGGCCTCTTCAGGGGCTTCATCCTCATCTTCCTCTTCATCCTCCGACTCAACAATGATCTCTTCTTGTACCTCTGCAGGCGTTTCAGGGCCAATGGTACCTCCCTTAAACAAGATCTCTGTCACTATTTTAAACTTTTTATTAGGATTAGGGATCTTTTGCCGCTTCTTGGGCTGTAGCCGCTCCAGTTCAGCCTCCAGGACTTTGATCTTCCGGGCTTGGATGACAACTTCCGTCTCCTTGGTCTCGAACGCATTGGCTATCTTCCTGTACTTCAAGCGGGTGCCAGGGGATTTATTTTTGCCAAAATCCATGATCTCCCGACTTGTAGTAGGGGTCCGTTAGTCCTCTGATTCAGAGCTTTCAGGGGTCTCAGGCTCAGGGGTCTTCTGCTTATCTTTCTGGATTTCTGGATGTGCTAGACACTTCCTGCGGCTGATTGGATAACATCTAGTGGTTCTGAATCCAGAGAGGATGTTTGCCTTAGTAAAAGCAGAAGTTCTTGCTTGGCTATAGCACCGAATAAAGTTGATCTTGTTAACAGGCGAGGCATCCGTCAAGGAATTCAGCTGCGAGAGAAATTTCTGGTAGTAAGCCTTCAGGGCGTTATAGGGCCCGTTATCCAGGGGATGCATGCCGTAACTGGTGTGGGCAGGGAAGAAACAGAGCAAGATGTTAGCAAAATAACACATGGTCATGAATTCGTCCTATTACCACGCGTTAGCCCGGATTAATTCCAAAAATTTGAAGGAAGTCTAAATAAAATAAGAAAAAATCATATACATACAGAGGTGTGGCTACCATGGCCATCTAGTATCAAAAGAACAGCCTCAGACTGATCTTTTTCTCGTACCTCGTCCACCTGTGGGATGAACACGTCTTCTAACCACTGGCAGGCGATGTCATTAGAGGTCCAGCCGTTTTCTGAGCATATAAAATGCCAATCGGCGGTTTTTTGGAACTCCTCGATAAACCATTAGACTTGGAGGTCCTTGCCTTTAAAGATAATGCCCGGTTTGAGGATTTTTCCTGTGACTGAGATGGCCTTGATGAAGGAGGTCCAACTACGGCTCTTGGGGCTCTTAAGGAAGGATTTCTTGGTAGCAGAACTACCCAAAACGAGAGAGTCAATACCTGTGAATACGATTAGAATATTTCAGAATTAAAGGGGTAAGTAGAGCTACCATAGCCCGCCATAATGCCGCCCTTATCGACATTATACGTGTTCTCTGGCTTTACCCAGCAGTAATCCTTAAGAATTTTGAAGGACCAGTTAACTGCTTTGAGCGTAAACCCCTTAAAGCGCGCTGATTCCATCCTTTTGCCAATTTTGGTCTTTATTTGAGGGTTGCGGCGCTTAAAGCCCGCCATGAAGGTGTCTCCCAAAGGGTGTTCATCTCCCTTCTTTTTTAACAACTTTGTGACAATCTCACGAACTAGGGAGTGCAAAGGGGCTAGTCCTAGCTTCTCTTGACGCAAAATCCATTCGACTATAGTGGTTTCTTAAGCAGGGGAGAGTCTCTGTTGCTGCGTGTGGGCTTCAGCCCTCGTAGGCTTGCCGTTAAGTCGATCAGATAACGTTTGGGGCGGGATGCCGTGTTTTTAAGCGCTTTTTTGTAAAGACAGGCCCTCATCCATGATATCTAAGATGGCATTTGCCATCTGATCCTCTGTTTACGAATAGGGAGGCATTTTGGGCGGCTATACGATGCTGCGTTGCATATAGAACAAGGCTTCAAAGGAGCCTTGCAGGGCCGTAGATTTGCTATTCGAGGTAGGAAACGCGGGGTAGTAGATGACCAATCACATAGGCTAGGCGGGGTAAATTTTATATTGGAGTAAACCCCAAGGTCAGGGCTATCTAGAGCAGTAATTACATTCTAAGTAGCTTTAATATCGGGCTGAAAGCGTGTAAGTGAATAAAGGGGTGTTTTGGTGATGATGGTGGGGTTTGGCTGTCCGACTAATGGGGGTGTCCGACTTCTATTGGGGGGATGGGTATGAGGGTTCTTTTGGCTGTATCGGCTAAGCAACCTTGTCTTCTGGATTGATATAATCCCAGAGGTCAAAAGCTACAGCTTTTATCTGGAATTTGGGGTTGAATCGTTCCCAGTCTTTGGGACGAGAGAAGATAGTGCAATCGCTGTTTGGTGTTGTTATTTTGGTGATAGAGAGATCTAAAAATTGCTTGATCTTTTGTAGGTTTTCTCCTTTTAGAGCAAATAAGACTCTTAATTATTAGATGCAAGCGAGTTCAGATTGTTCAGGTTGTCAAGTGTGTTCTGTTGTTCTTCTTGTTCTGCTCTACTTCTTCAGCATACAGAGATTGATCATCTGTCTTCTTGGTAGGTCAGATGCCCTGTGCGTCTCTGCCCCACTGGAGATCTTCCGGTGTCTATTTCCGGCTCCCATTGAACACTTTGCAACAAGCCTCCAGCCGCTAAAGAATATCAATGAATCAATCGTGGCCCTCTTCGATGATATCGGCTTTACGACAGCTATGCGCGTATGGGCGGGTATACTCTTTGCTTGCTCTGCTCCGCTGGCTTTATTCGTCAGACCCAGGCTACCCTACACGGCTCATGCGCACAGGAAGCCGTTCAATATGCGATTCGTGGCGTCTAAGCGGTTTGCTATGCACCAGGTCGTCAACGTTGTGCCTTTGTGGTAGCGGAACCAGAACGGAGATCTATCACAAGTCTTGGTTGGGATGATCTGTATTCTGGTTGGTGCTTGGTTAAGTTCGGATGGGAAGGGATCCCATCCGAGAAGTATCTAAATACCTAAATTAAAGTGGGTTGGTACCTGTCACCTGGGGCAGCCATCCCAGGTAACCTTATCGTAGAACGCCCTGGATGACAGGAGATCCGATAAGGTACTGGTGGCTGGATCCAGTGGCTGGGATCCACACCGTCATCCAGGCGACGGGGTATTTCCTCCCTGGGATATACCTGCCGACGTATGCCCGTGCGGCGTTCGGCACCTCCGTCCTCCTGTCCGCGTTGACGGTCATACTGGTCAACATCGCCACGACAGTCGGTCTTGTCATCATGGGCTCGTTGAGTGACAGGCTCAAGGTCACGACGTGCATGATCATCTCGGCGGCGGGTGCGGCAGTATCGGTACTACTGGTATGGGGGCTGTCGGCGTCCCTTCCCGTCTTGTACCTGTTTTGCATCCTCTACGGTCTTTTCGCGGGCTCGTGGGCGTCGGTGTGGCCGGGCATCATGAAGGAAATCTTCCAGAATGCCGAGACTGAAGGGTACGGATATGCCGACTCGCTCCTCAGGGAATGCCGTGGCGGGAACAGTCTATGTCGGGTTACGGAAGCGGTTATGGTGTCTTGATGTTGTATACTGGCTTGACCGGACTTTTGAGTGGCATGAACTTCTTAGTCAAGCAACTCAGCATCGTATATCTGCTATGAGGAGGGTAGGACTGACAGACGACACAGACGATACCGAGTTACGCGTCTGGTTGTGATCTGAATTGATCGTCGAGACTGATCCATTGAGAGTATACAGAAACGCAGGTATCTAATTCATATAAGTCATCTGTCTACCAGACCCATTCTGGAACAATCGGGCCGCGACTCGACCGTAGAGCCCTGTATAGGACATCAATCTCACTCCACAGCCAGAAATCAGAACGAAGCCGTAAATCCAAGAAATCAAGACTGTGCAGAAGCCTTGTGATCGATATCTTCTTTCCCCAACGTCCCCTTCACACGTGCCTCCTCATCAAGCGATTGCCCCCTCACAACGCCCACACCGCCCTCAGCCAGGTTCGAGCTCAGCACAGGCGGGCCGCTGAAGTGCTTGCGGCCCCAGGCGAAGTACCAGCCGATACTGATGAGGGCGAAGCCGGCGAACACCACGCTGGCGTAGTTCATGGTCGAAGCGTCCAAGCCAGTAAGGTTGGTCGGCATGCAGAAGAGGAAGATGGCCAGGACGATCCACAGCAGCGTCGTGATGTTGATCACGAATCCGAATTTGCCGAGCGAGAACGACGCGTGCTCTACCTGCTTGCGGCCCTGCATCACGGAGACCAGGATGGGCAGCCCGTACGAGGTCGAAAGGCAGATGGTGGCCACGCCCGTGAAACTGCTGAAGGCGGCCGAGCTGCCAAAGTATATCAGTCCCAGCAGCATGTCGACAACTGCCGATAGCGTGAGCGCCATCAGTGGCATGTCGAAGCGCTTGTCGATGCGGCTCCACAGCCCGGAGCCGGGTATCGCACCGTCGCGAGCGAAAGCATACGTGCAACGGCTCGAGGCCGTCAGCGCTCCCACCCCCGCGAAGAGCCAGATGCCCAGGATCAGGAAGAGCAGGCCAAAGCCGCCGCCCGCGCTACCGGTCGCCTCCGTGAAAACCACGCCGATGGGCTGGCCGTTCGCGACGTCGAGCAGCATCGTCACGTCCGGGAGCACAAAGAGGATGGGGATCAGGTAGATCAAGCCGGTAATGCCGGCGGCAACCACGGATAAGACAATAGCCTTGGGGACTTCGCGCTCAGGCGACTGGACTTCTTCGCACATGGCGGCCACCATGCCGTAGCCCGTCAGCACGTACGCCGGCTGCAGCAGGCCGACGAAAAAAGACCAGCCGTAGGGCCACCCGGAGGCCGAGGCGTCGTAGTGCGCAAAGACGAACTCCCCGCTGCGCTTGCTGGGTGACATGACCAATAACACGATCAACAAGATGATAATCGAGGCTCCAGTCCAGTAGATGCACACTGTGTTAATCAAGTCCAAATACCGCGAGCCGAAGATGTTGATGGCGTAGCAGACAAGCGTCACAGCCCAGAACATCAGCACAGTCTGCCAAGCATTGGCGACGAAGTCCTCGTTCCAGAGCGTGATTGCGCTGAGGATGAGCTGGGCACCGCCGAAGTTGATGGAGAGAGTTACGGTCCAGTTTCCAACCAGCGTCAGCCAGCCGGTGATCCAGCTCGCGATGGGTGCCCATTTCGGACTGGACAGTAGCGCTGCCCAGTAGTAGACGCCGCCGGCTGTGGGGTAGACAGAGCAGATCTCGGCGAGCGAGGCGGCGATGGCGGTCGACAGCAGCGACAGCAGCACCCAGCCCCAGATGATGGTCACGGACTGCCCGTTCGACAGCGAGATGTAGAAGGTGGTCGAGAGGCCGTAGGGTACGGCCATGATGGCGAAGGAGAGACCCAGCACCGACAGCATGCTTAGACTGCGCGGCAGTTCGGACTTGTAGCCCATCTTGGCGAGGGCATCATCCGCGGTGCCGCCCGCGTCGACCGATCTCCTCACACCACCACCACCACCGCCGCCGCCATCACTAGCGATAGAATCCATCCCCATCATATGTTAAGTCGAGTTTTGCAATGGGAGATCGCGATTGACGGATTAACGGACTGGTTGACTGTTGTATTGATGATTGTCACCACAACCACCGGTGAGGGGAGATGCAGCGGAATTGAATTCCGGACTCATTCATTGAAGTGAGGTCAGCCATGATGTCTTATGCAGCGAAAGCGCCGATTGCATTCCATGGCCACTAAGCCCGACGCGGCATGACCATGAACGGCCCCCCTGCGCGATCGAGGCCTAGCATCGTCGGGGCTGATAAGGCACCGATTGTGGTAGAGAAATAACGGCTTTATTAATGAGTACTTTTGCGGTTGTCTGCAGTCATGGTCTTCTTATCTGGGCCATGTCATGTTCTGTTTCCATGTATGTAACGTGATGCAGCTATCCCTGGTAAGTGTTACCCTGCAGGGTGCGAGCTAGGGGTAGCATTCCCCTTATCAGTAGTGTGTAGATAATTACATGTACATATTCCACATGCAGCGTCATCAAAAAAGACCCGAGACAGCGAGAGCTTCGATGCTATTGTACTAACAAGGTAACGAACGACGTGAAGGTCGTGTAGCACGGTCTACCTCGACTACCCAACTGATCACACGCTTGCTACTTGCTGTGTTGCTGGTATGGGTTAACTAGCAGGCTAGATGAAGCGTTCCTTGAGTCTGACTCGTACTGCAGTCTTCCCTGCTTTCCCCTTCAGTAGATGGGAATATGCCATAACAGTTATCATCCCCGAGCGGCGGCCTAACGTTCAAGATACCGTTGCTCGAGGTTGGAGACTTGTGCCGTTCTAACGGGTGTATTTTGGGGAAGAGATAGCATTAGACCCAGATGCGTTGACGATCGTCGACGTCTCTGGAGGGGGACTCAAACCTCATCCATTACTTCTTGTACCTAGGAGAAGCGCGAACTTGATGATAGTGGAGTCAGCAACGCTGGTAATGATATGGGCTTAGCTCTATCGATACCAACAGTCCAGGAGAAGATACACGCTAGGATCAGGTCCAGACCGTCCGATAGAGTCAGCTCAGGGGCGCTTGGGGATAATGACTTCCCCGTGGTCACCTTGACCGATGATTGTTGCAAATCCGACACCTAATCATGATCACATCGTAACCTCATATCACCCGCGGACAGTCAAGCTGCGAAGACACATTCAATATGGATCAATAAAATTACGACAAGGAAAAGGGTATGTATATACAGACAGCCAGCACTCAATCCTCATAAAGCGGCTCCAACTCATGCCCCCTAGCACTCCTCCACTCCTTCCACCGCTGCATAGGCTTATAGGCATCAGCATCCGCACCCGGATAGGCCAACAATGGCGATTTGCCTTCCCAGCGCGTCGAGCTGGGCACCAGGCGCGCAACGGCGTCAATTGCGTGCACGGCGCCGAGCCTCATGCCCGCGACACTCTTCTTGCGCAACAGCGCCAGGAAGGCGAGCACCAGCGCGACGGACACGACGACGGCGACGATGATGTTGCGCACAAAATGGCCCGGCGCATTGCCCACGAACCGGTTCACGATAGCCGTATACCGCAGCACTTTGCCATCCCTGCCCACGGCCGCGACGCGCAGATACTTTGGCATCGAGCTATCGATGTCAAAGCTGGCCTCGAACGTGTCCTTACGGTGCACCTGCAGCTCAACGAACTTCTCAGTTTCCAGGTCCGCCCACTCGGCGCCCTGCAGCACCCAGCGATGGACCTCGGTCGCACCGTTCCAGCTCGCATACACGCGGCCCTCGGACGGCTTCATGAACACAGCGGGCGCGCTCGTGGGGCGCCCAACCCAGCCGCGCGTCTTGAAGGCCCGGTACGTCGTCACGAGGCCCCAGCGCGAGACCAGTGCGGGCGCCAGTTGCACGTCGCAGAGCACGGACCCGTCGCGCGCGAACTCGGTCACGGCGGGGAGGAAGCCGTAGCTGATGACGACGCGGTCGTCTAGTACCTGCGCCGAGCCCTGCGAGTCCGGGTGCTTGGGCTGCTCGGGGTCCCAGTACTCGTGCAGAAGCGTCGCCGTCATCTGCGTCGTATTGAGCTGTATCAGCAGTGCCCGGCTGTAGTCGTGTGGCGTTGCCGGGCCCCAGCGTTCTGCCTTGGCGTTGTCGAAAATGCTGAGCGTGTGGTTGTCGTGCAGACGCACGTGGTGTTGGTACGTGAAGTCGGTGGCAAGGCCGTCCGACAGGTCCTGGAAGCTGTTCTTCTTGCCCCCGAGCGTCCAGAGCACGGTGCCGTCGGGGCTGACACAGTGGATTGTGCTCGTGTGCCGACCCGAGACTATGTAGTTTCCATCGGCGTACTTGTCCATGCTGTTGATATGGAAAAAGTCAAAGGCGGTTCCTGGGGCCGTGCCGTCGTCTTCGCCTGCGAAGTAGCGGATTGTTTCGTTGACTTGGAGGTGCTCGAGCGCACTCCACTCGAAGAGCAGCTCTCCTGTCTCGATATCGACTTCTTGAAACTTGCTGTCAAGAGCCCACCCCTGTACCGGACCGCCGATGGAAGAGAGGTCGGCCGGCACCGGGCTGTATATGGTCATCATGGCCGTGCCATGCTCAGTAATTTTGAATTCATGTAGGTCGCCCTTCAGATCCTCGCCCACGGGTTCAATCTTTCGAAATACCTCGTAGTTACTATCAAGCATGTAGTGTATCCCCCGTCCGTAACCATGGGTGGTGCCGTCAGGCCCAGACCAGAAAGTCAGGTAATCGCTGCCGTTGTACGTCTGGACCTCGAGATCCGTGACGATACCGAATTTATCGTCAGCCCAGACCAGCTCCCCTCTCGCGTCTATTATCATGGGCCCGGGCTTCGAGACGATCTTGCCCTTCGGGGCGATCAGGTAGTAGCCGTCGTCACATCGCTTGTCCCACGTCAGGTAGTTCAGGCGTGGCGCTGTGAGGCCGAAGCTCTTAAAGTGCGTCTGCGGCCAGAAGCCATAGTAGCCCAGATCGTACAGGTACTGCGAGTCAAAAACGTCGTATGCGCGGGCGGCGGTGGTGAGGCCGAGGAGCACGGAGATGACCCGGGTAAAGGGGGTTGCGCGGGACATGACTCAGTCGGGAGACGGCGCGATCGGGACGGTGTCGACAACAGTGAAACGGGGGACGAAAGAGCGACGAGAAAAGCCGTCCATGTTGCAGCAGCAGCACGCACGGAAGAAAAGGAAACACAAACAAGAAAGGAGATGAGGTGTCTTCACCTTCTCCATCACAGGCCAAGCAGCCAAGCACTCGTTACAAGTCAGACCCATCGGGATCCCTGACCACCCGTCGGCCGCGCGTATGGACGTCTTGGCAGAGATTGTCGTCACGATGTCGAGATAGCGGATGATAGTACCGCGGTCGCATTCGCACAACGGTCAGATTTGGATGGCGGAACTCCGACGGGGGTCGCAAAAGAGCAGACGCTGGCCGGCGAAGCAAGCATTTGGAATTGGATCCGTGAAGACTCAAGAGCCATTCCCGCAGCCGGGCAACGAGGCGGGATCTGACAAGCAGATCTCAAAGGCCGTCCGACGACTGTTGTAACTTGTAACAGGAGGTAATACTAATAATTCTGGGCAGTGGGTGGACTGGTGGAGTATCTCGGACGGCAACATGGAGTCATGGACGGACATTGGAATCGATGCCCCGCGATCCACAACTCCAGCTCATCACTACCATTTCAGGCCCGTACAATTTGCCCCGGCACTTGGACAAGCGGACCCGAAACCGAAGATGCCTCAAGAGTGCAAGAGGGCTGGAGGGCCAAGATGGTGAAGTGGGTGAACCAAGACTGCCCAGGAATGCCCCAAGACCGCCGCTTCTTGGTAATCATGCGTGAAGAAAGGAGCAGAATAACCTTGGAATTTGGAAGTCTTCGAGCGCCCGGCGCCGCCGAAGTTGGGGACGATTGAGAGTTGAGCGAGTCGTGTCTTTGTCTTCGTATTTCTCAATGTCGCATTGCCAAGACGCCATTGTGACCGTTATCTGAACCGACACGGGCCCAAGACGGCGGCGCCGCGCAGTCTCTCATCTAACCACGACGGCGCCAAAGCCCCGGGCCTGCCTGTGTCATTACTACGTGGCACGCGTGGGTATCATGACGGGGTTTTGATGAGGCTCGTGAGGCTAGGGATGGAGTCTGAGAAACACGATATAACACATGTACTGTGTTGTATTGTGTTGTATTGTACTTTTCAATATCAACACGTGTGATTCCTGGTAGTGACGTACTGGATGATACCTAGTGGTACCACGAACCACCCTGACGGCAGGTACCGAAGTTCCAGCGGCCGAGGTCTGACCCACATATAGCCAGCCGGAAGCCGGAATTACCTTGAAATAGGCTCCGAAGGCAGTTCCGGATGTTGTTCCGATCCGAAAGAACACAACACAGTACAACACGTGTTGTATCCGTGTGTTGTGCTGTACTGTGTTTTTCCATCCCTGCGTGAGGCTCAACTCTTTCATGCACAATGCACACACGTAAGCACGCACTCGCAAGCCGCAATCGGACGTGGACGTTTTATACAAGGTCCACTCCATCTTATCAATTGAAGTTATCATCCAGTTTTTCCGCCGTCATCCGAGTGCCGAGCCAATGCCATTCTAATGGAGTGGATTCCGTAAAACTCGGTTTCCGAATCGGTCCCGTCTCGAATGATTCGTGAAGTACCGTCTACTGTTGGATATTTGGCGCGTTGGAGGTTCTGTTTTCTTCATTCTTGAAACCCCTCTCCCAATTGTATCTTCCCCAGGCTGATCGTCAGTAGATTACTCCGGGGAGCAAGTTGAAACAAAAACCTTCAGAGGGAATCGGGACCGCCAACCTGCCGAATACCCAAAAATAGGCGGTATCCATCCTACTGACCTGCATGTGAATGCCTCAAGATGGAAGCTGGGCTGGCTTGGTATGCATGCGGTCACTAAGAATGATGAGATTATCCCAACAGGCTCCCAACCAACGGTTATTGGCAACAAGGATGGATACGAGAAAGAGAAGTAGCTTACATTGGAGGTAGTGTGACCGATACGACGGCCGGACATTTGCAGTCGGTGCGAGAGGCCGCCTACCTTATCATCTACATAGGTGCCCGCAAACCCCCTTATAAATACGGGTATCCCCTGTTCTAGATACAAGAGCAAGCTGCAATGAGGCACAAGGTCGAGTACCAACTTATTACTTACCTCGTGAGCCCATAGCTACCGGGATATCGAGAGTCGCCGGCTGTCCATCATCACAGGCTGAGGCGCATATGCGCCCATCTGATCCTCGACGATGAAGACGCCACGAGATCGCGAGTGCGTGGTGAGCGAGCGCGGGCGCGGGTATGAGCCATGGCCGACGCGATGAGTGAGCCGCCTCCGGGGGCAAACCTCGCCTACTTCCATGTTGCTGGTAGGTATTTACATACCTAACGTACGCTGCTGATGGCCACAGAGCACCACAGCTGAAGTGTTCGCACCTGAAACGACCTGCGGCGTGCTCTTGTGCGTCCATTGGCAACATCAAGAAGCATATGTCCTTCATGCCAGGCCTTTTCTGCTTCGGGTCTGCGTAGGCACGCAAGCTATGCAGCTCACTCGATACGTCACAACCGTAGTATAATCAGAATAGGTAGGTAGTGAGTTCAAAGCTTTGTGCTCTTATTAGGTACTTTTGATTTCGCGTGCGCCTCGCGCGAGCAGGTAATCCAACGCTTCAATCCGCTCATACAATTACATTATGCATGCCAGCCGTGTGCAGGTGGTATATGAACTCGGGTATAATAACACATTATCGTGTTGTTCCGCTACGTGCCACTGCACTGTTGTCTCAGTTGCCCGGTCTCGACTCAAACTGGCCCAGATCTTCCCATGTCATCGGAAACCCGCGAGCCGATTGGAAATGGTTGTCGACGAGGGTACTGGCGAAGCTTTGCCAGTCACCCATCACATCCGAAGCTTCCAAGTACTGTCCCCCGAGTCTGTATGGCTGGTAGTCCACGTCCATCGGTGATACCGGATCGAGCGGTGGCGGGGGAAGGGCCTTGTCCGCGTACATCTGACCCAGGGGCTGTGGTGTACTCAGAAAGTTCTGAAACATATCGTTCATCGGCGGCACCAATGGTTGCGCCGGTGGGCTTACCACCATGTCTGGGATCAGAATGGGAGTAGCAATCTGGGAGTCGAAGGGCGTTGGAGTGGTTCGGCGGCTCGATCTGCTCGCCCTCGAAATCGCTGACGTAGAAGCCGACCTCGCCATCGCCGACGTGGAAGCCGACCGTCTAGGTTCTCGTGTTTTTGGCAGGACTGACACATGCTTGTGCGAGTTGCTCGGGGATGTCGGATCGATGCCTGGACTCAGTGGCGTCGACCTTGGCCTCAGGTAGACGTGGACACACGTGTCGGCCAACTGAACAATCTCGGCCGCAGACTCCCTCGACCCGTCGAAGAACTCGAGCAGATCTTGCAACTGTCCGGCGCTCTCGTTCTCGACATACCCCTGCGCTCTCCCTGTCGACTCTGGTGGCCAGCTAAACATGGGCTGGTGTCCATTGTACTGGCTTTCTTTGCTCGCGATTAATGCCTTCCAAGATTCGTGGATGCCGTGTTGGTGCAGAAGGCCGTAGATGACGTTGGAATGCAACCAGTCGGTCTTCGTACTCCCGGCTTCGAAGTGGCCGGCCACATGGTCGATGTGCCGCTCAAACTGCCTGTGCATCGCTGCGCAAAACCCACACCCATACGCTTTCCTCTTTGGCATGTGCTTGATCACAGTATCCGCGTGGGGGCACGTCTTACATCCGTGGGCCGATTTGTGATGTTGGTTGAACGTGTTCGGACCCCAAAAGCTCTGGTTGCAATTGTTGCACGGGTATTTGCGAGACCGATCATGGAACTCCTCCTCGTGGCGCTTCCAGTCGAACTTCCGCTTGAATGTCTTGTCGCATGCTGTACACCAGAACTTCGCATCGCTCGTCGGGCCGCTTGTCGACGAGATGGAGCTTCGTACCGAGGTCTGGGAAAAGCAGCTGTCGCGACTCGAGGTACTTGAGATTGTCGAGACCGATGATCGATATTGGTGGGTTGGATGCGGTGGATGCGGGAAAGGAGAATGGACTTCTCTGTGACTGAAGTTCGGCACAGTGGATGCTGCATTCCTCAGTCAGTTACGGCCAAGGATGATTCTAAGGTAGCAAGACGTACTTTCTGGTATTGCGAAATGCTGTTGCTGTTGTTGCTGTGGGTGCTGCTCGGGTTCCTCCTCCAATAGAGCTCGCAAGGCTTCGCGACTGAGGCCCGACTGCTTCAAGGCTTCGAGATGCTCTCTCGCCTTGGCCAATATGCCCGAAGGGTCATCCATCTGGCTGCCCGTTCGGCCGTACGCGAGGAGCTGGAGTATTTGGGGGCGACGTCTCTCGGCTAGTAGAACATGGAAGCTCGGGATTTGAGGGTACAGTCGACTAGAATACGCGTTAGAGGTGAGGATAGTCTGGCACGTATGGTATAGCGCGAAATGGTATGGTATGGTAAAGGCAAGGAGTGCAACATCGGGTCTAGGATTGTGCGCGCGTGGGCGGCTGCGGGTTGTGTGATATATTGTCCCCCTCAGCTAACGAGAACTGCGAAACGACCCTTGCTTGAGGTCGCGGGCCCGTGTGCCCGTGTCCGACACCCCAAGTCCCTTCAAGGCAGACTAGAACACCCGTCCACTGGGGCCATTGGCCCTTATTTTAGCCCTTGGGGTTGCCGTTTGGATCTTTGCCATCATCCACGGGCGTATAATGGGCATGATGGGCTTGATGGGATGGCCCTGTTCACGATGGCTGACATGCAGAACATGGTGGACCCAACCTGAAACAGCAAGGGGATCACCGCCGTCAGCACATCCGCGTTTCGAAACATGCCGACGGCGACGTGCAGCCACCAATGAGCGCGACGGCAGCGCGACGGCAGCGCGACGGGCAGGGAGAGGATCAGCACGAGATTCGCTCGAACCTGATGTTTCTACACTTGGCGAAACACCCTGCCAACCCTGCTCGATCCCCTCTAGCCCCTGGGGCCAATCTGTTTCAAGATCGCCGGGTTCGATGCATCTCTCATTGGTGGGCCAGCCGATGTGAGTCGCTCGATGCGGTAGCTGCCGTAGTGTATCTCACCATTCATTCTCGACTGATGTTCGTGCGTGTCCAGCACGACAAGCTGATCATCAACTAGTCGATCGAATAGGCGGGATGAGCAGCACGCCGGGCATTCCCAGGTCACAGGTGGCACTTGAGGCCTCCTTTGGCGTGCCGCGTATGTGGTAATAAAAGCCGACATTGAAATTTGGAATTTGGAAGATGGAGCCAACGAGAGCCGAGAGGTGGGTGACGCCGAGTCGGGACGCAAAACAGCCAGAGACGGCGCCACGCTATCTGCTGAATCATTGGTCCACCCCTGTACAGAATCGCTTTTCGAGAAATGAAGGTGGTTGAGATCTGAATCAGGACTCAGGAGGGCAGCGACAGCCGAGGTTCATGTTGTCCGACCATGTGGAAGACCGTGCACGGGGCACGTGCCATGTCCAGTGCGGACCGCACAGCCACACATCAGCCACTCAGGAGTCCGGACTAAGCCACACATGCACGAGAATGAGCCTCGGCCCTCCAGGTCTTTGCTTTCATGATGTGTGCGTGTCGTGACTCGTCACACGCTTACTGTCCCAGCTAAGGACTGCATCATATATCTCTAACCTGAAGCCAGAGTCAGGCCCCAGAAGTATGGACTCTGAAGGCACAAGTCGTCAACATGGGCTTGGTCAGTGATGGATCTGGTCCTTCGATACCTTGGCGATCATGAACCTCATGGATGCCCTTCCTCTCATGCTACCAAGTTTGAAATAAGGACCTGCCAGCTCGAACCCAATCCCTTTCAGACCGGAACGAAGGCTCGATTGGGCTCTCAACGCGCCCTCCGGTAATGCCAGCTCCAGAGCAACTATGATCGGTCCCGAGGAGCAGGAGTACGAGGATTAATGGCTGGGGCGTAACAGGAGGTCGTTGTCACAGTTCATCCTCCTCGGCATGATCTATCCAGATCAACAATGCAGGAGATGTCACCCGTCTGCGTAAAAGTGCCTCGAAAAGTAGTAGGCTAGGGAGCTCGACAGGTTATTGTTTCGCCCGCTCTGGAATGCTGAGTTTTGGGAACATGTTTCACTCACACCTTGGGCGTTGTATCGGCTTTGGCAGACACTAAATCGTTGATTGGAGATGCGCATATGTATCCTCTACTAATCGAAGCGCATCATCATGACAGTATGCAACTCGACGATAGTGCATGACTGTCGAGGGCGTTGCAAGTGTCAAGGCTTCCCATGCGATCATTGCGTCGGTCACTTCGAGTTGGGCGGGTGGCACCGGAGCGCGGTCCAGTTGAACGAGGAGATAGTAACTGTCTAGCTGAGGGCCTGGAGGTAGGAGAGCACAGTGCGCTGGAGTTTCGAAGCTCAGACGAAAGCGAACCTTCTCTGGGTTGTCACTCCACTAAGGCACAGCCGTCAACCACAGTTGACCCCTTTAGCTGAGCAGCACACCACCTCACCTTGCTGCTCAGCTGCAGGGATCGACACCGTTGTTGACGGTCATGCCGTCGTGGAGTGACAGCCCATTGAAGGCTCGCTTTGCCTGGGCTCTACAGCTGGCGAAACTCCAGCGCACCGTGTTCTCCTGTCCACCTTCCACAAGAACAAACTCGTCCGTGTGCCAGTAGATACCAACGCGGTCCTGCAGAAAGCGCACAAGATAGGCCTCATTGACATATTCTGCGCGTCCTCTGATCTCAAGCACCCTGCTCTCATCCCCTTTAAGGTAAGGTCCAACCTTGTTCTCATTCATTATAGCGATAGCTCGGTACCCTCCAACAACAAACGGCTGGTTTGTTTCGACGAATCTTCTTGCCGACTCGGGGGTGAAAAATTCCACCGTCGCGGCGCGTGTTGGAATGTTGGGTAGTGGTTGGTTGATGTAGCAATGTGCTACTTTGCCGACGGCGCGAATGCTTGATAAGAGTTGGTGGTACGAACAGAACTCTGGTAACCCGGTTATCCACACGCTTACCTACTTTAGAGAAAGCAGACCAGCTGGATGTGTATATGATATGAACTTGATTCCACGTAATGAGGCGACGGCTTGAGAATATCGACGTCCGAAAACCGCCTTGACATCAGACTTCCCGTCCTCTTCATCTGAGTCTTCTTCGTTGATTTCCTCACGGCTCGGCTGCGAGACACGCGACCACTTCGGCCTTCGCGTCCCCGAAGGCCGTTCATCCCAATGCTCAACTGCAAGGGTCCTCCCCATACTCCACGGTCATGATGTTCGCAAGCTGGCTCCGAATAGCAAGCAAAGCCCGCTTGACCTGTGCCCAGCAACTGGAGAAGCTCCAGCGAGCAGGGCATGCTGCTGCCGCTGCTGCTATTGCTGCGGTCCGGCAGTGTTAACCGCGCGCTGGCCTTCGGTGATAAGCGCGATGACCCGGGCTCTTCTTTCGTCGATGGCAGCGACGGGGGAAGCAAGACGAGCAGTTGCCATGGCGGCAATGGTAACGGCGGAACCAGTGCCGAAAAGTTGCTGCTGCTCGGGCGGGAAGGGAAGAGCAGCTGCCAGGTCGGGAGTAATAGCAGCGGATATGTTTTGCACGAAGACCTGGGTTTCTACGGCAGCGAGGTTCGCAGCAGTGGACAGTGGTGACCTACTGCTGCTGTTGCTTATGAACCGGGCCGACAGCCAGGTCGGCAGTGGTGGCGGCAGCGTGTTCTCCTGCTCCCCGACGACAAGCGTGAACTCATCGGTGTGCCAATCTAGGAGTATGTGCAAAATCCCGGCAGGCCAGTGATCCAAACGCTGCAATTTTTCTCTCTAGGGAGCAATTGGGTTTCTGTTCTTCGTCTAGTCTTTACGCCTTGGTAGTTCGCTGCTCGGCGGGAAACGCGTGCGGTCTGGTCATCAGGGACCACAACAGGAGCATCATCAGTACCAGGAGCCCCGACCCGCGCTCGAGAGCGCACCGGAGTTGACGCATCAGGAGCGCTATTGCCCAGTCCGGCACGGGACTTGGAATCCTGAGAGCTGCCATCCGCGCCGAGAGAGCGCGCAGGAGCAGTCGTCTCACGAACACCGAAGACAGGGGAAAACGATCTCTGGAAGTTGGGTTGAAAACCCGGAGGGAACATGGAGTTCTTCTTCGCAGGCTCTCTAATCCGAACAGGGGAATGTTGGTTGGTAGAGCGCGAAGGGAGTTCTATCTTTAGGCGAGCAGGGGAACGAGACATGAGTCGGCCTTGGCCAGGGGGCGGAGCGTCCAGTGTACCGGGGAGATACGATTGGATCTTGTTGTGCTGCACGTGCACCTTGTACGCATGTAGTCGGCCAGTCCATGATATAGCCGCCCATTGGTCGGGCTGGTTGATGGGCAAAATGATACCATCCTCAAGCGAATATTTCAAGCCTAGATCTTGGTCAGCAAACCTTTAGTGGCTCAAAGAATAGTGTCTTACACGTGATGGGATCATGGTAGACGGTTGTCTGGTTGGTTCGATTATTGCCCGAAAATTCCATTGTGGGACTGTTGCGTGGAGAATGTGTGAAGTTGTAGAGATGTAGAGATTCCTTGACGGGTGGTCGGCGCATGGTGTGATTGAAATAAAATATATTCGAACCCCGTCTTGCAGATAAAACACCAGACAGGCTCGTTGATATACTTTGGCGAGCTTCTGATAGTGAGGACTCTGTCTTTTATGTTGATGTATGGCCTGATTTTGTTCTCGTTCTTACGGACTGTAGCCCTGTAGTTTCGACGAGGAATGGCTGTGTCTAATAGGTCGTAACGAAACATTAAGCAGGCTTTGCGGCGAAGAATTCTAGCGTTGCGGCGCATGTTAGTATTTCGGGCAGTTATTAGTTAATATTACAATAAGTTACTTTGCCAAAGCCAGTAATGCTCGAGAAAAACAAGTTGTACGAATAATTTTCAAGTAAGCCCGTAATTTATACTGTAGGTTATAATTCTCTTTATCTAAGAAGGTTCTGTTGCGGCTTGTCGGCTAGTCCTCGGTCTTTCATAATTCATAACTGCGTAGTTGTCTTTCCTTCTAGTGATTGCAAGTGGTCTCAACGCCATTTTTCAATGTGGAAGAAGAAGGCATTGTTCCGATGTGAGGTTTAATCCCTGACCAGTGCTTACGACACATTCAAGTGGTCAATTTGGCGTACTTTGCTGTTGTGACCTAACTGAGGTAGGTTTATCTGATGGTAGGTGTGTGTATGTAGGTAATGACAGACATCCTCGTCCACTACGGACACCCAAAAGCCAAGCAGGATGATTCACGTGCCATCCGTTTCGACTAAGTCTTGAATTTCAGCAGAGAATTTAGGATGAATCTTTATTATGAACTTAAGAAAAATAAATCCTCGCGGGCTGACCTCGATGTCAGGCTTCTCATCCTCTCCATCCTTTGTTTCCCTGTCACTGATGCGAAGAACGAGGTTTGTGTGGTGTACGAGGCTTCAGTTGGTTGACCATGATGGTCGCGGAGTGAAGAAGACAGTGCAACATGGCGTAGGTGCACCCACCACCCACAGTGATGTGAAAGTTGATATACCCAGACCTGTCGACTAAATGTAATCTTCTTCCACGTCTGATCGTAGGTGACGATTACGGTTGATCGTCCAGTGAAGAACCATCGCTGAAGAGGAGGCTCATGGTAGAGATTCACAAGACTGTTGGCAGTTTTGCCAGTCGTGGTGATGATCCGTCCTGTAATGTCCATGATGATCTTGGTGTCCTTGTCGTTTCTGAGCAGCGGAATCGGTGCTCTGAGAGCCTCGAATTTCGACTTCGAGCTCAGGGCGGACCTGGCCAGGGATCATCAAGCCGGCCGTAGCCCAATCGTTAGTAGGGTGGCCAGCCCCGTGGAGAAGCCCCGGGTAAGCCTAGGGATGGCCGCGGCCCGCGCTGCATGGTGGCCCTGGCCAGGAGACCTAATACTGGCCGTAGCCTCGCAGTCGCATGCCGTTCATCGTGTTCCTCAGCTGCACGGGTCAACCCCGTATTCAACGGTGATGTCGTCCGCAAGCTGGCTTCGAATGGCCAGTAGAGCCCTCTTCGCCTGTGCTCTGCAACTGGCGAATCGCCAATGGGCCATGGTGACTTCGTTATCGTGGATGACGGAGAAGTCATCAGTGCACCAGTACATGTGTACACGATCTCTCAGAAACTGCACCAGGAAGTCTGCGTTAACGTATTGCGCCGGCCTTCGAATGACCAGGCGCAGCTCTCCTCTTCGTTGGCGTAAGGACCGACTTTATTCTCGTTCGGTCGGACATGGCCTCTGTTGTTACCCACGATGAAGGGTCGATCGTTATAGGTAGCGAGGAACAGCTGGGCAGATTCTGGTGAGAAGAACTCCACCATTGCCACGCGCGTTAACATCTCACCCCCCCCTGCGGACCACCCCCCCACGGACCACTCCACACCACACCACTCTCATTCAGATGAAGCCATCTACAACCACCACAGTTGCTAAATACACTAAGGTCGTGGTGTTCTAACCATAATACAGCTCCCAGAATCCGATTCCGACCCTAAATCTTCACCAGGGACCTCTTGTGGGACCTCTTCGCCTGTAGCGGAGTCCCTATAAACCCTCCTGTTCCTCAGCTCCATTTTGGCCTCCCTTATGTTAGCCATTGTGACGAATCGTTCCCCTGGTGTTGGTTTGACTGCTTTTCGAGTGGTATTAGCCTTTTTAGCCACTTGAGCCTCAAGCAGCTCACATTTGGCCCGTAGATTTGCAATGGTAGCAGCCTGAACATCCATGGCCTTGCCAGCCTTCCGCACCAACAAGCGCTCAGAGGGCCCCCCAAAGGAAGGGTCCTTTCTTTCGAGCTTTCGAGCACTCTCCCGCAAAGCCCGGCTTCCAGAGGGTGTTGTGATAATGGTTTTAGCTACCATCTCGAGAAAATCTGGTGTTGTGGCTCGCTTGGAAGCCTTAGGGTCCCTTTGGCGTGCCCTGGCCACCCCCTTGTCCTCCAGAATTACATATTTCGACTTTAATGCCTCCGCTTTGTTGCGAGGAACAATTCTAGTCTTTTTCCAGGCAATTCTGATGTTGAAGAGCGTCATTGTGTCCTTCCGGGCCTGCTTGTAGCACTCCAAAACCTCCTCCTTAGATGGCCTGAGTCCCAGACGGCCGCTGGGCGTCTCCTGGAGTAAGGTCGTTAACCTCTTCTTCACTAAATTAAAGATTCCCACATCTAACACCTGGACTACATGGGAGCAGTGAGGTTCATAAAAGATCAACCATACTTTGTTTCTTAAGCAGGAGGCTAGGAACTCGTCATTCGTGTGGGAATCGTGGCCATCACACACCAAAACCACCCATGTGTTGCCGTGGACCTCCCGAATGTGAGGAATAAAGATATGTTGAAGCCATTCTAACACAATGGGATTCGAGGTCTATCCATTGGGCGACATAATAAACCTCTAGTCAGTGAATTTGTTCTCATTTTGGTTGCTAAATCACTGGGCTTGTACGTTAATCCCTTTGAAAATCACCAGCGGCGGCAAGGTCTCACCAGATCCGCTCACACACTCTAGGGCAGTTATCCATTCACCCTTCTCGACCCCTTTCTTCATAGCCACGTTGCTGGAGGCCTCGGAGACCACCCAATGGGAGTCCCCAACCCCCTGGGCGATTCCCATTTCGTCGACGTTGTACCAGCGTGCTGGCATGAGGTTAACCTCGTCAGGGGCGTCACACCGATCGAAAAAAAAGTTGATATTTGCCGCTATAGCACCATTCACTTGGTTGTAGTCAATAACACGAGACTTCATTATCTTGACTTCTGGGTTTCGAGACAGGAACTTGGATGCCCAATTTTTCCCTAATTCTCGAGCATCCCCGGTGGCATGGAGCATCCGCTGTGCCATGAGACGGAACTTAGAGACCGCCAGAGAATACCCTAGCCGTGCTTGCCCCAGGGCCCAGCTTGCCAGCTTATGTTCGAGATACGGTGAGAGAGCCTGTTGGAGAGCGCTGGTCTCATTCCGCGTTGGGGTGCCAGAGATTTGTTGGTTGACGTACGAGCGACTGATTTGCCATTCGAGGGCTGACGAGCAGACTGGAGCTCCACGTTGGATGGCCAAAATGGCGGCTTCAGCTTTTATTTGACGGTCGTAAAATGACATCATGAGATTCAGCAGTGGATAAGGATTCAAATAGTGTGCTTTGTGAAAAAAAAGATGCAAAAGTGATGGTGTAGATGGTGGATCACCATAATCCTGGTGGTTGGTGAATTACGCGTTTGTGGGTCAGAACGCGCTGGTCCGCGGGGGGGTGGTCCGCAGGGGGGTGGGAGATGTTACTCCGCCGGGCAGTGGCTGATTGATGTGAGTGTGCGACACCTTTCCAATGGCCACAATACAAGATACAAGTTCGAAGTATGAGCAGAATTCCGGGAGACCAGTGATCCAGACGCTGCAGTTTTTGTCTTCGGGGATCAGTTCGCTTCCTCTGTTACGGCCAGTCTTCGTTCCTCAATAGTTTGCTGCTCGGCGCGAAAATTGCTCCTGCTTGTCGTTTGGAACAGCGTGAGCGTCGGTAGCGTCACGAGCTTAGTGGGTGTGAGGAGGAGCATGGGGCTCTCTTCCGAAGCGTACGTGCTGCTTGTATGCTTCCAACTTCTGCTCCCACGAGATGGCTGCCCACAACTCAGGTCGGGCCATCGGGAGTACGAACCCGTCCACGTGGTCGAAGAACAGGCCTAAATATTCATCAGCAATTTTCTATTGGGCTCTCAATATTGTTTCCTACTAGTGACGGGGTCAAGAAAGGCCCCCGCCCGGTGCGCTTCAGGACTTGCATGAGAATCCATTGTGGCTGAATGTTTGTTTGTTTGTTTGTTTGTTTGTTTGTTTTGTATTTAACGTGGGGGGTAGCTCCTCAGTAGTGCAGACCACGCCTCCCAGAGCCTCTGCATCGCAGGGTTGTGGAGGTCTCAAGAAAATAAGTACAGTCAGTCCCGCTCACGGGCCCATCCCCGTTGTTGCGGCGATATGACCTTGGGGTCATCCATCTGGTCCTTCAAGAACAGCTATCTATCGGAGACAGATTGTTGAAAAGAACTTGCTCTTCTCCACAAATTTTGCCCATTCTGTGCTCCTCTCTCCTAAGTATTGTAAACAGGCTGTCCTAGGCGAGTACCTAAACAACAACCGATTTTTTCCTAACCTCTTATAAAAGAAAATATGTTGTGGTATTTTCTTTTCACCACAGCTGTAGTGATTGTTCAAGTCTGTATGCCCAAAGCGTTCGTGGTATCTGGCAAAGTCGCCATGTCCAGATCTGGCCGCTAGAAATCTGTGTAGAGTGCTCCTCTTAAAGGATATAAGGCCTCTTTTAGTTATTATATGTGAGTATACTTCTTGATATCTAAGTTCTGATTAGTCTTTTCACCATTGGTTGAACTCTTTCTTGCCCTTTCTCTTGAGATTTCTCTTAACCCAAGAAATTATAAGAAGGTTTGTTGTATCTGTTTCTAGCATAGCACCCTCTTTTGCTAATATATCGGCAGCTTCGTTACCATCAATATCTCTGTGTCCAAGAATCCACTTGACGGTCACTCTAAGAGTGTGTGCTGTGGCGAGTTCTTGGAATCGCAGAAAATTTTTTTGTGATGTCTCGGGTGGAGTCCCATTGAGCCCATCCACCACTGATGTGTTGTCCAGGCAGATATATAGCTGTTTTCTGTGTCTAATTGCCCTGGCTACTGCAAGACCTTGGAGAGCACTATGGACTTTAGCATCCATTACTTCTGCTTATAGAAGTCTGCCCCTTCCCCGGTATATTTCTTGTGTAGTGCCGCCTTTCTTGATGGTATAGCCCCATCCAGTGTGGGTTGTGCCTTGGTCGTCCAATTGTGATCCATCTGAATAGATGACAAGGTCAGTATTCGCATTTCTTTCCTGTAACCATTGCTTAAAGAGCTCTATTTTTTTGTTTTTATCCTTACGGACTGGGGGATTCTTTTATGATGGCCTGGTAAGTGTTGGTCTCTGGAAGTCAGGGACTAGCTGGAAGCTCCTTTGTAGCCTTGTTGGTTCTTTGCAAGCTTGTATTTGGAGCCTGCCAACAAGAGGGTGTCTCTGATCTACTCGTCCGAGTCGGAGGCCGTGACGTCTTCTTATTGACTCTGCAAGAATTCCTGCTGGAGGAATCTGTGATTCAAAGTGTAGGATATGTCCAGGGGGTGTTTTCCAGACTGGCAAGATAGCTCTGATTGCCGTTCGTAGTACAGTATCTATTGTTCTAAGAAGCCCTTTAATGCGACATGCTGATGTCCCACCTAAGCTCTTAATTTTTTCCATTCCTGGGTACCAGGCCTCCAGGCCATGTGTAAGAATAGGAATAACACAAATTTTCACAGCCTTCTTGGTTGACTTTACTGGAAGTCCTTTGACTGTGTTGCATAGTCCTCAAAAATAGTTTGTTACCCTACTAGTTTTCTTGGCCCAGTAAGAAACGTGATCTTTGAAGTTCAGTTTTCTATCCAGAAAGACACCCAGCCATCGCATGGAGTTCTTTGCTGTTCTGTTTATTGTCCTGTGGCGGACCGGAGGATTATCTGAGTTCTTTTTCCGTGAGAAGTGCATGATCTCGGTTTTGTCGGGATCAAATTTAATAGCATTGTTATATCCCTATTGGTTGAGCAGATAAAGGTTTTTAGAAGCCTCTATAGCTGTTTTCTTAAGGTTCTTTCCAATATAGAGAGTCGCTAGGTCGTCTGCATATCCAAAGCGTCTCCTTTTCATACTGAGTCGGGCACAGATTAGCTCTATATACAGCATATAAAAGATTAGAGAAGCTGGTGAGCCTTGTGGTAGCCCACAAGTGAGAGCTTTTATGTCAGTCACAATACCTTTAAACCGAACTCTTACAGACCGTTCAGACATGAATGACTGGACCCATCTTATGAGAAAGTCTGGCCAGCCCTGTTCTCTCATGCGAACCACCAGCCGTCCCATTAGGGCAGCGTCGAAGGCCCCTGTCACATCTGCTGTGACTACCGTTGCAATAAGGCCTTGATCAAGGGCCTGCTCAATATCGTGTATGAGTGCAGCTACCAAGTCGGCGGCAGAGCGCTTTGGCAGAGCTCCAAAATGTTGTGGAGCTAGAATTCCGAGTTTGATGACAAACCAGGCAATTCTTTTTGTAATGAGTCATTCTAGGCCTTTGCCAAGACATGATAATAGCGATATTGGTCTGTAGCCCCTGGGGTTAGAGTAGTCTTTCTTGCCTGGCTTTGGGATCATCACCACCTCAGTTACTTTGAATGGTTTAGGGTGGTGTCTAATCTATAGACAGGTCTGGAAAAGGGCTCTGATATGCTCCCCAATGACTGGCCAGCAAGCTTTCAGAATCCGTACTGTGAGGGTGTCTACTCCTGGGGAGTTGCTCTTGGTCCCTATAGTGCACCCTTCAGCCTCTTCTAGTCCGACATGGTATTCAAGGGGGATATGTGGCTTGGCTTGTGTGATCTGAGCAGATCAGGGGTCAATGATATCGTTGTCTGGGGTACTTCGTTCAAGCATGGCTAAGTGTAGTGCATTTGCCTTGCTCTCTTGTGACTCAAAGATTTGGTCCCCTATGATGATTGGGGGGGAACGCAATCCTGCTGACAGTTTGTGCCAGGAAACAATTCTGTACAGGTCTTTTGGTTCAGTCACTGAATCAATTAGAGTCTGCCAGTACTCTCTCTTAGCTTTTCGGACCACACAGCGAAATTCCCGTCGGGCTGAATTTCGCCCTTCTTGGCTTGTGGTCTGTTTAGAAAGGGCCCTGTATGTCTGAACAGCTGCTTTGTAGTCATCATTCCACCAAGCAGTGGGCCTAGATTGACGGGGCTTCTTGCCCACTGTCCTGATACAGCCTTGAATCATATTGATCAAGCTTTGTGTAAAGGTATCTACCTGGCCAGGGGATACACCCAGCCGGGGGAGTTCATGAATCCTGGTTTGGACATTGTCTGCCAGCTCTTATAGTTTATCGTCCGGTACTATCCAATGATTGGTCTTAGGAACTCGGTCCCGATCTCCCTGAATTGGAATGACTATTCGTAATGTCTCATGATCTGAGGTGCACTGAAGTGCATCATTGACTGAGGCTTCAGCCATGGGGACATCTGAGAACACCAAATCCAGTACATTTCCATCGTCATGTGTTGGGACATCTGGTTCAGAAATCAGATCCAGTCCGTGGTCTGCCATAGTCTGTGCCAGTATGACGCCACCGTGATATCCTGGATTGCTCGAGTCCCAGGATATGTCGCCAGCATTAAAATCTCCAGCTATAACACAGCCAAAAGGTGGAGTCCATACTTCCAGAATATCATCCACTTCCTGTGGGTTGTCACATGGCCGGTAGACACTGGCAAATGTGATGCCATGTACCTTGACCCAGGTGATGTCTCGTTTAGCATAGGGCCGAAGTTGATCCGCTTAAAGGTGTTTTCTTACATAGATGAGAGATCTGGGCCGTGTACTGTCGCTGTCCCAGGAATCCACTGGGGAGTATATATTGTAATTGGGGTGTGTCTTTACTCCCATTCTTCTGCCTGGTGGTATGCCAACCTAGGGCTCTTGCATCAGAATGATGTCTGCTTGTTCTCCTTTGTAGTCAGCCAGGTTGATGGCTAACTCTGTAGGGCCTGCACTCTTTTGTCCTCCTGCTTTATTCACAGAATGGATGACTAGATGCCTGTGTCGATATGTTTCGTTTGATGTACCTAACATTGACTGACAACAATGGTATCGGCATCTCTGGGATGAGTTGTATCTGTTGTGTCGATTTGCATTGTGGTGTCTTTGTTATTGTTGCTGGGTGTTGACCCAGCTTGGTTTCTGCCTGCTTCATTGAAGGCCTTGGATCTGGCTCTTTCCCCGGCTAGCCTTATTTCCTGGATTTGTTCCCATGTGTGCTTATGGATGGTACCTTTCACAACCTTGGGGCGGGCAGGGCATTTATTGAAATTGGCAGCATGAGGTCCTTTGCAGTTGACACACTTTGGGATTGGTTTTTCGCACTCTCCCTGGTGCACTGTGTTGACGCAGTGTGCACATACTTGCTTTTCGCATTGGTAATTCCTACCATGGTATCTGAAGCAGCTTGCACACTGGTGAACCTTGGGGGTGTGTTGAATATGCCTTGAGGTCATTGAGTGGGCAAAAAGTGTGAATGGTTTCCTTGCTGCACTGGGCAGAGAGATTATCCACGTGGTTTCTGGATCAGAATTAGTCGTGTTCTTTGAGAATATGCACCTCAGAGGTCTGTCGCCTGTTTGGGCTTCAACTTCATTGGCAACAACAGTGTCAGTAATATCGATTGTGAACCCTTCTGCACTGATGACCTTTCTTGGGCATCCATCGACCTTGTAATGATGCCAGACTGTGTGGGTCTCAATCTTTTGTGCCTTAAGAATGTCGGCAATTTCTTCTTGGAAAGCCAGAAGCTTAGCCTGAGTTGGCTTGTCCCTTGGGTGTAAGGTAAATCTAGAAGGACACCATGTCACTTCTCTAAGCTCCTAAGGGTGGAGCTTAAGTCTTCTATTTAGTGTAGACTTGATTCCATAAGGCTCAAGGTGGCTATTATCCATGCAGACAAAGACCCAGAGATCATCCTGCTTCCTCTTCAATTGGTCGATAGTGATGAGGGCACTAGGCTGTGTTTTCTTCATGGTAGTATTGACTATCCATGGATGATGTCGTTGGCCAGAAGAGACAGCTTGGGCGAAGGTCATGGTGGGCTTCCCTATTTCTATCCCCCTAGAAGTGGCCTTTCTTGTGGTCAGATCTCGGGTTTCCAGCCACTCATTCAGACATTTGGAGAAGAAAGCGCTGAACTCCTTGGCATGAGAGTATAGTTCGGTTCCAGTTTTCTCAAGTGTCTTATCGACTGCTGCAGCACACTCCTGAAACATTGTTATCCTGGCTTCATAGAGATGCTTGTCTTTAGCCAGTATTTTGGCAACTTGGTCCTGGCACTCTAAAGAGGAGACTTTGTTCCCTGTATCACCTCCAATGGCTTGGTCTGTAGGGATTTCGCTTGACTGAGGTAATTCCATATCAATGGTGCTGCTATTAATGATATTTTGGGATTTTCCTTTCAGAGGGGAAACAGTGGTGAAGTCAGCCTCAGAGACCTGTGACGGGCTGCTGTTGATGTCGTCGAGCAGTGCCTGGCGGAGCCTGCTTGGGGTTGCCGGGTCATGTGTTCTTTTAGGGACTGGGGATTTGAACACGCTGCCAGTAGTCGTCTTTGGGACGGCCACTGGCGTGTTTGGGGGCCTGTCGTGAAAGGGTGCCATCTAGCTTGTGAGAAAAATTTTCTGTGCCTTGGCAAGGATAGTCAGGTACTGAGACAAATCCCTGCTTTAGTGCAGATGTAGAGGTTACGCCCTAACAGCGGGGCGCCAAGAAAAATAGTTGTTTTTGGCAAGAGTGTGCATCGTGGCTGAATCATATGTTTCTTCAGGTGCGATGGCGAAGGCCTGACCGCGTTGTTAGAGATAGGAATGCGAGTGGTTGGGAATGAAGTGCGAATGGCTGAAAGTGTTTGAGGCGGGATTGTTGAAGTGCGAATGGGTTTTCGGATGCGTTCGAGGCGGAATTCCTCAAGTGCCAAAGTCGCAACTGTTCGGGTTTTATCTCCTGCAGAAGGTGATGCGGGCTCGAATCCAAGGTTGAATGGAGTGCGAGCAAACAATGGTGCGCAGAATACAATGGTAGTAAGGCTCTCAATGTTAATTACCATTGTCCTAATCCCCCCAGTAACCATGAAATCGTTGCAAACATGCTGTAGGCATCCATTGCGGGGAAAGTAAATATAATTTGGAGTAGCACATAACTACAGATTTCTGAAAGTAATCATGATAAATTCGCGATCATAGCAGGCCGGTAGATGATGCCTTGCGCCGTCTATACGAGGCCGGGACAACCAAGCAGCATGTTGTTCAGAGAACGATTTATGGCTGAAATGCATGTCAAGCCATATTTCTCTTAGCAACCGTACCGGACTGAAGGTCTAGAAAGGGAACCCTTGCTAATCCAAATATTGTGTTATTGCAGATCATGTCGTTATTCTATAGCCATATTCGCCATTCCCAACACCGGCAGTAATCGTGCAGGACCCGGTTGCCGACTTTCATCTATGCTTCCCCTTCTAGGAATTCTCAGCCTGCGGACAACGAAAGTACAGAGTTTATGGGTACTTGGAAGGACCGCAGTGATTAATCATTACTTGCATAGTGAATGATAGCATTGTGTGCTCAGCGCAGCCACGCTGCCTTCGTCCGAGACGTAGAAAGCTTGCACTACGGGTTACTTCATCACCTGACAGTAGCGAGAGAAGACGCGGACAGAATCTCGGGAAAGATACCACTGAACCTCTTATATGTGACTCCAGTGTATATAATTTTTAATAATCAAACTTCGCAAGCAGTGCTTCTTGAGTCAGACCAGACGGTTCTACAATTGCGGAAAGCAAGCAGTGGATGACTCCCACGAAGCTCAAAGCTAGCCAAAAAGATATTGTGAGTGTAGCAATCATCATATAATGCCAGACAGACGATCAGATGTCACATCCTGGAAGCTGCGGGCTAAGTTGGAGGCTCCAACTTGGGTTCTCCTTTCCGGTTGACCGCCCTCCCCGATAGTTCTGGTACATCATCCGACGGATTTAGATAGTCGTGCTATCTTTGAATTTTCCCGTATTTCTTATCACTGCCGTCGCCTGAAGTTGCAGCATCACTCGACAACACCTAGTGGCTACCCGCACCGGCGGCGTTGCCATAACAAGTTCGCTTGGTGGGCATGGGATGATGGAAACGATGAGCCGGAAAGCACTGAGAAGAAAGAGGTGATCACAGGCCCCGAGCTTGTTCAGACTCGTGACTTCTCGTCGTTCTACGGATTGCACGTCTCCCTCAAGCTAAAGCCAGGGGTTGACTGACCTGTCTGCAACATTGTGCTCACCGTCACCTTACACTGGGAATCTTGAGCGAGGTCCTGCATGACCGCAATTGGCGCAGGGTATTATGACTCATCATCTGGTCGCACCGAACTCTGTCTCTGTCTCTGGCTGGAGTCCAAGGGGACACGGAACAGTGCGAGCGTCTTGCAGTGGTCTACGACTTCTTCACGGTTCCCTGTTCAGATCACAGTCTGCCACATTAGTTCCTCCGACGAAGGAGATTGAAGTCGTAGGGCTTCAGTTAGAATGGCATTGATTTTCCGAACTCTTGTTGGTTGCATTGCGCTTTGGTACCCTAATCGTGGGTTTGGCATTGAAGGCTTATGAATGTGATGCGCGTGGGTTTGATTTGGGTTCACCCTTCTTCTTGGGCTTCAATCATTATTGTATCTATCTAGGCTACTAAATGCGCGGACGGCATGTCCTACTATGGCATGATCGTGAATAGATCTTACAAACCAGGGTACCCTACGTTCTCTCTCGGGGCTCTACCATTATAGTCGTGGCCCGCCGTTGCCGTGTAGTTGGCAAAGCAGTCGTAGTCAAAATCGATCTCATCAATACGATCCTGTAACACAGACACCACATTGTCGAAGCTGCAGAGCCCATGCGGATCCTTGGGACAGCCAGGATATGAGTCCGCGACGGGAATGACGGCATCATTCACGATGAACCTAATCTGCTTGCTCGGCGTGTACGCAGCGCACTCGAGCACCTGGGCTGTGAAGTGGGTGGCGAAAGGCACGGCCTTGCTCGCGACGAAGTTGTTCTGCTTGCGATTTCCGGAGGCACTGAGCGGCGGCCCGGCGAACAGCGCCGAGAGGTTAAAGGCCGTCAGCGTGTCCAAGACGACAACCTCGTGGGTCGCGTCCGCATATATGGACTGGTTGAGTGGGAAGTAGGTAGACGAGTTGTCAAAGGTCGTGTTGAGGGCCGACCACCCCTCCGGGTATTCGCCGGTGAAGCGCGCGACAAACTCTTGCAGGTAACCTTTGCCCTGGGATGCCGAGACGGGAGAACCTGGGCCATTGTTGTAGTAGAATGACTGGATGGGGTCAGTATGCTCATCTCATGCATTTCGCCGACGGGTGAGACGGGAGGATGAGGTAAGATTGAGATGCGTACCAGGTCATATGTGTACTCATAGTTCTTAAAGTCCTCCTCGCTGAAGAGACCGCAGAAAGCCGAGTAGCCCAGCGCGACCGTCTCATACGAGCAGAGCTGTAACATGGCGACTGCGTCAGTTGGCGTGAAGTTTAAGCCCGAGACCTGCGAGAAAATGTCAGTATTCACTCGTGGTCGTTTTAAGATCCGTGGAGGCGAAATACCTGCGAGTTGAGCCGTGCGAGGGTGGCGTTGAAAGCATCCTCCGCGAACAGCGCTGCCACGGTGCTCCCAATGCTTCCCCGGGTAGCAACATCCGCGTTGGTGCAGACCTCGTATGGTGCGCCAGAGTTATTGACGCCGGCCGCCTCGACGAGGATCTCAATGTTCACCTCATCCAGATATTCCGGAACGCCAAAGAAGCCGGCGGCGAAGTTCTCGGCAGTCTTGACCATACGATCCTGGGACTCGGTCCGGAAGACGGGGATGGTGCCCGCGGCGGTGAAGTTGTTGAGAAGGTGGCCGTAGAGCTGGCGGTGCTGCAGGCCGAGTAGAAACTCCTGACTCCTGCCGAACGGGGTCAGGAGCTCGGCGCCCAGCTTGTAGGTCCAGTCAGAAAGGAAGGCCAAGCTGCCTGACACCTCGAATCTGGTCTTGGTCGCATTCGCGAGCTTCGCGGCAAATTGCGCGGGTGCTGCATCGCTAGTCGGATACCGCGCACCATGACGGTACAAGAGTTGCACCTGGGTGATACTACATCCCTCTGGCGCGAGCGGACTCGCGTCGGGCAACCCGTAGTCGGCCGAGGACAGGGAATACCAAGGCGACAGATTCCCCCAGTACTTGGTGATGTCGATCTTGGACGACTTGTCCTCACCATGCGGCTGCGGCGCGACCAGGGGAAACTGGTTGGAAGGCCCCAAGTTGTAGGGATACAGCGGTGCGGTCTGCGCTGCTGCGGGCTCAACACCGGTCGGGGTAGGGCCGGGAAAGCTGACCAGCGACTCGGGCGGGAAGAGCACAGAGTCGACGGTCGCTAGCAAGCGGTCGGTCAGTTTGATGACTGTTTATTTAGGCAGTAGTACTCACTGCCGGCTGGAGGGTACGCGTCCGACGTGGGGGATCCGACTTTGGGTGCTGCCGAGATGGTGGCGCCGGCGGCGGTCTGGGCGAGCAGGGCCAAGACGGCACCTGCACCGGCAACGGGCGCGAACTGCTGCATCATCTCCGTCTGTCCTGTCGGATCTCGTCTTCACAACTCTGTGTAGAACAAGAGGAGGCCAAAGAGCTTGGACGAGGCGGGCATCAATGCAGACTGGATGTCGGCTTGGCGTTCTTATATATGAGCTCATTATACCTGGTACTTACATCGTACTGTACCCTGCTGTCTAAGACTTCTGACTAAGCCTACCTTGGATTTAACTAAAGCTCGCTTCGAGTGTCTCGACTCGTGGTAAGTGACCTATCAGATGCGCCGTTCGTTGCATGTGGTGTGCGGTGCTAGTGTCCCGTCGTAATCTCTCGAGTTCTCATCAGATATCCTTGTTCCTGGGGGCTGGGGGCTGGGGTAGTGGCGGGCGTCGGCATGATGCGAGCTTTTTGTGAGTCTTGAGATGAGCAATGACGATATCAATGATACTTTGTTATGCACGCCGACCCAACAGGGCGGCACAGTCCTATCACCCCGTGCGAGGATACCGGTACCGTGCCGGGGGCGCCATCTTTTTCCCATTCTTCATCGAATCTGCGGCTTGGAAGTTGGTAGTAGGTATCCTTGAAGAACACTCCCATTTTGCCCAAGAACGTCCACGGTTTGCCGTGTGTGACTCCCCTCCACTGCTCTCGTCGTGAACTCGGCTCACCACGCCGATGGGGCGTCTTTCTGGACATCGAACTCGAGGCCGAACTCTTGGCCGGCATGCGTTAAGAGCAATTGATCCGATTCGGTAGCGAGATCCTCGCCGCCCGGACGATAACAAAGCCGACCTGTCATCACAGCCAGTTCCCTGAGCTTAGAGGAAACGTCGCCGCGTTGGGAAACGCATTGACACCACCCTCAAGACTATGAGAAGCCAGAACTACGCCGAGCAGGAGGCATACCAGGCTCTCCAGGCCTCGGAAGCCATATGAAGGGAACTGAAGGGCTTACTCGACCCCAACGCCGGCGGCCTGGATGTCGAGCGTAACCGGCCACCATCGCCAAATGGTTCGACCCTATTATGCCGAATTCGCATATATCTGCTGTAATTGAGAGAACACGTATCATTGCATTCACCAGTCGTCACGGGGCACCTGTCGAAGACGTGGACCAGGCCTCGCACGCCCGCCAGTAAGGACTACCAGGGGACAAAGTCGTCGTCTTCGCTTGCGAGAGTATCATTCACCGCGATACAGCTCAAACTCGTACTGGACGGGAGTTTGGCACTATGAAGCGTGCCACATGATCGCCACCGTCGCCCGCCCATTTGCATTCCTAACTGGTAGGGCTTGATAAGGCTCGATGCCGAAGCTGCTCAGCGTTTCTGGCTACCTAAAGTACCTAGGTAAGCTATCCGGGCGTTTGTGGTGCGAGCACGTTACCATGGTCGGTATGAATGTTAACAGAGTCACACATTCCGTGATGATGGCGAAACCCGCGTATTGTACATCAGGAGCCGACCAGTATCCGTTGAGGAGGATTTCTTCACCAGCTTTCTTCGTCGCCAGGCGGGGAGATACTAGAACGCCGAGAAGGCTCATCGTGAACTTCCTGGATCACGATAAGCCCATGGAATGGCTGTCCGCAACCTGCATGGCCGAGACGAATATCGCGCACGACACTAATCATGACAGACTCGGGCAAGTGATGTGCGTTGGGTATGGAGTCAGCCCGGGAAGGTAGATGAGGAAAGACTACGCCGTGCAGTAGCTCCTGCACCATCAAAGAGAACGCGCGTATATGAGAGACGGCTACTGCCTATTTCGTATCTTCGGCACGAGGGCCATCGTTACCATGTTTCGATATGCACGCCACAGCATTCTCTCCCGCCCATCTAGTCAATACGATGTCAGACGGAAACACTTTGAGGTTGAGCTCCCGCCTTGGGAGACACCCAAAAGCGGGAAGTCTGAGCTTGCCAGAGACGGCGAGGAGCACGTGGAGAAAGTACCTGTTGATGCGCTTCGATGCATTGGTCCGCAACTTCCACAACAGAATCACGATACTGCCAGCAAATTCCACATTGCCAGATCATCCCACACGTTGGACGAAGTCGGCCATGATTGTTGGAAAGAACGATTTCTGCGTCGAACGAGTCCAAATAAGGTGGGTTATTATTGCTCTCTGGCTAAGACCACACCAAACCTCATATGGTTGAGCAGGATCCCCCACAGCGCGCATTCACCGCCTCGAATAGGGGGGAGGGTTTCCATGCGTGCCTCAGAAACCGCTTTCCTCGGACGAAAACACGGAAACAGCAAATGGAAATTACGTAAATCAGAAATCTGGCTGAAGCCCGAGAGTGCTGTCGTAATGCCGGAGCGGAAGAGCCTTGGACGACTACCTCAACACTCAGCGACGCACTCTAGTCTTGAAGTCATTATGGCACACCATTGGCTGAAGCTGTACTGCTCGCTACCCCGTTCCCACATGTAGTACTAGTTGCGAGTGCTTTCGAGTCGGAGGTGCCGAGGTTCGTTACTCCGCATTCTGCCCTCCACCTCGCTGGCGCAGACGTATAGCAGGATCTGGCCATCCACATGCCATTCATACAGCAAGCCCGGGGAAGGTGACCAGAGCGGCCTGCGAGTAGCCGCGCAAGCTTTCGAGCGGAGTGTTGAGGACTGCCGAATCTCCTGCTCTTCTGGGACACATCGGAAGATGGCCGCGCCGCCGCATGCACACAGCCAAGCTTTTCCCCGTCCCCCTAAACTCCGCCTAACCTACTGGCTTCAGTAACGTTGATTCTCTCCATTTTACCCAAGGACCTCGTTCGGCCCTACCTGGCGCGATTGGCTCATTTTGGTACACGTGTGAGCCATCTTGGGCTTTTCTGGTGCTCAGGTGTCCAGCCAGATTCGCGAGAATGTGCTTTCTAGGAAGGTCGAGCGAGGATTTCTTGGAAGCTAGCATAATGCATCTGGACCTCTTCGGCGGCTTGATGGGTTGTGCTGTTTGACTTTGGAGGATTATGCTTGAGTTTTGCTTCACCATGTGCTCCGAATGCGCTTAGCTACTCGGAAAGGATTTGCTTCCGTAGGTTAGGCTAGGTCAGAGGTATATAACGAGGACTACCCCCCTCTCATTCCAGTGCTAGTCCCAGTAGTCGACGACCGCGTAGTCGAACCTCAAGCCTGTCCACCACTGCAGCCCCTCTCTTCACCCCTTCAGATCGCCATCATGAAGGCCTCACTCGCTCTCCTACCCGCAACGCTCGCAGTCGCGTCTGCCAACACATTAACCATATCCCTCACCACGGCGGAAATCGACAGCATCAAAGCCGGCCACACGACCAACATAGTCTCCCGGCAGTCCGGCGGCCTAGTCCCCCGTCAGTCCGGCAGCACAACCGCCAACGAGTTCCTCGACGGCGGCTGCCGCGATCTCATCTTCATCTTCGCCCGGGGCAGCACCCAAGCAGGCAACATCGGCGACGACCCGGGCCCGCAGGTCATCGCACAGCTCAAGGTCGCGCTAGGCGATACCTACGTCGCGGCGCAGGGGTTTGACTACCCGGCGCTGCTGATCGACAACCTGCGTAACGGCGGCTGCGACCCGGCCGACGCGGCCGACATGCTGGCGCTGATCAACCAGGCCGCCTCCGAGTGCCCGGACTCGGCCATTGCGGTTTCGGGGTACAGTCAGGGTGCGGCCCTCGTGCATGCTTCTGTGGAGGACGCGACGACTGCGGTTAAGAACCAGATCGTGGCGGCGGTGACGTTTGGGGATACGCAGAGGCAGCAGGACGGCGATCAGATTCCTAACTTCGACACGGGCAAGACGCTCATCTTGTGCCATGATGGTGACGAGGTCTGTGATGGCACGCTGATCATCACGGCTGCGCATGGCGGCTACGATGACCTTGCTCCTGAGGCTGTGGACTTTATTGTTAGCAAGGTGTAAAGGGGTTCAGGGGGCTGTTTCAAGCTCGGATTATGTGAATATGGATAGTAGCGACTTGAAAAATATGGTGATGAATGAATAGTGATGGTCAAACGTTGCTGCGTCTGTCTCGCCATCGTTTGATTCGAACTCTTTGCGACCCTCCGACCGCTCGACTTAGGGCTGATCCCAATTGCCCAAGGCATGACGACAAGGCTGCTGAAGCGTTTATGGCTTTCGAAGACCGCGTTTGCCTTGTTTTGCGCTGGTTCCGTTATATGTTCGTTCGAGTCAACCCGGCTCATTCTACATTGTCTGCTTTTGTTGTTTTGGGCGTATGATTAACGAACTCACCCAAACCCAATGTTACGGAAAGCAGACGAGCCAGTCCTGAGTTTCGTGTCGCAAGGCAGGTTAATAGGCAGTCCAAGTCAACTTGGTGATTCTATTGACGATTACTCCAGAAGAGTAGCAAATATATACAGATAAACTTCAACTTCTCCAGATACCAATATCAGGGCTGAGCCAGAGGCAAAAACCCCGCGAGAACACTTGCGGCCGAGCGCAGATCGACTTGAGGCTGCTGGCCTTAGATGGTGCCAACTCCAGCGCTGGAAGGCACAGTCGATGACACCTCAGATGTCGATTCAGCGGCGGCGACGTTGCTGTTGAAATCCGCCAGGATACCCGAGCTGGAGCCCGAGAAGGTACCCGAGTCGACCAAGGAGTTGGCCACACAAGCACGTCCGAGCGCAGAGGTGCAGGCGCTCGTATCATCGGCGGTGAACAGCTGGCCCGTAATGCTGTCCTCCACGGGTGAGGGGACGCCGTCAAACACGTTACCCTCGGCCAGGACGTAGGCACCGGTACCGATTTCGAAGTTGTGCCCGGTGGACGGGCCGAAGTAGTTGTTGACGGCGTGCAGCGCGGTGTTGCCTTCTCCGCCGACCTTGGGGCCGCGGCCGGAGGTGTGGTGCACGTAGTTGCCCTTCATGGTGATCTGGTCGTTGGAGCCGGTGAAGTACATGGCCCAGTAGTGGTTACCGTCACAGGTGGCTGACCAGCTGGTCTGTCCGTCGATCTCGTTGTTGGAGATGGTGACGCGGCCTGAAGACTCCGTGCCGAGCACGATGTGCTGTCGACCAATGAGGGATGTCTGATCGCGACAGTTAGCTCGGAACGCTCGATGGAAAGTGAAAGAGACCGTACCTTGACGTGGTCGATCCAGATCAGATCGGCACCGTCGACAGTGATAGCATCGCCACCCCAGACGTATTGAGGGTTGATGTCAGTGACGTGGATGTTCTGGATGATGATGTTGGACACGCCATTGGCCATGCGTAGACTTCGTCGGGAGTTAGCACATGAGCACGCAAACAAGCTATCGCTTGATCTTACCCCTTGCCCTTGATGACACCGTTGGTGCCCTCACCAAGGATGGTCTTGTCAGAGGCGACAGTGATACCCTCCACACCCGCCGCGTCGTAGGTGATGCTGCTAACGACGGGAGCGTCGGGCTGGTAGTTGGTGCACCAGTCGTTCTGGTTGATGGCAATCTGGCATGCAGAGCCGGTTCCCCAAGGGGAGCAGCCGGACGACGTCGTGGTACCCTCGGTGCCGGTGAAGTCGAATTCTTGGTTCAGAACGATGACGCGAGCCTCGTCGTCGCCTAGGTACGAAACGAGCTCGTCGGTCGTGGTCGGATAGACGGCGGTGGCACTGCCACCACCCGTTACACTCGAGGCGAATCCCTCAGCAGAGCCAGACACGGCAACATCGCGACGGCCGAATTGGTGGGGGGCGGCCGAAGCGACGCCCAGAAGAAGGAAGGATGTAGAACGCATGGTGGCTCGTCAAGAGTCGGTAAGGGATGGAAGTTGGAACGGGTTTGTAAGGAAGGGAAAAAAAGAATGACTAAAAGAACGAATGTGATGATTTGACTGGAAGAGAGTTGAAGTCTGCCTGTCCAGAGTCATCCCGTGTCGACAACAGCGAGGGAATCCATCATTATATATACGTTCGCGAGCTCGTGTTGTCTGGAGGCTCTTTTTCGTCTTCGCCAATGCCGTTTCGTTGAAAGTACTCTTGGTCCACATATTCAAGCGATTCCCGGTTCATAATAACCGATGCTTGGTGGGTCAGTGGCAGCGATGGATTCGGCATTCCTGTGGGCGCCGTATTGGTGGGATCACAATCACCAGGTCCGCTCCAACTCCCGCCCACGTAACGGGTAATACACCCAGGCGCATGATGTGCTTTTTACAGCCCATTATAACGCCCCCCGGCACCAGTGCCGTATAATAGAATATATATCAGCAAGGGGTACTGCGGCCGCGGGTCGCCCATCGGTCGGAATGAAAGGGGACGGCGGTTCCACTGTCTATCCGAAACATCACCCCGGGACATCACCAACAGCCTTGCGAGTTGCGACGGCCCCTCGACTCCATCCGCGAGTACCATCGGCTTCTTTTCCCCTCGTGGACAATGCCGCCACCTAGGTCACCTGCCGGGACTAGTGTAGATTGCCGCCCCCGCCATATCCGAGGACCAGTCACTGACTGCCGGGATTTCGCGCCAATCAAGCTGAGGGAGACCCATGGTGATTCCCGAGCTTGGCAGTCTGGCATGGCGTGTAGCCGCGCGTTACCAAGACCACACCATCGACGAATTTCTTTCTCTCGTATGCGTGGGTGAGTACTAGGATGGTCGTTCTGCCATTGATACGTGAGCCCGTGGCAGAGGCAGAGATGGTGAGCCTCATCAAGACCACAGTCCGGACAAAGATACAGACAACAGATCATCCTCACATCGCATTTGCTTATGCTGCTGAGGACGGCCTGCCTCGCGTCGAATCCATTGAGGGTACGCGAACATAAGACCTGAGGCGATGAAACAGAGCCGCGCTGCAGTGCTCGCTGGGAGAGGGCATACTGGTATCGGTTCACCACGCAGATCGTGGCTCATACTCATGAGCTACCTTACATAGGGCATTCGCTTCACACAGATAGTTGTAGAGCAGGCTGATGATCGCCGACAGAACCCGGTACATTCGAGCTGCGTTGGGAGATGCTGTGCCGATGATGCTGACGATGGTAGACATGGTGTTGTTTTTACAGTGCTACTTTCATGTTCTCCGCACCGCTAAAAAGCCGTTGCCGCTATCAAATGTCAACCAAGTGCCGACACATGCCTGGCGTATTGAGTCTGTGGCGCGAGCTATCTCGGCTACTGTAGTCTTTACCTGCATACCTGTGGCGCTAGAAAGCTCGAGCCGCAACTTGGTTCATGTTGAGCTCAGCTCCAGCTCCAGCCCCGGCCCCGGCATCCATCAAAATGCCCCCCGCCTTTGGACGTGGACGTGTGTTTTCGTCTTCTTCTATCAAACGCGTCTTGACTCTTCACCTTGTTGGCAGTTGCATCGTCTCGATATCTTCTTACGCCTTGCACCAGCTGCGGGCTGTGGCTCTGCCACTCACTCAATCACAATCATTTCGTCGACCGTCAATACCTAAACCATCTCGGCCTGTGGTCGGTCACCTCACATTGTCACAATGGCTCCTACCAACATCACCAGCTTCCCCGTGGAGATCCTTGTCCAGATCACCTCCTATCTCACCATGCCTGACTATGGCGCTTTTCGCCTCTCATGCCGCCAGATTGAGGAGTCGGTCTTCAGATCCTTCGCCCATAGCTACTTCCGCCAGATGCAGTTCATGCGCACCGACTTCAGCCTGCAGGCCCTCATCGGCATCTCAAAATCTCGCTTGTCTCCCTTTGTCAAGCATGTCTTCATAGGCACCGAGATCTTGGACCCGGGCTTGTGTCACAATCCAGTGCCTGGCGACGTCTATCCTCGGAGGGGAGGAGGACAGAGATCTGTCAGCGCCATGGAGATCAGGTACAACATCTACAATACCATGTGCGCGAACCAGGTCATGCTTCTCAGTACCGGCCACGACCAGCAGATGCTCGCCGAAGCATTCAGCAACTTGAAATTAGAGACCGTTGGCATACGTTCGCACGCCGTCTATGGTTCCATCCCTATCAACCTGCCCATGAGCTTCGGGACATCCAAGATTTTCAAGGAAACCGCAGTCGAATGTGAGTATTTCATTAACACGTCATCGTATTGTCACCGAACCTTGTTCACCCATGCATATTGAGGAGTATTCGACTCTATCCCCGGTTCTGCAGTTCTACTCACGAAGCATTCACCCGAATCCTCATTTTTCCCCCTGACATATATGAGAAACCAATGTACTGACTCATGTTTCTGAAGTGCGATCATCCGGAAGCTGGTCTACCCGTGATGATACGAAGGCCAATGCCAGTTGTGTGTTCAGTGTGCTCAACGCGCTTGCCAAATCAACTTCTCGGCCCAAGAGGTTCGAGACCATAATGGGAGGACCCTTGTTGGGTGACGATGCGTTCATCATTCCAATATTCATGGAGAAAGATGTCTTGCCAGTCATGGCCAAATTCGAGTCTTTGGACCTGAAATTGCACGGGAGTTCATCTAGGTACAGGCGTATCATCTATCCGATTGGGAAAACCCCCTATTCCATTGACACGTACTATCTACGCAAGTTCCTCTCCCACTTGACGCATCTGGAGCGGCTGTGCCTCAAGTTCTCCTACAATTATGACGGCTTCTTCAACTGGCTAGGGTCTCAACCTTCGAACGAGGTTTACAAGGGTCCTTCCGGATTCGAACCCCCTAGCTCCCCAGCATTCACGTGCTTGCGCGAGATCGATTTGACCAAGTGCAAGATTCCCATTCATGACATGTTGAACATGATTCGCAAATTCTCCAAGACGCTACGGAAGCTGAGTCTTCATGATATGACCTTGACTGAAGACAGCTTGCCTCATGATTACGACCAAGACGTCGACGACGACGACGAGCCGAAAACTAATCTATGGGCTCAGTTCGTTTCGCAGCTTGCGCGCATCGACTGTGAACTCAACGAAGTCTCCTTCCGCGATCCCGCCCAGCCAACCGGCCATCGCTTACGCTACCTGCGGTTCGGTGACGACATCTCAAGCTCGCCACACTTCACTTATGCCGGTCCTTTCGTGCGGGAAAGGCTGGAGACGCTGAGCTCCAATATCCGATTTTCCCCTGTGTGCAATTGCCATCGGCACAGAGTTCCCAACGGTAAGTGCTCATTTCCTCGACTTTGCAGGCGGGGACAAGATAATTTGCCGTGGAATAAGCAGCTATCCGGTGGTTTTCCCGGGCAGTTTTGTCTGAATCACTGCTTATCCCATGTGATTCTGCAACGTGTTTTGTCATCCGTCTTCTCTGTCCTCTCTGTCCCCAAGGATGTATGTATCAGGTGCTGACGCGTTACAGACGAGCTCACCGAGAGCGAGATCGCTTCCGACGAAATGGATGATTCGCTTGACGAAACCGACGGCGACTTTGACGATATGGACGAATACGATGACTACGACGAGGATTACGGGTACCACCCCGGCTTCGATCCCTTTTATGATGAAGTGGATGAAGTGGATGAGGAGTTGGCGGCTGAGATGCAGGAGCGGGAGATGTTCCTCGCAGCTTTGCTTCAAGGAGCTGGAGGCTGAGATGCGGGAGCGGGAGGACATGTTCCTCGCAGCTTTGCTCCACCAGGTGTGACTTCGGGTACTCGATTCCCACGATCAGCTCACTGGTTCTGGCGTCCATTCAAAGTACCTATATCCACGCGACCTTGGTCGGAAGCATCGCGCCTCTGCATAAACTGAAGCATCAATACCAAGAATGTTGTTTGTCTTGTCCGAGCTATGACTACGCATATCGATACGGCAATAAGGTGATGATTCCAGCCCATGCTTGCTATTGTCAACCTCACTGCTCCCAAAGTCGCAGTCTTCTACCTCGTCACGGTGAAAACATTGTTACCATGGCCCAACATCAAAGAGGAATCCACAACAGAGCAACGCTGAGTTGGTCCCAGCCCGGCCCGTTGTACAGATCAAAGACTTGATCACCAGTTGGCTTGCCATTGCAACACCAAGCAAGGTAACCCTCGCCATAGGAGAGGTAAATCGGTACTCTCTGGTTGTTCTACAACCGTGGAATCAGCAACGCCCTACCTCCTGCATACGATGCAAAAAAGAAGGGCAACTCACGAGACGGTAAAAGTCCGAGTACTGGTGCTTCTCGCTCGAACAGCTCAGGACATAAGGCTCCGCGCCATTCCCTTCGCGTATAGTCCGTCCGCACCCACCTTGTATCGAGCTCATCGTGGTGACCTCGGCTTGGAAGACGGCACAGTTGCCGTTGTCGGCGATGAGCTGCCCGAAGGCATTCAGGCAGCCGATCTTGGCTGGCTGCCAGTCGTCGGGGCCCCAGCCGGCGTACGGGTCGCTCTCGATCACGTAGACGTGGCCCGGACCGGTCCAGGTTGGGTCGGCGAGTGACTGCGCGGTGACGAGGGTGGCGATGCCTAGGAGGGCGGCGGCGAGGGTTCGGAGGAACATTGTGGGTGGGCTGGTGGTGTGTTGATGTGGATGCTTGGTCTGGTAGTGTGAGGAAGAGTGTGCGAGATGCTGGTGATCGAGAGAAGTCTTCATGGGGCGTAGAGCCCTTTTTATACTATCAGAGTGCAAAATGTCTTACTGCACCTCGTACGCACTGTGGTTCCAATGAGCAGAGCAAACACGCTCCGTCACTAGACCGTACAACGCCCGCGAGAGCTGCTCCAGACATGCACACTGTACCGTGATGAGCCGTCAACATTGGACTATGAGTCCTCTGGGTCTCACAAGGGCTATTGGCCTCAGACGTTAGCGGACGAGTCGACGTCCTAGGGTCGAGGGCTAGGCTACAGACGACCTTCACATCAGGCTTCTAATATGGCGGTGTCCAGGGTTCCCCCATACCACCATTCACACTGTTGATCATAGACTTTTGTTTGCGGTATCCTTAATCTCGGCACGAGGTCATGAGTAGCAATATCCATCCTCCTGGCGTTTCGGATCAGGTGTAGAACACCACAATCTCCCTACCTCGAAATCCGTGAATCATTACCACGTCCCAAGGTCTCTTACAACTCGCATGCTACTTCAAGGGGTCACATTTCTCTGAATCAACATGCGCTGCGGAAGGCAATCGAGCCCGATACCACTCGTTTGACATGTTGCACTGCAGTTGAACGTGACTTAGAACCTCGTGTTTGCCTCCTCGTTATTCAACGATCAAACTTTTTTGCCCGTTCAGTAGCCCGGCCCAGGGTCCATCGTATTCCGAGCAACATACGCGACAACTCGCTGGCACCACTCCTCCACGTATAGTTGGTCGAGTTGAGGTAAAGACGGACTCGTGTGCCTATGGTTGCTGATACCATATGGCTTCTCCTCATCACCATTGCTTCCGTCTTCACGGGTACCTTCAGCTATCTTCAGTCTCCGGAACATATACTGAACAGACACGGCAGGTATTCCGTGAAAGTTACTGGCAGGCCACCATGTTGGGTCAGCTCAACTGTGTATTTGACGACATGCTCGCTCACACGGAACGCCTCTCCAGTAAGAGGACAAGACACTCACTCATGGCGACCATTGTGTAAGTTACTAAGCCCACCGCCCAGCAACTACACTGCTGCGTCGCGCATGACTCCGACTGGTGGCGCTCTGCTTTGAATGGATGTCAACCAGGACACCACCGGGATACTTGTCCTCTCTCCCAATACATGAGTCGACTCCCATCTGATCAACGAAGCCCTCGACCACTCCCCGCGGATGAACTGAACATTTGCCACTCGAAGTCAAGCCGCTGGCTTGGAAGCCTTCACTTCTAACAAGTAAGATATGCAGACCACAGCGTTCATAAACGTCCACACCCGCTGACACCGAAGAATCGAGATCAGATATCAATCTCCATTATAGCTACATGGCTAGACCTCCCTTGAGCAATACCCGACTAGATAACGCTTGTACGAAAATCATCTAGGACCTCAAGGCCTATTACACCTCCCCCTTCGCCACGTCATGACCGCCCGCCAGCCCCAGGCCAGCAAACCTCTCCATCAACGCCTCATTCAGACCTCCACCCGAGCCCCTCCCATTTCTCCCAATTACACACGCCCGGGCCCTTCTCCGACACCGTCGCCCGCGTCCGCAACCTGAAGCGGGAACTTTAGCTGGGTAGCAGACCTGTCCCGTCCGTCTAGTCACCTCATCCCTAGAAAGAGAACACGGATCCAAAGCAGAAAACGAAGCCCGCCGCGGCAGGCCCGATTGCTGTCGCAGGAAACGACGTCCTCTGCCATTACGCGTGTACCCCGACATGCCCCTGGAATTATAACAACTAACGGCGGGGGCATGCAGATGGGACAGCCCCCCAGACGGGACAGTTCCCCCACCAAAAAACAACATTTGCACCCACCCACATCTCTATCGGGATTGAAGCTGTAGATATCATAAATATATCGTCTGAATTGTCTTTTCTTGGTGTTTCTTCCAATGTGGAATTTATTAGGTGTCCTACAGCGGGATGTCCCGTGGCAGGGGTCGGAAGTTAGCACGTCCGGCCCTAATCTGAGGGGTAATGGGACCCGTGCCCCCTATCCCCTCTAACCAGGCAGAAGTTCTGCGGTTCTTTTTTTCTTTTTTTCTGTAAGCATTATAAACTTCAGTACGTCGAAATGGCGCCTTTATATACCAAAAAAGACCTTATTGAGGCGATAGCCGCTGTGAACGGTGACGATCTGTCCCTCTGAAAGGCTGCCCAGCGCTATAGAATACCAAAAACCACCCTTTCTCACAAAGTCAAAGACTCTATGATACCTATAACTTACACTCAGCGTGAAGGACATGCTCACGGATAGAAAATAAGCCCTGCTCAAGAAAAGAAGGTAATTTCATGGATTCTGTACCAAGAAAAGGCCGGCCATGCCCCTACTCACGCCAATATTAGGTTCATCATCCAGAAGATCCTATAATTCCAGGGAAAACCGCCTTATCTTAGGGGCTATTACATGCGAAATTCCATCTGCCGGAACCCAGAGATAAAGACCAAAATAGGCAGAAAATTTGACTACAAACGTATCAATGCTGCCATTCCCGATAACATCCATGACTATCATGACCGCTACACAGATTTCGACTTTATCAAGCCTGAGAACCGCGCAAATATCAATAAGTACGGCATCATGCAGGGCCGGTAGTACATATGTCCAATCCAAGTGTTTTTCAGACGGCTAATCAGGGGGTTATAGGTCTGATGGCCTTATAATAGGCAGTTCTGGCTCAAAAGGGGCCAACGTCAAGTCCAACGATGACCGCACGTGGACTACCGTGGTAGAATCGGTCACTATCACTGGGAAAAAGCTCCAGCCGCTGGTTATCTTCAAGGCGAAGTCGATACAGACGCAGTGATTCAAAGAGCAGCTTGTTCTCAAGCATCCCGGGGTGGCAGACTGGATAGTGATTTACTCTGCCAATGGCTGGTCCTTGAACGCGATCGCGCTCAAATGGCTTGAAAAGGTTATTTTTTCTTATTTTTTAACGTTAATTACATGCTAAATAACCCCCTAAATCTATCTGCCAGATACTGACCTTAAAAACCCGGATGAGTTCCGCCTGTTGGTGCTCGACGGCTATGGCAGCCACTGCTCAGATGATTTTATGTATCTGTGCTATAAAAATAATGTTTATTTGAGCTTTTTTCCTGCCTATACGGTAGGTTATATCCTTGATTAGTAGTTATTCCGCTAATAGGGGTAGTCTCACATCTTCCAGCCCCTGGATCTGACCGTTTTTTCTGTGGTGAAGGCCGCCTATTGCCGCCTCATTAACCAGCTCGGTCAGTTGAACGATTCGGCCCCTATTGGCAAGATTAAGTTCCTTTCTTGCCTGGCGAAAGCCCGTGACGAAGCTACTCCTGCTATCGTGCGTTCGAGATGGCGTGCTGCTAGCCTTTGGCCCGTAAATAGGAACAAGATACTGGCAAACGAGCATGTGGTAAAGGCAGCAGAGATACAAGCAACAGCTGCTGCTATAATGAACCCTGAAATCACCCTCGATGCCCTGGAAGCCCCTACATCAGGACAGGATGTAGCCCTGATGTTATCAACAGTCGCGGAGACCCCTGAGCAACGAGCAGCAATACGCGCGGTCGCGAAGTCATACGATGAGATAGTGGTTGAGTTAGCCACCCTGAAGCTGCAAAACAAGGCAAAAGACGACAAGATCGAGCGTCTACAGCCTAAAAAGCGCCGTAAGGCCCCCAAGAAAGAGCCTAATTAATAGCTATAGAGGATAGGAGACGTTATTCAGGAGCAGATCAAGCATACGGAGGCCGCACGAGTGCTGATTGACCAGCCGGCGGAGAGACAACGACTTTTGCGCGAAGTGCAGAACCTGGAGACCGAAGAATCAAAGGAATCGCCCTCTGAGGACTCCCTCTCCTTTGATTCAACAGATTTAGAAGATCTAAACGAAGGGGTGGTTGTTGACGAAGAGGGCGAGGGGGTGTCTGACGAGCCGGATGATGAAGAGGAGGAGCCCATTGTGATGCGATCTCGGCGCCGAGAAATCTGCCAATCCGCGCGCTACCGCTAAAAGCACTAATATTGCTAAAAATACCAAGAAAAGGCGATTCTTTTGATATATATACATTATCTATAGCCTCAATACCAATGGGGTTATATGTGGGTGCAAATGTTGTGTTTTGGTGGGGGAACTGTCCCATCTGGGGGGCTGTCCCATCTGCATGCCCCCGCCGTTACCCACGCTGCGCCTTCGGTAGACGGGATTCCGGCGGCCTACTCGGAACTGCCGCGGCTGACGCGACGGCGCTGGGGTCGGCGCCATGGTCTGAAGTCGGGGCAGTGGCAGAGGCAGGGACAGAGGCTGCTGCGCTTCTAAGGCCGCGTCCTCGGACGCAACAGCGGTAGACACCTCTGGCTCGGAGAAGCTGCGCGGCCTTGGGAGGCTGGCGGAGGGCAGGGAGAGGGGCTCTAGCCATCGACTGTTCGAGCCTTCGGCGCGACTGGAGTTGTGCGCCTGGGTATGGGCGTTCATGCCGGGGACTCGATCGGGTGCTGCTGTTATACTGGTTGGTAGAGATGGCTTGAATAGGGGATTGTGGATTGACCCCATTGCGAGCACGAAGTATCTGAGGTTGATTTGATATGGGAAGTCTGGGGATATTGGAGTAGTACCGGTAAGCAGAGATACAAGATGTGCGCAGTTAAAGGCAGGATTTTAATTTGCCACAGAACCTTGTGACTCGAAACTCGACACTGGTCGAAAGATATGAAGGAATACATGGTACCGCTGGGATAATGGCTTAGTCCGCTTCAAAGGTCGGAGGTACGACAAATAATGCTTTGTCGTGAAGCGGCGCAAGGCCAACTTGGATTTGTCATGCACGGAGAGCCTACGAGCCATCGTACTTATTTCTTTGTTGCGTTCTCTCGGGCTGGCAATGTCTTGGTGGCACTCGTGGGTGACTGGGGCTGGACATCACAACCGTTTCTGCGGATTGTCATCGACGGGGTCATGCAAAAGAGTGAGGACTTCCAGAGTCCGCAAATCCTTCAAAACCAACACGTTCGGGTCTAATATGGCATCGCCCGAGACTTGAGTGAACTGGTGTCTGTTTGCTTGTGGCCAGAGAGCATTACCGGAGGTCTTGTCACCATTCGATCAAGGTCACAACCATTAGAAGAGATGTGGCTCCTTGCATTCAGAGCGGCATCTTATTAGGATCAAGCTAGTTTTCATCTTCCCAGCCAATTGTCTAGAGAGCCATGACACCAATCCTGAACTCCCCTGAAATGCGCCCAAATTTGACCCTGCCTGCGCCACGACCATGGTCTCTCCTCGAACCCTTGGCAGCCTTCCCAAGTCCACAGGGATCAAACCAGTAGCCAGATAGCAGGTATCGTCGCCAAAGCCATCCAACTGGATAACAAGCAAAGAAGAAGGGTAACTGCCGTGAGAGAAGCAACGTCGAAGCGATCATTCCGGTCGTTGACTCTTGCGAAGATCCGGTCACGCCAGGGACTCTGCAAATGAATGCCCTCCACCATTTTCCCTAGGCATAAACCAGGTCCTGACGGCGTAGAAGAAAGCCTCGAGTGTGTGGAGCATCATATCGACAAGACACTCTCGCTCCGTGATGGTGGCCTGGATCTCGAAGCCACTGTCAAAGGCGGGGGAATGCCGGTGTAGATAGACCCAGGTCGCTGGGAAAGCCAGGTGCACTCTCATCATCGTCCCGAATCTTGACAAATGCCAGGGAAAAGTGTCTCCAATGAGGAGTCACCCCTTACATCTCTGACGTGGGATCTGCCAGTTTACGAGCCTCCTGGTTCATTTTGCCCGGAATGTGATACCAGTTGACCGCCACGCGAACGTCGTTGCTCACGCCTGCTGCCATGCGGTCCAGCTCGTTCTGTACGTCGGCAATGATGTCGCTGCTGCGGACAGCCTCGCCTTTCTTGGTCCCCTTCTTGGTCTTTCGGTCGCGGCGACGGTATTCCTTCCTTTCCGTATCGTACTTCCACTGCGCGATATGGTTGCAAAAGAGGTCGATTAGCTCCTTGGAATGGGTTGCTATGATCAGACGAAAATCGTTATTGTTGTAGTTGCGGCTGACGAGTGAATTCGCTTCCGGCGTGTGAGATGTACAGATCGAGTCTTCCTCAGAGCCTTGATTGGCCTGAGCCGGCGGCTGTCCAGGCTCGACAGTGTCGAAAGGTCTCTCAACATGATAAGCCTTTGGAACCTGGTTGGCGGGAGTGGCCTCAACACGCGCTCGGTCGTATTCAGGGGTGGGAGGCGCCGCGAACAATCCATCGGCGCTTTGGTGTCTGTCGTTGGATTCCTTGTTGGCTTTCTTGGATCTGCCGTTCTTCTTGTTCTTGGGCTTGGACCTGCTACCGTGCTTGGGACTTGGCTTCTTGCCGTTAACCAGGCTCTCTCCGGCGTCTTCCTTCTTGCCGTTGATCAGGCTCTTCTCCGCGTCTTCACAAGCTGCCTTGCGATCCGGGATGATCTCGTTCTTTACGATCGTCAAAACATGTCGTGCAGCATGTATCTCGGCGCAGCGTCTGGTGTTTGAGTCCCCAATCAGATACATGGGCTGAGAGTGGTTATACTTTGAGTCTTTGCCGAAGTACATACCCAGTCGTGCGATGCCACTGCCTTGTTCGTTGTGCTCAACTCCTTTCTCTCCGTCGATGTAGACAATGATGGACCTCTGCTCAAGGAGGCGCGGGCTGGCTTCGGCCACACTGAGGGTATCGTGTGCGGGATGGCATTGGGCATGCTCATCAAGGGTACCGGTCAGCCAAGTCAGTTGGCAATGCTCGCAGTAGTTCAACCTAATCTTGTCGGGGGCCAGCGGGGTGGGAGCCTTGAATTTGATATAACGGAACTTGTCGGCCTCGTCCCAGACCTTCACCCCCTGGACTTGCTCGTCCCACTGAGGGATGAATCGGGGATCCCACTTGAAAGTGCACGAAATGGACATCAGTTCGTCAAACTCGGTCGCACGAGTGAGGGACTCGAGGCGGCTGTCGTCGATATCTCGGTGGGACCAGGAGAAGGGAACCGCATCGGTGGTATCGGTGGTTACGAATATTTGCTCGCCTTCCTCAGCTTCGAGGCTTGTGATGATTGCTTCAGTCTCGTGGTTGGTCGAGTTTCCATTGACCTCGGGGGCCTCGTGGGTGGCCTGCACCTGGTATTGGCTACATTTTTTGCAGCCGAATTCACACTCTGGGCAGATGGGACGATTGTGTGCCTTGCATTCTCGTTGCTTGAACACGGAGTCGATGAGGTTTTCCATGTGAAGGTCGCGGCGGGAGCTGGCACTGTCATTCGCCAGCCGCGCCAGGGGCGGCGGCGAAGACGGGGTGATAAACCACACGCTCATGGTGGAATATGGCAAGTGGGCGGGCGAGAGTCGTGAAACGAGGTGGTGCATTTGGCTGTCAAGTTTGAACCTGCAAACAGGTGGTGGTGATAGGCGATGCACCGAAAGGAAGGAATTGACGAAGGAACCTCGCCGTTGCAAGAATTGAAGAAATTGATGAAGAAATCCCGCCGTTGCAAGAATTTGAAGCAATCGACGAAGCAAGGTCGCCGTGCAAGGAAGATGTTGTTGAAATAGAAGTGGAAGAATATTTTGAGTGCGGCGGCGTGCAGAGGGGAGGTCCGCAGAAGGTACGGGAAGAACGCGCTAGACAAAGATGAGATACATGTACTCAGGCCCCTATATATGCGCAAAATCTGCAAGCAAACAACCAATTCAGACCCTGCAAACGTAGAGGACAAACGGCTCCAAGATGGGATATGCACATTCTAGGTGCTCAGGGGCTCCGCCAACCTGTCCGTGGTGCATTGTAGCCCTTCATGCAACGAGCTTGAACGTCCAACTTACCAGAAGACCACATAGGCCTTTACTTAGATGTAGGTAGATATATAAGATCCGTCGTACTGGGGGGAGTACTCGGATAGCCGTCTAGGAGTTGTATCACCAGCCGGCCCCTGAGATAGTTGTACAGTTCAGGTCAGACCATGCCCCCCAGAGCAGACTTGCCATGTACACTCAGCCCTCATAAGTCTCCGTACGCGCATGTTGGCACGATTCCAGACCACCAGTAGGAAAGTTAGAAATACTGGGATAAGCGCCTTGGAATAAGCGTTAAGCATGATAAATAAAGATCAAACTGCTTATTCCGGTGTGTTTATTCCGATTTTATAAATATACCGTTGCTTGCTAGAAGGGTCGTGTACGGAGACTTATGAGAGTTCAGTGTAAAACACCTCGGCCAAGGCTTCCAAGAGGTGGGCTGGACCCGGCCATAATTAGCTATCTCGTGAGTGTGGCTGAAGTGAGCTGGCATAGACTTCGTTGATATACCTAGGTAGGCAGCCAAGCCGTTTTCTACCCTATGGAACCATTTGCGATTTCTTGTTTCGGAGATTTTTCTTGGGATCCTGCATGTTGGCATGAGCTTGGGGTTCATCGTCGGTGTCGTCATCCCCTTGTTCGACCTTGACCGCGTCGCTCGTTTCGTCGCTGTCCCTTCCATCTTCACTCCCCTTTTCCGTACCAGCGCCCTCCCTTCCTCTGAGGACCTCTCGCATGATCTTCTTGCCTTCATCCATTTCACCGTTCATGGCTCCACAGCCCATGCACTTCCAAGTTCCGAGCTCGGAGAGGCTCTTGATGCCAGGAGGAGCTTGTCCGTTGACGAGTCTGCATTTCTCGCATATCAGGACGACGCGGTTCTTGGGCGCCGTCTCGTCTTCACCGAGCATCAGATCCATAATTCGATCATACCAGCGTGGTGGGCCTGGATTCATGTCGTATTGACCCATAGGTAGAGGACCAGCATTTGGCGCGAATTCCTCGGTGGGGTGGTGTGGCGATGGGGCCTGAGGAGGTGGCATCGGATATGGGGCTTGTCGACTTTGCGGTGTGCCCGGGGCTGAAGGGGGTCTCTGGATATTCGCGGTTGGCGGAGGAGGAAGATTTGTTCGACCAGTACTCTGACGCCCTTTCTTGCCAGGGCCTTTCTTCTGTTGAATTTGGCCCTCTTCGCCGGCGTCGCCTCCCTTCTTAGTCTTCCCGCGTTTCTCGCCCGATCCCCCGTACTTCTCCAACAGCTCGAGAGTCGAGTCATATCTGGTGGCATCTTTCAGTTTCTGGATGGTCTTGGCCCGCTCAGCTTGCTGGTCTTTCAAGCGAGACTCGAGGGTATCGACACGGAAGCTGAAATAGGCGTTCGTTGCAGTTCTTATGAGGTAGATGACCACGGGGCCGCCGGCCATTCCAGTCCACTCCCATGGTCCCAGATTTTTCCATCCCACAACCAGAGTCAAGACGATAGCGTAGACGAGATAGGCAAAAGCAAGGTAGAGAGTCCAGAGGACTTTGACGCGGCGGGAGTTGGAGCGGAGGCGGTCGAGCTGCGACTGATTCGCAGTGATCTTGGTAGAAAGAGTCGACAGAGTCTTCTCGAAGGAGGCCGGGGAAGAAGAGTCCTTGCCCTAAGTGGCACGGCGAGTCTCGTAAGCATTACCAAGAGCAAGATAGGTTCCAAAGCAGAGTCTGAATCTGGCTTCAGAGTTAAGTGGTGACATACCTTCCAGGGCCAGAAAGAAACCATGGTGCCAATAAGAGAAAAGCTACAAGGGCATGCCCATTGTGTGTGTAACAGAAAGGTCTGGGGAGAGGTGAAGTGTCCAATGAGGTAAATCAAGTATGAACCCGGTGGAAGAGAAAGCAGGGAGGTTTCGAGAGTATTCAGGTAAAGAATCAGAAGGGTGAGGACGGCTCTGTAGAGCACACGGTGTTCGAGGTAGTGACGGTGTTCAGCAATAAGGCATTGTGCATAGCAGAGCTGGAGCTGCTGAAAGCCACCAAATGGATCGTTGCACGATGATGACGATGCATGTGACCAAGAAACGCACGAGTGAAAAGACGAATTCACATCTCAGCCACGGGCCAGGCCACTTCGCGCTCTCCAGCCTGGCAGCCCGGGGAGGGGGCCCCTGTAGAAGTACCTGTGCGCAGGTGTGGTCCGTGGGAGTTTGGGGCTGCATGGCGCCAAGGCCCGCCTAACTCCAAGCCCTGGCCCCTTGAAAATAGTTGCGCGGCAGCCTCCCTAGCGCTCCTCCAGCTGGGAGGCCCTGTGAAGGAGCCAGGCTGGCAGCAACGTTGTCAAATGTCAAACCCACTTCAACACCCAGTGGACGCCCTTACGAGCATGCTCTGCATACCTATGAAATAATAGCATTTCCTTCCCTAATTGTCGCTTTGCCTTACCATACATCACACGCTCCTTTACGTCTTATTCGTGTCTTCTCCCTGTACCTCCGAGCAAGTTGTTCGGTTGTTGCTAGGTCCAAGTGTGCCCATTAGTAGGTATTGCTTCGAACGCGCATGGCCTGGAGCCGAGTCGCATCCATTGTGGCTGGAATGTGACGATCCTGAGCCACCATGTTCTCTGTAGGTTCCTATACCCTATAGTATTGCCCTTACAGCTGTGGGATGCCTGGTTAATCCGAGTAACTGCAGAGAATCAAGGGCGCAATCGACCGCGGCATAGCCGAGGAGCAAGCTCGCCAGAAAGCCTTCTCTGATCAACGATCCAACACCGCCTCTCCGTCTGCCTCTGCCTCTGCCTCCACCTCCCGCCCGAGATCCGTGTCGAGGAACAGCAGCACCAACTCGCCCGCCAAGCGGAAGGCGAAGAAGCCCAGTCAGGATGTATCGAGTAACGACAGCGCCGCAGATCCCGACCCTGCCATCTTCGAAGCTGCCTTTGTCCTGGACGATGACGACGCCGATGCGCCGAGCCGAGCCGGCACCCCAATGCCTCCTCCACCTTCCAAGGAGCCGAGGAACGATGCGGCGAGTGAGGACACCGAGAAGAACAAATCAGCCGGAGAGCACAATGGCGAGAAGAAGGAGGCTGGCGCCGAGTCAGATGAAAAGTCCAAAGACGCCCCAACTGCTGCGCCAGCAGAGTTGCCCCCACAGGTGAAGACCAGGTTGCGGAAGTTGGAGAAGCTGGAGTCTACTTATCCCGGTCAGTGACTACTCTGCTTCGGTGGACGCCAGGGCGCTGTACTGATTATTGTCTCGTATTACAGAGCTTCTACGGTCTTACCGAATCGCGCATGGACGCGCCACCTCCATCGAGCCCTTCGAACGGGCTTTGCGCGAAAACACCCCCTTGACCACGATTAAGGATCCGGCCGCGCTAGTCGAGTACCTCAACCAACTGAACCTGAAAGGCGATATGATCATGGACGAGTTCAAGCGTGTGTCGGCAGAGAAGGAGACTTTCAAAAAGAAGTTCGACGAGGCCGATAAGGAGCTAGCCACACTGAGGGATGAGGTCGCTGCGCTGAAAGCTGCCAAGGCGGAAGCGGTACCGGCGGAGGCGGAGGCGGAGGTGGAGGCGAAGGCGGAGGCGAAGGGGCGGGCAGATATCAGTTCAGCTGACAAGAAGAGCAACGAGGAGACGACGCTGCAACCCACCTCGCCATCGGCAAGCAAATCACCGGTATCGTCCATATTAGGGGTCTTCTCCCCAAGGCAAACCCCAGTTTCCACTAACGAGAGCAAGGATGCGAGCGAAGACATGTTTTCTTACGACGATGAAATTCCACAACTTCAGGCCGAGGTCGCGTCGAAATCCGAAGAAATTGCGAAACTCACTTCCGAGGTGAGCCTATTGAAGGAGGAATTGTCCGTCGCAAAGGAGAACAGTGCTGGACTGGTCGAGAGTCTCGAGAAGGCTACACGCGAACTGAGCGAGTCGAGAGACAACGCTGCCGTCCAGGACTCTGTCCATACCCAGTTGGACGCAAGGAATATCGAGGTCAAGTCGCTCACAGAAAAGCTGGAAAAGCTGGAAAAGACACAGTCACAACTACGAGATTTAGAAGCGAGCCTTCTTAAGAAGAAGTCTGGTACAGCATCCGCGGTGAAGGATCAAGAATCGAAGTTGGAAACCTCCAATGCCCAGAATACGAAACTCGAAGCCGAACTGAAGGAGCTCCGCGAAGCGAAATCCCAATTGGAAAGGAAGCTGGACGTCTTGAATGGCGTGCTCGAAACGTTGAAGAAGTCGCAATCCGAGAGTGAGAGCAGGATCGGGGACTTGAACAAGCAGATTCAGTCAGCGCCGAATACAGCGGCATCGACATCACTGGAAGTCCCTGCTGCGGCTGGCACACCCGCGGCTGGGGGGTCCAAGAAAAAGAATAAGAAGAAGAAGAAGGGCGGCGCTTCGTCTGCAGCGTCCGAAGCTACCCCTAGCGAGACTTCTGAGCAACCACAGCCGTCTCCTCTCGAGAGCCCCGATACGGAGGCTCTTCGAGCGGAAGTCACGCAGCTCAAGGACGAGATCACACAGAAAGATACCCAGATTGAGCGGCTCTCAAAACAGAAAAAGACTGAAGAGGATCTGCGAGAGGAGATCGAGAACATGCAGGAGAATCTCATCAACATTGGCCAAGATCATGTCGAAGCCAAAGAGAAGATCAAGAGCCTTGAGTCTGAGAAGGCGGCGCTCCAATCGCGAATCTCAGAACTGGAAAAGGAAATCACCTCCCATACAGCTAATGCTGAAACCAGCTCCAAGTTGAAAATCGAGTTCGACTCCGTGAAAGCTGAGTACGACGAGCTCAAGATCAAATCACAGACGTTGCAGTCGGACCTGGGAGCAGCTCAGCAGCTTGCCCAAAGCCGCTACAAGGATCTTACGGATCTGCGCGAAGTCTTGACCAAAGCCCAGCCCGAGCTCAAGAGTTTGCGACAAGAGTCGGCTACGTTGAAAACAACCAAGGAGGAATTGGCTGCCAGGCAGAATGAACTGCGAAACCTTGAGAAGCGAGAGAAGGACCTCAAGAATGAAGTCAGCCGTGCGCAGCACTTGGCTTCCGATCGTGAATCCGAGATGAGGTTGCTCAATGAAAGACTTGCCGCGGAAAAGACATCGCGTGCCAAGCTGGAGGATGAGAAGAGAACGGCTGGTCGCGATTACCGCCGCTCTGAAGCCGAGAAGGTGGAGATATCCGCCAAGGCAGAAAAGGCAGGCCGCGAGCTCGATTCGCTGCAGTCGGAGCTTGCCGCCCTTCGTCCAAAAGTCAAACAACTCGAGGACCAGGCTGCGAAGCTGCAGAAAGAGAAGGATGCCATCAAGGAAGCCAGCGAGCTCAAGGCTCAGCAATACAACAACGCACAAGGCCTTTTGGGTTCCATGCGTGATCAAACAGCGGAGCTGTCTGTGCAGCTGAAGGAGGCCCAAGGCCAAGCCGAGAGCTTGGAAGAGGAGCTCGCCGAGGTGCAGAAGCATTTTTCCGAGCGCACACGCGAGGGCGAGACCATGCGGCGCATGCTAGCTGACGTCGATGAGCGTGCAGACGCCAAGGTTCGTGAGATACGGTCTAGAATGGAGGCAGCAGTCGAGGAGCGTGATCGTATAGAAGATGAAACTTCCACGCTGGCGCGTCGCCGCGCTCGCGAGTCCGAGGAGCTGAAGAGCAAGGTCCGCGAGTTGGAACGCGAAGTCAAAACTCTTGCCAACGAGAAAGACGACCTCGAAGCCCGCGAGAAAGAATGGCGTCGCCGCCGTGAAGAACTGGAGCAAGTCGAAGGGAAAGCCACGGCCGAAGTGGAAGATATGCGCTCAGCCGTCTCAAACCTGCGGTCGGCTCTCGACGCTTCCGAGCAACAAGTTCGCGACGCAGAAAAGCAACGAACAGACCTACGCAAGCTTCTCGACGAGGCCAGAGGTCGCTACGAAAAAGCGAACAAGGAGCTCAAGACCGTGCAAGCCAAGTTCGGCGCCAGCAACGCTACCAACGTCGCGAGCAGTGGAAGATCTAGTAACGATTCCACGAGAAGCGGCCTCAATGGTTCCCCTGCTCCGGGTGCATCTGCAGCTCCGGATACCATGTACTTGAAGACCATCTTGCTGCAGTTCCTCGAGGTGAAGGACGAGAAAGTCCGCTCACAACTGGTACCGGTGCTCGGCAAGCTACTAAGATTTGATCGGTAAGTTGTCACTTGCATGTTCTTCGCGTGGAAGTAGTACTGACCTGTGATCAGTAATGACGAGCAAAAGTGGATGCAAGCCGTTCAGCATCTGGCAAAAGCAGGGAGATAGACTAAGGTAGTGGAGGGAGTCTCATGATATATCCATTGGCATGTAAAGATACTTGCATAGTATGGGCGTCACCTCATTCCGTCCCTGTACAATAACGGCCGGACATCTAGGTGTTTGGCCTAATCATGATATGAACGTCTCCTTCAAGACAAATGCATGTATCCACGATTGTGAAATACTTGCCCGGCCACGAAATTGTCAGCGGGTCTTCGTTCGGTTCACCTCGTTCTCAGGCCGAGGGGACGTTCTTACACTACAGTTGCTCAGCCCCTTCTGACTTACGCATATCGCACACTGGCAGGTATGATCAGGCAGTCTCAATGGTGTGCTCATCCTTAACAGTTGCCCGAACATCATGGTGAGCCGCCAGCTTGACATGAAAGAATGGTTCTGCATGTGCCGTATCAACCCCTACGTCCACGTGGTTTGGGGAAATCACCGCGACATTCGGTTGGTCTCCAGATAGATGACCTACCCTTCCAACGCGTTCCAAGCGAATACCGACTCCCTGGATACACTAATATTCCAAAAGTCTCCGTACACCCCTCGTTCAGCAAGCAAAAAGTGTATTGGTTATGAATGAAATAAGCACTGTGGATAGGCATCCAAGACAGCTTGCCAGATCGACGCTGCTTATTTCATGGTGGTTATTCTCTAAAACGAATATAGCATTAATATATCTAAGAATGGGTAGGGCCATGCTAGACGGAGACTTCTGGGGGTTGACTGTATGTCCATTTAGTGGTCGACTTGAGCAACGTCACCCAGTGGTTCGCATGGGAGCCTTACCGGACTGGTGACGAGCGAGGGTGTTCCCCCTTCTCACCCTTACTGCGTAGCGACCTGCCCTTGGACCCAAACGGTCACATTGGCCATGGGCTGTGCTGTGGTGGTGCATTCGGCATCCCGGGACGGCGCAGGACGGTTGTTCGTGACAAGCGCCCAGAAAACCAACTGCTTGCCATCATGCACGTGAATGGCCAACATGTTGTTACACAGCAGCAAGGGGCAAAGCGGGCAATTAACCCTACCTGTAAGCTTCAAGGACCCCATCTGCTTAAACTGAGCACACGTCCTGGCTCTGCACTTTACACATTGTCTCCTACGGTCACTGACCTTCAATTTCAGAGCGCTACACTTGTCCCACATAAGTTTCCGTACGCTAGCCCCCATTCAATCTTCTGACGAAAACAACAACGCGACACCCTCATCTTGCGATAAATCATAAAAAAATCAATTAACCATGGATATCAACGAAATCGGTACGGTTTTGAGTGGCACTCGCCAGCCAAGCAGTGAATTCACTTCGGAGGCGCGTGCAGGCATTATCACGGCGCGCACAGAGGGCCGCGATCGTAGGGATGTCGCAAGCGCCTACGGCACAGAACGCGTCGAAACCATCTCTGAGATTTGTTCACGGGCCAACACCACCAAAACCACATGCACTGCACAACAGAAGGGAACTCCCAGGCTTCTTTTGCATGTGTAAGAACGCTATCTAATTGATTTGGCTCAGAGGTTTCCTCGTCTCTCGTGAGAGGCGCTCAAAGCCAAAGCACGCGTCACCTGCCATACAGAAACCATCGTGAGGGCTCTCTGCCACCATGGCCTCAAGAAATGGCGCGCAGTAAAGCGAATCTTTCTCCCAGAGGATGACGCCACGAAATGGCTTACTTGGGCGTAAAAATACCGCACGCAGTGCACTCAAAGGGAACTAATAATGGCCCTCTTCTCTGACAAATATACTATTCAAAATGATCCCGATAGACCTGGCGAATGGGTCATCTGCCTCTCCAAAAAACGGTACTGTAAGGATTTTATGAACCCACAGAGCCACAGGAGAGCCCGTATCTCAATAATAATCTGGGGTTTAATGTGGTTATGTAATAACAAAGGTGGCATAGACAAATTGGTTTTCTGTAAAGGAGATCCGGATGCACCATGCGGAAGAGTGTCTGCCAGGCGCTATTAACAGGTCTTAAAGGAAGGCCTGCTTCCATTTTATAAGGTAGGGGACCCTTTTTAGCAAGATAATGCTCCTGTGCACGTCAAAGAGGCTCACTGGAGTGATTAGAGGATCACGGGATCTGGACTATCGACTGACCTCCTCACAGCCCTGATTTGAACCCCATGGAGCACGTTTGGACAGCTCTAAAGAAAAAGATAAAGGAAATAAAGCCTCATTTTTAAGACCTAAAGGACAATATCGTTCGCCAGGCATAGACTAGAGAGATAATCCAAGCTGCATAGTCAGAATTAGATCTCGACCTCCCGAAGAAGCTCATCAAATCTCTCCCCGATCGGATCGCGGCAGTGATTCGGACGTGCGGCTGGTACAACCACTACTAAACCGTTATTAAATGCATATTTTGTTATAATTTTCGGCCTTATGATGCCTTCGCAGTTGAGTAGTGAATGTGTTGGATATCATACCAGGCTGAGGCTTTCGGGGCTGAATGCGCTAATGGGTTTAGCTTCAGGGCAGTCAGCCCACCCTCAGGCCACCAGGATCCTGGCGCCATTATCGTATGATTATCTGGTCACCCTGATGGCACACCTGTACATATGGGGGCTTCTCCCCCAGAGATCTTCTTCTCTTTCCTTTCAATACAGAACGGTTTGAAATCTCACAGAATGTGGTGGTAATGGTGTGTAGAGGGCGCCGTACGGAGACTTGTGTGGGGTTAGTGTACCTCGACATCCGCTCCGACGACTAAGTTATCTCTCAGCAAGAGCCCCAACCAACCCAAATCTAATATCTCGCAATTGGCCCCGTAGAATCCGGTTGTCCTTGCGGATATATTGCCATCCACTATGGGACTGTACACTGAGCTTCCACAGGACGTCCAGGAGGTTGATGTGATTATAGCCGGAGGTAAGATTCAGTTACTTGGCCAGCGTACTGAAGCGTACTGAAAGCGGCGATTAGGCGGTACCGCCGGCTGCATCGTCGCAGCCAGGCTGGCCGACGCAGATCCCGACCTCTCCGTCCTCGTTATTGAGGAGGGTACCAACAATCTGGGGAACCCAATGATCTCCAAGCCGGCCTTCTGCTATACCCACGCATTACCTGGAGGCCAGACCACTAGGCTTTACAAAGGTATCAAGGAACCTAATATTGCTGGCAGAGAGATTCATGTCCACTCTGGAGCCATTCTTAGAGGCGGCTCTGCCATAAACATGATGATGTATACACGAGGGCAGCGATCAGACTATGATGCTTGGCAGACTCCTGGCTGGTCAGCTGATGACATGCTTCACTATCTGAAGAAGGTATTCTGACATATAGCCTAACTGACACACAGAGCTGACTTTATCCTACAGTTTGAGATTTACCACGGCCTTGGGCAGCAAGCCTATCATGGCGACGATGGCCCAATCCATGTATCCGATGGTAGGTTCAGGGCCACCAGGTCACTAAGGACTTTATCACAGCCACCGGGCAGTTATCATGGCCAGAAATCAATGACTTGCAGAGCATGGACGCGAATAATGGAGTCCAGAGAGCCATGTGGTATGTCTCACCTCACGATGGTATACATCAGGACGTCGCCAATAGGTACCTTCGCCCGAGGCTCCATGACGCTAAGTACCCTTAACTATATATCCTTATTGAAACTCAAGCTGTCTGAGTTCTTTTCGACGGATAACGGTCTTCGGGTATAGTATGTCGGCCGAACCCCAGATTCCAGCCAGAGAATACCAATTCTCGCCTCATAAAGGCCAAGAAAATAGTGGTCGTTTCCTGTAGCGCCTTCGGAACACTACTACTGCTGGAAAGATCGGGCATTGGCAAACCAGGAATCCTCGGTCGGGCCAATGTACCGCTCGTTGTAGATTTGCCGGGCGTGGGTGAGCAATATCAGTCTCACCATCTGCTCCTTTACCCATACAAGACGAGCCTTGACCCTGGGGAGACACTGGACGTGCTGGGTGGCGGCCGTGTCGACCCCGGAGAGTTGATGAAGAACGACGGGATCCTGAGCTGGAACGCGCAGGACGTCACCTGCAAGCTCCGCCCCAGCGCGGCTGACGTCGCTTCTCTTGGGCCGACTTCAAGGCAGCCTGGGATTGGGACTTCAAGGATGTCCCGAGTAGACCGCTGGTCCTACAAGCGTTGCTCAATATATGAGATCCCCCTTTATTTCTCTCGTTCCCGTCTCTCGTAGATATGTAATGGTTCAACGCACATGATCCGCTCAGCCACCTTGTCTAGCGCAATATCCCCCTTTCCCCGAGTTGTGAAGCCAGATTCTTCCACATGCAACCTACTGACAGCACACCAAACCTCTCCAGCTTTCCAGGAGATCCCACTTCCGTCCCAGTCGGCCAATACATCGCCGTATCAAGCTTTACTGTCTATCCGTACTCACGTGGTCATATCCACATAAGCGGGCCCTTGCTGGATGACGAGCCAGAGTTCGCCAGCGGCTTCTTTTCAGATACCGCAGGGCTAGACATCAAGAAGCGTAAGTACACCCAGCCCGTTCTATGCCCTAGGCTTGTATCCCAAAACCGGCATACTGCTTTTTAGATCCCATCGCCTACCCAAGCAACACCAAGTCACCACATACCTGCATATTCGTTGATGCCCTGGGGCCTGGACCCCGTAAGCCGATACTGTGATGACTGCTGACACAACCGCGGTAGACGTATGGGCCTACAAGGCCCAGCGCGAGATAATCCGACGCATGGCCTGCTACCGCGGTGAGGTGGCCGCCGGGCTCCCCCCCTTCCCCCCTCCAGTTCGGAAGCCGCTTGTAGGGACCACGACGACGCCAACCCAGCTCCCCCCTCGCCCGAGGCCACGCGACGCATCGCGTACACGGCTGAAGACGACGCCGTGCTGGAGAAGTGGCTGCGGGAGAACGTCAACACCACATGGCACTCCCTTGGCACGTGCCGGATGGGTGCGCGGGCGGAGATGGGGGTTGTCGACCCGGGACGGGGCGTGTACGGGGTCAGCGGCCTCAAGATCGCCGACATGAGCATCGCGCTGCAGAACGTGGCGGCAAATACGGCCAGCACGGCGATGGCTATCGGGGAGAAGGCGGCTGATCTCTTCATACGGGAGCTTGGCCTGGCCAAGCATTAGGGCTAGGTGAGCCAGCCGTGCAGGGCGGCGTCCGTATGTCTGTTATGCACGTGTTCTTATTCTTCCAATGGTGGAATCCATGGAAAAAAAAGCGCAAGTAGTACATATGTAGGTGACCTTGCTGCTGGATCTGGTCCTGAATATTTCTCGAAGTTCAACAAGTAATGACGTTCGTTACGCTAGGTAGTGCGCGACACGCGGTCTGGGTGCCAGATACCGCGTCTAATGCAAAATCCGTGAGAGTGTATATAGTCTAACTACATATGCCTTCGTTACAAGCGAAACCCCGTATCCTGCAAGCAGCCCTGCAATTAAGCTGTTCAAGTCTTGTAGCGACGGCATCATGTGCCCACCAACCCCTCCGACGCGTCCCAAGCGAATACCGACTCCCTGGGTATGTCCATTTAGCCTGAATAAGATCCAGGACGATGGGAACTTTGGGGGCTCAAATATTATACGCAGTAATCTACGCGATGGAACGGCAAGAAGTCTAGCTCTTAACGTCGCCAAGTATCGGGCCAACAACACAGATCCGCCAGTTCGCATCGGCCTTCGTCACCAACGCCATACCAATATACAGCTTCTTGCTCAAGGAAAGCCTCGGAGTTGACTACTGGTGGCTATGATGACAGATGGGCTCTTACCATACTGACGGCCACACCGCCGACCGTAGACGCCCGGCACAAAATTTGAGAGGTCCTCGATAAGGAGCAGGAATCGCGACTGGGGAATACGACAACGGATTCAGACCAGGCAGCCAAGACGAATGTGCTCACCCTGCTTCTGGCGTATATGGTACCCGAGGAGGAAGCTGGATCGCTTCGAGTATTCTGATCGAGTCAAATATGCCGTGTTACTGGGGTGCGTCGGCAGTGACACCAACTCTCCATGGACCAGAACCCAGGTTGATGATCAAGACGATTGGTCTCCGAAGGAGAAGGATTCGAGCTTGTTCGACTGTCAGATCCGGCAGCGGGGTATGTAGCGGCGACGAGTCCCTCAACTCCGCCTTGGCAAGCCAGGTCTGTCGTCACTGGCGCCGTACACAGTCGGTGATTGGTGTAGTCGAAGAGGCTATTCCGGCTTGGGCGAGTTACTCACCGTAAACGACAACGAAAGCTCGTGAGTGGTGAGTGGTGGCCTGGTCTTGCCGACGGTACAGCTTGGCATCAGCAGACATTGTGCTTATGCAGCTTGGCTCGTCGAGTCGTCACCCATGAAGAGAGGGAAAGGCAAGATGCAGTCCGTCTAACGGGCCAGGACCCCATGGGCCATACAGATCCCCAATCCCAGGTCACTACCCCAAGTTTCTGGGGCCGGCAGGACATCAATAGACCCCTGCTCCTACTCCATACCCCAGACTCACAATCAGGGTCTCTGTATGGTCATGGGTTGTGCAGAGGAACCCTGCAATGGGCATGCGAGGCGTGCCAGCTGCGTAGCAATGGTGGTCTAGACGATATGGTGTGGCCCTTAATATATGAGGGCTGGAGTATATCAGATGGTGGTCCCGTCGTTCTCAGCTCGCTCTCCAGGCAGAATATCAGCAGAAGAGAACCGCTCTGTGTTTTCAAGTCAAGGGTCAACACCATTGCTCGAGTTCGTTTACTCGTGCCTGTTCCGGGCCATCTTCGACACTTGATCCTCATGAATGCCAGGAGTGCATCACGAAGCCACAGCAAAGATGGTTGCCCTCATCAAAAATGCACAAACAGGTGCCTCCGACCCTATCCTCACACGTCTCGCGAATAAGGACAAGGTTTGCTGGTATAAGAAGGCCAACTTGCGCCTGCTCTACCTCATGCTCTTCCCGACATGTATGGGCATCGAATTGACCTCCGGGTTCGACTCATAGATGATCAAAGCTCTTCAGATAGTGCCTTCGTGGAACGCTTGTGTGTTCCATCTCTGCTCTGCGTGCGTGACGTCGGGGCTTCTTGCTGACAAGTGATGGATGGGTACAGACTTTGGTGGACCTGATGGTGCACTCAAGGGGATCATCTCGGCCGCGTACTCGCTTGGTGCCATTCTCTCGCTGCCGTTCATCGGTATCATTAACGATCAGTTCGGGCGTCACGGGTCTATCGCTGGAGGCTCATTGATCATGGTCATTGGTGCCCTGATCCAGGGTCTCTCTGTCAACGGTAAGCAAGGAGTCGTCTGTATACCTGGTAACTGAGCCATTGACTGGTTTGTTCAGCCGGCATGTACGTGTTTGCGCGTTTGGTTCTCGGGTTTGGCATTCCTACGTGCATCGTCTCGGGTTCCTCTTTGATTGGAGAGCTTGCTTATCCCAAGGAGCGCCCTGTTTTGACCTCGTTGTTCAACGTCTCGTACTTCGTCGGCCAGCTCCTAGCCGCTGGGATTTGCTTTGGAACGAACAACATTGCCAGCAACTACGCGTGGAAAATCCCGTCATGGCTCCAGATGTGCCCTTCGCTGGTGCAAATCGCCTTTGTCTTGTGAGAGCACCCACTACCTCTAACTTCGGAGTCATGACTGACCTATCAAGTTTCATCCCCGAAAGTCCGAGATGGCTGATTACCAAGGAGAGGAGCGACGAGGCATACGCTATCCTGGCCAAGTATCACGGTGAAGGTGACCACGAGTCCGAGTTCGTGAAGGCCGAGTTCGCATAGTTGCAGACCACTATCAGCATTGAACTGGAGCATTCGAAGAAATCATACAAGGACCTTGCAGCGACGAGTGGAATGAGACGACGGATGCTGATCAGCGCAGCCCTTGGACTCTTCACACAGGTTAGCAATGCGACTATCCACCGCCCTGCATGATCAGACAACTAACTGCAAATGTCTTACAGTGGTCTGGAAATACCCGTATGTCTCTTCGATCTACGCTGCTACCTTCCTTACCTTTGAGCGGCTTTTCTTACCCTTCAGCTTGTAGTCATATCGTACTACCTCGGTGACATATTGGACATGATCGGCAAACCCGATCCTATCTTCCAACAGCAAATCAACGTGGCTGTAAGTCATTTCTCTTCATTTTCAGAATGTTTGTGCCATCGGTATCCACTTCTTCCACCTTACGAGCTCTACGTGCCATATGTGATTCCAGGGGGTGGCTCCCATACCTGCCCTTGGCCCAAAGCCTGTAGATAATGCCCTGCTAACAGAAGCACCAAAGATCTCAGCATGGTACCTGATCAACGGAACCGTAGCGTCTCTGCTCGTGACCAAGTTCAAGCGCCGGACGATGTACCTTACCTGCACGACTAGTTTGCTATGCGTCTACATCGGCTGGACGATCAGCATGGAACGAGCCATAACCGCCGTCGATGCCGGGACTACCAACAATGCCGCGAACGGACTTGTCCTGTTCTTCATCTTCCTCTACAGCGCGGCCTACAACATCGGCTACAACGCTCTGACTTACAGTGAGCCACCCAGTGTAACGTCCTGCTTGCATGGCAATTGATGATATATGCCAGCGTTCATGGTCGAACTCTGGCCCTACGCCGAGCGATCTCGTGGCATTGCGTTCTTCCAGCTGTTCGGTCGCCTCGCGGGCTTCTTCACGACATTCGTCAACCCGATTGGACTTAAGAACGCAAGCTGGAAGTACCTGATATCTTACTGCTGCTTCCTGGCTTTCGAAATCGTGTTTGTCTACTTCGTAAGTGATTGCAAGATCTATCCGGTCCCAATTATGGTGATCTTCTGGGTGCAAACGTCCAAGATGGACTTGTCTCGGGTGCTCTTTGCTCTCGAGGCATGGACATTGGTTCCCTACTTTTCACTAGATTTTCTTCGAAGTAATATTAAATGCGAAACCAGCTCTTCCCGGAGACCTTCGGCCGCACTTTGGAAGAACTTGCTTTCCGTAAGTTCACCCGCAACTCGTGATTGGGAGGCTTTTGACTAACAACTGCTGCCAGTGTTCGAGGACAAGGCGCTTGCCGATGAAGCTGTACATGCCGTGGAGAAGGTTGTTGGATATGATAGAGCGCTTGACAGAGCGGAGAGAGACCCGAAGACAGAGACGGTTGAAGTGACCAAGCAGGAACTTTGAATGGTACGGCCCAATGTGTCTAGTCACATTTTAGATGCTGCAGGTCACCAGTGCTTGCGTAACACGAGATTTGGTCAATCACCTATATATAGCGTACCATGACAGCTGTTAATCAGTAAGACTATCTATCTGCACCATTGGCCAAGATGGGAAGAGTGAGGCTAGACAGCTTAAGGATGTACATCGAACAAGGTACCAGCTGTCTCAAGCTTCGAATACTGGGCCACGCAGCTTGGTGAGGGGGAGGGGTCAGCCAACCCAACTACCAAACCCATCGACAACATGACATCGTCTCAGGTCTTCCATGGGACCGTCATTCACTCTCTGGGCCCGGACCAGCTAGAGGTCATAGAGAATGGCTTGATTATCATCGGTCCAGACGGCGCAATCTCTGATCTGGCAAAGTCCATTCCAAGAGAGTTGTTCCAGCAGCATTTGTCTTCACGCAAGCCTGCCATTGAGGACTACGAAATCCACTACCTCGAGCGAGGGGACTTTCTCATTCCCGGCTTCGTCGACACACACAACCACGCCCCTCAATGGGCGCAGCGCGGTCTCGGCCAGAGCATGCACATACTGGACTGGCTGGACAAGGTCACCTTCCCCAACGAAGCCCGGTTCCGCGATCCAGAGTATGCGAGGCGCGTCTATTCCAGCTGCGTCGATGGCTTCCTCCAGCAGGGCGTCACGACGGCGTCTTACTATGGGTCAATGCATGCCGAGGCTACCAAGATACTCGCGGACCTGTGTCTCGAGAAGGGGCAGAGGGCCTTCGTGGGCAAATGCAACATGAATCGCAATGCGCCAGATTATTATCGAGACGCCACGGTCGAGTCATCGCTGAAGGATACAGAAGATTGCATTGCGCATATTCGAGCGATTGACCCTGAAGGTCACTTCATCAAACATGTGCTCACGCCCCGGTTCGCTATTACCTGCGAGGACGCGCTGCTCGCTGGCCTGGGTGAAATCGCGAAGGCGAACCCTGACTTGCCCATCCAGACACACTTCAACGAGGCAGAGCAAGAGATGTCGTTCACCAAGACACTGTTCCCCAGCTTCGAGAACGAGGCGGATCTCTACGAACACTTTGGCCTCCTCACCAAACGGTCGATCCTCGCTCACTGCTGTTACATGTCAGAGTACGAGTTGGAACGCGTCAAAGATATCGAGTGCGGCGTGGCTCATTGCCCCATCTCGAACATGACTGTCGGCGGTGGCTTCATGGCCGCCCCGGTGCGCGAGTTCCTGCGGCGCGACATCAGAGTCGGTCTTGGTACGGACAGTGGCGGCGGCTTCTCGAGTAGCATCCTGGATGCGATGCGGCAAGCCCTTGTTGCGTCAAACGCGAGGGAGGTTATGAGCCAGGGCCAAGACAAGGTATTGTCGATTGCAGAGGTCTTCTACCTGGCCACTCTCGGCGGTGCCCGGGTCTGCTGTCTCGAAGATCGAGTTGGCAATTTTGCAGTCGGGAAGGAGTTTGATGCATTGATCGTCAGCTCGAAGAGCAGACGTCCCGGCGTAATGACCATGGTGGAGGGCGAAGACACCCCGCAGACGATCTTTGAGAAGTTCATTATGACGGGTGATGATCGAAATATCAAGCAGGTTTTCGTGCGCGGGCGCTCTGTGAAAGACTAGACAATGCCAAGCAGAGGGCACAATAGTTTGCAGAATCCCCTGGACCCGGTGCATACGAAGTCAAGGGCAAGTGCGATGGACGATAGGGAGAGGGTGGCCAACATGGAAATTGGTAATAACTATGTGACGCGTGGCGCCCGTTATACTTATTAGTATACTTAACGTATACTTATCTTAAGGTAGTCTTTTTATATCTTTTCATATATATTTAATTTTTATTTAGTTAATTAATAACAAAGTCACGTTATATTAGTATTCGTAATTATATCTAATATGTATTTAAATTTAAAGTATTATTTTAATAATAATATGTATTACCTTATTAAAACTTAAATATAATATATCGAGATTTTACCGCGCTTTATAAGACTTATTAAAACTATCTAAATAAATCAACTTAAGTCTTATATTATAACAACAAATATTTTATACTTAATCAAATTTTTTAAAAAGAGTTAACATAGATAACAAGCGAGCGGCAATTATAAACAAACGGCAACTTTTTACCAGCCACCTAACCTTTTCATCAAGGCTCTAAATTGATCAACCAACAATAATGTCATTGCGTTATAGCAAATCAGACTTACAGCTTGCTGTCCAAGTTAAACAACGCGACCCTCATATTACCATTGACAAGCTTTCTAAGACTTTTCACGTCCCATATAATACCTTAAAGGCTAGAATCGCCGGCCGACCATCACGATGCAATAGCATGCCTAATACTTTGGAATTTACAAATTCTGAAGAGAATGCTATTTGTTCCTTTATAATCGACCTGGATGCGCAAGCATTTCCTCCCGGTACAGTTATGTTGAAGATATAGCGAATCAATTATTGGCAGCGCGGGAGACTGGACGTGTCAGAAAGAACTGGACGCGGAACTTCATCCAACTTACACTAGGCCTTTGGACACGTTTTCATCAGAAGACAGATTACCAAAGGGTCTTAAATAAAGATCCAGATATGTATTGCACATAGTTCTGCCAAGTTGCGGCAGCAATCGCAAAACATGGCATCCAAGACGCGGATATTTATAACTTTGATGAGGCTAGGTTTATGATGGGCATTATTAGGTCCGGTATGGTCATTATAAGCGACAGAAGACATGACAGGCCTAGACAAGCTCAGCAAGGTAACAGGGAATGGTCTACAGCAATTTCTGCTATAATACCAATGGTTGGGTGGTCCTGTCATTTATTATTATAGCGCAAAACCCACCTCGCATCATGGTATTGCGATACGACATTACTACGCGATTGGAAGGTGGCCGTGTCCGACAACGGGTGGCCTATAAACGAGATTGGTTTGAAATGGATTCAGCATTTTGACAAGTATACCAGACCGTGAATGACTGCTGGTAAACAACTCCTCATCCCAAATAGTTACAAAAGCCACCATTCTCAAGTTTTTAAAGATTATTGCCAGAACAATAGCATTATTTGTTGGAACAGGCTTGAACGATCAATCATAATACTCGAGTATGGGGTCAAGGTCATGATGTTGCTGATGGTTGGATTGAGAGGAATCTAGCTGGACTCGAAGATCTGGCCAAGTGCCCTCTCAATCCACTATCTTATCTTATCTAATCATACATGTGGGTCCTGGTATAGATGGTTTGCAGTCTGGAATCGCATGGATCCAACATTATTACCCTTTATATGCCTGCCTACTCGTCACACAGGCTCCAGCCTTTAGATATCAGTTGTTTTAGCCTGTTCAAACAAGCTGACAGTCGCATGATTAAGGATCTCATCTGGCGTCATATAGCCCACATTTTGAAGGAGGACTTCCTCACAACGTTTTGTGAAGCACACAATGCTGTAATGACACCAGGAAACATCCGAACAGGTTTCAGTGCCACTGGCCTTGTTCCTTTTGACCCAGAAAATGTCATTTTAAAGCTGGATGCTGTCACTATCGTACAAACACCGTTGCCAGACCCCAATCTACCACCCACTACTTGGACTTTGAAGACACCTATTACCATTAACAAAGCGGTAAACCAATCGGTTTATATCCGGAATCAAGTCAGAAACCACCAGGGAAGCTCACCTACATCAATAGTTGATGCATTAAGCTCGTTTTCAAAGGCTACATACGGTCTTATGCATAAGGTCGCTTTGGTTGATTCCCGGGTCCGCGAGCTAGAGAATGCCAATCACCTACTAAGTAAACGCTGGAGGACAAAAAACAAATGTCTAGTGAAAGAAGGAATACTTTCTGTTGAAGATACAGTAGGTCTCCAGGCTGTAAAGGATGGTAGTGAGCTGGCAAGACAGGAAATGGGTGAAGGTAGTCTTCATCCAAGGAGGGCAGCAGCGCGTGAGCGACGTTGTGGCGTTTGCGGCAACACTGGCCATAATGCGCAAACTTGTATAATAGAGATGGAAACGTCTGAAGAAAAAGAATCTGATTGATTAGATTAAATTAAATGCGTTGTGGTCGAGTTATTTGACATGTTGGTTAGAAGGTTAGTGAAAAGTTGCCGTTCGCTTGTAATTGCCGCTCGCTTGTCATCCACGTTAATGTTAATATATTTTTAAGCTTATAGTTTAAAATACATTTATTATAAAAAAGATATTTATTACTTTAAATCTAATATTGAACAATATATTAACCTTAATGATTAAAGTTATAAATAACGTTTAAACATAAGTTTTTTTTTATTAATTTAACTAAGTAGCTAATTAAAATGGTTTAAAAAACTTGCAAAAATGTTTAAAAATGGTAATTTAAATATAAGTTTTAATAGCAATATTAACGCTTTATTTAAAGAAGTAAGCATTAACCGTAATAAACTTCGTTAATATAAGAGCTTTTATCTTAATCGTTTTTAAAAAAAATCGACATATTAACCGATTATAATATAGTTAAAAAACGTTATGAATTTTTATTAACGATATAAATAATCTACTTTTTGAAGACCTTAGTTTAGTTAATATTTAAAATATAAGCTGTTATTCTTTTAAATATTATTACTTATCTACTTATTTTTTTCTTCCTAAGCTATTTATTTTAATAAATTGATTTGTTTGAATTTAAAAAAAGTTTATTAGTTTTATAATAAAGATCTTTAACTCGTTTATAAGGGTACTTGAAGCGGTAAATAATATAAGTTAAATTTAAATTTAATCATACGTTAGTTAAATTAATATTACAGATCTTTTATATTAAAAAGCATAAAGCAAATTTTAAAAGATAAGATAACATAAAAGATTTTGGTGGAATAAATAAATGGTTTAACTAGCTAATAAAAAACGTTATAATAGAAGCGTAAATATTAAGCTTTAATAATTAGGCGTATTTATTAATATTAATATCGTTATCAATAAATTTAATTAATAAGGCTTGCATAAAAATAGAATAAATACCGTTTAATTTAAAACATACCGTACTTTTCAGAAATTTATTAACGTCATTAATAAAATTTTAAACTTAATAGCGTTAAAAGATTTATATCAAGCCTTAAACGAAGCTATAAACGTATTAAAAATAAAATAAAACTTGATAATTTTTTTAAAGAATTGACGTTAAACTTTAAGTTTTTATTTAATAAAATAACTAGCGACAAAACTTTAAAAAGACCTTTTAATATTAATAGCGGTTTTTTTAACTTGTCTTGATTACAACATAAATGTTTTAAAGTGTCACGATGCCTGCGGCGTTGTGTGGTAATCTGGTGTTGTATTCCGAAAATAACAAGGTGAGGAAGGAAAGGGAAGCCTGCCAAGGTGTGGTCCCGTTCCTTATCTAATCTACAAGTGACCTGATGACTCAGCATCCAACCAGGTGGATGCAGCTGTACACCGTCACGTTAAGCATGACTTGTTATCATTAAAAATTAATATTAAAAAGATAACGGGCTTTAACTGTTTAATATAATCGGTATTAAGTATAATGATACAGCGCTACAATATTAAAAAAGTTTAAAGCATAACGAAAGGCCGGAAAACTCTTACTAACTAGATCCCTAATATTTTGCGCTAATTTAACTCGTTATTAGGGGATTTGGTGTGATGCTCGCTTAGGTACTAATAGTTCCAAACGCACGGACAATAAATACGGAGGAAGGTGAGAGAGGAGGGCCCCGAGGAGCAGGGGAAGGACGATACCCCCGACGCCGCCGGCGCTCCACACGATGCCGTAGCCAAGCCCTTCCGCTGGGCGAACCACTCGTCGATGTACAGCTGGCAAGGGCAGAAGGCGACGCAACCGCTGATGCCGAAGAGGAATCCCTGCGTCGCTATGAGTTGGGGCACGCTGGTGCAGAAGGAGCTCATGGCCATAAATAGAGAGGCGGCAAAGAGGCCTGCGAGCGTGGACCATCGCGCCCAGCGGGGGTAGAGGCGGCAGAGTACGAGAGCGAACGGCGTTGCTAGATACATGGTTCCCTGATTCCTCGTCAGGTCTCGTGCGCGACTAGGAAGCGGGTTGCTAGGCAGGTAGGTAGGTAGGTAGAGTCTTCTCACTGTGGTTGTAGTCCCGATGACGGGGATGTTGCCCGAGCTTGCGAATGGCTCGTGGGTGCTGTAGAACTTCTGGAACACACCAAACGGAATTCCGAATCCTGATAAATTTCCCGAGTCAGCTCACTGCAATGCATGGGTACGGGTACCGGTCCCCATTGAACGGGCGTGTAAGACCTCACCAAATATAAGAGCTTCGACTACCCAGCAAGCGGCCAGGAAGCGCCTTGCCTCCTTTCCCCTATCGACGGGTGGCAAGGCCGACTCGACGGCACTTGAAGCACGAGGCCCGATGATTCTGTTCTCTGCGTTCTCTGCGTTCTCTGATTTGACTCCTCCACGGGGTGTGCCTGCGTCGAGCTCATTGAGTTCAACTGATTCTCGAGCCATGGCGAACTGAACGATTGGAGGAAGAAACGCTCTTGACAAGACGAGTGGATGAGGTCCTCTCGGTTTGTGAAATAGGGTATGAGAGGCACAGAGTCTAATGAAGTCGGAATAGTGAATACCTGCCTTCCTATAGACAGGCTCGCAATGCGGGGCTTGTCCGGTGTAGCTGCCAGCCGTTCACCGCGTGTGCTTATTACAGTCGATTTCGCCATCCAACCACTGCTCTACTCGGCCCCTGGCCAGTCATCGGCCCTAAGCTCTGGGTGACTGGACCTGTCGACTAACTATCGATTTGCCTCGTCTGATTTCCTCACCGAGCCAGGTCTCCGTCTGTTCATCGTCGACTGCCTCGGATTGCCATAGACTGGCGTGGCAGCTCCGGGTGGTCGTCGACAAGCAATTCATCCATCTCTTCTTCGGGCATCTGTTGTATTTCTAAGTATTGGATTTACCGGGCCAGTCTTGTCACCGTCCAGTCTTTCACCGTGCTCGCCCGCTTTGAGGGCGGTACTTTACCATCTATCTCGTATCTCTCGTTGCCAGTAAGGTACATAGCAGTCAGCACCGGCTGAGAAGACGCGTCGCCTGCGGAAAAACACGTGCCTTCGGTGGTGATGCACGACCTCACAGCTTGGACCGATAGGTACGGGACCAGATGAGGCAGCTATGCTTGGGATGGCGCCTATGCCACGGTGAGTAGACTCGTACATTCATACTCTATTCGGATTAAACTACAGAGTGTCGGCAAACCATAGCTGCATCTTGTCACACATGCGTTTCGTTCGCTGGTGATTTACCTCTGACTGGAGCCTGCGTCGAACCCACGAGAAGGTATCCTGGCAGGCTTCATATTTACTGAGCAACTTTAGTAGGAGACTGCCTTCACTGGCGATTCCGAGTATCTGAGAGCACCCTGAGAGCTAGCTGGCTATGAGAGGACTCCTGAACGCACACGACGCGCTTGATCGCGCTTGATGGCCAGGGCGTCCTCCACGACGTTGCGACAGGTCGTCAACACTGTGCGCCAGGGCCAACTGCGAAATCTGATCAAGGCTTCCGCTAGATTCAAGGAGCTTGAATGAAACTGCTGAGACGAAGGCGTGCACAGGGTGAGCCGAAACGGATCGGACCTAGCAGCTCCAAATCATCGCATGGTCAGTGTTAGACGCAGCTGGTCTAGAATCCACACACACAGTACCTGCCGTAGCCCTTAGAACACTTCGACATGGAACTCTTATAGCCTGTATGGGACACCGCAGCAAGTAGATTGATGTCCAAACAGATGGAGGCGACTCCAAACTTTGGTGGAAAATTTAAGAGTGCACCAAGGTGGTCATCCAGACAACGACAGCTGCCCCTACCAAACGGGTAGGATATGTGCAAAAAAGGGTTTGAATTAGCATCTCTCAGTTTCGATCTGAGGACCTCCGGGTTGCATGTTTTGAAATCATGATTAACTCGTAGTTAAATCACAATTACGTTATATGAGCCCGGCTAGCGCATTGTTAGTTAATCCCGCTGCTCTAATAAGACAAGGAGCAATATATGCTTACCGCGCTTCCGCTGCGCCAAGATGCTTGTGGTTGATGATGTAATTTTGGAGCGATATCCGTATCCATATAGGTTTGACCTACGGAGCGCCAGGCGGTTGTTTGGCTGGCATAGGTTCCCCCATTCATTTGTCACGACCCCGTCTTGTGAGTCACAGCGCCGTTGCCTATGATAAGGTATGCCGAACTTCCGATATTCATGATATGCCGAATTTCCGATATCTCTGACATCCCGAACTTCCAATATCTATGAAATGCCGAACTCCCGTCATCTATGATAATAAATCCACTTCTATCTCCTAGACCCAGGAGAGACCCGTTTTAGGTGCCTAGCAGACACCATCCCTTCAGTGCCCGTTTCGGCACCAGGTAAACCCGTACCCATTAATACCCCAGTTCTAGGACAGTGATTGGGTGCATAGACCCTGTAGGGTCCATTGGTGCTGAAACGGGCACTGAAGGGATGAATTACGGACTTACAGCCATGACCAACGTAAGCATCTGGTCATCATGAGCACTACAGCTTCCCAACGATGAACAAACAGTTTCTCCTAAAGTTATACTAAAACAATGCTGTGTTTCGTCTTGTTTGTCACTCTCTCCCTCTCTCTTTCTATATCTCTCCAACCCTAGATTTCATCAACAATAGTACGACATCTTTTCATAGAGTTATCAAACATGGCACCACCTCAGATCGAGAACAACAAATCCCCGGGAGACCCGGTGCCAACCCTCGCAGAAGGTCAACCTCTTCGAAACCCTGCAGCGACCCTCCAGATCAGGTCTCGCTTTGGTGGTGGAGGACTTGGGTTGTTGGAAGACACTGCGCTCATCGAGACCTTGGCCCACTTCCCTAGAGAGCGAATTCCGGAGCGTGTTGTTCATGCCAAAGCCGCCGGAGCCTATGGCGAATTTGAAGTCACCCACGATATTTCAGACCTCACCGATGCAGACTTTCTCACGGGAGTCGGAAAGAAGACGCCGTGCCTTGCGCGCATATCCACCGTCGCTGGGGAGAAGGGTGCCGCCGACACCGTCCGCGATATTCGAGGATGGGCCCTGAAGCTGTTCACTCAAGAGGGCAACCAAGACTTTGTCTTCAACGACTTGCCGGTCTTCTTCATCCGTGATCCGATCAAGTTTCCGTCTCTCAACAGATCTCACAAGCGTGACCCTCAAACCAACATCCCAAACCCCAACCGTTTCTGGGACTTTCACAACCACAACCAGGAAGGCATCCACTGCTTGATGCAGCTGTTCGGTGCACGTGGTGTTCCAGAGTCTGTCCGCAACATCAACGGATATGGCAACCACACTTACAAGATTGGAAAGGCAGACGGATCGTTCAAATACATCAAGTTCCACTTCAAGCCCGACGCAGGTGTCAAGAACATGCCAGCTGCCAGAGCTGCAAAGCTCGCAGGTAGCGACCCAGACTACCACACCCGTGACCTGTTTGAGGCTATTGAAAGAGGCGAGTTCCCAGCGTGGACACTCAACTTTCAAATCATGGACCCAAAGGAGGCAGAGACTTACCGCTGGAATATCTTTGACATGACCAAGATCTGGCCTCACTCCGACTACCCTCTCAGACCTGTCGGCAAGTTGACATTGAACCAGAACGTAAGTTGCCACCACGAGTCCAACCAGATTACGTGCTAACACTCTACAAGCCTCTCAACTACTTCCAAGACATTGAGCAGGCCGCCTTTTCTCCTTCGAACATGGTCCCTGGATTTGCCCCGTCTGCTGATATCAGTGAGTCTTGAGAAGTCGTTCATTCCGAAGAAAGCTAAACTAACGCCCCTATAGTGCTCCAAGCCCGCATGTTCTCCTACCCGGATGCAGCCCGCTACCGGCTCGGACCAAACTACCAACAGCTTCCACCAAACACACCTCTGAGCCGCGTCTACGCTCCATACCAGCGCGACGGCCCCGGATCCGTCAACGGAAACTACGGCTCCGACCCCGATTACGTCCGCTCGCAGTTCAAACCGCTAGGAAAGGCCAGATATCAACGCGACATCGCTCACGACGAATGGGTCGGCAAAGCGGTCGAGTACTCGTCCGAGGTCGAAGAAGCCGACTTTGAGCAAGCACGCATGCTGTGGGAACTGATGGGCAAGAAGAAGGAACAGGGCATCTTGATCGACAACTTGGTGGGCCACATGGGCAAGTGCCAGGCTGATATCAAGAAAGACGCCATTAGATGTTTTGCGCGCGTCGACAAGAGCTTGGGTGACGAGTTGGCGAAGAGGATGGAGGTCACGATATAGCGCTCTTTCCCTGCTGGGCGGGGTCCTCTTCCGCGTGAGCTCTCTGGGGTTTTCTTCGGGGAAGAAGACTCGGGGTGAGATCAGGCGCAGATGCTGCAGTAGTTGATGATGGGGATCTTCGCATCATGGCATCTTTGACCGCTCAAGACGCATTTCAGCAGATGAGCTGAGTCCGGCCGGCTGCCCAAGATAGACATGAGGATGACACGAGACGAACTCAATGGAAAGCCAGATTGATGAACACAAAGTCTTCAATACATCTTGAAGCGGTAACGTCATTTTCTGACGTGAGCATGCTACCTCCTGAACTCATATTCGCAAGATGCAGATGTGGCTGACGGGATTTGGCAGCAGCCGTCGCGTCGGATGGCACACTATCAAGGGGTAAGCTTATCCCGAACAATCCGCGCCCAACGTCGGCCGGGTGTGCAGGTATCAGGCTCTCGTAAATTCGGGCAATTGCGTGGTTGTAGCTAGCTGCCTCCTGTAGGAACAATTGCCACGATCCGCCAAGCTGAGGTGCTGTCAGCTTCAATGTTGTTGCTCCCTCGGATACTGGTCTCTCTACCTTACCTAAGTACGTGTTAAGTAGTGCACGTACCACGCAGCACGGGCTTCAAGTTGTTCCCTCTGGAGCGATTAAGTTTTTGACTCTCAGGAACGAATCCTACAAGTCGTCACCAACCTGTGCCACGCATCCTGGCATCCTCTCAAGTCGATCATTCCCGAGATGAACAGCTGGATCACTCGAAACTTTTAGACCAGGCTTCAAAATATTGTTTCATTGAGGATCGGTCGCCGACATAACCATGACGCCGGCCGCGCTTGTTGACAGTTGTTGCCAATGAGGCGAATGAGGCAAATGAGACCCCCACAATGCGACTCTTCAAAGACAAGCCTCATCGCCAACGACATGTGCTCCTTGCCAACAAGTGCAAAGCGTTGGTAAAGCAACAATATGCGAAATGTCGGAGCGTGCGCGTAATAAATGAAATTGGACCCCGTCATCTCATCCGTGACCCGGTGAAAGGAGTGAGATCCATCAGGGCCTCGACCATCGCAGAATAGCCCTTCCTGTCAGCCTACGGTGATTACCACAAGATTACCTATCTTATGCAGCACCCAATAGACCGGCACACCTGGCTGACCGGTGGGAAGCCGCTGATCTGAATGCATAAGGATGCAAGGTACCCGTTGGGGCTCCGTCCCGGGTCAGCCCAGACGTCACTGCGCGCCGCTGATCGCATCCTAGCAAATCCTTGCGACGCCGACGCGGCCCAAGGGCCAAATCCCAAAATTAGAAAACACCACCAACATCTCGCTCTCCAGAGTCCAGAGTCTGGACTCCAGACATGGTTTGGGTGTGTCGATGTTTCACCGTCCAGCCCCCGGGGGCCGGGACAGCCCTACCGTCAGCTGACGTACAAGCTGGCTCCTTGCGGGTTCTGCCCAAGGTTGACAACGCACACTTCGCCGTATGGTCACCCTTGCCGTGACCTATCCCCGCCAGGGTGGCATCTGGCATATCATGTTATTGCGAAAGCTCATAAATCGTGGGCTTGCCCCCATGGGTTTGTGAGAAAAAAGACCTTGCTCTCGGTATCTCTGTCTGTCTCATTCAATTCGCTCTCTACAATCACTTCTTCTTCGCTGCCACTTCGGTAGTTCATTGCCAAAGATGGCACTCCTTCAGATCACCAAGACCGTCGCTTCTCTAGCAGCGTGTGTGCTTCTCGCGAGCCCTGCCCTCGCCATGCCCGTGGAGACAAGGCAGGCCATTTCTCCCCGTGGTACAGGGAAGCGTATGCTTCTATGGCCGTACACGAACACCCAGGAGGTTGAAAGCGGTTCCTGCAAGACTCTGTCCACCACGGCGCAACAGCTGGCGTCGTCGAGTCAGATCAGCATGGTGTCCAACTGGGAGACCTGGCAGCCGAAGGAGGTTCCCACCGATCTCCCCTTCAGCCCCACGGTGAAGGACCAGGCTCACCTCAGCGGCAATGGCTGGACCGGTCTCCAATCCGTCATCTCGGCCAAGAGCAATGTCATCGTGCAGTTCTACAACGAGCCGAACTTGAATGGCATCGATGCGACGACGGCCGCCCAAGACTGGAAGGACCACATGGTGCCGCTGCGGAACAACAACAAGGGCCTCAAGCTCGTCACGCCGGCCTGCACCAGCGACCCCAGCAGCAAGGCCTGGATGGATTCGTTCATGGGCGCCTTGGGAGACGACGAGCAGCCCGACTATATCGGCCTCCACTATTACACGACCTCAACGAACCCCGTGAAGTTCGAACTGGACTACGCACAAGGCTTCATCGAGTCCGGATACAAGGACTACGGAAATTCCAAAATCCCCGTCATGATTACCGAGATGAGCAGCACGAGCCGCGACCCCGCGCAGGTGCAGCAGTTCATCGAGCAAATGTCCACGTACCTGGACGGCAAGGACTGGGTGCACGCCTACGGATTCACCGGAGTCTCGACGGCCGTTGCCGACTCCTTCTCCAGCCCTGCGGCACAGCTGCTCTCTAGCGATGGAACTCTGAATGCGTTGGGCAAGATGGTGGCTGGGATATAAGGGATGGAACTGGGCCGGGAAGAGCTCAGGGTATTGGGATATCTCGGAAAAGGGACCTGGCGGCAGCATGGGCGGGCATTGGATAAGCGCGATGGCGTTGGCTTCTCTTTCTTTACCTCTTCTTCTTCTTCTTCTTTACCTCTTCTTCGACCTTTGATACCTTTTGCTTTTCTTCTGTATTACTACACTTTTTATATTCTTGTATATAGGATAGACCTCCAATAGGATAGACCTCCAATAGGGTATACCACCTTGTCACAAACACAAATCTGCCAGCGCAGTCGTTGCATTTCTAGAGATCGTGACCATACCTTCTTTATTATCTTCAGGCTCCAGCGACGTCTCTGTGTGTTGTAACTCTGAGTCCAAGGACCCTTCTATATGCCCTCGGGACCATGGGCGCTCGACCTCTGATATGTGTAGCAAACGACAGACTGATAGGATAACCGATCTAGACGACCAATCTTTCGTCTTGGAGGACAAGTAGATAACATTCCCGCTAAACGAGTTGGTTCGGGTCCGTTGTGCCCACGGGTTTTGCGACCCGTCCCGATGGGCTGGTGCATGTTTATTATTAGAGTGAGTAGCCCCGATGGCGGGAACCACATCGGGTGACGACCGGACACAGGCCGAACCTAGTAACCATTACGCGTTGGTGGTCCAGAACCAGCCTATTCTTGGTATCGTTACCTTCCATACTGTATGTTGCTGGTCGTGGCCTCGCGCGTGGGGCGCGACATTCCTGGGGCGCCGGATCCGGTTCTGCCCTGGAAGTCGACTCGGAGATGAACGTCGCCAAGTTCGGCCGTGTGGTCAGTGGTTCCGCCCGAGACGCAACAACATCAACCGGGAGGGCTCTGTTCTTCACATCTATCCAACCAAAATTGACAATGCTTCCAAGACATAGAGACTCGTTCTGAATTGATTGCACCGGGGAACCCCTCCTGCACGACAAGCCTCTCGGTGCAACCCAGCTGCATCGGGCCGCATGGCAGGGAGACCCTTATGACGATGGATCATGCCATATCTGGCGGAATAGGTCCAGCAATGGGTCCATCGCGAGCCCCTCGTCTGTTGAGGGTTGCCGACTTTCCCAGGGGGTAGTTCAAGCGACTCCGGGGCAGCTGACAGCGGGAGCGAGAAATACCTAGGTAGTTTCAGCGTAGTTCTAGGCCTCTAGCACGCATCAATTCAGCCCTGCGGTTCTAGTGGTAGTGGAGCATAGAGTGACGTGGCAGCTGGACCCGACCTAAAAATAAAGTAAAAATAAAAATAAGAATAAACCCGTGGATGGGAATCGTCGGCAATCTGCGTTCAATGTTCACATCGCGCCATTTCTGATGGGCAGCATCGGTACCTCCCCGAGGACCCTGGCTGCCTGGCTAAAGCATGTAAAAGTTTCATCACATCAGGCCACTCCGGGCGAGTGCCCCCCTCATGACCATCAATATGTACGCGCGTGACACCGGATGCGAACACGATGTAGGTCGGCAGCGTCCGGGTCTCTGTCACAGTTCTTTCTCGTTTTCGACGCCCCTATCGTCGACCAAAGCTTTTCTTTTCTACCTGAGCACTTGGACGAGACAGCTGACTGAAGGTATTCTTGGTTCTGTTACCCCGCGCGTCATCTTGTCCGGGCTTCGTCGATCGTCGAAGAGAGAACAGACAGTGTTCCGGAGACAGTGCAGGTCTTGTGCACGGTGAACCTCGGTCACGAGTCTCACGACTGCACCCGCCATAAAAGCAAGTGGCCTCCAGTTAAGCAACATCTTGTGTCCCACGTTCAACTCCTGTAAACTCCTCATCCTGCGCATCCCCCGACGTCAACCATCCCGCCATTATGGCGCTCAGCAGACAAGAGGCCGAGCTGGTCAAGGAGACCATCCCGGCTCTGCGACACCACGGAGAACACATCTCGACCGTCTTTTACAAGACCATGCTACGCGAACATCCGGAGCTCAACAACTACTTCAACACCGTCAACATGCAGAACGGCAAGCAACCGCGAGCCCTCACAGCTCTCATCCTGGCCTTTGCGTCCAACATTGTTAACATCAGTGAGCTGGGGCCCAAGATGGAGAGAGTCGCCCAGAAGCATGCCTCGCTGAACATCCAGCCCGGCCACTACGAAATCGTCGGCAAATACCTGTTGCGTGCCTTCTCTGCCGTGCTGGGCCCGGCCATGACTGCCGACGTGAAGCAGGCTTGGCAAAAAGCATATTGGCAGATGGCGAAGATGCTCACGGGCCGAGAAGTGCAGATCTACCGCGACTTCGCAGGATGGACGGGCTGGCGTAAGTTCAGGATCTTCAGCAAGAACGCTGAGACCAAGGACGGAGATATCGTATCGTTATCGCTCAGGCCCGTCGACTCGAGGCCACTACCCACCTTCATGCCCGGCCAATATGTGACAATGCGCCTACGACTCCCCGATCTGAAGTATACAAATCTGCGACAGTATTCGCTAAGCAGTGCGCCGCGCCCCGACCAATACCGAGTCACGGTAAAGAGGGACATGGGCACCGACCGAGACTTCACAACCGAGTCGCCAAGAAGCTCAATGGCCGACGACGACGACCCGCCAAAGTCGTCAGCTGCCAGTAGCGCGTCGGACAGCAGCATCGGCAGCATCCGTCCGCACAAACCTGGACTCGTATCAAACACGCTGATCGACGAGTTCAAGGTAGGCGACTTGGTCGAGTTGACCCATCCGGCGGGTGAGTTCTTCCTCGACACGGCCGACCCGAGCACCACGCCCCTGGTGCTGATCTCAGCGGGCGTGTGTGCCTCTCCACTCTTTTCCATCCTCGACACGGTTACATCCATGAAGGTCAATCGACCTGTGTCCTGGATCCAGGGCTCGCGGCACGATGCGCCCTTCCAGCAGCAGGTCGAGGCCATCGCCGCGGCACACCCCAACGTTCGAACCAAATTCTTCCGCTCGCGGCTCGCCGACAGTGACGTGCTGTCGTACACGTCCACCTTCAAGGACGACTTTCAGGCCCTGCTGCCCGCGGACCTGTGTCTGGATAGCAGCCTGGCGCAGTACTACATCTGCGGGCCCGAGAAGTTCATGCTGGAGATCTCGGCCTTGCTGCAGAAGTACGGCGTCGACACCGCGAGGGTCCGCTTCGAGCTGCACAGCGTGGGTTACTTCGAGGTAAAGAGCAAAAACATGGCTTAGGCGGTATATGATGGATGGTTTGGGATCTGGTGCGGGCGGCGTATACACGGTATATAGACCAGGACGGAACGGTATGGGATAGACTGGCAACGAATTGAACGACCAACTCCATTCAGATGTAATATACTGGAATTCACGTTACGTCCCTGGTGCGGCTGTGACTCAATGCCCCTTTTCTGTCCGCCCGGCCTTACCCGTGCGCATACGCAGCTGAGGGATGATGATGATGACGCCGACTGGGAATAAAAATGAAGGTGACACTTGAGGTTTTCATGTTTCTAATTATAATCATTCATTGAGCCACCAGTGGCCCACCATCGTGGCTGTGTACTGATGAGCACAGCAAGCGCGACGCGTGAAGGTACATCATTGAACCAACCAACATCAACAACGTACGAATCTCATCTCGCAATTGGAATTGCCCATCCTCGACTCATCGCCTACTACGCTGTTGCTTCCCGCTCCTCCCAGCAAGTCGTCATCCTTGATCGCCATGACCGCCGGTACCACAGTCCAGAAGTCGAGACATCAGAGCAAATGAACCACCCTCGATCGGATCACATACTCAAGCTTCCTGATGAGCTCCTCGACAGCATCTGTGCGAATGTGCGACCCAGCGCCAAGACACTGGCTCTCGTCTGTCGCCGCTTCGACCGCGTCGCTACGCCCCACCTCTACCTTGATCTGACATTGCATGTGCTGTCTGATCTGACGAGGGATGTGTACTCTCTTCAAGCCATAGCTTATACCAAAGTCCTTCATCGAACACTAAAGAAGAACCCTGCACTCTGGCCTTTCTGTAGGAACCTGACTTGTTACTTCGACTACCTTCTAGAACCGGGATCCCGCTCGTATCTGCCCAACGACATCTTCACCTGGCTGACGGCCGTCCAGAAGCTTGAGGTAGGCGTGATACGTGGAAGTGATACGCGTTTGACTCTAGCCCGGCATGCCATCCAGCACATGCCTGGCCTGACACATCTCAAACTCCATAGTGATGTCGATGGCATCGATCTACCAGAGATAGTCCAAGCGACTCTTGCATGAACTTGCGTGTACTTGACTTCACTGGTATCTCCATGCAAGGTCTGCCACAGGATTGAGCCCAGTTAAAGGTACGACACTTATCAATCTGCAACGTTTCTCATGCTAAATCAAATCGTTCGAATCTGTAGGCGATGGTAGGTACGGGTAGCCATTACCGACTTGAGGCTATGCAGCTTTCTCCAGACTCCTGAAGTTCTCGAGGCTCTTGTGAGATGGCCCAGAGCCTTGGAAAGGTTTGAGGTGCGGTCCTTATTTGGTTACGACTATGCCGCTCACGGTCTCTACCGCGAATGGAGTCTCGCGACCCTGAAACCCATACTGGATCACCACGCATCAACCTTGAAGTTCATCAACGTACGCGGCGTCTGTAGAGAAGGACTGGACGGCTTCAACCTATCCAGTTTCACAGCGTTGGAAGACCTCCAATTATGCTCCGGAACAACCGGGCTCGATGTGGCTCACATTCCAAACCTCTCGAGCCCTAGTCTCACAAAGATTATCTGGAACCAAACTCTCGAAGACCAACAATGTCAGGAAGGGCTGGGTTCTTTCCAACAGCCTGAGGAAGAGTGGTTGCGCGCACTCGGTAAAGCGGCTGTGGCACTTGGGTCGACGCTGAAGGCTATACACGTTGTTTTTACACCGGAGCCTTACGTCTGCAGGGAGGACCTCGTATATCCATGGGACATCATGGACTGTCGCCTCCGAGTTTGGCTTCAATGGCATTCAGCTGTCCTACAACACACCTACAATCAGCAAGGAGGATTTCACGAATGGGATTGAAGAGTGGGATACCACACGGTCTTTGTGATAGGACCATACAAGGCAAACAATGATAGCCCGACTCTCGGAGACTCCCCAGGGATGCCTGAAGGTCGTGAAGGTATTACAGACGTTAGCCGAAGCTGGCCCTCTTTGATCCCGGGAGCTCTTGGTTCATGCAAGAGGACGCTACAATCGGGGGACAAAAGTCTCCGTACAGCCCCATTTCTGGACCCCTGACCTGCTACACCTCACAACTCAATTGAACCACAACACACTCAATTCTGGTCAGAAAATTCTCAAATAAAGTGTATTTAATAGCCAGTTCAGTAATGCGTGTATAATCCACCAGCGCGCCTACATGCGGCGATGCGATCGCGAACAGACACGATCAGCACGCGTACCTGCTCAGGATCGATCTCGGACCACGCCCTCTTAATCAAGTCGTGTCCGTACTGGTAATGAGGGATGTTGTCTTTTAATTTTGAGAATTCAGGCTCAATAGCACGTATCTGCCTCTTCAGAAGTCGCCAGACGTGCTCGATGGGGTTGAGATTAGGGCTATAAAGAAGCCAGTCAATACAGTGAATCCTGTGCTCTTTTAGCCATTTTAGAACACCTCCTGAGAGATAAATTTTCGTGTTATCTTGAACAAAAGGATCTCCAGCTTCATAGAAAGAAAGGAGGCCGTTCTCAAGGACCTATTTGTATAATTCTACGGATACTCCTCCGCGCGGAGCATCCGGATCAAGTAGGCAGAAGATCAACTTGCCCAGTCCTCTTTCTCCATCGCGTAGCCAGATCTAAGACCATATTATTATCAAAATACGAGGCTTTCCATGACTCGTAGGGTTCACGAGATTATAACAGTACCGCTCTGACGAGTATCGGATAACCCAATCGCCTGGATTATCCGATTCATTTTAGACCGTACACTTGTCAAAGGACAGTGCCTTTAAGAGCTCGAGAATACGCTCCGGATGGTCATAATATTCGGCAAATTCGCGCCTTATCCGAGCCGTCTCCTTATTCAGCTCGATCTTCTTGGCTGTTTGCTATTTCTCAAATCCTTTGGCGTGGCAGAGGCGCTTAATAGTCTTCACACAGCAGAGAACGCGGGCCTTATTTCAGATCTTTTGCCACAAGGCCCTGGGAAAGTCCCTCGCTGCCTGAATAGCACGGGCGTATTTGCGAGTGTTCAGAGCACTTGGTCGACCACTTCTGGGAACAGATTTCGTGGTGGTGGTGGTCTCAAAGCGCTTGACAGTCTTAGTGATGGTGGCAGGGCGCGTGGTTTTGAACGCGGCGGCAACCTCCTTGCGGCTCTGCCCCAGCACTCTCGCCGCCACAATCGCAGAGTGAGCATCGCGAGTGAACTCCCCGTTCGGCGCGCGACTGCCGCTCAATTCGTCTCCAAAAGATCGAAATACCATCGTGATTTACGTTGTAAAGAGAGTGTTGAAGTTGAAGGGTGGTTAATGCGTTGTTTTAATGGTCGGAGATTAGTGGTGGGGTGTACGGAGACTTTTGTCCACCCAGTTTAACGGTGGTGAAGGCGAAGGTCAATGCTAGACAAGTCGCATGGTGTCGATAGAGGGGTCTGGAGTGAGAGGACTCGAACGACCACCGAACCGCTACTTCCTACACTGCAAACGATATTATCCACCGTCGCGCTGGTGTTCGTCCCAGGATCATTCCTAGGATACTCTAAGCTAAGGTGGTATATAATACGTAAATACATGTGTTCGTGCACACTTCGTTGTTAGCAGAGCTCTTCTTCATGCCGTGCCCAAACCTACTGACTCTGACCGAGGCCATCCAGTGTCCCAGTCCGCATCCCGAGCGTACTACGTTGTTTTATCATATAACAAACACATAAGTCATCTTCACTGCTCACGCCCCAAAACCTTCATAGTGGACCCAGGAACTACCGATCTTCCCCCGTCCAAGCCGACCCTTGGCCAGCACTCAAGCAGCGTGGAGAAGGTCGGAAGCGTATATCTCTTATCACACGCATCATCCGTGTGTGTCATACCACAGAGCTAAAGACCTGGCGACAGCACCGCGGCGCCCACGGGCAACGTACGGCCTCGTTACTGAATATCACATACCACGCAAATTTGAACACGCGTCCTGTGATCACATCCTACAGCTCCGTCTCGAGCAGCCACTCGCGAAACCTCACATAGTCGCTCTGCGGCCGCTCTAGTATCGCCTCCCGCGTGACGCCCAACTGCGCGCAGCTCGCCACGGCCACGACATCAGAGACCGGCACCACCGGCAGCAACTCCCGAAAGCGCGCGCGTACGCGTGCTTGGTCGTGAACTCGTCGTCCACGTCCATGTCGATGTCGGCCTCGTCGAGCGAGGGCCGGATCTCGGCCGGGTGCCCCTGACGACCCAGACGCAGCGCTGGTTGGCGTAGCCCAGTTCTTATAAGCGAGGCCGGCGGGAGCGTTGCAGCGTGGCAGCGCGTCCTAGTCCGGATCGTCGTTGTGCGAGGCGAACCGCGACGCGTGCACGAATATCACGGCGACCGGGAGGGGGGCGTCGGGAATTGTAGATGCGCTTGTGCCAAGTCGACAAGTGCGTGTACAGTCAGCTTGTGTCCTCGTTTATTGTGCTGGCTACTACGATTTCTAGCTCGTGGGACGATGAAGAAGTTGGATTGCTTCCTCATGAGCAAGGCCGGCTTAGACATCGCCGCCGGCCACGGCCTGTCGGGCTGCCAAGGTCTCGCGCTTGTACGAGACCAGGAGGCGGAGCGCGCACGTCACAGGGGTTGCGATGACGGCCGCACGGGACCGACTGCCGGCTTTTGTTCTTGTTGTTGTCGTCCACATATTCCCAAGCTCGACACGAGGACAGTGCCCGGTCGCGATTTGGAGGTGAGACATTCACATTCTGTGACTGAGACACGGCCAATACAGGGTTTTGGATGCTTATTAGAGGCATGGTGACTTACCTGCCGCTGAGATGATCATCGCATCCGTCAGCACTCCTACTCGGGGAGTCACTGATGAAAAACCGGTCGCGCGAATCACAAGCCCGAGGCTTCACTTATGATCTATGGAGGTGCAGCTCGATGGCTTACGCACCGCCTAGCGGCCCATGTCGCGTTCCAATTATTCGAGGCTTCAGTCGAGGTTTGGGAGATGCATGTTTTGACCCCTCTGCCATGGCACGAGATTCATTCGTGCCTCGAATGAGACATGACATTGTGCAAGTCTGGTGGCATGCCACCCACAAGGGATGGGAAAGTCAGACACCATTCCGATTCAAATTTTGTACACTCATCTTCGCATTCCAAGGTTTCACTACTGATAGAATCTAAATGGACTGAAATCCCTATGATGCAGGGAGCCAAGTGTCCTGTCGGCTTGCTACTATTCAGCATCCGCATCTGCACCTAACGTGGCTCTCTCTGATAACCTCTCGGCTTCAAAACCTGCGTCGAGAACAATATGGCGACCGAAAACATGAGGACCGAAAAGATGGCCCAGGTCGCCTACCCAACTGCAGTACACCTGGGCTTATACCCAGCGACAATATCGTCGGCAAGCTCAAGAAATGCGTCGCCTTCTCCGTATCCGTCGACCACTTTCGAGGACATGAACCACCCAAAGACATTGACGAACCCTACACAAGACCTCGAAGCAGGAGGACGGTTAACGACGGCATGCAGGAGGATTTCGAAAGCCCTGGCCATATTCCTGATGATCGCCGGCGTCGTCGGACTAGCTACGTCCATGTTCGGTCTCATATACGCTGCTGCCAATCAGCGATGAGTGGCATAATACGGCAATGACAATGAACTTGGCCTAGCTCTGTGGACGGCATGATAGCAACCATGTGGCTCGAACCAACGTCTCGATACGCAGTATCTCAAAGCTAGGATAATCGGCTCTGTTGGCTACCCCTAACGGAAGCGAGTTATGTTAGAACCAAACACGATATGGAAGGGTTGGAGGTTCAAGCGATTATGGGCTACTGGCTGGGAGGTGGACGAGAAAGCGCGGTCGGCCTTTGTCTTTTTACGCTGATTATGAAACGAAACTGTGCTTGCACTCGAGTATAATAATCTTTTCGCACAGACGATGTACAAGGTTCGATGGTTATTTCAGGCATCTTGTCGGATAAGCAATTCATTACGTCGCCATGGAATCTCATGGCTGCGGCAAATGGACGACGTTGATTTGAGGACATGGTATCCAGGCAGATAATATAGGACGACAAACATGAGTGACGCCTTGAAGCAGTGAGATACTTTCCGCTTTGCGTACTTCCGTGTGTTTCAGTGCTCGCTAGCCTTATATTCCGCATTCGTCGTCTTGCCACTCCCACACTAAGCGACTTGCTTCAACCACCGTGCGAACAAAGAGACGTTTGCGTCAAGTCCATCACTCGAGGCTTGAAGTCTTCAATACTCTTTACAATGCTCTTTCTTTGCCATCGCGCCAGCTGTATATTTCTCCAGGGTCGATCTCCGCGCTGTTCCTTCAAAACCGTTGTCCTCCTGCGTAGTCGAGACTGCTGTGATGCAATTATCTGACTTCGACCAACCCCGATTCTGAACGCAACCTTATCAGCTCTTGGCGGACTTAACAACTCGCCGTAGTCATTCTTAGAGATGCCGCCCAAAAAGAATAAGAACAACGGAGAGGCAAAGCCAAGTCTGTCAAAATTCAAGGCGGCAACCTCGTCCGCCCGTTGTATTTCGAGCCCTTGGGTCAAGTTCGGATGGATTGAAGCTATCAAGCCAGAAGTCAACCAGATAATCGAGACGGTCAAGGGAGATATATCCGCCATGTATACTCTGCAGATTCCGAGAGACCGTCCCATAGACCCCTTTTCGATCCGCAACGCCTTGTTCTGGGAGCATCGACACCTGGCTAACCAACGGGTCATCTCTACACCCTCGGCAGATCACCTGAATTTCTGGTCAAGCGACCATGCCCAGTTCGTCGAAACACTCCAGAAGGTCTGTCGTCAGGTACCTGAGGACCGTGGGAGCATCCGGATGCACTACTTCTTTGAAGGGATCCGAGAGCGAGAATTCCTGCTGTGGCCAGTCAAAATCGGCAACGTCTATGTTACGATTTTCCTGCGCATACAGGATAAAGAGAATCTGGCCAGTCGCGGTGACGGTCTTCCTCATTACCCCCGGGAGTACATCAATCGCGAGGTGACCGATATCGTGATAGTCGACCCCTTGCCAGCAGGACGGGGAGAGAGAAGGGCCATGATTCTTCACAGACTGGATTATATACTGCTCGAGGCTTGTATCGACATCTCGGCAGACCACAACATTCACAATTTTAGGACCAGGGACGTGGAAGATGAGTGGGAGACCGGGCTTATTGCCTATGCTATCTCTCGCGAGCTCATGCGACGTCTCAGGGTAGTCCTGTGGAGAAGAGAGTTTCTTCGACGGGATCACTACGACCTTCTCTGGGTTGCCTTTGAGGAGCATTATGACATTGATGGTTATAGAGAGGGTCTCATGGCCGTAAGTTCATTCCAGATTACCGAGTCCAACATCCCGCAAGCTTTCCTGTCCCGGAGACACCGTTTAGTGTCTGACCAGATCACCGAAATCGCATGAGGTTAATACTGACCCAAAAATACCTAGGCATGTTCACACCTAGTCATCGAAAAGTCCAACATGCATGTTCGAATGGGTCTCGAGGTTCCGAGCAAAGCAGCAAAGTTCGATAACCATCTACTGAGCCACCTGACCGCCACCCTCAATCACCTCCACGCCGGAACAGGTCCCCGATGAGAAGTATGAAGCGTTCCAATCTCCGACACACAGTGTCGCTGCTCGGGTACCGGAGCAATGGCGACACGTTGGGGGCCCAGAGACTGCCGCAGACCAGGACATGGACGAAGGTTCCACGCAAACTACAGTCGAAGAGGACCCCGCGAGTCAGAGCAACACGGGGAACGACCTGGGCTCTTCTGTGGCCTCGGAAGAGGATGAGCCATCTGAACTAGCCCTCACACCCGTAGAATCGACGCAACCGCCACCTTTCACCTCGAAGCGAGACCTGGCCCCAGGCTCCGAACAGGATCCTCGCGAGCACCTTCAGCTACAAAAACTCAACATACAAGACGGGGCGGGGAAGCCGCAGAGGTACCATCCCACGCAGGTTGATCTACCTCACGAGACGAGTCAACCCATCCAGGAGACCCAAGACCAGGAGATGACAGGCACAGGTGCCGAAGAAGGGGGTTTCGATGAGACGCAGACCAGCGCATACCAGCACAACTACACCTCCGAAGGCGCCGTCGCGAGCCCTCTTCCCATCACGCCAGTGCAACCCCGGGCACCAGTAGCGCCCATGATGTCCACCGACATCCCGCAAACCGTTATCCCGGGGCTCGGAAGCCTCAGCGCACTTCAGAATCCAATCACGAAAGACAACGAGGCGGAATCCCTCTTCGTAGTCGAGACGCCCCAACGCGCACAATCCCCCTGGTTAGGTGCTAACCAAACCGGCCAGAGTCCTCAGTCGACGGTTCCTGCGACGCAGTATCCCGAGTCCCCCGTCCCGCAGGGCGAGTACGACGTTGCAGCTGGGAGGTCGCTGGCGCAATCTGCGCTGCAGGTGATGAAGATGGGCCATGCGCCGACTGGTGTGCCCGCGGTCGGGCCTGGTGACCTGGCTTCGCAGGCACAGCAGCCGGGACCGTATGACGAGCAGGCGGCGGTTGATGGTTACTCGCTGAAGCGATCAATGGACGGTGGTGAGGATTCCGCGTCCAAGAGGCCGAAGTACGAAGATGGCCAGTAAGATTCAGATTCACAAGAACGGTGTTTGGCTTCTTCATTGTGTGTTCTGGAAGAAGTCTTAAATAGCCTATAGCCTACAGTATGTGTTTGAAGCGAAATATTATCTACATAGAATGTTCGTCTGGGCCCAGAGCCATGCTGTGAAGTCTGTGTCTCGCGGTCCGTCGCCGCTTAAGCCGAAACGCACTGCGAGTAGTATTCATTCATGCCTGTACAAGTTCCCTCGGCACAAGTCGTGGCTCCAGTCCAGTTGGCGCCACCACACTGTCCGTAGAGCGCTACTGCACCTGATCCCCCAGTGCTGCTTGGGGTCGCGCCGCCCGTCGTGATGGTCGCAACCGTGGTAGCCACCTTTGTCGGGGTGACTGACGCGGCCGAAGATGCTGCTTTGGATGAGGTGGCCAACGCAGCTGAACTCGCTGCCTTGGACGTGACCTTGGCCAAGGTCGTCGGCGCACTTGCCGCCAGACTACTGCTTCCTGCGGCGCTGGACACCTTAGAGGTTCCAGACGAGGCCACCGCCGTCGGGATCGTACCGCTGGAAGCCGCGGTGGAAGTTACGATGGCCGCACTCGTCGCCATCGATGGCGAAGAGCCGGATGCGCCACAGGTGGCTACCGGACCACCAGGTGCTGTGTAGGTCGCCGCGTCGAATCCGTAGTAGACGTCAGGGATATAGATATCGGGATCCGTGGCATTGTACGCTCCTGGGAGGGAGATCGTGGGGTTGCAGCCTCCTCCAGTGCCAGTGATTGTGAGTTGGGCACAGCCGATGTAGAACTGCGCACCACCGATGGTTTCGGCTGCGTGAAGTGCCAACATCTCAGATCGCAGCTGAGAGATTATTAGCGATAATTGCTGAATATGAGGAGAAAGTAGCTTACCAGGTAGTCACCAGATTCCAACCCAGTAGGGAGAGTGAACGTGTAGTTGCCACCGGCATTCGCGATGACCTGGTTGGCCCAGGTACCATTTACGTTGTCGAGCTCGTCGATCTTGAACCAACCCGCACCGACGCCAGACTCTAGAGAGGCGTCATCGACAGGGCCGAACAGCATGTGAGTGATGGGGCCTGGATGGCTGGAAACGTCCCAGTTGACTATGATCTTGTCGCCTTCGTTCGCAGCGTAGGTTTCGACACCGGAGGGAACGGTTTCGCCGTCGACATTGCAGGCGATGTTGTTGCTCGTCACATCGGTGACCGGGCTGTTGCTTGGCGGCATGCGCACGGCGACTTGATACCCGGGGGACACGCCATTGACCCAGAATTGGTGGAAGTTCTGGTGGGCGGCAACGGTGGCGACCAGCGTGGAGGCGACAAGGACTGACTTGAACATCTTGAATGAATGAAGTGCGAATCACGGATCGCAGAAGGTCTTAATACCAGATTCGGAATGAAACGAAAGACTGAAGTGGAAAAATGAGTGAAAGAGGCAGGCCGAAGAAGACGATGATGACCCAGAGAAGAGAGAGGACGTGACATTGCGGCGGGAAGCTGCCTTTATGAACTTAGAGGCCATCGTCACGGTGCGTACTTGTGCTACCGGAAAGACTCTACCCAGCATTCGACCCTCTCTGGTAACCTGGTTGACATATGTCGATGATAGATTGCGGCTCGTGGCCCTTCATCTGCAGGCTCGGGAGACAACCTTCACTCGGATTCGCGATTGGGTTCTGAGTTACATCGTGAGCACAACTGGTATAGTCGTTCCACCTGGCCATCGGCGGCTTGTGAAACAGAACACGGTGAAACACGTCTCCCAGGTCCACAACCACTCTATTCGAGCCTGACCCACCACGGCCCTGGCGCGTTGCACGGTTGCAGTACCGGGAAATCGGGTCCTTCGACACAGCCCTGCTTCGGTAAAGTCTCCTACTGGTGGAAACTTGGAGATGGCGCGGACGACCGAGAAAGTTCAGATGAACTCCAGGACCAGTGCATTTCCCCTGAGGCGATCCCATCAGATCTTCCGGCTGGAATTTCGCCTGTCGAAGGAACCATCGTGGGTCTGTTCAAGCAACATGCAACCAATGCGACGGAACAATTTACTGGAGTGCCAATAGCCATCAAGGAGTGTTGAGATCAGCAACCCTCGCCTATCCTCGACAGGCGCCTACGTACATTAGCCCACAGTCCCGGCGTCAACTGGTCAGGGGCCTGGCCTGTTTTCAGGTCTGCCGACGAACTCATTGCCTGGAATTGCCTGTGGCCCGTCGCGAAGGCGTGACTGACTGTGCGGTACTCCCAGGTCATCCGCCACATCATGCGGCGTAGTTCGGGCGGCAGTCGAGCAAAGCTGCGTTCGCCAGGTTGATCAAGAGTCAACTGGCCCATCTAGACCATGACTTCACGGATGTGGGTAGATTCACATAGATGCTCCCTACGGTATCTACGCTGGTTCGGCGTTTTCTGTCGTCCGGTGGATGAGACGAGAAACGAGCACCAAAAAGAGACGAGAGAAAGTGAAGGGCAAAAATTGTAAAACAAAACATACAACACCGAGGATTCGCTGGTTGTCACCGACCCAACTACTGATCCGGCGGTATCAGGCTTATTTAAGGCAGAGCGGACGGGATGCCAAGTCCTCCTAATCCTATGGTCGTATGTGATCTAGATTATCTTCAATGAGACACTATAAGGTGCTACTAGGGTGATCAGTTCAACGAGCTCTTGGTGGTGATTAAGAGTTGTTGAATGGCGCACAAGCCACCGTGGCGTTCAGGGAGGTGGCAGTGCACCAACAAGGCCAATAGGGCATTTTTGGGCTACTTAGCCCACAGAAGGATTTTCGCAGAGATACAACAAGAATACGGATTACACCAGAATATACGTCTTCACCCATCTAAAAGCCCCCACGCTCTGTTTGACAAGAGTCCTTCTAGCTACCTGGTAGTCAGCCCCTACGGAAGGTTTCAAGGCAGTGATGAATCTCCCCAGTACTTGCGCTTGACTATGACGGCCATCTTGGTTGATGCTCGTGATCAGCGATCGCACGCTGGAGACGAAGTAAGTTGTTTTCAGAGCCATAAGAAGTGATAGCGCGATCGTTCCAGTCGAGTGTCAAGTGGCCTTCCTCTTTTGATCGTGACTACCCTAAACCTTCTCAGATTGGACTGCCTGCCTACTGCGTAGGTAGGTACTCCACCACCAGCCTTTCCCCTCTTCATCGCTACTTCCGGTCTTATGGATCATGTTGCCGTGGTAGTCACGATGCACGCAACGATGAGGTAACTAGACAATTCAAGAGCTACATATCCTCATCACTAACTAACTACCTACAGGTACTATATATACTCCATACCTGATGTACCGCCCAATCATTCCATATACAGTACTTCCTTATCGCCAGGTGCTGCCCACAATGACAGCACTCTCGCACGACGAATCCGTGCCAGCCACAGTGTAGCTTCGGTTCGGATCGCTCTCCCAGCTCGCCGTCCCCGATGACGCGACGTTGATAAACTTGTACTCAAACGTTGTACCCGGTGCCAAGTTCACCGTGTAAGTCCATACGGGGTTCGCGGTCGTGTACTGCGCGGCCGACAGCGCGGGCGCGGAGTCCACGTCCCAGTTGCCGAGCTCGGAGATCGAGCCGACCAACTTGATCGTCTGGCCGTAGGTCGTGGTGACTTGCTCGGTGAAGGTCACGGCCACGCTGCTAAGCGAGCAGGGGGTGGTTGTAGATGTTGTTGTCGGTACAGCCGTAGACGTCGTTGTCGGTACAGCTGTAGATGTGGACGTGGACGTACTACCGCCACCATCACCGCCGCCCACGATCGCAATGTCGGCACAGCTGAGGTATATCTGCCCCGTCTGGAACGAGTTCCACTTCCAGCTCAGCAGGGTGTGCCCGCTGCTCGCGAAATCGGCCGGGATCTTTACCTGCTTCGAGACGGTGTAGCCGCCTGCAATGGTCGTGAGGCACGACCCCAAAGCCGCATTGTCGACGCCTTGGCATTTCGGATTAGTCGCCGCTTCGAAGCCGTTGCAGGTGAACCAGTCATTGCGCCAGCACGGCTCGTCCTCCGTGCAGTCGGCGCTGTAATCGCACTGCGACGTGTGGGTCAGTACCTAGGAACAAAGGGGCAAGAAGCAGTTTGGGACATTTCGCTTACCTCATTCCCATCCACGTCCGTACACGCGAGCACGCCAGCCTCGAAGCAGTCCTCGGCGGCCTGCTTCTCATCGTCACTGGGCAAATAGGTGGGATCGAGAAACAGGTCCACCAGCGTCTGGTTGCTGCACAATCGGTAGGTGAACATGCCCCCGTGGTCGCCGTTGTGGTCGACGCACCACTGCACGTCGATGGTGTCACCCGCATTGTAGCTCGCCACCGTGTCCTCGCCCCAGCCGTAGGTGCTGGACGGCTGGTTGTAGTCGACGCTGACTCGCGCGTTGTACCCGCAGATGCCGCTACGAGAGACGGCCGCCGAGTCGAGGTCCGGCCACGAGGCGACCGGCTCGAGGATGGTGCATTCGGGGCAGGTGTCTACACCGGCCTAGGGACGAGGGGAGGGATGTCAGTGGGTGGCGATGAACCTAGCAGGTTTGGAAAGGGGTCGGCCGGCTATCACTCACCTCATACCCAAGTCGAGTGCGGCTTGAGGGTATTGTAAGGTACCCATGGCCGGCGACTAGGGGAACGACGCCTGCTACCAGCAGGGCAATGGTACCCGACATGGACTTCATCTTCGTATTGAAACGAGTATATCGACTAACTTGGTGTTGAAGCAGCGCAATGACTCGAAGGAAAGGGGAGAACCAAGAAAGTTCGTCGATGATGAACAGATATTCCAATTACCTATGATACTGCCGGAGATCTATCCTTATATACCCACGAGCGGAGCTGGCTTACATCTTCAGTCTCTCACTCAATTGCAGCAGCCTCCTGGATCCGACTCCATCGTCAACCTTCAACTGCTATAGTCAATCTCCGTCTGCTATGGGTAGTCAACCTCCGCAGCGGACCATAAAAAGGCCCGAGGTAGTCGCATTGCGCCGAGTAGAGCCGCGGACGAAGCACAGAGTGAAGACTCTTCCAAGCGAAGAGTTCTCGTATGCGCCACGTCACCCGACTCATATCGACACAAACCCCGCCCTCACTCCGCCTTCATCGATGAAGTCTGCCACCATCGTACCATCCGTAAATCTCGGGCGATTTTGCAGTCGGGCCGCGCTACATGCCCGCCGGGCGTTCGTCGGCGAGGCCATCATGATCCCAAGCGAAGGGACGCATAACTGCGGCGTGTATAAGGTAGGTAAGGTGCAAGACCAATGGGCGGCGGCTATAAAAAGGGGTCGAGTCCTGTACTGCAACTCCAGGTCAGGTGGGATTCTCCCCAATGGTCCTCCCCCAGGTTTATGTACCCCAACTTCCATACCCGCATCTAGCCACCTTGGTTACTCCACGAATCACGATCATAGAAATTACCGACCGAACAACCGCCGAGTGAGCGTCCAGACCACGGCAGACCTATCCGGTTTGAGGCTCCTTCCCCGGGAATCACCCCGATCTAGACGGCGCCGTCGCTCTCGGACGTTATGTCAGGTGCCGACTACATTAGCGTTAGGTATAATGCTAACCGAGATATAGCAACGCAAGAGGCGATTGTCATTTGTTTAGGAAAGATTGTTCCTTGGCCTTCGTAATTCCGCTTCATTTGTCTTCAGCAACATGGTGGCTTATGTCAGTGTTGACCTTGGGTCTTGAGCAGTTGATATACGCGAAGCACTAACCACCATGATGGCTTCAGCCAAACAATCAAGATCGAATGATCTCCAACAAGGCTCAGATATGCTTCAGTAGTAGTCGCAGCCATGACTGTCCGGTCATAGTTGCATGCTTGACCAGAGCTATCATATACCAGACAGTCCTTATAGGCATCTTGACAGCGAAACCAGCGCACCTGGTTCGAACATTGGTTACCCATCGCCGATAATATTGGCTAAATGGCTCAGACTCCGACGTAACAGCAATATCCAGACTGCCTTCTAATGTTATCAGCTTTATGGGCTGCTTCAGCTATACGTCAGGTGAACGGAGAGAGCAAGCAGAACTGCCTGGTCAACCTTCTTGAGAGGAAAGTCTCATCGCTATGGCCTCCGGAGCCAACTACTCCAAGTCGATGACATCCACCGCGCCTGAATTCAGTGGCGTCTAGCCAGAGGGGATGGTCCGCTGTGTTCAGTATCGGTATGCGCAGATACCAGGACCCTATGGATCTTTGGCCAGGTCTCCCCGTAGTACAATGGCGGACAAAATTCAACGCTGGGTATTCTGCTACCAATAATATTGGAGATGCCGAAACGTCTAGAGAACATGGTTGAGACTAGATGACGGGCTCGCCAAGGAGCCGGGGCAACGCCGCGGAAGCCTCCCTCATTGTGAAGTCGCCTTGGAGGCTATCCAATCAAAGTCTAGACACACTCTGACTGGCTCGCTCTTGTGAGCTGCGCAACGTAGTTCTTCACGTCGCAGTTTGAGTATCCCGGGTTCACTTCGCCTGGGATCTAGGCGAGATATTCTCGACGATGAGCTACAGTGTCCCAGACCGACCACATGCTTATCTCATCATCAAGTGCTACCATTCCATTGACAAGAGCTACACGAAGCCCTTGAAAAACCTTGCAATTAATCTAGTGTTCTGAATCCTCGGTTTCCTGAGGCACCAGTGTAGTCGATAAACAGGTCGTTCAACTTTTGCTACAGAACAGTTCGCTTGAGCGGTGGTACACATATGGCTTCGATTACGAGGTTTCGACTCGTGCGACATCTTGACCTGATGTCTAAGACTCAAGAAATTGTGAAGAAACGACGAAATCACAGCAATCTGGCTGCATACAAGCTTAGGGGTATAAACAGGGGAGTTACCTTTCATGTGGACAGCGATACGTCTGCTTCGTATGCGTGGCGGTTTCCGACTGCTGATCAGCAATCGACAGGCCTGGATGTTTGGACAATCTCGCAATGTTGCGCGTGAGTATCCCAGTCATTAGCAGTTCTGATGGATAGACATAATGCCTCTCAACATCTCCGCCTCACCTTCCGATCAGGATCATGATGCGGCCAGGGATATACTTCATTGGTTTTCCGCAGAGCCAATGTAGCTATTACTCACTCCCATCGTAACAGTTGCCCATAATACCAAGAAAGCCACCATACGCAGTCAGCCGCACTAGCAGTGGAGTATACATCCGAATTGGTGATCATTAGCTATATATGAGTTGCTGCCGAGGAGTCTTGACTTCGGTTCCGCGTTCAGCCTTGTCGACTTGGTTTGGACAGGAACATCAAATGGCTGCATCTCTTGGACCTAGAAGTATATATATAATGGCGGTATGAGCTACAGTGAAAAGGGAGAAGATTCGAGGGAGTCCGCACCGTCCGGTCGCGCCGTTTCGACATTGAAAATTATGCAGTGCCGGCTGACGGTATGTATGGACATGCCCTAGGCAACCAAAATGATCAACGAGGCAACGTGCCCGAGCATCACCGTACCTGAGCAACGTACACTAGCAAATAGTCTTCCGGAGATTTTCTTACTGTGGCGACCACACAAGCGCAGGCAGGTCCTTCTCTTTCGGCAATCCATTGCTATCCGTACCGAAGCACAGCACCATGAGTTGGGAGGATCACGATGCGGGCTTGTATGCCTTTGGTGATCACCTGCATACTGCGAACATCAGCAACCCGACTCATGAGAGTCACGAGCGAAGGGTATGGCACGCAGTGCACTCAGTTCTTGTGTGCAAGCATCCATCTATCGAGAGGCTGACTTTTGGGTTTCCAACAGGGATTTCACCGAGATACAACATCCCACGAAAACAACGCACCCGACATGATCGATCCTCGTCTTTCAGCAAGAAGACCCAAGTACACTCATTGGAATACCCCTAGCTCCTCACCAGGCATACATCGACTTCCATGGACCTAAATACAACATACTACCCCTTTACGCGGCCAGCGGTCCCGGTATGTACAGAGACGGCCAGCTTCACAACCCCAATCAGACTCTGCAGTACGGCCAAAGCACCGCGTACCAGTCAGACATGCGTTTATCTGCCCAGTATGGCCCAGTCGCTCATTCAGGCGGACCGTACCTTAGCGGAACCTCGGCACCGACAAACCAACTAGGCGGACCATCCCAGGCTGTCCCCAGAACTAGGAACGCTGCACTTGAGGATAATTCTTCGTCAATTCTGGAAGGGAGTGCACATGCTTTTACAGCCGAAGACCATGACGGCACCACCGCGCCGCTGCCCAAGCGGAAGCGAAAAAGAGCATCCAACCCGTGCCAGCGGTGTAGACGCATAAAACGACCCTGCCAGGAACAGCGACCACGGTGCTCGAGCTGCGAGCTTGCAGACGAAGATTGCGTTTACGTACCCGGCAAGAGACGCGGCCCGGCCCCCAAGAGCAACGCCTCAACGCTGGCAGAGGGAATACTGGGGCTGATTCACAGAGACAACCCAGATCTCGAGAATCAAATCAAGGAATTTCTGGAGGGACAGGACGAAAGCGGCAAACAGAGAGTCGCGTACATCGAGGCCGAGGAGAACAAGTCAGACTTGGTGAAGTCGTTTCGAAGTGGTTCGCTTTCAGGCCTGTTTGGAGCATCAGAGGAACGATCCAGCGTATCTTCAGTTGAGGTCTTGCCCCGTCGCGTTTCTCTGGTTTTCCTGCCTTCTTGGGAAGCTTGGTAGCCCTATGCATGACAGCTCCGAGAGATGCCCACCGCCCCGGGATCGTTAGGGGTAGGGTTAGGCAGGAAGGAGCTCAAGGAGCAGAACCGATCGTCTAAGCTGCTCCATGGAGACTATGGCGATACCTGGGCAAGATGATTCCTCGTAACCTTCACAACGCTTCAGACGTGAGGAATACGAGAGACAAGCCCTCATAGACAAATGTGTATGTAAGACTGCAGAGAGAGGAGGAGGAAGTTAATGATGCAAAGGTCCCGTCTCGATACAATGTCCCAATGTACTCATCTCATAAGACTCCAGCACACTGTTCGCGCTGATGAGTGTGCATTTCATGTTGGGGGTTTCATTTGGCCCCATAAGTTACGGTTCAACGGACAAAACCTGATGGTGTGCATGTCGGCGCACCATTTATACTCGATAGATGCTGCAGCTGCCTGTTGCATGCGCACATTCAGATTGCATTACAGTCACTGGATGAGGCATGAAGGTGTGACTTTCAATTGTATCTCTTTTCAACTGTACTGCACCCCGGATCTTGCTACTTGATGACCCGTGTCCCAAACTAACTCATCTCCGTGCTTGCAAATCGCTGCTTGAAGCTCAGGTACAGTGCGTGTATCCGTCTCAGCAACATGCATATGTCTCCTTCCTCCCATATCCCCCCATATCCTCCCATAAGCCATTCGATAATGTTGCTGGTAATGCAGCCAGTTAACTCACGCCATGCATTATGCATCCTAACACCGTAGATGCACCGACGACTTCGGTATTGCCGATGCGTTGTCGTTGTTGTCCCGAGAACTAGGCTTCGTCCGCTGTTGTGCCCACGACCGCTGAATAAATTTCCTCTCTGCTCATTTCCAGATAGCGGCCTGAACGGTTGACTTGACTCGGTGCGGTCTTTTCGTGCTTTTTGAGGGCGCGTTTGGTATGATAACATGCTCAGACGCCGGTCGCTGCTGTGGCGGGAAAAGCTCCGTGGACAACCCGGATGGCAGTTTGGCGGTTTTAAGGTTTTTGTCGGCGGCGGTTTTTTTGCGAGGAGATTCGGCCTCAGGTTCGCGGTTTTTGAGGGTCAGACCATTACGACAGGCGCAAGTTCGCCTGTGATCGAACAGGCTGGGTCCTTGTTGCCTGTTCGGATGTCTTTGCTCGGCCCAGAGATGGCTGAAGGTGGGCGTGCAGCTGAAGTAGAGCGCCTTGGACAGCGCACGCATCTGATTCGTGATCAGCTGGCCAGGCTCGGCCTTGAGTAGCATGATTTCCTTCATCTTGTCCCAGACGTGGACGTAGCAGTGGTGTTGCGTGACTCCTGCGAGAATGTTTTCCCTGTTGAGATGTGAGGCGTCTGAGACGTAACGCTGGACCATTCTGGTAACCACCCCTCTGAACTGTTGGCACTCAGCAGGCCACTTATTGGTCGTTTGGCAGAAGCGGTGGTTGCGTCTGAGAGACGCCTCGATGTCTTCGAGCATCGTTGGGTCGTGCTCGGCCAGACTTTTCATGAGGGCTTCGGCGTCGCGTTGGTGCTTTCTTATTGCTCGGAGTAGCAAAGCGCTGTCTTGGACTTTGTTGAGCTCGTGGAAGACTCGATGGTCTACACCGCTGATGTTTTCTCCTGGCGTATGTGACTCGGGGGAGCCCGGCGGCGTGTCTTGCGTGGCCTGCGGTGTCGACGCTGTATCGCTTGATGCTGGGCCTGGTTGACTCGACTTGCTGAACCTGATGGTTACACTCTCTTCGAGAGAAACCTTCAGTAATTCCTTTGCTAGCGGCGAGTAACCCATCTTTGCTATCTGACGTTGAAATAGGCAGTGGCTGTTAGAGTAAGTTCGGTGCCTGAGGTTGATTATAATTTATGTTGGTGGTTGGTTGAATAGGTTAGGTGTATGGACTTGGTTTTGTCGGTGGTTTTATGAATGAGTTCAGGCTCTCGTGTCGGGCCTGTAAGAAATGGGGCGATGGCCAAGTTAAAAGATGGAAACGCTTCTCCGAAATCAATTAATTCACTCAGAGTGGGGAGCTGTGTTATAGTTTCTACATTGAGCGCGTTAGAAAACTCTATTGGCCCCGGAGAAGGGTTGAATGTATAATCTCTAACTACTCCCATTGATAGTCAACTCCACCCTCAATGTCCAGTCGTAGAGTTACCATGAGCTTGGTATTGACCTCCAGACGTAGCGATGTGTCCATAATATATACAATTCATTTCGCATCTCGAAAAAGAAGATGCACCAGTGTCGCATTCCTCTCGATAATCCTCTCAATGCGTGTGGTCATCTCAGGTTTTGCTTCGCTTCCAAGTACCCTCCCACGCAGCCCACCGTGCTTGAAACTCTATAAATCCATCTCCGCAACTTCAGTGGCTACAAGGTTTGGCCAAACTTCAGCCTTTACTTGATGTACAGTGATACAATCAGCAACTGTGGGACGGCTGAGTCTATATTTTCACAGCAAACTTCGTTTCGATGCGGCCTGCCAGGCTCTCCCGCCTTGGTGCATCAGATTCTCAGAAGCATAACTTTTTAACTTTTCAGGGCATATTTTCCCACCTCTGACAGCCTCTGGAAGTAGAAGACAGTTTCTTTAGTAGGTAGTTCCCCATGAGTTTACCATGGAGCAATGAAGCCTCTTGGATACCATCGCTATGGTGTTGAGTGCACTACTCCAGCACCAGCTATACCTGCAATACGAACCACAGTAACTGAAACCTCTAGACTAAAATATAATACTTCCACAGTCTGCGCTCCGCTGGCCCTGAACGCAGTCATTCGGTTGGAGCGCATGGACACCTCGCCGTGCGCAGTACCACAATCATGGTGCGTACAAGGTACGAGGCATTCCGTAGACTTCGTGTTCCCAACCCAGCAGACTGAGAGATGGTATCGACGTTGTGGAAGCAATCCAGGCTCTGCCGCAACCTTGAGCAAATTAACGATACTTTAATTTTATTTTATTTTATTTTAATTTTAGTGGCATATGGCTGAACTCTGTTCGTCTTCTCCCTCAGCCTTGACGCCAATATGGCTCCAGCGCATCCGGTAGAATCCGGCCGCGACTCCACGGTCATTCCGATGGAGTGAACGAACAAAGAACCCCCCTGTCTGAAGGGCGGTTTAGTGTGGTTCCTGACACCGGCGAGCTGAAAGGGGCAAACGCTAGCCTCCGTCTCACTTGCTCGCTCAGCCTCAGAACTCCACAGCACTAGGTAAGCTGTGCCTACCATTTTTGCCGTTGTGACTCAAACGCCGTGAAGCAGCTGCCTGAATAGACGTATCATTTCGAGCCTGAGTCTCAGTCACATCTGGCAAGAGAGACCCACGGCGTCTTTTCCTTACTTAAGACGAAGGCGCCCCTCCCGTCGTCTTTGCATCTACCGCGCACTCTCCCTCTCCCTCTCTGTGTAGTATCAAGGGTTTTGACGGAGCTTCTCTTCTGCCTTCTATCCTCTCAACATCTGTTCTCTCAACATCTGCTACTCGATCCGTGCGAGCTGGTCTCTTCAGATCTCGGGACGAACTTCTGGAATTCCCTCTTGCCCAGTGCAGACCAAATAGGAGCGCTACCGGCCGCACCACCGTCAAGATGCCATCTGCAGGTCACACCGGGATCAACATGTCGCCCCTCGGCCACCAGCGTTTACTCCTCGACATCCGGGAGATGATAGAACAGCCGTATCCGAACATTACTCTCATCCCCGAAGACCACGATATCCGGTCAGCATGTTTGGTCCTGACACCTGATAATTATGAGCCGCTCCATCTCACCGTCAGAGTTGGGGACCAGTATCCTCTGAATGCGCCAGAGGTATCCATGGACTCAGATATCATCCACCCAAATGTATTTGGAGACTACATCTGTGCGACCATCTTGAATACGTCGGACGGATGGACCCCGGCCTACACGCTCAAGGGCACCGCGATTCAACTACTCAGTTTCTTCGACAGCGAGAGCCTCGAGCGGGACTACGGAGGAGGACGACAAGACTTGGCTGATTATCAAAATGTCGACGCCAGGTACCTGAAAGAGCCATACAAGTGCAACAAATGCCACTTTGGCTCTACATACCTGCAGTCAATACGGCCGCGACAGGCTACCTCACGCGCTTATGATGCGCGCGTGGACGCCATTCCCGAGCAGTGGCCCATCTTGGGCGAAGTTGTTACGCCCCCGAAAGGCTCTCTGGGGCGAACGTCGAACATCTCGCGGGTCACGGATGGCACACAGCAACTTGACTCCGACGGGCCGCCCAGTGCAGTATTCGCCATGAACAAATTACCCAACGAGGTCCTACTGCTGATCATCGACCACCTCGAGGACTTCAAGCACCTGACTACCTTCGCCAGCGCCTGGCCTAGAGTCAGCGCAATCGTCCGTGACTTCGATGTCGTCCGGCAGCGGGAACTGCAATGTTTCTGCCTCAAGCAGGGATACCAGTCCGCCGGGCTCGGCGTGGGAGTTGACGTCAATCGAGGCCAGCTCTCATCCGAGTTCGAGCTTCTGTCCCGACAGGCCTACCGAGAGCTGAGCGTCCGCTGGTCAATTCACCATGTGCCCTTCCAATACTGGCTGCCTCTGCCAATCTCCCGACGACACTGGGGCAAAGTGAAGGGCGATCTCAAGGACTTCAAGGACCAGGTGAATCCGCATATCAAGAGCGCAACGAACTCCGATGCTCGATTCTTGTTCACCTTCATGAACGATATCGTGGTCAGGCTGAATGAAGTCGCGGTCGACACGGGCTACGAGATCGGAAGACACGCTAAAAAGAAGAGTACCCTTCTCCATGCATCAGAAAAGGCCATCGAGTCCTACTTCCACCTCTTCCACCTGCTCGTCTGCCTAGCCACCGAGAACCCCTCCGTCGTGCAACAGGCCAACCAGCTGCTGCAGAACTTCGCCGCTGGCAAGCAGTCCAAGACCGACTGCCCCAACCTCGGCCACCTCCTCATCGCCCTTCTGATCTCCGACGTCGAGGTGACCGAGGCGTTGACCAAGTCCATCGTCACTGAGGCCATCACCCGCAACGTCGTCTGGCTGCTGAACAGCATGCCGGAGCTGTCGTTCATGGAGAGGCAGAGCGTGTCGCCCTACCGCCTCGACAAGACGTTTCAAGGGTCGCGTACCTCCTACCGCCTACTCATGTTCTCGGAGCTATTCCGGCGGACTGCGCGGCCCTCCCACCAGAAGCCCCTGACCCAAGTGCGCGACGAGCTCTTTGAGCGCCACGGCGCACCGCCGCGCGACGCAGCGGCCCGTCTGGCGTCTGAGGTGCGACGTCTGCACACTATCAATGACTTCCCGGCCTTCATGAAGGAGATGGGCATTCGCAAAGCGCCTGCCCCAGACAACTTCACGGACGTGCTGCGCAAGACCGTCGATGCCAGCATGCGCAAGGGGTATTCCCGACCGGGGCTGACACAGGACGACGCCATGCTCTTGCGCCATCAGAGGGACCCCGATCTGTTGCTGACGAATGCGCAGAAGGAAGCGGTGGGTAACTACCGGTACATCAATGTCAATCTGGAGCGGGTCAGCTTCTTTCCTGGAGGTCGAGGTCGTGGTGGATTTCGCGGAGGACGCGGAGACGGCCGTGGACGAGGAAATGGAAATGGTGGCCGAGGTGGTCCGATGCCTAGAGGTAGAGGTGGTTACAGTAGAGGCTTTCTTGGAGGATACTAGCCCTCGTCATCGGGCTGCGTCGATGATTAGACCTAGTCGTGGGTAGCGAGCTTCTTGATCCGGGTAGCCCAAATGGATGCAGCATTACTTCACAGTTGCTTACTACTTTTCCCATGTACTACCTTCGCCAACTCACTCTCGTGACTTGCTTAACTCAACGGTAAACCAGTATACACCATTGACTTGTCCCGAATTGTTCGAGGCCAGCAGAGCAAAGCAGGGTTAGTTATCACTTCTCTGATTGAACCAGCCCTTGGGTTTTCACCAGCAATGAGCAGCTGGATCTAAAGATCGCAGACCACCTAGATGCCCTTCGATGCCAAAGCCTCCCCATCGATCCAGAGCACGTTTCCGGTCGCACCCTCAGGAGTGATGAACACACCGGCAGGCGATCGGTACGGTTCGACTACTTCACTATCCAACACAATCGTCACATTCCCCGCCTTCATCGCCTCGACATCGTAGCCCGGCCCATTGTCGTCGTAGACCGCCATGAACGTAGTGTTACCGTACCTCGGATCCGTGTCTCCCCACTCGATATAGCCTTCTGGCTTAATACTAGCATCTAGATAAGTATTCAAGAATATGCTTCTGTGCTGCGCATTCCAAGGCCGACCGAGGGCACATTGTCCCGCGATCTCCGCTGCGATCGTATCGTTGGCGGCGATGACGCGCGAAGAGGCGACGTAGACACCGTACTTGTTCGTGAATGTCGTATTGGTCCCTACGACACAGTCAACACAGAGAAAACCCCCCTCTACACCACACCGAAGGAGGGGAACACTCACCCTTCCACGCCGTAATCCCACCACCGCAGTTCCGCAACGCCAAAGTCGACCTCTCAACCCACGCCGTCCCGAACCCGTACAGGAAGTCCACCTGGCCCGCAACGACACTGTCGTAGAAAAACGCATTGCCCAGCTTACCCACGTACACCGTGTCCTGGTAGCTGTAGAACCCGCAGGCATAGAACCCTGCATTCGCATAACCCACGGTGAGCGCTAGTGCCGGGCCCGCCGCTTCGAGGGCGTACGTGTTGCGAAAGTCGATGTTGTAGGCCCGGAAGTCGGCGCTGCCGAAGGGCGTGTCGGCGGGTACGGCGAAGCCCGTGGGGCCTGTTCCTGTTAGTGAGGCGTTCCATGTTGGCGCCACGGTCAGCACGCTCGTGATGGCATTGTCGACGAGTTTCCCCGTGTTGTCAGTGTTGCCGGCTGCCCAGACGACCTGAACTTCGTTGCGGTGGTCTGTGTCGGATGTGACATCTGCGTAGGCTTTCCCCTGGGACGGCGCATCGCTCATGCCGAGCAGAGTCAGCGGTCTCGGTCTCGTGACGTTTAGTTGCTCCGTGTAGGTCCCGGGCGCTACCAGGATCACCTGGGAGGAGTTGTCGTGCGGGAGCGAGTCGATGGCCGATTGGATTGTGGTAAAGCTGACGCGAGAGCTGTTTTGGCTGACAAATAGAGTTCCTGGAGGGCAGCCCTGGAGTGGCCGCCACGTCTTGCGTTGGCAGTCGGCATAGGTCCTCACTGGAGCTGCGTGCGTTGCCCTGGCCCTACGTGCTGTCGAGCTTGCAAGAACCAGTGGAGAGACGACGGCTACGACAGCTACGACAAATGCATAGAGGGACTTCATTATGAGCTGCCCTTACGAACCGTCAAGTCGTGGAGGTGTCGTCACCCCGATGTGTTCATGCCAGCGCCTGCGCTCGCTTCCTAAGTTCCTATATATCCCCTCAGCCCCTCTGCTCTCAGTGGACTGATAAGTTATACCTTGTCAGAATTCATTGATGTGGTTCGCGGCTTTTCTTCCCCGCGACTTCAATGTTCTCCGCACATAATTAAGTTCCCCGGCTCCCCAACAGCTTGAAGTTGGAGGAGATGAGCAATAGCCCAGACCACCTGGGACCACATGGACCACCCGGACACGCCGGAGACCGAGCAGCCTTAAACGTTCAACGTTCAACGTGAATCTATTATAAGCGACAATTCCACTGTGGCGAGCAAGGAGCGGGTCGACTGCGTAGCCAGTACTGCCAGAAATGGCAGGTAGGGCATCGGAACTTACTATAATTAAAAGTTCCATCGTAGTCTTCTCTAATATGAATGTACATCGGAACTTATTGAAATTAAAAGTTCCATTGAATTAGGAAGAGTATCCTTCCTTACGTTTGAGCACATCTATTTATGTAGACAGTCTCACCCCTGCATTCGGTCACCGAATCAATTAGATCTGGTAACTAAACATCAATAACGTTAACGACGTACGCAACTAGGCATTAAGCACAGGTAAAAGTGGCGAGTCGGAAGTGCTTAAAAGCCTGCAATAGCATCCTCGTATAGCAACTGTGGAATCAAGTAACAAACAACCAGCAACCACCATAAATTGATTGATTGATTGATTGTATTTAACGTGGGGGATTGCTCCCCAGTAGTGCAAACCACGCCTCCCAGAGCCTCTGCATCGCAGGGTTGTGGAGGTATCAAGATAATAAGTACAGTCAGTCCCGCACACGAGCCCATCCCCGTTGTTGCGGCGGTATGACCTTGGGTCATCCATCTGGTCCTTCAAGAACAGCTATCTATCGAGGGCAGATTGATGATAATAAGTTGCCCTTCTCCACGAATTTTGCCCATTCTGTGCTCCTCTCCTCTAAGTATTGTAAACAAGCTGTCCTAGACGAGTACCTGGGCAGTAGCCGATTTTTCCCCAATCTCTTACAAAAGAAAATGTGTTGTGGTATTTTCTTCTTACCACAGCTGCAGTGATTATTCGAGTCTGTATGCCCAAAGCGTTCATGGTATCTGACAAAGTCGCCATGTCCAGATCTGGCCGCTAGAAGTCTGTGTAAAGTACTCCTCTTAAAAGATATAAGGTCTCTTTTAGTTACTGCATGTGAGTATACTTCTTGATACCTAGGTTCTGATCAGTCTTTCCACCATTAGTTGAACTCTTTCTTGCCCTTTCTTTTGAGATCTTTCTTAACCCAAGAGATTATAGGAAGGTTTATTATATCTGTTTCTAGCATGGTATCCTCTTTTGTTAGTGTGTCAGCAGCTTCGTTGCCATTAATATCTCTGTGTCCAGGAATCCACTTGACGGTCACTCCAGGAGTGTGTGCTGTGGCAAGTTCTTGAAATCGTAGAAAAATGTTCTGTGATGTCTCGGGTGGAGTCCTATTGAGCCCATCTACCACTGACGTGTTGTCCAGGCAGACATATAGCTGTTTTCCGTGTCCAATTGCCCTGGCTGCTGCAAGACCTTGGAGAGCGCCATGGACTTCAGCATCTATTATTTCTGCTTGGAAAAGTCTGTCTTTTCCCCGGTATATTTCTTGTGTAGTATTGCCTTTCCTGATGGTGTAGCCCCATCCAGTGCGGGTTGTGCCTTTGTCGTCCAATTATGATCCATCTGAGTAGATGACAAGGTCAGTGTTCACATTTCTCTCTTATAATTGGCCGTATGGCGCAATGGTCAAATGTGCCTGGTTGTGTTCTCGTTTGTGCGGTGGGTGACAAGAACAAGTGGGTTCGAATCCTGCTATGGCCCCCTTCTGACCCGGCTTGTGCCAGTCGACAACCAGCACACGACAGTGGAGAGGCCCCTTATCGCAGAGCCCGATAGCCACATAACATCTCACCCCCCCTGCGGACCACCCCCCCACGGACCACTCCACACCACACCACTCTCATTCAGATGAAGCCATCTACAACCACCACAGTTGCTAAATACACTAAGGTCGTGGTGTTCTAACCATAATACAGCTCCCAGAATCCGATTCCGACCCTAAATCTTCACCAGGGACCTCTTGTGGGACCTCTTTGCCTGCAGCGGAGTCCCTATAGACCCTTCTGTTCCTCAGCTCCATTTTGGCCTCCCTTATGTTAGTCATTGTGACGAATCGTTCCCCTGGTGTTGGTTTGACTGCTTTTCGAGTGGTATTAGCCTTTTTAGCCACTTGAGCCTCAAGCAGCTCACATTTGGCCCGTAGATTTGTAATGGTAGCAGCCTGAATATCCATGGCCTTGCCAGCCTTCCGCACCAACAAGCGCTCAGAGGGCCCCCCAAAAGAAGGGTCCTTTCTTTCGAGTTTTTGAGCACTCTCCCGCAAAGCCCGGCTTCCAGAGGGTGTTATGACAATGGTTTTAGCTACCATCTCGAGAAAATCTGGTGTTGTGGCTCGCTCGGAAGCCTTAGGGTCCCTCTGGCGTGCCCTGGCCACCCCCTTGTCCTTTAGAATCACATATTTCGATTTCAACGCCTCCGCTCTATTGCGAGGAACAATCCCAGTCTTTTTCCAGGCAATTCTGATGTTGAGGAGCGTCATTGTGTCCTTCCGGGCCTGCTCGTAGCACTCCAAAACCTCCTCCTTAGATGGCCTGAGTCCCAGACGGCCGCTGGGCGTCTCCTGGAGTAAGGTCTTCAACCTCTTCTTCACCAAATTGAAGACTCCCACATCTAACACCTGGACTACATGGGAGCAGTGAGGTTCATAAAAGATCAACCATACTTTGTTTCTCAAGCAGGTGGCTAGGAACTCGTCATTCGTGTGGGAGTCGTGGCCATCACACACCAAAACCACCCATGTGTTGCCGTGGACCTCCCGAATATGAGGAATAAAGATACGTTGAAGCCATTCTAACGCAATGGGATTCGAGGTCCATCCATTAGGCGACGTAATAAACCTCCAGTCAGTGAATTTGCCCTCGTTTTGGTTGCTAAATCACTGGGCTTGTACGTTAACCCCCTTGAGAATCACCAGCGGCGGCAAGGTCTCACCAGATCCGCTCACACACTCTAGGGCAGTTATCCATTCACCCTTCTCGACCCCTTTCTTCATAGCCACGTTGCCGGAGGCCTCGGAGACCACCCAATGGGAGTCCCCAACCCCCTGGGCGATTCCCATTTTGTCGACGTTGTACCAGCGTGCTGGCATGAGGTTAACCACGTCAGGGGCGTCACACCGATTGAAAAAAATGTTAATATTTGCCGCTGTAGCACCATTCACTCGGTTATAGTCGATAATACGAGACTTCATTATCTTGACTTCCGGGTTTCGAGACAGGAACTTGGATGCCCAATTTTTCCCTAATTCTCGAGCATCACCGGTGGCATGGAGCATCCGCTGGGCCATGAGACGGAACTTAGAGACCGCCGGAGAATACCCTAGCCGTGCTTGCCCCAGGGCCTAGCTTGCCAGCTTATGTTCGAGATACGGTGAGAGAGCCTGTTGGAGAGCGCTGGTCTCATTCCGCGTTGGGGTGCCAGAGATTTGTCGGTTGATGTACAAGCGACTGATTTGCCATTCGAGGGCTGACGAGCGGACTGGAGCTCCGCGTTGGATGGCCAAAATGGCGGCTTCGGCTTTTATTTGACGGTCGTAAAATGACATCATGAGATTCAGCAGTAGATAAGGATTCAAATAGAGTGCTTTGTGAAAAAAAGATGCAAAAGTGATGGTGTAGATGGTGGATCACCATAATCCTGGTGATTGGTGAATTACGCGTTTGTGGGTCAGAACGCGCTGGTCCGCGAGGGGGTGGTCCGCAGGGGGGTGGGAGATGTTAGCTTGTCTCCACAATACCCACTCCTGCGAGGTTTTTCCCCTTGTGGTTTCCCTCGCCAGCAGATAACAAACACCCACTTCACCCACCAATGCGACATATATCGAACGGCTACTGGAACGATGTGTTTACCAGAGGACTGAGGTTCACTGGGTCGTTTTGTCACTGGACAGGAGGTTTTTCTGACGGAATTGTGCTTGGGTATTGACTAAAACCATCTGGTCACTCCAGGTTGGTACCGCTACAGCGAGGATAGGCTCGTGCGCGGATCTGAATGTATCTAGACTGACACCTCTACAACCTTGCGATGCAATGGCTCTGGAAGGCGTGGTTTGCCCTATGGAGGGACTGCACCCACCGATAAATACAGTCAATCAATCAATCAATCTCTCTTATAATTATTCCTTGAAGAGCTCTGTCTTTTTGTCTTTTCCTTTCGGATTGGGGACTTTTTTCATAATGGCTTGGTGAGTATTGATCTCTGGAAGTCAGGGACTAGCTGGAAGTTCCTTTGTAGCCTTGTTGGTTCCTTGCGAGCTTGTACTTGGAGCCTGCCAACACGAGGGTGTCTTTGGTCTAAATGTCCGAGTCATAGGTCATGACGCCGTCTTATTGCCTCTGCAAGAACTCCTGCTGGAGGAATCTGTGATTTAAAGCGTAGGATATGTCCAGGATGTGTTTTCCAGACCGGCAGGATAGCCCTGATCGCTGTTCGTAGTACAGCATCTATCGTTCCAAGAAGCCCCTTAATGCGACATGTTGATGTCTCACCTGAGCTCCTGATTTTTTTGATTCCTGGGTACCAGGCCTCTAAGTCATGTGTAAGAATAGGAATAACACAAGCTTTTACAGCCCTCCTAGTTGACTTTACTGGGAGTCCTTTGACTGTGTTGTTTAGTCCTCAAAGGTGATTTGCTACCTTACTAGCTTTCTCGGCCCAGTAGGAAACATGATCTTTGAAGTTTAGTTTTCTATCCAGCAGGACATCTAGCTATTGCATGGAAACCTTGGTTGTTTCGTTCATTGTCCCGTGGCAGACTGGAGGGTTGTCTGAGTTCTTTTTCCTTAAGAAGTGCATGATCTCAGTTTTGTCGGGGTCAAATTCAATAGCGTTGTTATGTCCCTATTAGTTGAGCAAATGAAGATTTTCAGAAGCCTCTGTAGCTGTTTCCTTAAGGTTCTTTCTAATACAGAGAGTTGCTAGGTCGTCTGCATATACAAAGCGTCTTCTTTTCATGCGAAGTTGGGCACAGATTGGCTCGGTATACAGCATGTAAAGGATAGGAGAGGCTGGTGAGCCTTGTGGTAGCCCGCAAGTGAGAGCTTTTATATCAGTCATGATACCTTCAAACCGAACCCTTGCGGACCGAGATTTTTTACTAATACATAACTAAGTACAAGTTCCCTTCGCTTGGAGTTATCTACACAACGCTACCAGAGGATCCTCGAGAGAGTGTGGACCCGCTATGTATGGTTTTCCATCAGAACAAGTGGCGATGGAAGCTTCCGCGGAATCCTACTTACCTAGACGGTATCATATCCATTTAATGGATCACTGCTGCCTAACAGGTAGCCATCTGGTTAGAGTACAACATGTTCTTCTAAGACCAATACACCAGATGGATGACCCCAAAGTCATACAGCCGCAACAACGGGGATGGGCCCGTGAGCGGGACTGACTGTACTTATTATCTTGATACCTCCACAACCCTGCGATGCAGAGGCTCTGGGAGGCGTGGTTTGCACTACTGAGGAGCGATCCCCCACGTTAAATACAATCAATCAATCAATTCTAAGACCAATACCAAAAACACGGTTGCCACCATGAGCACGCTCAGCATCCCCGTCAGAGGTGTGTGTCCCTTCGAAACTCTGGGCAAGGTTTATTTGATGTGTGCATACTCAGTATACAGATGCGCAGGCGAGATTAAACGGCGGGGGCATCTTTTGCTGCGTGATCGAGAGGTAGAGCTGCTACTATGGACTTCATTTCCAGTGCTTGCCCTATTGAGACTTTGAGGGCATTATGAGTTCTCTATCACGAGTTTTCAGACGTCGACTTCCTTTCTGAGAGACGGCGTCTTTCCAACAGGCACAAATACTCCCTATAATTTACAGCATAGCTTGCCGAGGGCGGCACGACGGGGAATTACGCTGTACCTACAGTGTACACGTATTGCTTTGCAGCCGAAGAATTCGTAGCATGATCGCTACCCCAACAAAAGTAGCAAGATAGAATATCCCCCTATCTGGCTGCCCGCTTGCCTGCGCCCGAGCTTAGTACGGATATCTTGCACAGGATCGTGGCCTCGGCGAGTCTAAGAGGGGTATGTACAACAAGTCGCGACTGGAAGGGACGTTCGGTAGTAAACTGAATGCGTAAATCTAGTTGGTAGCGCTCTCGTGGGTGGCCTTGGGGCAATGCTAGCTAACGGCCATGACATCGGCTATGATGGTGGATCTGACAGAACTGATGTCTACGCAGTCGGTACCCTGCAACGTATTCCATTCAAGCCGGTATATAGTCACGTTCAGTGTCGTCGATGCGTGGCGGCGAGGGAATTATCACTTTAATTCGCGGCAGCCGTTGTCAAACAGCGGCATAGATGGTTTTGTGGTTGATAGCATGTATTTTGATGATTTCTAGTATGTGTATGTACATGGAAGAATCTTTTAATGTGTTATATAGCACATTAAATGCCCTCAGAGCCCTTGTGATTACACTGCCAACTCCCTCAACGCCATTGCGGCTTGCATGCCTCTTAACAGCCGTTGCTCTGGCATCCCCTGCGAATTTGTGTGCTGGGGTAGGAAATAGTCGTCATTAAGCCGACGTCTTTTGGCCCCTTTGTAGGTATGCCATCCAATCACTCCAACCATATTTCAGACAGAACAAAACAGAAGAAACTGGATGGCTGGCTCCCCAAAGTATGGACTTGAAAATTGCTCGCACGCGTGTGTTTGCCAAAGTCAGAGCAAGGACGACGACGCCGAGGGAAATGGGAACTGGACCACGTTACCGGTAGTACATCTAGTGCAAATACCCGGCTTAATATTTGCAGTGGGATATGCAAGAACCATGCGGCTGCTCTGGAATCACCATGCGCTTCTTATTTCCTCCGTGTTTAATACATACAGGTTAGCTTGAGTTGATACTCAATGGTCAATTGGTTGTCGCCAAACTCAGCGTTTTTCATGCCAAATATGCTAGACATGAACGACAGGGGCGACTGCATTTTATGTTAGATACACTCGACTATGTGAGCTGTGGGAACTTACGAAGATAATGGTGACCACTGTGAACACCATGATGGTGCGCCCTTGGTTGAAACCCTCCTTCGACAACTTGACTGATTGGAGAGCCTGCACAACACTGTCTTGCTGCTGTCTAAGCTGCGATAAGTCTTTGACCTGCAGCGAGTTTAGCAAAGAAATCCAGTCTATGCCACATGCGTGACCTTACCACGTCCGCAGCGGCCGAGGCACTCTTCAGGAGCTTTTCTAGGTAGTCGACGCGATCTCTCACGTTACGGAGGAGGTCTTCTGCACCGACTTTGAACCTGTCGAGATGTGCGGGTTCGGTTTGGTTCAAGTCGATCTGCTTAGACAGGATAGTGAGAACATGGTGGATGAACTGCTTGAAAGTATCCAGCTGTGTTCTGTTGATTGAAATCATGATCTCCAGTTCTTCGACGATGTCATGGATCTCCTTTTCGAGTTCACCTTCGACACCGGCTGTCCAATGGGGTATTGCAAGGTCAAGGTCAGCGTCGCTGCTTTGTTGACGGTTGATTCTTCTGGCTCGATCGATCCAGTCCCAGAGTCGCCAAATTCGACAGTCTGCTTCTGAGTCTACACCGGGCGTTGTGAGTTAGGGCCTGTATACTGTTGGACATTGCAATTTGGATACGTACAAAGCCTCGTATGGCTTCTGAAAACGCGTCCAGGACCCGTGGCTGACCGGTATAGTCTTTGGTCCTGTTGAAGAAAGTGTTCGAGCATTCGTCCATAATGACTAAAGCGATATCGCACGCAGAATTGGCCGGCTTTCCTGAACTAAGGCGTGCTTTGACTGCTTCGAAAACGCCTGAAGGGTCATGGCCTGTGGTGCCATACCGTCGGGGAAAGCACGCAACGATGGTTTGGTTGTCCAGCATCCACATCCACAACTGATCGACCATGACAACCCGAGAGACTTCCCGAATGTTGGTTCGGCACTGGCGGCAGCCTCGATCTCCCCACATGTACTCGTGGCCTTCCCATTGACGTGTTTCTGCATTGAAGCGGTGGTGGGAACCCACTTCAGGAGTCGTAGCCCGATATACTACCTGGGTCCGATCTTTGGCCCGCGTACTGCTAAGCGTCGTGTAGTACCCTGGTCCAGGGTGCGACGCGGGTGGACACAGGGGTTGTCAAAAAGGTACTTCTGGAGTAACTTCTTGTCGCGGTAATCGTTCATCCCTTCGAAGAGGCGCGCTGCATCGATCAAGTACTGACCAAGCTTACTTCTGGCAATCAATCTCCCACGGCGGTCTGTCTCGATTTTGCAGCTTCCAGTAGAGTAACCTGTCACCCTCTGGACTAGTGTTTCCATCCTAGTAATCTTCTGAAATGATACTGGAATGTCGGTTCCCCGACCGAAGTAAGCATCTGCACTTATTCCGACTGGCACACCCCATTCGAGCTGATGGATTCTTCGACTTGTGAGTGGTTGGAGATCTCTTCTTCGGTGCTGCCTACGTCTCTTGGAAGCCAATTCCATTTGGTCCCGTTTGAAACGGTTGGAGGCTGCTAGCTTATCTATTTGGCGGGAGAAGGTATTGAGTTGCCTGGAAGTTTCCCAATGAAGAAATGGTGACTTCGTAGGAAGTGAATGAGATACAGATCTTCTTCTTGGATTGATGGACCAACTCACAAGCAGAACGACGTTCCTAGTTCGCTCGAGGCCACGTTCTAGGACATCCTTGACTCAGGGGTGTTCTATGGCAGGTGGGTGGGAAGAGCTTACCTGTAGAGACAGAGTCGCAGAATGGTCGCATGAAGCGAGACGTGGGGTTCATCTGCAGACCATAGGACTGCGATCTCCAGTGAGACTCTCGTAGGAGCATAGCAGTCTGTGAGGTTGCCATAGTACCACGTTGCCGGGAGAGATCGGGACGTTCTTCGCCGTAGTAAGACGCCATGGCTTGCTAGGAGACGACCTGATCAGAAATCTGCTTTGCGAGGACTAGATAACCTTACCTCCACCCACTGAGGGCAGTTTGTCAGCGAGAACAGAACTAAGTATCTTGAGGGAGAGCATACCGTCATGTTGTTGGATGGAATATGCACCAGCCTGACCGCGCCTGGAAGTCGGGATTTGGATAATACGCCATTTGCAGGGTCGTCGGAAGACGACTTGGCTATCAGGCTAACCGTGATGGTTTGACCTGGGAACCTACCATCGACTCTGACATCGGAGTCATTCAGAGGCTGGCCATCTTCAAATTGCATGATAGGTACCAGAACGTGTTGGTCGGGGTCGTAATCGAGGTCGTGATGGCCGGGCTTATGAATCCCACCAGCACCCATCTTCTCATGGCGCGGAAAGATTTATGGGGGTGTGCCGGTCCTAAGCCCTTGTCTAGCACGCCATGCGCGGGTGCGCTGGATGTTACCGACAAATTCAGTCGATATTCTCCAAGCGATTCCGCTTAGCTCCAGTGTCAGTCCGAGGAGTTGCTCGTCCGGGTCGCATGAAAGGGCACTACGCAGGAAGTCGATGCGACGAAGATGATCCATGCAGTCAGATTTCCACTGTAGCCTTTCGGAACTTGTCTCTGGGTCCGCGTGATTGGGACCCTCCAAGAAACTTTGACGATCCCATATCTCAATGCAGCCAAGGAAATGGCGGATGTGGTCGGTGATGTTCTCATCATGCGGAGCATCGCTCAGGCAGGACGGACGAGGGTCGTCATCGTCCATCGTGGGCCAAGGCTAGCCCAACTGGCAGTGGTGTAAGAGTGACTGTGTATTTGTTCCAGCGATGGCCGTCGGAATGATGTCAACAGCCTGGTTGACGACTCGCAGGAGGAGGAAGGAACGATGTTGATTCAGCCAGCCAGATGGAAGGGAGGTGCGAGGAAGATTTATAATACTCCGGCCAAGATTGCATTGGTGTTATGACCGGGAGGGGTCGCCGATCCTGCTACGTTGGGGGCCAGGATGACTCCCGCCTGCATGTATGCAAGGCTACAAAAACAACAAATCAAGCATGTGTTGTCCAGTTTCGCTAGTACATAGAAGTTTCCCGCCGATGACATTGGCCCACCCTTGACCTTGGTCTAAAAACCAAGGTCATCCCGTAGCCATTACTGGCAATAAGGTATCCAAAGTAGCATACAGAAGTGAAAGAGCCGGCCAGAACACACGAGCACTGTGACTTTATCACTGCGGGTCAGGAAATCATTGGAGGAATAAACATCCGATAAATAGATAAATAGCCTTTTCGGTCATCACCTGGACCAGCGAGCGTAACATTGAAAAGCCCGCACAGAGACACATTGAGAAGCTTAACCCATTGCTTCATCTGACATAAGATAGGTACACTGACCCTCCAAAAGTCTCCGAGCATCCACCACGCTAGTTTCAAAACGCGTCTACGCGCTCGCGACCCCCTTCCTTCTTCACCTTTTATAAACTCAACACCAAAACGATGGATTTACAAAAGGCTGGTACAATCCTGACCGCAAATTGCGGGCCAAACCAGGAATTTACTTTCGAAGCTCGTGTAGCTATTGTGGCTGCCAGGGCGGCAGGCGCAAGGCGCGACGATGTCGCAAACGCGTTCCATCTGGATCGGCCTCAAACCGTAACCGACATTATCAACACTGTTAGAGAGCATAACACCACGGTCTCTCAACCTTGAGAGGGAGCCACACGGACTCTAAACAAGCGTGAAGAAGCTCAACTAGTTAAAATAACACAATAATACCCCAGGGCCGCCTATAGAGAGCTCAAGAAAGAGAGCAGGGTCCTCAGCTCCCATACCATTATTAAGTGCGTTCCTTGCGCTCACGGGCTTTGTAAATAGAAAGCGGCAAAGCGGATCAAGCTTACAGAAGATGACGCACGAGAGAGGCTTGCTTTTTGCAATAAATACGATTCCCTGGAGGCTCTGGAGGAGCTGATGTGAACGCTCTTCTCAGACGAAGTCACGGTCCAGAATTCATCTGATAATCCGGGCGATTGGTTCATGCACCTCTCTTCTGAACGTTACAGGCAGGATCTCGTGAACCCTCGGAGCCATGGGAGACCCCGTATCTCCATTATGTGTTGGGCCTTGATCTGGTTACACGGCAGAGAAGGTGGCCTAGGCAAAATCATCTTTTGCGAGCCCGATAAGGATGCTCCTCGCGGAGGAGTATCTTCAGCTTCATATCAAGACGTCCTTGAGGAAGGGCTCCTTCCGTTCTATGAGGCTGGGGATCCTTTTATGCAAGATAACGCTCGCATCCATCGATTTGGAGGCACTCCAGAGTGGCTAGAGGAGCACGGCATCTGGACAATCGACTGGCTTGCTCACAGCCCTGATTTGAACCCGATCAAGCACGTTTGGGCACTTCTAAAGAAGCAGATACGGAGAATCGAGCCTGGTTTTGCTGATTTGAAGGCTAATATTGCCCACGAGGCATATACCAGACAGTTAATCGAAAGGGCGTGGTCAGATATCGATCCTGAGGATGTACGCGTTCTCGTCGAATCTCTCGGCAACCGAATCGCCGCAGTGAAAAGGGCAGGTGGTTGGTACACACACTATTGAACTTATACAATGCAGTTTTTTTCATATTATTACAGTGAGAGATGGGTGCATGATGAATGCTGAAAGTTGGAGGGTGTAGGCGTGTAGGGCTGCTCGAAAAGTGGGCTCGGAGACTTCTGGTCGGGGAGTGTAACTTGAGATACAGTTAGACACCAAGTACACATTGAATGTATACCAGTCGCTGCTAACCAGCGTGAAAGGCTTACGGGATGCCAGCATCCCGCACAGATCCCCAGTAACTACAAATATATATCCCAAAATCCCGCCTACTATACACTTGAAACAAGACAGTGCGCCCAGAGTTGTGGCACTTGGGCTCGAAAGACCTCAATACCACTCTCCCGGACCAAGATCAATCTCCTTCCCCTTCTTGACCTGCTGCATGATGTCGTCGATGCTCCAAGGCGCAAACTTATACCCTTTGGGATAATTCGGCTTGATCTCCTTCGTGTCTTCCAGACCGACTCCCTTCCGCATGGCACCCACACACATTTTGTAGTTCTCGTACGCGTAGACCTCGGCGTCGTGCTCCCAGATCCACTTGGGCAGTCGGGGCGAAGACTTGCGCGGGTCAAGCTTCACCTGGGCCCAGTCGGTCTTTTGCAGCAGCTCCGCGTTGGAGAAGCCGATCTTCTGGGCGCAAGCGGTTCGCGTGAATCTATGATGAAGTACTGGGTTAGATCGTTGTCGTTGCAAAAGATCGCATCTTGCAAGATGGATTCTTACCTCAATGTCTTGTGCACCTTGACCGCCTGCTGTATCTTGTCTTTACCTCCGATCTGGAGGCATGATGCGAGCGACACAGCGTCTTCGAACGCCTGCGTCGCGCCGTTGCCAGAAGAGGGCAAGAAGCTGTGCGCACTGTCTCCTATCTGTACCACGCGATGCGATGGCGACGCCCATTGAAGCTGGGGATCCCTCCACCACAGCTCGTAGTTGACGATGGTACCGGACGGGGTGCATTTCACGAGCCGCTGGAAGATCGGGGACCACTCGGGGACGCCATCAGGTGTGTTTCCCATGGCGTCTAGCACCTCCTCAGCTTCGATGGTGTTGTTCCAGGACTCGGTCTCGGACCCAGTGACCTAGAAAGAAGGGTGTCAGTCCCGAGCCCGGCTTGGTATTGGCCAGTCTGTGCTTACATCGTGGTTGATGATCCAGACCACCACATCGTCGCGTGTGAGAGTCAAAGCATATGATCCAGGCCTGCAGCAATGGTCAGCTTCCCCTCCACTTTCAGATCTTTCGCGGCTTGTTACTCACGCAAACCATGTTCTCACCACCGGATCGGTTCCATCCTTGAGCCCGAAGAATTTCTTGACCTCCGGATCGGCGTTGAGACATTCGACCGGCATCACAGCGCGCCACATGGCACGACCAGAAGACCGCGCGCGAACTTCACCTCCCATCAGCTCGTTCGCCTTGGATCCGATACCGTCGGCAGCAACCACGAGATCAGCCTTGAACCTCGTCCCGTCATCGAGCTCAACGCCGCCCTTCTGATCATCCTCGAAGTAGGCCTTGACGCGTGATCCGTATTCAATCGGGATCCCAAGCTTCTCGACCTGCTCGAGTAGCATTCGGTGCACAAGCGGCCGCATCTGGAACGCCCCTGGAGCATTTCCGGGGTCCAGCCCGGCAGCATGGAGGCGGTCGGAGACCTTCTGTGGCGGAAGCATCAGGGCGCCGTCGTGCTTGTACGTCTCGATCCACGCATTGTGGAGAGATATATCATCGTACCGTCGCTTCATCTCGGGCCAGTGCCGGAGGAAGCGGGTGGCGCTCAAGCCCATGAAGTACATGTCCCCTATCTCAGTGGTCAGCTAGCCGCCTGGTCCAGCACGCGTCCTTCTCAAAACCTACCGGAGACGTCTGGGACGGAGTGGCGCTCAAGAACGCGCACATTGTGTCCTTTGCGGGTGAACTCGAGCGCGGCCGTCAGACCGCCGAACCCAGCTCCGACGATGAGCACGTCAATACCGGTGCTTGGGTATGTCCCGACAGGTGCGAACTTCAATGCATCAGCTTGCGATATGACACTCAGGTGTCGTACATTGTTGCGCGCTTCCTGAGAATCGACACGAGCCAAAATCTCGAAACACATGTTGAGGGTGTAGATCGGGCTATGTGCGTAGATTGGGCGACGTGTGTAGATTGGGCGACTGGGCGATACTGCTTTCTTCTGAGTGGGAATGGCGTAATGAACAGATCGAGTGGTTGGATAATGTAGAAGTAGAGGATCGTGTACAGCATAATATGTCCTCCTTCGATAAGCCCCTACTCCACAGACCTATCGGGTATAGGAAGTCTCCAGAGCAGCCGAATGACATGAGGCTCAGCAACGGCGACGTGGCCAGCGCACGCCCATGTTTCGAGTAGAAACCAAGGGTTGACTGAGCAATGCATACGATGCTTTGCTTCGCCCCCAAGGAGCCCGTTCCTCCGCAGCGCAGTGAAACCTCGAGAAGAAGTCGAGAATAACTTGGGATACCACTTCGCGTGACATGGCAACGTACCGCGGACGGCCAAAGCGCGCCTGAGCGCTGACACAGTTCAGCATACGTACTCAGCATACGTACACTGTCTTGGCCAGTGTCCATGGTGGGAATATCCATTTGCAGAGTAGATTTTACGAACCAACGGCCTTTCGACACGTAGCCGTGAAACGTTTCTGCTCTCAGGAACAAGAGTTTCCGGGAAGGACAAGCAGTCCGGGCTGCAAGGTCTCGATATCATGGCATCTCCAACAGTACCGAGTCTTACTATCACTACATCTCTGGATGGTGACCAATATCCTCGCATTCGATGGATGAAGACGTTGTAGACTCGGCAAGGGGTGTAAGCCAGGCGAAGCAGCATCACCGTCTTTTCCGCAACCTCTGGGCGTACAAAGATAGGAGTTCATGAGTATGAAGTCTGAAAGTCATTCATAGGGTCAAAGAGCTGGGCGCCAACGCTAGTTATGAAACATCCACGTTTACGGCAAGCGATGGGGTGTCCGGAGTCTTGTTGTGGAGGAGTCCGGTGGTCGGCCCCGGCGCCTCTTGCCGGCCGCGCGCCGGCTACATAGTTCAGATGAAATGTAAAAATAGCTCATAAGTAAGAGTTTCGCTCGAGTCCCAAGTCAAGGGCTGGACTGTTGCGCGACGGTTCCTACTAAGATGTCAGAAAGATAATGTGAAACCGCATCAACCTGCCTTCAACAAAGCTCGTTTGATCCGGCCTTTAGAGCGACGCAAGATTGGATGTTGCTCTAGGTAGGCATCAACCAGGTCAACGTCCACGAGTCTACGCAGAGTTCGTGTAGTATTATTAGAGTTCCCGACCCGTCTGCGTCGAGACAATGAAGAATGTTTCCAGCTCGGAGCTTTCTTGTAGCTAAGTCTGGCAAATCGCCCTTCATGACCGGACCTTATCATTATTTGCCATGACAGCCCTTCACCATTATTCGCCATAACAGCCCTTCCAGGAGGAATCATGGCTTAACATGGATGGCATCGCAGTCGTAGGACCGTCTGTACCGGGTCGCGCGGGTGAAGAGGAACTGCAGCGCGAGACGGAGACTTACGTACCTTGCATAAACTGCAAGACGAGCTCGGCGACGACAGGCTCGAGACTTGTCGTGAAAGCCATTGAGTCTTTCGAGTATGAATCGGCTCATGCATCACCACACGCGGAACCATATGCGTCCCAAAGCGGAAGGTGGCCGACTCCGGGATCCTAGAAGCCGGGAGGTGCGGCTCCACCATCTGGAGATGCCAGGGTCAGGTTGTTTGTCATCTTCATCCTGTTCCCCTCTCGTAGACTTACAACACTCACAGCGACCCTTTGATCATTCAGCTAGAATTGGTACCGTTACTCAAGTGGCCTTGAGTGTACTCCCAGTCCTGGTCTCTTCACTCGGAACGACCCGAACCCCAGAGCCTTGCGGAAAGCCGGAATACATAATGCGGGGTCTACGCATACGTCTCACCTGCCTCCTCGGCATCGCCGCCATCTGTGGCTGCGTCAGCGCGGCCGGCGCCAGGAAGACGCCGCAGATCCAGACGCTGCCTTCTCTGCGCGAGCAGGCCAAAGTCATCGATGGCTGGACCGAGGAGCGCCTGGAGCTCATACCGGGGCTACTGCGCAAGTACGGCGTTGACGCGTGGCTGGTGTGTCATACCAACTCATATCATGTCATCTACGGCCATGCTTTCCTCATCTACGATACCCAATCTTATACACAGCCGCCTATCATGCCAATGATGTTGCACTAACCAGTCCCCGCAGATGAGCCAGCGCGAGTACGCCGAAGACACTGTCTTCTGGGCCCTCAAAGAAGCCACGCAGTCCTCAGCGCGCCGCCGCACCACAATGCTTTTCGTCGCAGACCCGCCCGGATCTTACACCTGGATCGACAACACAAAGCAAGTGTGGGCTGACCTGCGGGAGCTCTTCGCGGAGCGGCGGCCCGAGACCGTGGCGCTGAACACGCACTCGGAGATCGCGTTCTCGGGCGGCCTGCACGCGGGCGAGTTCGAGGCGATTGTGGAGGGGCTGGGCGAGGAGTGGACGGGCACGTTCGTGCTGGAGCCCATGTTGGGTGTCGAGGTTGTGGCAACTATGGTGGGGAGTCGGCTAGAGTGGTATATGAAGATGCAGGAGACGGCGTGGGCGATTATTGCGGAGGCGTTTAGTGAGAAGGTTATCGTGCCGGGGAAGTCGTCGAGTTGGGTAAGTCTTCCTTCTACTATTTCCTACATTGACATGTGTGAGACATTTCATGACGAAGCTGGAGTAAGTTGTCATGCTGATGAACTGGGTCTTAGGACGTCGAGTGGTGGATGCGAGAGAGGATCCAGTCCCTCAACTACACGACTTGGTTCCAACCTGGCGTGTTTATCTTGACTGGCGAGGGCTTCCCAGCGGTGACGAGTGATGACCCGAGGGGTGATGACCCGAGGGCACCAAATCGCCCCATCCGGTACGGCGACCTCATACATACCGACTTCGGCGTCACAGCCCTGGGCCTGAATACGGACACACAGCACCTGGGTTACGTCCTATATCCCGGAGAGACGGAAGAAGACGTGCCAAAGGGTATGATCGACGGCCTGAAGAAGGTCAACAGGCTTCAGGATATCGTCAGGGAGAACATGAAGATTGGTGTGACGGGCAACGTGATACTGAAGGCGGCTCTCGCACAGATGCACGATGAGGGTATCGAGGGCAAGATCTACTGCCATCCCACCGGGGAGTGGGGCCACTCGGCAGGAACAGTCATTGGTAAGTCCTGCCCCTATATCCTGTGCCACTGTGAGATCCTCTTCCTCTGCAGACCGTACTAAGCAGTTGCAGGCATGTCGAACCTTCAAAAGAACGTGCCAGTTCTAGGGGACCTGCCGCTGCTGAAGAACACGTACTACAGCATCGAGCTTTTTGCCGAGCACTTCGTCCCGGAGAGGAACATGACAATCAAGTTTGCACAGGAGGAAGATGTGTACTGGGATGACGAGACGAGCAGCTGGGAGTGGGTATATGGGAGACAAGAAGAGCTTCTCCTGATCAGGACCCCGGCTGAGGATGCTTCTCAGGGGCCGGCAGAACTGTAGACTGGTGGATAGGGCATATTGTGCATCGACGATGTCTGCTTCTTGGCTTCATAGCAGGAGGTGGTGAGAGTATTGTTCGACACGAGCCTGTAACCCGGGGGATGCATGTACCTTTTTGGGGCATGCAGCCAAGGCGTGCCGAAGTTTCCCGACTGCGTGCCGCATCGGGAGCCAGGAACTAGGTAAACATCGATGTACCTGTAGTTCTCCTCTGCTTTCGTGTGACTCTATCCCCAGATGCTTGTGAGAAAAAGAGGGGCTTGGCATCTACCAGACCCCCGGATCCGCCCAATCAGTGACTGTGCGGGGCCGCTCTCATGCGGACGTTGGGGAGGGATGCGCCGCCGAGGGTGGAAATATGATGCAATCATGCTTCGAGGTGCATCTTTCGCGCAGCTGCGTTGAAGCAAGACATGGCTGCTATGTCTGTAGTAAACACCGGGAACACATCGGATGCTGAGACCTGATTCACTCGAGAAACCCGCCTACAGGCTGACACTGTGGTCCGCTGGAGTATTGAAGTCAGCGAGTGATGGGTGTCTGGGTCATTCATGAGCCGAAGTGGTGTGTAGGTGGACGTATGGTATACCCAACTTTGGGTACACATGGCCATGTTGTCCACATGCTTATCCGGCGACGTGTGATACCAGTGTTTGAAGGAGGGAATAGGTGGAAGATATGACGAGATAATGGATGGGTAATTGGTTATAACTTAAGGAATGACTTGAACCCCCCTTTCCGAATATGAGTAAATCATGCACATAGACCGATCTGGTCGGATTGCCCATTTGGATGATGCCGAGCGCTTGCAACTACCCAACGCAGGTCAGTAAGGTCAGTAAGAATCGTCACCAGGCCTGAAACCGAGTATTGGGGTAGTTATATATAGTACCTTGGATCTTGAAGGGTTGATGACTTATGTACGGCGACCAAAGGCTACAGCCGGGAAACGAGCAGCCTTCATGGTCGGACAGCGTGGCTTGTGAGGTTGCGCCAACGAGGTTCTATACGATCTGTGGCCGAATTGACCCAGCAGCTTGGTAGCTTCAGATCTCAAGGCGGCGGTCTGCGGCTGTGCATAGTTTTATAATCAGTAAGATGAAAGGATGATAAGGCGGTACTATGGTACAGTGACCTTCTTACAGACAGATTGCTTCGATGGTCTGGTGTACTTGCCATGTCTAAATAATAATCTTGGGTGCAGTAGTCTGTCTTCCATTGTTGGCTAATAATAAATCGTGGAAGGCGACTTGCAGCCTGCAGCTCTTGGATCGTTCCATCCCTTTTCTGCATGCACCTTCATGTTTCCTGCCTCACGCTCGCGCTCACGGCCTGAGGAACTCCTTCCAAGTGCCTCGCTTTTCCCCGTTCGCTTAGGTTCCTGTCAACATTGAAGACAATTGGCGATACTGGGTACTTGTTTTGGTTTGCTGGCTGAGAGAACCCCCATCCATTTCCATTTCCATTTCCATTTCCATTATCTTCACTGCGAGGGAAGTATCATCAGCCGGTGTTTGTGTGACGTTATTGGCTGCATGACGGAGCAGGACGGGCGATCCATTCGCGGTAGCATCGATCCTGCGAATGACGTTTTGCCCGCTGCCCGCTGTCCGCTGCTAGAGAGACAAGACCCAGACCCCGGGACCCAGACTGCCAGACCACAAGGACACCGACGACGGGCGACGTCGCTCTGCGAAACACCTCACCACCTCACCACATGTACTTCACCACTTGCTACGTTCTATTTTATTCTCTGACCACATAGAACATAGACCGAATACTGGTGCCGGTAACGTACAGTTTTGGCGCTTCCTGACGACACCCACGCGTTCTCACTATCTTCGCCATTGGTCTTTCCATCACTATTCTCCGTGTCCTACCATCTGTCACCACGGTCACCACGGTCACCACGGTCACGGCTGAGCGAGCATCTTCCACCATTGTGTTGCTCTGATCGGAAGAACCACACCGTTGCGACCTCGAAGCCTCCGGGTCGATAGGTCAAATAGGTCAATATACTTTCCGTTAGTTTAGATGATTGATTAGCCGTTAGTCAACCCACCCAAGAACGAATTCACACCAACCAAAGAACCAAAGAACCAAAGCTGACTCGAGACTCAACATCACAGCGCATCACATCTTATCACGTCCACGCTCCCATCGCAGTGGAAAGCACCGATAGCTTGCCGACCGACCGACGTCTCCATTCATTCATCCATCCACCACCACTTCTGCCAGAGCATCTAGATTGATCCTCGTCCTCATTTGCAACAACAACGATCCTGACTTGCACCGAATTCGACATCGCCCGAACCTAATTCCAGACCAGAGACGCCCGTTGCTCAACCGATTTCCGGATAGCTACCTGCCTTTGCGATCGACTTTCTAGCGCCTCTCGACAAAGTTTGTTCAACTTGGCGCGACCGCTGCCTCTCCCATCACCATGACCGGCGCGAAAGACGCGACAAAACCTGTCGCCACAACTTCAGCCTCCGCAACAAGCGCCGCCCCGGCCACCTCGTCTCAGACCGCGCCCTCGAGTACGGTCCCACTGATGGCCGGCGCCAATGGCAATAATGGCGCATCCAACGCCAGCCCAGCGTCCAACTCTGCGATAAATAAGAAGAGAAAGAAGGAGGGTCTCAAGCCTATTATCACAACAGAAGGTCCTGCGCCCGGGTAAGACTATTGATATTTCCTATATGTCTCTTCCCCCGGCTTCACTTTGCGACCCTTTTGGGATCTGCATCCGCCCTTCAGTTGCTTGCGCGCATACAGTTGCGTATTGCAAACCTCTCTTGCGCGCTCGTCGTCGATGGTTGCGGCAGCCAGTGCTAGCAAGCAAGCAAGCAAGTTAGGTAGGCAAGCAGCAAGGCAAGCAGACAAGCAGAACTCAGCCATAGGGCAAAGCCAAGACAGAGCCGGCAAGCCAGCCAGCCAACCGTCCATCTATACGGCCAGCCATTGACACACCTCGATGATACCTGACTGCCAGCTACCTTACCTTGCCTGCGCCGGTACCGTCTCTCGTCTCCCGTCCCGTGGTGTCGTGATTGGCGGGGTTGACCGGCCACCCACACCCCTGACTGCTTTGGTCTGCCCTGACTGTCGGCCCAAGTTCCCTGAAGCATCGCCAAGACGAGACAAGACCAGGCCGGCACTCTGGCGACCGGCCCCTGGAGACTCGAGCAAGGAAGCTCCTCTCCTATGCTCTGAGCCTTTATTAGCGCCCGCCGCTTCTCTGCACCGCGCACCGTTCCCTCGCGATAACAGGCCAGTAGCCTGACCCTCCTCCATGTGCCCAAAGTTGGGCTGTGGGCTGTGGGCTGTGGGCTGCACGCGTGGGACTCTGGGACACGGTCCACGGGTACTGGGGACGGGCAGACGGGGTACACAGACAGAACAGAGCGAGACAGAGCGACAGAGCAGGGTAGATGAAGAGGGGTGACGATCATCACCGCCTCGTCCACAAGCGCGCTCTTGTCTATTGTCTCTCCCTCGTCCCCTCTGCTGTCTGTTGCCATCTCGCAGGTTCTGTTTTGGTCGCCTCTGATTTGCAATTATCGGGCACCCCCAGCGTTACCAGTTGTGAGCCATTGCTGCTCCTTGACAGCTGACTGGCTCTTGTGTTTCCTCTGTCTCGTCTCTCAGTCACCTGCCTCTGCCCGCCTCGCTACCTCTGACCCATCCTCTTGTTTCCTCCTGTTCCTCTATCAAGACCCGACGTCAAGGACCCGACGACAGGTCTACGGGTGTCTGGTCTACGAATGAGTGCACACCCGCCGAGACCATGACTACCCCAATGAAGAAAAGGTTATTATGATCATTGTTGTCCAGTCTGCCCGCGAGATGACCCCGCCTCTGATGTGCTTCAATTCAACCATTCAACCCCACCACGGTGGCGCACAAAGGGTCAAGTCAACTCTGGCGGCATCTCAATCTTGTCTCGCGCCGCCGTAGCTCCCATCAAGGGCCCAAGCTTGCCGCCCGCCACCTACTCACTCTCGCTATCTGCTTGCGCTGGCTGCTGCTCTCCTTGTCATCACCGCGGCTTGTTTTTCTTCAAACTCTGTCGCTCCTACGCAATAGCTACTACACCTTGTCTAGGAATGTCTGCTAACACTGATTTCTTAAACCAGGCCGCCGCATCTCACTACCAATATGAACCAACCATCCCCCACGTCATCGTCAGGTGCTGAAGATGCCGCCGAAAACACAGCGGATGAGGAGGACTCCGAGGACTATTGCAAGGGTGGCTACCATCCCGTCCAGATCGGGGAGAAGTTCAAAGATGGCAAATATACCGTGGTACGGAAGTTGGGCTGGGGTCACTTCTCAACCGTATGGCTGTCGCGGGACAATACAAACGGCAAGCATGTCGCATTGAAGGTCGTACGATCAGCGAGCCACTATACTGAAACCGCTGTCGACGAGATCAAGTTGCTCCAGAAGATCGTCCAAGCGAACCCCAACCACCCTGGTCGGAAATACGTCGTCAGCCTTCTCGATTCATTCGAACACAAGGGACCCAACGGGGTACATGTCTGCATGGTATTTGAGGTTCTAGGCGAGAATCTGTTGGGCTTGATCAAGAAATGGCAGCATAGGGGCATACCACGAGATCTGGTCATGCAAATCGCGAAGCAGGTCTTGATGGGCCTGGACTATCTACACCGAGAATGCGGCATCATCCATACCGACCTCAAACCCGAAAACGTTCTGATAGAGATTGGCGACGTTGAGCAAGTCGTGCAGAAGGTGGTCAAGAACGACAGCACGGAGAAGGAGAACCACAGGAATGGGCGCCGAAGACGCCGAACTCTCATCACCGGGAGCCAGCCGCTACCCTCACCACTCAATGCCTCTTTCAACCGCGATAATATGTTTCCATCACCCAATTCGCACACAAGCCTCAACGCCATGTTGCACGATTGTATGTGCTTGCGCAGTTTCTTTACGTGATAGCTGCCCTGGTTCTCTACAACGCCTCCACTCCTCCTTGGCAACCCACTATGTCACCCCTGACCCTTTATTCCCCGATCTCAAACCTCTCTGGAAATGAAACCTTGTACTGACCATATCCAGCAACTACGCCATCATCGGCTACCAGCGAGAAACAAGGCCAGAGGGAAAAGACCGCGTGAGTCCTTACGAATCACTGATACAACAGCAAACAGAACCTCGGTACTAACGACTGCGAGCTTCAGTGATATTCTTACGAAGGAGGTATCAGGGATATCTCTAGACAAGTCAGCTGGTGCTGCGGGTACATCGACAGAAAAGCGAAAAAGGAAAAGAAATGGTCTTATCATCAATGTCAAGATTGCTGATTTGGGTAACGCCTGCTGGGTATCTCACCACTTCACGAACGACATTCAGACTCGGCAATATCGTTCTCCGGAGGTGATACTGGGTGCCAAATGGGGTGCCAGCACCGACATCTGGAGTATGGCCGCCATGGTGAGTTGTCTACATAGGTCTCGAGATGAGGCTATCTACGCCCTCACTATTACCAATGGCCAACACAGCGTCTCTTGCATGCACCAATGACTGACAACATCACGTACAGGTGTTCGAGTTGATCACTGGGGACTACCTCTTCGATCCCCAGTCTGGCACCAAGTACGGCAAGGACGACGACCACATCGCGCAAATCATCGAGCTCATGGGTGCGTTCCCTAAGGAGCTATGGAAGCCTGGCCGATGGTCTCAAGAGATATTCAACAAGAGAGGAGAGCTGCGTAATATCCATCGGCTCCGACATTGGGCCTTATCCGACGTGCTTCGCGAGAAATATCACTTCAAGGATCCCAAAGACCTCACGCCTAAGGAGCGAGAGGAGAAAGAGAAGGCCGCCAGGGAACGAGCAGAAGCCAGGGTGAAAGCAAAACTGGAGGCAAGGAAAGCGGGCGAAGACGAAGATGCTGTCGAAGACGTGTTCAACGATGAACTCACACTCGAGTATCACCCAACCGAAGTTGGCGAATTCCTCGCACCGATGCTCGAGTTGATTCCCGAGAAGCGCGCTAATGCTGGTGGTATGGCGAATCACCCATGGCTAGACAACACACCCGGCATGGAAAATGTCAAGCTTGAAGGTATAGTGCCTGGGAGCAAGGGCGAGGGTATAGAAGGGTGGGCTACCGAGGTCAAGAAGCGGTAGGCACGCAGTTTACGCAGTTGGCGCGCTGTCGAGCAAATGTTTGCAGTTGAATAAGCAGCTGGTTGGTGCTTAATCCAGTCAATTGCGCCTAGCATGAAGGCCCGTGCCAGCTGCTTATGCAGATTATTATTATCTTCAGCGCTTGGTAGAGTTTGTTCGACGTGGACCCTGCGCAGGATATTGCCCGCTGGTCGTCGACACTGTCTTCATGTTGTCAGCGATGTGAAAGATCAGACCCGCAATGGTGTGTATCGGGAACGAGGCGGAAGGGGAAAAGAACCCGGAAGCTGTGTCTACAAGAGCCGGGACTTGTCTCTCAAATATCAATGCTGTTCATATTAGTGGAATACACACACTAGGGTAAGCAGCGTTGATTGCAAAAGCCATATTTGATGCTCATTCCAGTATAAAAATTCATTGAAGTGTGAATAGATGTGCAACTTGCTCTGGTGATCGAGGGAAGGGTATACGGAGACTTCTGAAGGTTCAGTGTACCTTCAACAGAGCAAGTGAGTTACTTATGTCCTTGGTGGTGACACGAGTAACGTCTATAATGTGTTAGGGGACGAACGACTGGAGCTTTTCTGCTCTGGGGTATGGGATTAGGTCGGGTTGATCTTGCTTGGGATGATGTTTAAGTTAGGTAGCGAGCCACGTCAAGGTCGACGTCGTATCTGGTGGGTATGGGAAGGGCGTGGGGAGAAGGGCTTTGAGGTCGTTTGGATATTTTTAGTTGCGATGGAAGAGGCCCCCGAGAGGACGATGGTTTATTGGGACAGGAGATCCCAGAGATTTGCACACGAGGGTGGAACGCTCCTCGGCTAGGTTCTATCGTCCTTCTTGGAGGTGTGCGCTGTGAGATACGACTGCGTGCGTATATACTTATACATGTACATGTAGATATGTCGATGTTCAAGCCGGGATGGCAACGCATATTAGGACGAAGAGTCAGTTCGGACTGCAGTGTGCTTGAGTCATGGGGGCTAGATAGAGATAGGATGCGAATGCGGTGGGACGGGCATGCCTATCCTTGAGATTGCTATGATGCTGAGCGAAAACACACGGGAAAGAGCAGGGGTTTAGTGGTGTTTGATGCTGGAAGTGCCGGTGTTCTGGATACTGATTGATGTTGCCTTCACTAAAACTGGTATTCCCCTGTTGCACTTCTCTTTTCTCACTGTCTTCATACCCGGCGTTATCCTAGACTTGACTCTTGTGAGAAGGATCACACCGCGTGTGGCTCTAGTCCGCGTAGACAACTAAGTAAGTGAGCATGTATGTGACTGACATGCTGTTCTGACAAGAAGAAGGCTGGCCGGCAGAGACGTATGAAAGTGATAAAGTTAATACAGCGAGTTCACCACCGATGGAGTAGAGCTACAACTGGGAGAGGATGACCGAGCTGGAACTGCGAATGTATGCAAATTACTTTCGGACTCGGGGGTAGCTCCGTTAGCAAATCTGGGCGAATACTCGACGATGGAATAGACCGACCTATTGCACACCTGATTATCCGTCCATCGGCAACATCTATCTCGCCGGATTAGTTGGATCTGGATAGTGTTTAGAGTGGTACGGTATGTTAGGGGCAAGATATCATGGCGGATTTATCTCCTCAGCAGCGACAAGCAGTATAAAAAGCCATTCGCCAGTCAAACCACGAGCCAAGTGGAATTGCAGAGGATTGTAGACACACGAATCAAGTTTTTATTCATGTGGACCTATGTAACTCGTACAGCAGAGGCGCCCTTGCCTGACGCCAGGAAGCCTTTTCACCTAACCTAGCTTAAGTCTCATGCCCGCGATGTCAAGGCAAATCATCCCACGGCAACCGAACTCCGATATGCAGGGCATTTGGTATGCTAACCCGAAGCATAAGCTCCTGCAAAATACACACCCAGGTGAATCTGGTGTCCTCAACCCTTCTTCTTCCCTCTCTGGGTCATCTTGCGGAACGCCTCGTGGCCGCTGGCGCCGATGGGCCGATGTTCAGGACCTCTGGAGGCATCGAACGAGCTTACCGGCGCAATGGTGTAGGCCTGGGGTAGACCAACGACCCGAGCACGGTTGCTAGCGTTCTGGGGCGCGAGTATACGCTGGCGCTCTGCGTCCCGTATGACTTCTGCGGCCGGGCGCTGAGTGAGAGTGACCTGGCTGGATCCGCTCTTCAGGCGCGCGCTTACGGCTCTAGGGTTACAGGTCAGTACGAAGATCTCGGCAATAGGGTCTGCGAAGGATACGTACTGTGCATCGTAATTGCGTGTCTCGACTCGGCGCTTCTTGTAGTCATCAGTACGGTTCAAGATAGGTCTACTCCATTCACCCAGTAGACGCTCCGCCATGCGCTTGATGCCGATCTCGGGTCTCTTGCTCTTGGTGTAGAACAGGACGATCTTGCCAATGCCGCTGGATTTCAGTGCCTCCTTTTCGATAGGTAGTCGAATCAGGGCTTGGAAGATGTCGCGCTGGATGCTGTACGCAGGGAGCGAGCCATCATCCAGAGGCTCGAGGAAGTACGTGACGTGCTGAAGGAAGTTGGTGTCGGGGTCGACAACGGCGGCTTGGTTGTTATTCCGGTTGAGCAAGGACATGACTTCTGGGAGTAGCTTTAGTTTTTGGAGAGCGGGTTGGCCTTCCTTGCGGGCTTCGATGTCGGCTTTGCAAGCATTTTCCATGCGAACCTTGAGGTCAGCGATTTGCTCGTCCAGCTCATCTTCGAGGTCCTAGTCGGTATCTGTTAGTCATTGCGAGGGTAACCCCAAGGTGACGATAGTGCAGCGTTACCTCTTCGTCCTTCTTCTTCCGCCTCGTGGTTTTTGGCTTGATCTCCTTCTTGGCAGCTCGCTCGATGGCCCTCCGCCGTCTCTCCTCGGGTGTCAGGTTCTCCTCGATCTCGGGCGCAGGTGAAGCTTTCCGAGTTTCTCTTTCTCCGGCCGTCTTACGAACTCGCTTTGTAGTCAAAATCTCCCCATCGGCTCCGTCATTGTCGTCGCGGTCCCGAGCTCGTTTCTTCTCCCGGCGTCCCTCCTTTGGCTTCTTGGTGGCAGTGCCCTTCCTCTTGGAAGCCTTCAGTGTTCGCGCAACATCCTCGTCTATTTCGACTGGCTTCTCCTCGATACGGGCGGCGGACGGATCGTAGTCATCGAACTGGTCTTCGTCGATTTCCGAGAGGGCGTCCGAGTCTTTGTCTGAGTCGGCCGCATCAGCCACGTCATAATCGCCCAGCTCTCGAGGCCTGTCGTTGGTTTCCTCTTCATGAAGGCTCTGGGCGGGAGCCGGTGAGCCCGCGGGCGAGTCGATGCCCGACATGATGAATCCAACGCTGCCTGGCGAGGACGCGGACCTTCGAGGTGGATGGAGGAAGAGCAGCCTGGGAAGATGGGGAAAGCAGCGATCGAGAACCGTGTCGATGTCGCTACTCCGAATCTCGGAAAAGGGAAGAGCCCCAAAGATTGCGAAAGAAAGGAGGTACCTGAGGCGTTACTCGGTATGCGTTGATGATAAAGTCGCGAAAGAATCTTGGTGTTTGGAGAGCGTTGGCAGCACCACACAGCTTCATCTAACAACCAAGCAGCCAAGTACCACCCAAACGAATATTTATCTAAGAGAGCGACGGATCGGTGATAAAGTAAAGCTTGGACTCCTGCACGCAGGTACAGTACATTCCATGTCTAAAATTTGGTGGCCCGAGCACGGTGCCCTGCCACACCCCCTAAAGCTGCTGTGGCGTCAGTAGCGCCGATCTTGGGAAAGCTTTGAATGTTTACTTTTTGAGCTCAAAGCTGACCCGTCATCGTTGCTCCCCAGACACATCGCGTCTCAAGCTGTCGCAACACCATCTGCACATACCAACGGTGGTCCAAGACGCAGCTCAGCTCCTTGACGACAAGCGACGCGCATTGCTTCCACTGCGGCGACCGCTGCATGTAAATCATCTGCTGCTAGGTAGCTCTTCTAAATCTGTGATCGCTGGCTTTCAAACGACGACCTATCATGGACAAACGCACCTACGAATCTCCTATGGACTGGGAATACCAGACCACCGGCCCCATGGACCCCTCGAGTCCCTTCGCCCAATCGTCCAAACAGGCACAGGACAGAAGTGAGTGCCTTTCCCTTGTCTTTTGCGAACCAGGCCTGCCCGGAAGGACCGCGAGCTAACTGGTCTTCCTGAGGCAGACAAATTTGGCTCATCTTCAAACTTTGGCACCTTTGGCCAGAGCCCCTTCACCCGTACCAACAGCTCGCCCTCCAAACCGGCACCCCATAGTCCTTCCATCTTTTCCGGCTCCCACTTGCAGAGGACGACTACAGCGCCACCATTTCGGAACCCTGCTTTTACCACCCCGCGCAAGCCATTCGACATGGATGCGCTCTCCGAGATCTCGGCTGCCGAATCAAGCCCAGCCGGTAGTAACGGCTCTGACTTTGCAGACACGCCTGAGCACGACGAATTGTATGACCTTCGCCACCGGACCATCACTCCTGCGACCATGAGCAGGAAGAATTCGATTGTGGGAAAGAAGGCCAGCGGGAAGGGCGACATAATGAAACCTACGTTTGCGTCGCGGGACAAGGTGCGCAAGAGGAAACGATACAACACCGACAGGGACATCAGTCGCTATCGCATGCCCTATATCCATCCCGAAGAATACGACGAGACAGATTATGAGTCTGACGACAGTACCTTTCAGCCGGGAAGAGCCCCAAAGTCTCAGAAGAAGCGTGGCAATGGTGGCTGGTTCGGGAGCTTCTTGACGCTCATCCAGAAGCACCCGTACGTGCCGAGCATACTGGGCTACTGGATGAGCCTCGCCTTTAATGGTGTCATCATGAGTGGGGTTTTCTGGATTGCGTGGGAGATTATCGCCGGATTGCGGAAAGACTTCGCCCAAGCAAGGTCGGCCGTTCGGGAAGACATCGTCTACGAGATCACCAAGTGCAGGACCGACTTCATAGCGAACAGGTGTGTCCCGTTGGAACAGCGACTACCGGCAATGCACGAGCTGTGTGAGCAATGGGATGCCTGCATGAACCAGAACCCCGAGGCTGTCAAGAATGTCCAGCTCGGCGCCAAGGGCATCGTGGAGATCGTCAACGAGATTGTTGACACCATGTCTTATAAGACCATCGTAAGCCATTGCCGAGGTAGTGTCTGCAAGCTGACCATGCTAACTGTGAGATAGGCTCTCGGTGTTCTGCTGATTGTCATATTCGCCTTCAGCGGACGGTCTATATACAAGAGTACCACCAATTATCCCGATTGGCCGAGACAACCACCTCCGTACGCCCAGCACCACGGAGGGGATCAGCATCTGCTGGGACCATCGCCTCAAGTCTACTGGCAAGCTCTGCAGCCCCAGACGCCCCGTCATCTCAATGCTAGACATCTTGTCAGCAACGAGGAGACGCCCGACACGGATGGGTCGCCGCCGTCACGGTTCAAGGCTCTGACTGTACCACAAACACCAGGGACGCGGCGGAGTCCATCCAAAGAAGAAAGAGGGAGAAGTCTCACGAAGAGCCGGAGTCCAAGTAAGCGGTACTGAAAGTACTAGAAGTGTATATATCACAGATGGGGAGGTAGCTCCGGGTCATGTATGCTAGGCCTCCCAACATCAAACTGTTCATGATGTTTTGGTCCATCAGATTTCCCCTGATAGACCGCTATCTGAGCCCCGTACTGTATTGCAAGGAACACTGCTAGCTGAGATAGTGAAAACCAGCCCGCGACCTTACACTTTTATTCCAAAGATCATGCATCATGACAAAGGGCTCTGCCAACCAGATCATTCATAACACCCAGTGGGCCGCGGCCCTACACGCCGAGTCTAACGCGCAGGAATATTTTGATATGAAGCCCTCACCGTTTCTAGAGAGCTTGAGTATTGGTAGTGGTACACGGTCCCCTTTCACGAACCTCGACAGTTTGAGTCTCTATTAGGTGAAGACAATTGCAGCAAAAGGCAAACTGGGCAGGAACTAAAAAGGACATGCTAAACCCTTATAAGTTCATATACACGTCTTATTTACCGAGCGAAAAGTATGTTTATTATAAATGAAATAAGCACGTTAAAATAAGTATTAAGAATGGCTTTTTAACTATAAGTTACTTATTATAGCTTATTTATTTTAATACTACTAAATTTTTATGTATATTATGACATTATTCTTAATGTAACGCGTATAAAGCTTTATAAAGGCTGAATATACTTTTCTCAAAAACCACTATAATAAAGCTGATTATAAAAAATAAAAAAAGAGCTACCTAGCATAAAAGGCTAAGATATAATACGAAAAACGTAAATTAAATAAACCGAAGAATTAAGTGTAAATTATATATAGTACATGGTTTTTGAGAATTTTTAACCAAAAAATATATCTTTTATGTTTAAAATACACCGGTTACTAGCCACGTTACTAGCTACGTTACTAGCTATAATACTACTTTACAACATCCGGTTTTAAACGTAAGTAACGTACGTAACTACGTAAGCCTTAAAACAATTAAAATCTCTAAATAAGCAGCTTCTTTATTATATATAAAATTTACATTACCTCAACTCGAATGAATAACCTGTTAAAGTATAAATCCGATTATATTTATAATTATACATTATTATATCATTAATGATATTAAAATATCGCCGTATATATCTTTATTTATATATAATCTTTTATTGCTCGCCTAAATCCCTTATACCTATTTCTTTTTACTTAAAAATAAAAGAATTGCTCTTTTAAAGCAACGCTTGATATATGTGATTTATATTGTTATATAAATTAATGTTAAAATCGATCGTTTTTTATGTTGGTAGCTTCAAAAAACATTCGTTTAAAATCTCGGTCGTTGATAATTAAGTATTAATTACGTCGGTCGCGATAATTTAAAATCGTATATAAGTATTATATAAATGATAATACTTACGTTTTTATTATTAAATAATAAGCTTAGTTTCTAATATTATCAATTAAATGAATAGAAATATATAATGCAAGATTAAATATGTATCGAAAATAAGTTACTATTGACTCGATAAAAATAACGATTAAAATTTTAATATAATCAACTAGTATTTTTAATCGTTACGTTTTTTGAAATGGGTTTATATTAAAAGAAGTATATTGGAATTGTTTTAAAAAGCATTGATAAAGTTTTAAAAACATTACGTGATATTCCAAAAGGTCTACGGGTAATATTCACTAGCAAATTGGTCATCAGCATGTTGTGAACTTCGTATAACTTTGTTTGGAAGCAAGAGCCTTCTGTGTAAGGTAGCTATACTGTGCTCTGTTGCAGGGCTATGATAGCTCTCAAGGCTCTTGAACTGTACCATCAAAGGCAGGTCCAGGGGCACAGCTGGGTGATACAAGGGCTGTCCAAGGGCCGAGCGTGCCATAGGCGTGAGCGTAGCTAGCGTACAGAAGGTCCCATCTCTTGCCGTGTCACGGCGAGCATACTGAGGAGCTGGGACATGGCCTGCAGCAAGCAGCTATTACTCTATTGACGAGAATATCAAGACTAGAGAGGAAAGGAAGAGAGAGAGAGATAGGTACAGTGGGAGGCTGCCCCTTTAAGGGGATCCCCTGGTCAGATCCTTCCCCTATTAGGAAGTATCCACTTGTCATGTGGGAAGGTCTGTGCAGGCCGTCACATGCCGTATGTGTTGTTTTGGTGTTGTTGAAGGATGGAGGTCAGGCGTGCTATAGCACTCCAGGAGATTGAACATGGCTTTGATCTGAAGTCCTGCTAGAGTGTAACATTTTGGATGAGAGCGAATGGTTTCACGTGTAAAGACTTTGCTAAAAGAGTGTGCGTGCTGTAGCACGCTTCAAATTGCCCTAGAAAAGTTCGATTCATGCCAGGTTTCGAAATTTTGGCATAACTTCAACGGGCCCAATTGAGAAACATAAATAGGGGTAGAAGATTGGCTTCAGAGAGTGTGAAGGCTTATATAGTGGCTTCAGGGAGTGAAAGCTTGGTATGGATGTACTATAGCACATAAAAGAGTTTGTTAAAGAGCATCTTGCTTGCCATAATCCAAAATATTGGCATAACTTTGACGGGCCCAATCAAGAACGCAGAAAAAAGGGGTAAGAAGTGTGTGAATAGCTCCAGGCGTGGAGGCTTATAACGGTGGCTTCAAGGACTGAAGGCTTTGATTCAAGTGAAAAAGGAGGTTGTACGCGAACTGGATTGCAGGTATGAATGCCTAGTTACTACCCTTCTCCTGATCCTGTGCGCGTTACCTAAAGTTTATCATGACCCCATTCATCCACATGTGGTGAGGCAGCAGTGAGAGATCAGGGCTAGGGATTGGGCATTCAGGGACGCCTATCGATATAAACCGACGTCTGTACTATGTTAACAGCTGCGTAAAAGAGATTTGTAGCAAACCGTTGTTGTAACTTGAGCCTGGCGCCTTTGCTCGTCTTGAAGTAACGCTTGACTGCATCTGAGGACCATCTGCCCAGGATTTTGATCTCTTCTTCTAATAATCCAAGGTCAGATGCTCATTAAACGGCGCCACGGCAGAAGCTATGGCCTTTGTACGTGTTGAGAAAGATGCTCAAGTTCGAAAGGCGTCTAGCAAGGTTCTTCAGGGCGCGCACTCTGATAAAAGGGCCCAAAAGGAGTGAGAATAGGGGTCTCTTCCTGCTGTTGTGACGAGGGTGCTCTTCCCACTGTAACCGTTGACCCATATGGTCAACTGGGCATGCTTTGTCGTTGGTAGCAGAGACGAGGATTGGCACCCCTTTTTGCTCTTTATCGGTCTTGCTAGTCCGAAGCAACAGCGTGTAATGATCTCTTGCTGAGGTTGGTGTTAAATGAGAGCCGGAGATAGACACTGGAAGATCTCCAGTGGGGCAGAGACGCACAGGGCATCTGACCCACCAAGAAGACAGATGATCAATCTCTGCACACAGAACAAGAACACAATCAATAGAATCAATCAACATCCGGGTATTCAACAGTTGGAGTAATACACAAAGGAGTCAGCTGTTCGTGTGAGGACCTGAATTCATTATTCAGAGCCTTTTCTTTGTGGGTAACCTCTCCAAGACGAAGAAAACCATGTCAGTAAGCACTGAATGCTGCGTTTGCAACCTTTGTATCGCTTGGATGTTTGCCGCGAGTAGCCTTTTTGCTGAAAAGCTGAAGGAAGAGGTTATGAGGTAAAGGAGGCTTTTTGGTGCTTCTGAAGTCTGATTCAGGGAACTTCATCTTGGCACCCTGAATAAGGCATCTAACTTGGGGATTGTCGAACACCTGAAGGCCGTAACAGAGATCTTTGTGAACAGATCTGAGGGCTGATAGATATGCTTCAATAGTAGAACCTCCAATTTGCTGATGGCAAACCTCTCTGTACGCTCGTGTAACTACTCATCCAATGATAGCCCACCTTGGAGCAGGCCAAGGCTTGCAGGCATGTTCGTGGCACCAGGATTCAAAGGAACGTACTGCTGTATTGTATCGGCGCCTCGTATTCAAATGGGAGACCTGCCCATAGCAGCTCAATATAGCGAATATCAGTGGTGATAGGTACTAGACATTAAATAAAGTCAGGGGTTGGCTCTGTAACAAGGGGCTCTGCCAGTTGATGCACAGATTAGCACAAATATCTCATTTATTACATGATAGAGTGTCAGTGAGTGCGTTATCTGTCGTAGAGATTCGCCTAGCTTGATAGTTGATATCCTGAGCAGCACAAGAGACGAGGATATTGCGGAGAGTATCCATGGAGGCTTTGCCTCGAACAGTGCTGTTAAGGAAGCCGCTTTCTGTAAGGGTGTTATCTGTGTGGATAATGACTGTGCCACTTTGCCAGATATGACCCCATTAATGAAAGGCTTGTTGTATTGCGATCAACTCTGTTATGTTGATATAAAGTGGCTTTTTAGCGGCCAATAGTGGTCTGCAAAAGCTTTGGCAGCTCGGAAGAGGGAGGTTTTCACGCCAATTCGAAGCTGCCAGAGTTCCTTTGTACCAGAAGCCGCCGAGCGCGAGGATAGATGCGTCTGTGAAAACGTGGTATACAGAACGATCAGCATCTATCAGAAGATATGTGTAATTCGAGCGTTTGAGGCAGTCACGCCACCAGATGAGATCATCCCTGATTCCTGTTGTTAGAGGGCGGTAGGCAGACTGAGCCTGGAACGAGCTGATGAAGGCAAATGTACGCGTGAGGTACGGGCGGCCGAGCAGCACCACAGTTGAACAGAAGGCAAGATAGCATACAAGCTTCTTTGCTTGGTTCTGCGTAGATGTATTTTGAAGTAGCATCTCTGTGAAGATTTGTTTGGCTTTTTCGAGTTTGTGAGCAGAGAGTCGTTCTACCATCTGAATTGTGTCAATTTCTACTCCCAAAATCTCTAAAGTTGTGCCTTTGTCATCTTTTGATGTATTCTGAATCAGGCTGATGCCAACTGCGAGGCAAGAGTAGATGGTGTGTGTCACGATTTTGTAAATGTATTGCAAGGATACAGAGACCTTATTAACTATTGATGTATAACAAACTCTGGCTGAAAGAAAAGAAAGATCTAGAGATGCACCAAAATTGGTGGGCAGCTAGATGTGAGCAGTCGTCCCCCACCAGACCCACCAAGGCATGGATCAACCTATCGTCCGATCAGTCACGTGCTCAGTCACGTCACCCATGGACCATTGGGACTATCGCTAGACCTGATAGATGGTGGAACCATCACAGTGTGTACCAATGTGATATAGCAGAAAAGAGATACAAGGATGATAAAGATAAAGTCGTCAAGATAATTAGAGATAAAAATGAACAGCAGGAGCACTAAAAGCACCCAGTGAAGTGCCTAAGAGAATAAGTTAAACAGAAAAAGAGCTGTTCGAAGTTTGAAAGGCAAGCATTTTTTATGATAAGATCTGCCCTTCCAGTTTTGTTTGTTTTGTATTTAACGTGGGGGATTGCTCCTCAGTAGTGCAAACCACGCCTCCCAGAGCCTCTGCATCGCAGGGTTGTGGAAGTATCAAGATAATAAGTACAGTCAGTCCCGCTCACGAGCCCATCCCCGTTGTTGCGGCGGTATGACCTTGGGTCATCCATCTGGTCCTTCAAGAACAGCTATCTATCAAGGGCAGATTGATGAAAAGAATTTGCTCTTCTCCACGAATTTTGCCCATTGTGTGCTTCTCTCCCCTAAGTATTATAAACAAGCTGTCCTAGACGAGTACCTGGGCAGCAGCCGATTTTTTTTTAGTTTCTCACAAAAGAAAATGTGTTGTAGTGTTTTTTTCTCACCACAGCTGCAGTGATTATTTGAGTCTGTATGCCCAAAGCGTTCATGGTATCTGGCAAAGTCGCCATGTCCAGATCTGGCCGCTAGAAGTCTGTGTAAAGTACTCCTCTTAAAAGATATAAAGTCTCTTTTAGTTACTGCATGTGAGTATACTTCTTGATACCTAGGTTCTGATCAGTCTTTTTACCATTAATTGAACTCTTTCTTGCCCTTTCTTTTGAGATATCTCTTGATCCACGAGATTGTGGGAAGGTTTGTCGTGTCTAATTCTAGCATGGTACCCTTTTTTGCTAGTGTGTTGACAGCTTTATTACCATTAATATCTCTGTGTCCAGGAATCCACTTGATGGTCACTCCAGGAGTGTGTGCCGTGGCAAGTTCTTAGAATCGTAGAAAAATGTTCTGTGATGTCTTAGGTGGAGTCACATTGAGCCTATCTACCACTGCTGTGTTGTCCAGGCAGAAATATAGCTATTTTCCGTGTCCAATTACCCTGGCTGCTACAAGCCCTTAGAGAGCGCCATGGACTTCAATATCTACTACTTCTGTATAAAAAAGTCTACCCTTTCCCCAGTATATTTCTTGTGTAGTGCCGCCTTTCCTGATGGTATAACCCCATCCAGTGCGGGTTGTGCCTTGGTCGTCCAACTGTGATCCATCTGAATAGATGACAAGGTCAGTGTTCACGTTTCTCTCTTGTAGCCATTGCTTAAAGAGCTCTATTTCTTTGTCTTTGTCTTTGCGGACTGGAGGCTTCTTTCATGATAGTCTGGTAAGTATTGGTCTCTGGAAGTCAGGGACTAGCTGGAAGCTCCTTTGTAGCCTTGTTGGATTCTTGTGAGCTTAAATTTGGAGCCTGTCAATAAGAGGGTATCTCTGGTCTATTCGTCCTAGTCGGAGGCCGTGATGTCGTCTTATTGACTCTGCAAGAACTCCTGCTGGGGGAATCTGTGATTCAAAGTGTAGGATATGTCTAGGGTGTGTTTTTCAGACTGGCAAGATAGCCCTAATCGCTGTTCGAAGTACGGCATCTATTGTTCTAAGAAGCCCCTTAATGCGATATGCTGATGTCCCACCTAAGCTCCCAACTTTCTCGATTCCTGGGTACCAGACCTCCAGGCCGTGTGTAAGAATAGGAATAACACAAGCTTTCACAGCCCTCTTGGTTGACTTTACTAGAAGTCCTTTAACTGTGTTGCATAGTCCTCAAAAGTGATTTGTTACCTTATTAGCTTTCTTGGCCCAGTAAGAAACGTGATTTTTAAAGTTTAGTTTTCTATCTAGGAAGACACCCAGCCATCGCATGGAGTCCTTTATTATTTTGTTCATTGTCCCGTGGCGGACTGGAGGGTTGTCTGAGTTCTTTTTCCTTAAGAAGTGCATAATCTTAGTTTTATCGGGGTCAAATTCAATAGCGTTGTTGTGTCCCCATTAATTAAGTAAATAAAGATTTTTAGAAGCCTCTATAGCTGTTTCCTTAAGGTTCTTTCTAATACAGAGAGTCGCTAGATTGTCTGTATATCCAGAGTGTCTCTTTTTTATACTAAGTCAGGCACAGATTGGCTCTGTATACAGCATATAAAGGATTAGAGAGGCTGGTGAGCCTTGTGGTAGTCCGCAAGTGAGAGCTTTTATATCAGTCATGATACCTTCAAACCGAACCCTTGCGGACCGCTCGGACATGAATGACTGGACCTATCTTATAAGAAAGCCTGGCCAGCCCTGTTCTCTCATGCGAACCACCAGCCGTCCCATTGAGGCAGCGTCAAAGGCCCCTTTTACATCTGACATGACTAACATTGCAACAAGGCCTTGGTCGAGGGCCTGCTCAATATCGTGTATAAGTGCAGCTACCAGGTCAGTGGCAGAGCGCTTTGGTAGAGCTCCAAAATGTTGTGGAGCTAGAATTCCAAGTTTAATAACAAACCAGGTAATTCTTTTTGTAATGAGTCGTTCTAGGCCTTTGCCAAGACATGACAATAGCGATATTGGTCTGTAGGCCCTGGGACTGGAGTAGTCTTTCTTGCCTGGTTTTGGGATCATCACCACCTCAGCCACTTTGAATGATTTTGGGTGATGTCCAATCTGTAGGCAGGTCTGGAAAAGGGGCCAACTGCCATTTGATACTTTGCTTCAGAGAATGAAGTATCCCCAAGATGGTTCTCTGCTCGACGCGAGACCTTTAGGTTACGAGAAAAAGTTCTCGGCAGTCTATTCTCTCGCGGAACCAAACACTTCCTCGTCACGGCAATAGGGGCAAAGGAAACCAGTGGTACTGTCCAGATGAATAAAGCATACGCTACCTCTCCGTATTGAAATCCGATGAGTATTTTTCAGCGGCGGTTTGTATAATGCGTCTGCAAACATGGCGGCTCAAAACATCGAAAATCGCACTTTATTTTATTATTAAGTTCTTCGACCGCAAGGGAAGAACCAAAGCCAAAACTCCTAAAATGCAACAAAAAGCAGTGCCCCCGTACTGTACGCATGGCGTCTATAAGCCCAAGCCGATCCGTAACACGCCGAGCGACATGCGGGCGAACCCTTGCCCATAAATCCAGAGCTTGCCTTCATCTTTGTCCATACATTCAACTTAATAAAACATCGCCAAAGCCCATCGAATCTTGCACCACACCATGTTCCTCCTGCTATATTTTTAACCCCGCGGACCAGGCGATCAAATAGGGTGTACCTTTCATCTCCATCACATTGCCTTCTTTGATCCCAGAAGGAAGTTGGCGCGTGGACGCGCGGAGTTCTCAAGAGTTTCGGGTTGCCACCATCTACCTAAGGTACTTACAGTGTTCATAGCAACCCTGAATTGGGCAACACTCTCACCCAATAACGGTTGCTGCGCACTACTTTCCGCAAAGATTTTTACAAGGTGGTCTGTCCTAGTAAATTTCTTTTTACCGCAATCGCTGTTCCTCTTCCCATTTCGCCATGCACACGCTTGCTGGCTTCACGCCCGTAACCAAGACCGGCCGGCAATCCCCTCCACGCTAGCCAGCCACCTCTGATCTCATGTTATTCTTGACGGATAACGTATATAAATCTCGACTTCAGCATTGGTAGGTGGATGACTTCGTCCTTTCTCATCCCGAAGCTTCACTGGCTGACTGTTGGCGCAACCAGGGAGGCTGTACACGCCCAGAAAACCCCCTCCAACCGGCGCGCCAGACGCGTAGCGACGACGAGATATGGACGACTTTCACGAAAGCATGAACATGCTCGATCTTCCTGTGCCGAATACCGCTGAGGATGCCGCTCTATCTCTTTTCTTTGCCCTTCCAAGCCCCGAAGACCAAAACGAAATGTCTGACGAGGAGTCTGTCTTTGGTCGTATGCTCCACGCGATAGAGCTTTTCCATGAATCATTCGGCCAATCGAAAACCTCGACGGACGAAGATTTGGATTACCTCCATCGCGTCGCCGATGAAGCCCTGGAACGGAACACATCCGTTGGTTATTTCATGGCTCACCTTGCGGCTTTGGCAATGAACAGAGTCCATCCATCAAATGATAACGGAGAAAGCCCGCCACCTCCGATACTACCTATGATTCGCCCAAGGACGGAAGGACGAAGATTCGCCGTTTTCTACTCGAATCGTCACACCCGCGACTTAGCTCCAAAGTCTCGCACGCATTCCTACCTACGAGGCCCCAGGGCAAGATATGCGCAAACTGCGGTAGGCCAGGCGCCCAAAAGGCATGTACGGGCTGTCTTGTCAGTATCGCGGGTCGAGCAGTCATCGCCACTGAGTATTGCGGCCAGCATTGCCAGACATTGCGCTCGAAACGTCACATGACATCCTGCAACGACGTGCGAAGACTCGGGCGAGCCTCATCGATGTTCCATGAACTATTCACGCATTACACGCGAATTTCCTTCAGCCAACAAGTTGTGGGCGTCACTGAGAGAGGAGGGGTTCTCGTTGCCGATTACGCCTCAGGCAACCCACTGGTGTATCAAGGAAAGCATATCCTGCATCGTTTCCCAGAGAATTTCGCCCAATCCGAATCTGTCGCTGAAGCTGTCGCTGAAGCTGTCGTTGAAGCTGTCATGATGTGTTTCAGTTGTTGTGAAGTTGTCGATACGGCTGGAACTATTCTGGAAGAGTTCTTCGATTGTAAGTCCATAATCAATTACCCGATGGGTTTGGAAAATAAAATGCTGACTTCTCAACAAGCTCCAGGTCGCACATTGGAAAGTGTCTTCTGCGAAGTCAAGAACGTACAGAGGCCGGTAGCAATGAGGACCAAGCGAAGTTCAGGGGAAGAATACACCTTCAACACCTTCATGCAACACAACCTCGTACGAATCACGTTGGAGTCTGGGTTACAGTTTGCCCTGTACTTCAGTTGTGCCCAATTCGGCTGGCATGAATATCTGTCGCCCTGGGACGAGTACGAACGCCATCGCATCCATCATATCGCATACGTAAGCCCATTCGCCACAGAGGGCTTATCGGCTATGCTCACGCAAGTCCGCATCAGTGACGGCGATCCCGCTACAGAATGCCAATCCGCAAAGGACATCGTAGTGCTTGGCCTCCACCAACACCTTCAGACCACAACGGCAAGATTCGGTGGCCTCGGGGGTTTTCTAGGACTCGAGGAGGGCTTCGAAGAAGCTCGGACAACATTGCTGGCTGAAGCCAGGACGTTTATGGACGCAAAATCACGCCCTCTGGAACAACTACCAGTATACAAGCTATACTTTGACAAGGACTTCAACATCGCTGTCACCAATGACGCAGAAACGCATAACCTCCTAAAGAAGTTATGGTTCCCCAAAGAGGAATTCGACCAGACTAGTGACAATCCCCCTCGACTCAGGCGCATTTAGAGGAAGCGCATGAAGGAGGATCTGAAGTCTTTGGGCGCATCAGGATGACGCGGGCCGCAGGATACCGCAAATAAATGGAAGTGGTTGGTCTACTCAAGTAAGGTGATAACCAACGTAGTTTAAGCATTACGGTCTAGTGCATATGTTCCCGCAAGGTCTGAAGCCAATTATGTCGCCGTTATTCATTGTGATAAGGACCCGAAAACCATCATAAACCCCCAGATATACATGAATGTTGCCAGCAGCGTCCAGTGCCTCTTGATACATATATGTATTTCCATGCAATGCAGAATCCCTATAGTCGCTAAGCAAGACCTCGTCCCCCTTCAAGATGTGGAACCAAGCATCCCCAGTCCTATGAGCCGCAGCAAAATGTAGCAAGTAACATGTCCACTCTGAGCGCAAGAAAAGAAATAGGTATACGGTGTAAAAAGAGAAGGAGGAAAAGAAGGAAGTATAAAAGGAGGGAGAGGGGTAAAGAGATCAAGAGAACACAACGAGTCAAGTTGAAAAGATACAGTAGGGATTAGTAGCACCTCCCGCCGGCAAGAAGCTGATCCATGAGCCCGACCGCAGCAGCCCGCTGGGCCTCAACATCAGTCTGCGCCAGGAAAACCCACCGCCGCTGCAGCTCCTGCGCAATCAAGCCCGCATCGGGCCCGACACTGGGATGCCGACCCGTGAAAACCAGGCCGAGATGAGCACTGTACTGCGCGGCATGCTCGGCCCTGGGTCTGCATGTCCGGTCGAAAGCCTGCAGGGCGGCGGGGATGGCCTCGCGCGAGGAAGCCCGCCCAAGCAGAGTGCTGAGGACGAGGGCCTCCTCGAGAGCTATGATGGCGCCGGCGCCCTGGTGCACCATCATGGCGTACGCCGAGTCGCCGATGAGGCAGGCGTTCTTGGTGACGTAGCTTTGAGGAGTCGGCTGGTGCTGCATCTGGCAGATGCCGGCGATTTGGACAGTATAGATGCTCTGGATGAGCTGAGGGGCTTATATGTTAGCGTCTGGATGACCTAGTCGGGGGTCTGCAGGTGTGAAGGTGACTTACCTTGACCATGCCCTGACACACTGGAGAGTGGATATCTGCAAATATTCCGCTAAACTCGTCGGGTGAGAACAGCCTCGCCCACGGCGCGTCCTCGCCGCAGTCGTAGTAGCGGACATAGATAGAGATCTGGACATCTCTGCCATGGTTCAGCAAGTTGTGCTGCATCAGAATTCCATCCGCGATCCAAGCCGTCTGGGTCGGGTTGCCTGGATCCAGGAACTCAGTGCCCATGGCCTCTTGTGCCTTATCCAGTGGCACCGTGATGGGCAGGCCCCAGACTCCGGTATGGTGCAGCTTCACAGCCGGGTTGTCGGCGCCTAGCACGTGTTTCCGGGCGAGCCCGTTGAAGCCGCTAGCCCCTATGACCACGTCGTACTTCTTCTGCGACCCGTCGGCGAAGGTTACGAGGAGGCCCTCACCCGCCGTTAGCTCGGTGATGGAGGCTATTCGCGCGTTGAGGTGCATAATCTGTGGCGGCATTCCCTTCAGCAGCTCGTCCAGCAGGGCTTGTCGGCCAAGGGTCTTCTTGACGTGACCCTCGAGGCCAGCAACGAGAACTCTCTGTCCAACATTGGGGCCTGTAGCTATGCGGATGTCGAGCAAGCTGTGGACGGCACCAGCGCGATCAAGACATTGGTCTAGTGCTGGATCCAGGGCATGTAGGATGTCTTGTGCGTCGTCTGTTAGGGAAAGACCCAGTGCTTCTTCCTGGAATGTTGGCCGCGACTCGTATATGTCAACCGCGATGTGATGGTAGCGCAGCAGGCCGCGTAGGAGGGCAGCTCCGGCCAAACCACCGCCGAGGATGGCGACTCGTATGGTCGAGGGCGAGCCACTCATGGCGCTTGAAGTACTGATGTAGGACAAGGAGATTGAGATGGAACTAGGCTTAGTGATGGACTTGGCTGATAGGATGGTAGGTGATGATGGGAGTGATCTTGATGCGATGATGGTGATAGAAGGTGAACCCAGTCGAGAAACAGGGTAACCCATGTTGCTTAAGTATTGATCGCATTCATGATGGTGATCCTAGTATTCCGCCTTGTCTGAAGCCATGGACAGCATCCCCTAGTCCACCATCCATGAAGTCCCGTCTGGACGTAAGGTCGATAGCTGACGCTCGGTACTAGTAGGTAGCCATGTTTGTAGGTTCGGTCTTGGTCCAAACACGGTGTCTCTCGTTTCCCACGGCACTTGGCGATCTGACACTGGGATGCGGAATCCCAAATGTCAGGGGTTAGGGATGTGTGATGGGGTCCCAGAGGTGGCAGACCACGATATGAATGTAGGGCTGAGAGGAGAGGAGCGAGTTCGTTTCCGGGCCGTAGGATGGGGAACGGCCCATACCTAGCTGCACGTAAACTACCTATACCTTACCTACCTGTCTCTAGAGGATCGAGTGGCCGTCTCCCCTGATACTGGCGCGTCGAGCTAACGCTTGGCCGCCCTGCGTCAAAGGTACAGCTCTAGCAGCCGGAGGCGCATGACGAAGCCATCGAATCCAGGAGAGCGCCTTGCTATACTGGAGTATTACTGTCAGCAGCCGCGTCGGCGTGCGCGGGCGACGGGTCAATGGTCAATAGTCAATGGTCACGGGTGGCGTGTGGTGAGGTCGTTGGACGTGGATTCGGACTTTGGCCTGTGGACTCTTCAATTTCATGGATGACTATTGACGGCCCAGCTGCCAGCTGCCAGCGTGTGGTGCCTCCATTTCTCACATGTCAGGGGGCAGGGGGCAGGGGTGGCCACCTGCAGTGCCACCTTGGCGACAAGCGCACTGGCACATTACTAATTAGCCGCGCTGGCGGGTGTGCAACGGAACCCTCTACTATCAGTGCCCTGGCTGACTGAGTGGGCAGAGCGACGCAGTGGAGTGAGATCATCTACCTCCAGAGGTTCAAAAATGAAAACTCCAAACCCGGGGTCTCGGCCGGCTCTGCAATTGGCCCACGAGAGCGTCGAGACGAGCGGTGAAGAGGGATTGGATCCCTTCTAGGCATCAGAATAAAAGTCCGCATAAAAGTCCGCTTGCAAGGGCAGCTGTGCCTATAGGTAGGTAGTGCTGTGCGGCTGAGAAACCGACGGCGGCCGCTCAAAGGGCGACGCACCCGACAGGACGTTGAAGAGAAGCTGACCTCGGCATCTTGAACTGCTGATATTACATCATCCCCCTGATGAGGTTAGCCTCCGCATTGATGACATGGATCAATGCCACGGGGCTGGACGCTGGACGCTGGACCGGCGGCTCCTCAACTTTATTTCCTACGCCGTCGATTGTGCGCAGTGGTCAGTGGTTAGTGGTGATCCAATCCTGCCAGTGGGGGCGCCACCAATTTAGACCATGGACCGCCAGGCTGCCGAATTACTGGGAATAGCTTCTTCGCTTGCAACTATTTTAGTCGTGCCATAGTACTCACTGTACGGCCCCGTTTGCAACTTCTAACCACGAGGAAGCAGGATTCCAGCCAGGCAGCAATGTTTCAACTTTCGACCGTTCCCGAGCTCAGCCAGACTCCATGGGCCATAGCTGTGTATTCCATCTCGTCTCCGGCATCACGACCGAGTACATCTCCGCACGAGGAATACGATCCCCTTGGCTTTGCGCAGCTGAAGGTGTATATGTAAGCACGCCTTGGCAGTGACGAAATGCAGCAAACAAGACACCACCGGGGCACTCTGCCAGCCGTTGAATCACTACATGTACCTTGGGGAACTGGCCTCAGAGAGTGAGGTGATCATAATACAGCTGCGCTCCGGAGATATTTCCATATCGAATGCCCACATACACACTACGGATCATACAGGGAGTCATGACAGCCTATGCTTTACATTCTTGAATATCTGATGGGCATAGGATGCTTCAATCACCATGGGATACGAAGATCAACTGTATTAGGTGAAGTCAAGCGGTGCTTTATACCGTAACTACCGAACCATAATGGTATAACTAACGAACTATAATGGTGTCTAGAATAACCTCCCCAGTCTCTAGGTGCCGAAGACCAGCATCGTCACATTCACTGACGTCCAACTTCTCAAACTCACCGACAAAAGACGGACAATCAGGGGACTCGTGGCGGTTCTCAATGAGGCTCAAAAACATACTGTGCCAGGACACGTCGCTGTCGTCGCCATCGCGCTCACCGTCCTGGTCGATCGCCTGCTCGTAGATGACATACCAGTGGTCCAGGTTGCCCTGCACCGACGCAATCCAAGATAACGTCTGCTTCTGCATGTGAGCATCCAGATTAGCAGGACCATCCGGAAACTTGCCATCCTGATAAAGACGAATACAGACGCCAAGCATGCCAAAGATGTATTGCGCACCCCTGTCCGGGTCCTCGTCGAACCGGCGCCTTAAGCCGTCGTTGCCGAACTTGACCCGGTCCAGGACCCTGAGCATGAAGTGAGCGATGTGCAGCTCGACGCCCCAGAAGGACTTGTAGCTACGAGGCAGGGGGTGCTTCCAGGACTCCGGCCTGTCCAGGGACTCGAGGAAGATGCGGACTGCCTCACAGGCAACCTCGTCCGTGATGAGGGGTTGCATGTTCAAGCAGTCATCGATGAACTCGCGGAATATCATGGGGACTACTGGGGAGTCCGAAAGTAACATTACCAAGATCGGGTTGCTGGCCTCCAGGGCCTCCGATAAGGCGCAGCCTTGGAGCATGAACTGGCTGCACGAACTCATGCTCGCTTGCATGGCTTGGGCTACTCCTGAGTCAGTTTTGGTCGTACAAGTCGAAATCGTGAAGGTAAGAATGGTAGCAGAACAACTGTTCTGCGCTGGTGATTGATGAAGGGATGGGTGTATCAATCCTCGGGTCCCTGTCCCTGCAAGTCAAGTAGGTATTTATAGTCAACTGGGAATTCAAGACTTCATTGCCATTATTTAATCACATTGCTAAGATTCTTGGTCAAAGCCATCTTTGTCAGGCCGTGGCATTTCATAGCAGCTGAGGACAAACAGATTGTCAAACTCAAAGAAGCGATTGTACTGTTGATCATGGACTGCCGAAATGACGGACAATGCATGGTCCTTGAGCCGTATTTCTTTGACCGCCGGAGGGCAGGTCCAGAAAGGCAACATGCTTTGCTACCCGACATTCTGCGAAATCCCCTGGCTTTGGCAGTTCGTGTCACTTGAGGTTAAGTCTAGTTATCGCTATCGTGACGATGACTACCTACCTAGGTCAACACAACGGGAGTGGTAGAGCCTGAAAAGCAGCATGAATGGTTACAATCGGATAGATTCCGCTGGATTATGAAATCCTCTGGTTAGCAGCTGTCCTAACTTCGATAACTTTCTGGGCCATGTGTTGACGAACATACCAGTACTCAAAACAGCCTGAGCGTAACAATCAACTACTACTCAAGGTTGGTCATCAGTTGCAGACACCTACTGCTGAAACTGCTTACCGATCCAACATGGGACGTATTGCTTAGAAACGAAGGTCCGAAGGCTTATGTCATGCTACGTCTTGTCATGCTTCGGAAGTCGCCAAGTAATGAGATTCCCCTTTCCCCAATCCGTCTCACTTGGAACATCTCACTCCTGGGAATCAGCAAGCCCAAGGCAGCAGTTTAGATGTATCCATCGTGAAATCCAACTCGTACCTCCCATAGAATTCCAAATTGTCTTTGAGTCCAAGATTTCAGCACCGGAAGTATACCATCACATCAGCATGAACTCCAAGGTTTCGCAAGTGGCGGAAAATACGACAAGGCGGAAACAGACCGCCAGGCAACCATTTAAACCTACCTATCACTAAGACGACCAGGGGATGGGCATGATATCGGGATCTGGTGCTTGGGTCAGCTGTAAGCAGGGCCCTCAGCTCCGCATCAGCCTCACTCACGCAGCCGTGAGGCGGACTTCCTGGGATGGGAGTTCCGCACGTACCGTACCTCCGGAGCATTCCGCCCTAGAGACAGAACCACGAGTATGTGGTGAGACTAGTTCTACCGCGCATGCGCTTCTCCCCGCGTACCCGTAGAGTAAGTTATGGGCCGCTTGACAGCATGGATTGAAGGCTAGATTCAGTTTCATATAGGTAGAGTTAGATCAGAAGATACGCTGTGCCGCGAAACACAGCTTTTTTGGAGGTGTCAGTTCTCTATGGCGACCTCGAGATATATGCAAAGTCCCGAGGCATTGAATTAACCGCGGCTGTCAAAGCCATTCACCAACTACGCATGGAAAATAAAATGGCCATCATGTCGCTGGCACCCTTTGAGGGTTATGAGGGCGACAAGAGTCTCGGAACTGGGCAGCGCAAGCCAGCCCGTCGCCTCCATTGCGTACGAGCCCATATCCTGGTCAACACCGATCAGTCGTCAAGGTGAGTATGTTTTAGTTAGTGTTTTGTTTGACGTCCATATTTAGTAACCACAACCGCAGAGATGGGACATGTCGTCGGCTCGGTCAGTGATTCGTGGTACGCTCGGAGAATACCGTACCCCGGGGCGGCAGTTGGCACAGCGAACCCCGGTGTCAATCATACGGGTGGAAGAGCAGGCCTGTGCATCATCAACGTTCGACCCGCTGCGAGTCCACTCCATCAATTGATCGTCCTTGGCCAGGGAAGCTAAGAAAATGATGTTCTCTTGATCGTCAGTAAATCTAAACAAACAGGCCGACCGCAAGAGACGAATAGAGCCCTCCGATTGGGAACATGTCCTTAAGAGCGCCGTGGTGGTGGTAATGGTGGTGATAGTAATGGTGATGGGCTGTGGTGTTGAGTTTTTGGTGGGGCTGAGTGCTGGATGCGTGCGTCCTGATTGGCTGAAGCAACGTACTCTTTTATTCCCGTCGGCTTTAAGCTTACTACCCCTGGTGGTTACCCTTGATAGAGCTTGTGATTTGTAACCTAGATTCCCATGCTGTAACGCTTCTTTTATTAATAGCCGGTTCTCTGCGTCTTCTCTTCCCCACACTGTAACCTGTAACCAGCGCCGAGGTCTGCAGTCTGCGGTGTTTCCAGTGTCGTTGCTGCTGAAACGCCACAACTGCAACGTGATTCCCATCACCCATGTATGGGTTTGGGCGCGTTTGACCAGCGGTTCGAGAACAGACGACTTTACGTAGCAGCAGCAGCAGCAGCAGCAGCAGATAATCAACTCGACCCTCGCCGACGCGCGTCTGCCAAGACGAAACACTCTTGCCACCAGTAGTAACACTGTAGTAACACTGAAACCTGTCAGATGGAGTGCGTGCGTATTCGTCCGACAAGATGGGAACCTGCCAATGGTTATCACCCAATCGACCTGGTCTCCATTCTATCTTTGGCAACATCCCCAAACAGTGTCGACGCGGACCTCACGATCACTTGACATATCGTCTATAAGACCTGGGGAACCGAACCATCATGATGTGTTTCTCTCTCCTCCATCATCATCAACATCATCAGCCGACAAGACTCAAGAGTTGATCTCGTTTCATTCTCTGTATATCGCTTCTTCCATTCTTCGTCGCCGGTTCGACTTTATTTTTACTTCATTTTCCATCTATAAACAAGCTTCGTTTTAACTTCCTACATTCATCTTTTTCTTCGTTTTTTAAAACAGCCAAAATGCAGCTCACCAACGTCTTCATCTCCTTCGTCCTCGCCACCGCCGTCTCGGCAAAGGGCCACAACAACGGCACCACCAGCGTCAAGTCAGCCAGCGTCAAGTCCCAATGCCACGAGGTCGCCAAGCTGACCAGCGACGTCGAGCTCGCCACCAACGACACGCAACTCGGCGACCACTTTGACAACAACCAGACTGAAATAGCCGCCTTCAAGGCCAAGGCCGCCGACATGCAGACCGAGCTCGACACCATGTCATCCAACAGCACCCTGATGACCAGCTGTGCCGTCATTGCCGCCCACGAGGACGCCGTCGATAGCTGTGACAAGATGCAGAGCTGGGAGAAGAGCATTGCCGCCGCCGCCAACGGCACCAAGCTCACTGACAAGTTCGACGTGAGTTCTTTTCCTTCATACATGACGTCGACCGAAAATCAACCGCTGACATGACCATCCATCCACAGGGCAACGCCACCAAGGTCACTGCTTTCCAGGCCAAAGCCAGCAGCGAGGCAACCAAGCTTGCCGCCCTGGCTTCCAACAGCACCTTGACCCAGTTCTGCTCCGTCCAATCCACTCTCTCCGACTGCAAGACCATGTCCAAGCTGCAGAAGGAGATGGCCTTTGTCAACAACGCCACTGCTCTCTCTGCCAAGTTGGACGGAAACCAAACCAAGATCGACAAGGCCACTGCCAAGGTCGCCAAGCTCCAGTCCAAGCTCGATGCTCTCATCTCCAACTCTACCCTGATGAGCACGTGCTCGTCCCTGACTCAAGGTATGTTTGAACAGCAGCACCAAGCAATACTGCATAAAGCGCAACTCGCTGACAAATCACAGCTTCTGCCGACGGCACCACCACCGCTGACAACGCCGCCTCCTCCACTACCGCTGCCTCCGCCGCAGGCAGAGTCGAGGCCGCCGGTGGCATGATTGCCGCTGCCGTCCTTGCCATGACCGCCGCCTTGTTCATGATGTAAAGCTCTCCGAGGGCTAGGAATTACAACAGATTCTCACGGCACCAAAAGCGCGGATGATCTGCAAGACTGGGCGCATGGGGATGGATGATGGATGACTTGACAAAGATATACCTACCCACTCAACGGCACGATTTGATGATGACTCGGCAGCTACTACCATTATCGACAATCCTTTTTTCTCTCTTTTTTTCTGCTTCCCTCCCTCTCACTCTCGCTTATACCATCAAGTGGTATGTCTGGAAGCATGGTTATATACCAGATGGTCGCCTTCCAATATCCAAGTCCGCACCATCACATCACCTTGAAGAACAGTCACCACACAGCTGTCAAAATACAAGGCCTCACATCTCAATACATTCATCTAAATAAAAAACAGTACCACTACGTGCACCTTGAAAAAAAAAAATATCCTTACGTGCACCTCGATTTTCAGAACGCCTGCAGCCACCTGCCACCAACTAGAACCAAGCCACCTACCAGGCTCAATGGCCACTATGATCAGGTTTCGTGTGGTAATGCCATATAATTCCAGATCATCATGTCCACCAGAGTTAGATACGTCAATCGCAATCAAATAGAATGGACACGACAGCTTCCCGAACTGGATGGCCGTCACGATCGGGTTTTGTGTGGCGATGCCATAAATTACAGATCATCATATCCCTTGGTCGCGTTCAATTAAGTAACTATCGGTCGCGTTCAATCAAAGGGGAAGGCTTCCCTGGTAAATGGCCACCACGATCTGGTTTCAGGTGGGAATGCCATACAATTTCAGATCATCACGTCCCTGGAGGCTGGCAGCTGCTAGACCTATTAGTAGTGAGCCTGGTGGGTGGCAGGTGGCTACAGGTGTATCAGAAATCAAGGTGCACGTAAGGGGGTTTTTTCAAGGTGCACGTAGTAGGACTGATAAAAATTCAGGGAACAGTATATGGTCACAACGAGAGTCTTTCATTCATGAAGAATCCTGTACCACAAGGAGCCGCCGCCAGGCCGTGAGAGGAGAGGGGGTATCTATACTAACTCCGGAGCCTAGCCTCTGGGCACCAAAAAGCGCAGAGGGTCTGACCAATGTGTATTCCGCGTGCTGCTGGCCATCGCGCAGACCCACTGGACACAGGTATACACATCACGTCAACAGTCTTCCAAGGTGGCGCCATCCGTGGTTGGCACGCCTGTCTATAGTGGAGAGAAACCGGCCTCTTCGAGATCCTGGCCCTCCGGCAACATAGGTCGGCCTTGCATGGGAAAAGGCCAGAAAAGCGGATTGTCGCGGTCCCCCAGTTGTTGTTTCAGATTGTGAGGTCCGTCTGCACGTTTCGTGCTCCAGCCACACCTGAAATCTTGTTCGCCCACATTAGGGGCGAAGAAGTTAAGACTATTGGTGGCCGGCCGGACTTGGTCGTCTACGGCTTCACCCTGCATGTTCGCATCATCCTGAGGGATGTCGACCTCAATCTCCCACTTCTTCGCAAGGTACCGCATGATATTCAGCGCTTGGTCTGCAAAGTGGTGACAAGGTGCCATCTCCGTCAGGTCACTGATACCCTGCTTCAGAGCTTGGGCTACCTTGGGACTGTGTTTTCCGCTGCCGGTATCCGATGGAGACGGTAAATCAGGCGCACCCGTGAGGTTTGGTGAGGAGTCGTGGTGACCTTGTGCAGCCTCGGCGTCTTCGGCCTTGGTCGTTGACTGGTTTGACGTGGCGGCAGGGGAGTCTGCCCCTTCCTGAGGATCGCACGCTGCTATGGCGAGATGCATGATGGCCGACGTAAGGACGAAGTAAGGCACAAAAGATGGCGTACGACGAAGCGTATAGAGGGAGGAATATGAACGCAATAAACCCTGAATGGCATCTGCCGCCTGGGAACATACATCTCGAGGAAGTATCCCAGACCCTATAATCCGGAGCTTGATAAGGGGTCGAAACAGGAGTAGGATTGCGAAATGGTAGTACATGCTATGCGAGATCAATGTTAGTGGACCTGGACTCACTCGAGAGCGCCAATCCGCTAGGGAATGTGGGCACTTACTGGGCGAACAGAACGGCAGGTGTAAAGTTGTGCCCTAAGCGTAATACTTCGGGTATCCTGTCATACCAGTTGAGGTACTGCGTGTATAAGTTCAACAGATCGCGGCTCGATACCGGCTTGGTTGGCGAGTGGAGAATGTAGAGGGATTGGTGGACGAGTTCACTGAGCTCGCAGAAGCACTTGTAGACCGACCGCACATTGGACGGCTGCTGGCATGAGCGTTGCAAGGGCGCACCTGTCACTGTCTTAGCCGTCGCATGATTAACTCGTTGACCGGGGCCAGACGTACCATCATCTGTATACGGAATCCACAGAGAAGATTCAATGTCGTCGATGATGGCTGGTTTGGGAGGTAAATGGGGGAAGCATGAAGATTGTGGCAAAGAGCCAGTTGCTAAAGACCAAGCGCTTGAAGCATGTTAGCATGGCCATTAATATTGACCCCTTGCCGGCTACTTACTGGTCCAGACCAAAGGCGCCCCAGAACGTCGCAGACTGCACAGCAAGCTCGTCCTCATCTACGTCGTCACCAAGCCGATGCAGACCCATCTCAACGGCTAGTCGTATACTTTGGCCGGAATAGTACCAAGACTCGGAATCCCGGCCACAGCTTGCCTCCCGGATGGACATTATCCCCAAGGCTTGAATCGTGGTGAGCGTGTGGTGGTTTGGCTCCTTGTAGAACAGCCTCAGAGTTTCCTTGAAGAAATGGTCGCCCGATGTACGCGGGTCGTTTGGCTTCGCTCGGGTGTTTGGCTGCTGTGAGAACCGGCATCCGAGTGCGAGTAACGCGTTGACAAGGATCGGTGAGCAATACCGATGTCGACCATGGAGATAGTCCTTCAAGAAGTGCTCCTTGCTCAGTGACGCGAAGGTTGGGTATTCCCAGCAGAAATACAGGGCAAGAAGATGCTGCACTAAGCCCGAGTCCCCCGTCACGTTAGTCCACGTACCGGGCGCCACCTGCATATCAGGGCTCTCCAGTGGCGCCAGAAGCTGGTTGACCCCTCGTTGCTGTCCCCCTTCCGTCGAGTCTTGATCTTGGAGCCAGGTGCCCACGCGGGATCGCGGAGGACCCTCATTTGTCCACTGCATCATGTCTGAATGCGAGTCACTTCGTTGAGATACGGTCTGGCTCTGGCTGTGGCCCGAAACATTCCAGGGGCTGTTGGCGTCAAAATCTTGCTTCATACCGGGACCCTGGCGCGTCGCTGGACTCATTCCCATGGTCACATAGCCCCCTGCGCCAGCAAGAGTCCCATCATAAGTGTTGAGAGGGGGCAGCGTAATACCACTCCTGGGTTCACTCGGCTGGGCGTAGCTTGACTCGCCGGTGGTACCCCCAGATGGCAGAGTGGTGCCAAGCCATTCCGAGATACCCTCGACGGAGTGACCGCTCCGTAAGCGCTGCAAGACTTCTTCCGACGATTCGGGCCGGACAAGGGCAGAGAAGACGGAGTCGGTCTGCTGCTGCTGTTTGCGTAGGGCGTCTATCTCGTGTCGAAGATTTTCCTTGGACTGACGCACGGGGATTTCATAGACGCACTCGATGTCTTTTTGGGCCTTGCATCTCCCGCAGGGGTTGTGGCCATCGCACTGGGGTCGCAGATACATCAGCTCGGTGTTCAAGCACTGATCAAAGTCACACGTGATGCAGGAGGGCGAAAGGGGCGGTGGTGGATAGGGTGTTGGGCAGAAGCATCGCAACGGCACTGCAACATTGGCGACAAGGCAGGCTCACATACTTTTGCACGCTTCTTCCTACACTCGGTGCACGCATTGGGTGTGACGACTCCCAGACCTCTCCTGCGCTTGGCAGATGTTGTATTCGCGGAGCCAGATGCGCTGGCGTGTTTCGGGGTACTCTTACTCGTACTCGAAGCGGATGGCGGCCCAGCGGACGCGCCACTGCTTGGATCCTCCTCCATCGCGCGGGCGTCTCAAGGCTCGTATGGCATGCTCGTTCGAATAGAGCACTAGAGCGAGCGAGAAGAGGCAGCTGAGCAGGTTTTGGACCGAGACGGGCTGGACGGTTATCGATGCTATCGGCGGGGTGCTCGTGGAACGCGCATTAAGCGGCAGCGAGGTGGGCAGTTACCCCAGTATGCGCCGGGCGCGCAGACTTTGCAGACACTGACACCAAACCATGTGGTATGGGAATTGATTGGAATGGCAGTTCGGTCGGACACCCATAGAGCCCTGGATGTGTCGGTTAGGTACGTGATGCGATGAGCGGGAGCCGGGTTGGAGATTGGAACAGACGATGCTAGGTACCTTAGCTGCGCATGCGCTATGGCTATGATAGCACGTCTCGACGAACTACTAAATGCAAGCAGGGTGAAGCCAACGCTCGAGGCTGCATGTGAACAAACTTTGAAGGAGGGAGAGGCTGGGCAGAGTGAGTGAACATGCACCCGTGAACCGTAATCCGTCGTCGGTGGTGGTGGTGGTGAAGGGGTTGAGGGGACGAAATCGGTGTAGTGAAGCTGCGCTTTCGACACAATGCGATTGACAGCTGTGGGGCACGCGCCTTCAGGCTTCGAGTGGCGGGCCAGGCAGTAGGTAGCAAGGGCCGCAAGGTACATGTGACGAGGGGATGCTCACTATGTAAGGTCTAGACCTTTCCCAACCAATCATGTCTTGCGCGGCTGCAGCCCCCACTTGACGACGGAAGCTGTAAGGGTTGTAACAGTTTTCCTTATCTTATCACGACTGCCTAGACCGCCAACGCAATATTAACTTACAGTACACGGATGAAATCATTACGAGAGTGCGTTATATTTACCTGTTAAAAACAAAACAATATAAATGATACCTACCTTTAATATAATCATTTAGCCCTAGTAATATTATATATTAAAACACTTTAAAACTTTTAAAAACCTTTATAAAACATGCATAACCTATAGTATAAAAGACTTAAATATATGTATATATTTTAAGTTTAACTTTAATAAACTTAATCCATTTAAAAACGAGCTATTGTTTGGTGCAGGGTTGATGTCATGTACAGCCAGGTCTATGTCATATAAGGGCCACCGTTTATTTTTTGTTGCTTTTCTTTGTCTTCCTGCACAGTCATTCCTCTCTCATAACACATATAATTGAGCGATCAGTTCTGACACACGTTGTATTAACCCTATATGACACACCCTTCAAATTCACTGCGTGGCTTTGTTAATAGCTCTCCTTCCCTCTTTTTATATACATGATACAAGCAGCCCTATTGTAGGTGTTGTTGCTGTCCCCAACTCACCATCTTAATAACACTTAACCTTTTTTTTTCCTTATTTTATTCTTATTATACATTAAATTTAATTTTAGGTTTTTTTTATTGTAAGCTTTAATAACGCTTAGTTTTTATCGGATATGGTGGTGGCTCATGGTGTGTCCCTAGATGGTCTGTGCGCTGTGGGTAGGATAGTTGTCCCTTAGCTCTGTTACCACCGTGGATAGACGCGCTGCAGCCGTATTTAGGTGTAAATCCGTCTGTACCAGGTAGACTTAGAACAACCAACAAACACACACGTATGAACCAAATATTCCGCACGACGGATTCTCCCAGTTTTATATAATTAAAACATTTATACAAGCCGAATTTTTATATTTTAATAATTTAACTATTAATGACAATAGTCGTAAAAATATGTTATTTAATATGACGCTTTATTAGCTAATGATTTATAATAATATACCGTATTTTATATTTATAAATTATAATATTATTTTAAGATGGTATTATAACTAGTAACGCATCTAGTAACGTCGTTAATAGTCCGGGTTTTTAAATATAAGAGACAGATTGTTTGGGCCGAAAATCTTAAAAAACCACGTACTACTATATATTCTACATATATTTTTTCGGTTTCTTTAAAAAAAATTTATATCGATATTTTAACCATTTGTTGGATCCATGCGATTCCAGACTGCAAACTATCTATACCAGGACCCACATGTATGATTAGATAAGATAAGATAGTGGATTGAGAGGGCACTTGGCCAGACCTTCGAGTCCAGCTAGATTCCCCTCAATCCAACCATCAGCAACATCATGACCTTGACCCCATACTCGAGTATTATAATTGATCGTTCAAGCCTGTTCCAACACTATTTGAGTTAAGTAGCTCTTCTTTCATTTAATATATGAGCAGCCTTATCATAATATTGTTATTATTAAAATAAATGGGTTTTTTAAAACAAGCTGTATATTATTCACCGTGTTAATAAACTAAGCAATTTAAAATTATATAATAATCTTAAATAAAGCCTAACGGTCAAAACTAGTTTAATAGTTGGATATCGCTAGTTATTACCACAAAAACCCACACCGTTAATTATATTAACAGTTTAATATTAAAGGTGTAAATAATATGATGTTATATATATTCTATACTTTATACAAGATTATTAAATCTATTAACTAAGTATTTATTTATCACTTATTTGGTTCCTTTCATTTAATAATACATTATCTTTGAAATAGTTTTGATTAAATAGTTCCTGATATTTAAAAACGTAACAATTTAAATTTATATAATATTTAAATTTAATCTTTAAATATTACGACTATTTAAAGCGGTTAATTCAATAAATCTCTTTAAAATACGTCGATATCTTCGTTTGAAAACGAAATAATTAAGATTTCGCTTATAATTATACTTAACGTTAAATCAGTTGATTTATTGTTCTCGGTATTTATTTATTTATCTATGATTTTCTTCAATTTTTTTTTTTTCGTCGTTTTTTTGATCTTTAGAATAAATAGCTCTCAATATTAAAAGATGTAACAATTAAAATCTAAGTGTTAGTTACAGCTAATTTTGAATAGTTACGGCTATTTAAAGCAGTAGATTAAACAAATTTTTATCGGTATTATTTTAATAAAAGTATAACAAACCAGTTAATCTTTTTAAGCAACTCGACCCAACTTTAAAAGATATATTAATATTATATATACTTTATGCTTAATATCAAATCGTTACGTTAATATAGAGCGGAAACTACTTTGATACAATCGTTTAAAATTAAGCCGCCTTTACTTTATGTGACGAGCTGTCTAACCTATAAGGCTAAAGGGTTCTATAGGGTTTATGTTCTGAGGTAAGTCAACACAAAGGACGATAGAGGCTTCCGTCAACTAGATGACACTCAGATGCTGGGGCTTGGTCTGAACTGGGTTCACTGTGTAGTCGAGTCGTCAGGAGATTTCTCCCACCTTAGGGTTGGCTAAGATGTTTAGATTGATCACTGAGGTAGAGACTGTCCATCTATCTGGTTAGGAAATGTCTGTCCTTATATATCCAATCTCTCCCTCACTGATTAGGTGGCTCACCCTGGATCACCGGTGATCCAAGGTGATGCTGATCACTGGATCACCATGGTGATCCAGTGATCCAAATTCTTAGTCACGTGACCCAGGTTCTGCTGGTCACGTGATCTGTGTACCATTGCTCCGTTGCTCCGATCTCTCCCTTGATCAACACCCTACTCTCTGGTCAACCTGTTTCCAATCGTCCCTCCTGGGCCTGCTATCATGCCGCACTGTTCGTTGGTTTGTAACACTTTAATACCGTTATTATAAATCGAACTGATTTAAATCTATACTATTAACAAATTTAAATCTAAATTATCAAACCCGCTTCGCTTAACAATAATTTTGATTAAACCAACCTTTAATATCTTTTTTAATATTATATAACTAGAGTGGTATGCGGGGTTGTATTGGCATCTCCCACTCCGCAAGGTGGGACCTCCAACTCAACTATCCATCCACATCTCCACTACCAAATTGGTCACCAGAGATTGTTTTCAAAGCGATACTCAACATCTTTGACTGATTCCGATCATTTTGAACCCACTTGCACCACTCTGGCACTATTTGCTCAAAGGCGGCATCAGGTTTGAGATCATCAGCTGCTTGCAAAAGCACCTGCCAACCCTCCTCCCTCCAACGTCACTTCTGACGTCATACCTTCTACAATACCACCCTCATATGACGATATTATCCAGGCTGGACAGAGCGAATATCAGCAACTCGACGATGATCAGCTCCTTGCTGAAGGTCGGGATTCTTTGCAGAAGAAAAAGAAGCCTGCCAAACCCAGTTCTCCTCTAAGGAAGATCGTGAAGCCGCTTGCAGGTAACCTTCACTCTCCAAATGAAAGTGCTTCTTGACCTCCTTAGAAGAAGACCAAAACGACTACCCTACAGGACATTGAGGCTCAAGAGCTAACTATCGAGACCAAGGAGCTCAATCGACAGGAGGCCGCCGGGAACGCCTCTCAAGGCTCTACTGCTCAAGGCTTCGATGATACGCCCTGTGAGTACCCATCTATCGTGAACACTGCCTCTATCAAGCATCAAGAGGTCGAATCGAGGATTATCTTCTAGATATGGTGCAACAAGTTTGATCCTCTTGATCTATCAAAGCTCAGGCTAATGAGCTATATCACGGATGACGGAAATCAGCTCAAATTCGTCGACGGCAGCCTTCAAAATGTTACAAATAAGGGTACTATCAAGCAGTTTGAATTGAATGTTGTCATATGAGTGTACTCTTTTTTCAAGTTCATGTCTATTTACCGAGATCTGTACATGAACAAAGCGCCTACCTTTGCGGCAATGGTTATGTTCCTCACTCATATCACGGAGAAGACCCTTGTGTACAATACAGCTATCGTCTTCAATTATGCTCGCAGACAAATAGGCGCAGCATTCATGACTCCCCACGTACCGATGCTGTGGACAGAGCACAACTATCAGCTCGAAGCCAAATATCTCACTACCGCAAATATGAAGTCAGCAAAAGGCGGAACCACACTGCTGAGGAACAATAATAACAATGCCAATAACTGTGGCAACAAGAAAGTCAGAGACCCGAATACTGCGGATTACGCCTGCACAAGGTTCAACAACACTTGAGGTTGTCAAGATTTCAAGTGCAAATAAAAGCACAAGTATACCAACTGCAATACTGAAGGCCCTAACTACATCAACTGCAAAAAAAAAAAGTGACAATCTTCTCTAGCTGTGGAGGAAGACATACACTCTTTTTCCCCTGAATCTCTGCTCTCTGTTATTTCACAGCTAATCCAGCTTGCCCCTGTGGAAGCAAGGCCTGATATCAACACCATACCTCTCTTTCAGACGTTTGATCCTTACAGAAAATGACTTGAAGCATCTCCAAGCCCTCTCCTTGTAGAGAGATAGCGAGTTGGTCTCTTTACGTATCCAGGCACTCTTGCAAACGTTGTATTTGGTATCCTGAGTTACGGTGCACAACTCGGCTATACACAAGATCCGCTACTGCGTATCTCACCTAATTTGATTACAGCAGCAGATAACCCAACCGCAATCGACGATCAAATAGAATAAGATCTCAAGCTTCATAGAATATCACAACTCCAGCAACCCTCTCTAATACCTTTTATGTCCTTCTCCTTGGAGGCGGTTGAGAAAAGTGATGGTGGATTCAGGTGTATCCATCACCTATCCCACCCATTCAAAAGCTCAGTCAACGACATGATCCTGAAGCCAAACGGTACCTTGAAGTACTCTGCTGTTGCTGACATCCTCAATTTAGTGAAAGCTGCTAGCCGCGGTTGTCACCTGATCAAGAAGGATCTTAAAGATGCGTTCCGGCTCATACCAGTGGCACCTTATCACAGGTGGCTAATAGAATTCAGCTGGAAGGGCAGGCGATAGCAAACAAAAACAACTATTTTTCTTGGCGCCCCGCTGTTAGGGCGCAACCTCAATATCTGCACTAAAGCAGGCACTTCTCTCAGTAACTGACTATCTTTGCCAAGGTATAAGAGAATTTTTCTCACAAGCCGGATGGCACCCTTCTATGACGGGCCCCCAAGCACGCCCGTGGCCGTCCCAAAGACGACCACTGGCGGCGTGCTCAAATCCCCGACCCCTAGAAAGACATACGGCCTGGCAACTCCGAACAGGCTCCGCCAGGCGCTGCTTGACAATATCAGCAGCAGCCCGTCACAGGTCTCTAAGGCTGGCTTCACTGTTATTTCCCCTCTGAAAGGAAAATCCCAAAATATTAATGACAGCAGCACCACTGGAATGAAACGACCTCAATTAAACAAAATCTCTATAGATCAAGCCATTACACGCGATATAGGGAATAAAACCTCCTTCTCAGAGTGCCAGGACCAAGTTACCTAAATACTGGCTAAAGACAAGCACCTTTATAAAACCAGGATAACAATATTTTAGGAGTGTGCTGCAGCAGTTGATAAGACACTTGAGAAAGCTGGAACCGAACTATACTCTCATGCCAAGGAGTTCAGCACTTTCTTCTCTAAATGTCTGAGCGAGTGGCTGGAAACCCGAGATCTGCCCAAAAAGAAGACCATCCCTAGGGGGATAGGGATGGTAAAGCCCACCATGACCTTCGCCCAAGCTGTCTCCTCTAGCCAACGACAGCATCCACGGACAGTCAACATTACCATAAAGAAAACACGGCCTGGCGCCCTCATCACTGCCAACCAACTAAAGAAGAAGCAGGATGATCTCCAGGTCTTTGTCCGCATGGATAATAGCCACCTAGAGCCTTACAGAATAAAGTCTACACTGAACAGAAGACTTAGATTCCATCCCTAGGAGCTTAAAGAGGTAACGCGGTGCCCCTCCGGATTTACCTTACACCCAAGGGACAAGCCAACTCAGACTAAGCTCCTGGCCCTCAAGGAAGAGATCGCCGATATTCTTAAGGCACAAAAGATCGAAACCCACACAGTCTGGCATCATTATAAGGTTGATAAATGCCCAAGGAAGGTCATCAGTACGGAAAGGTTTACGATCAACTTTACTGACACTGTTATCGCTGACGAGGTTAAAGCCCAAACAGGTAACAGACCTTTAAGGTGCATACTCTTAAGGAACACGGTTAATTCAGATCCAGAGACCACATGGGCGATCTCTCTGCCCCGTGCAGTAAAGAAACCATTCACGCTTTTTGCTCACTTAATGACCTCGAGGCACATTCAATACACCCCTAAGGTTCACCAGTGTGCGAGCTGCTTCAGATACCATGGTAGAAACTACCGATATAAAAAGCAAATATGTATATGTTGCGCCAGCACAGTACACCAGGGGGAGTACAAAAAACCAATCCCAAAGTGTGTCAACTGCAAGGGGCCTCATGCTGCCGACTTTGACAAATGGCCTGCACGCCCCAAGGCCATGAAAGGTATCATCTACAAGCACACATGGGAACAAATCCAGGAAATAAGGCTGGCTGGAGAAAGAGCCAGATCCAGAGCCTTCAATGAAACAGGCAGAAACCAAGCTGGGTCAACGCCTAACAACAATAACAAAGACATCACAATGCAAATCGACACAACAGATACAACTCATCCCAGAGATGCCGATACCATTGTTGTCAGTCAATATTAGGTACATCAAACGAAACACATCGACACGGGCACATGGTCATCCATTTTATGAATACAGCAAGAAGACAAAAGAGTGCAGGCCTTACAGAGTTAGCCATTAACCTGGCTGACTATAAAGGAAAGCAAGCAGACATCATTCTGATACAAGAGCCCTAGGTCGGCACACTACCAGGCAGAAGAATGGGAGTAAAGACATACCCAAATTATGATATATATTCCCCAGTGGATTCCTGGGACAGCGACAGTACACGGCCCAGATCTCTCATCTATGTGAGAAAACACCTTTAAGCGGATCAACTTCGGCCCTATGCTACACGAGACATCACCTGGGTCAAGGTACAAGGCATTACATTTGCCAGTGTCTACCGGCCATGTGACAACCCACAGGAAGTGGATGATATTCTGGAAGTATGGACTCCACCTTTTGGCTGCGTTATAGCTGGAGATTTCAATGCTGGCGACACATCCTGGGGCTCGAGCAATCCAGGATATCATGGTGGTGTCATACTTGCACAGACTATGGCAGACCACAGACTGGATCTGATTTCTGAACCAGATGTCCCAACATATGATGACGGAAATGTACTAGATCTGGTGTTCTCAGATGTCCCCATGGCTGAAGCCTCAGTCAATAATACACTTCAGTGCACCCCAGATCATAAGACATTACGAATAATTATTCCAATTCAGGGAGATCTAGACCGAGTCCCTAAGGCCAATTATTGGATAGTACCGGACGATAAACTACAAGAGCTGGCAGATAATATCCAAACCAGGATTCATGAACTCCCCCGGCTGGGTGTATCCCCTGGCCAGGTGGATGCCTTTACACAAAGCTTGATCAACATGATCCAAGGCTGTATCAGGACAGTGGGCAAGAAGCCCCGTCAATCTAGGCCCACTGCTTGGTGGAATGATGACTGCAAAACAGCTATTCAGACATACAGGGCCCTTTCTAAACAGACTATAAGCCAAGAAGGGCGGAATTCAGCCCAACAGGAATTTCGCCGCGTGGTTCGGAAAGCTAGGAGAGAGTACTGGCAGACTCTAATTGATTCAGCAACTGAGCCAAAGGACCTATACAGAATCGTCTCTCGACATAAGCTATCAGCAGGATTGCGTTCTCCTCCAATCATTATAGGAGACCAAATATTCGAGTCATAAGAGAACAAGACAAATGCATTACGCTCAGCCACGCTTGAACGAAGTATCTCAGACAACGATATTATTGACCCCTAGTCCGCTCAGATCATACAGTCCAAGCCATACATCCCCCTTGAATACCATGTCGGACTGGAAGAGGCTGAAGTGTGCACTTTAGGGACCAAGAGCAACTCCCCGGGAGTAGATACCCTCACAGTACGGATTCTGAAAGCTTGCTGGCCATTCATTGGGGAACATATCAGAGCCCTTTTCCAGACCTGCCTACAGATTGGACACCACCCTAAACCATTCAAAGTAGCTGAGGTGGTGATGATCCCAAAACCAGGCAAGAAAGACTACTCCAATCCCAGGGCCTACAGACCAATATTGCTATTGTCATGTCTTGGCAAAGGCCTAGAACGACTCATTACAAAAAGAATTACCTGGTTTGTTATTAAACTTGGAATTCTAGCTCCACAACATTTTGGAGCTCTACCAAAGCGCTCTGCTACTGACCTGCCGGGGTTGCGGCGCTTGAAGGCTGCCATGAAGGTGTCTCCTAGGGGGCCCTCATCTCCCTTCTTCTTCAACAGCTTCTTGACGATCTCACGAACCAGGGAGTGAAAAGGGGCTAGGCCGAGCTTTTCCTGTAGCAAAATCCACTTGACTATAGTCTTTTCCTGGGCAGGGGATAGTCTCTGTTGCTGTGTGTAGGCTTCGGTTCTGGTAGCCTTGCCGTTGAGTCGATCAGACAGCGTTTGGTGCGGAATACCGTGTTTTTGACCGGCTTTTTGCACAGATAGGCCCTTATCTGTGATATCTAAGATCACTGAAGCCATCTGATCCTCCGTATACGAATAGGGAGGCATTTTGGGCGACTATACGATGCTGCGGTGCATATAGAACAAAGCTTTAGGAGACCCGTGAGAATCTCTATTTAGGGTACTAAAGGCGGGGTAATAGCTCCTCGATCACGTAAGCCGGGAGGGGTGAATTTAGTATTAGGGAAAACCTCAAGATCAGGGCTATCTAGAGCACTAAATACATTGTGAGTAGCTTCAATATCAGGCTGAATGTGTATAAGTGAACATGTGGGAGTTTTGGTGGTGATGGTGGGGTTTGGCTGGCCGACTAGTGGGGGTGGCCGACTTCTATGGGGGGGATGGTACTGCATGCAACCCCAAGGTTACTCTGATAGTACCAAGCGTGTCTGGAAGCTCAACCAAGCTCTGTATGGCCTTCGTAAGGCTCCCTTGTGGTGATTTGAGACCCTTGTCAAAGTCATGAAGGACGCTGGATTCGTCCCTATGTCAACAGAGATGTGTCTCTTCAAGCATGAGAAGCTGGGCGTACTGGTTCTCATTTATGTGGACGACATCCTGATCGCTGGTCCTACCTTGAAGGATTGCGAGACCGTTCGTGACCTCTTGGCCGTTCACTTTGAGCTTAAAGAGATGGGATTGATATCCAAGTTCCTTGAACTCCGAATTCGACGGAACCTTGATACAAATCAGGTATTCATTAATCCAGAGGAATACATCAGGAAGAATGTATCCAAGTACGGCAAGGAGACCACCAAATACATGGGAACACCCTGGAAGACAGACACTGTGATTCCGCCTTCCTGGGAATCGGTTTCAGACATTCTGAAGAAGCGTTATCTCAAACAGACTGGTTCCCTCAACTACGCCTCTATAAATACACGCCCTGACATCGTGAAGACCATCAGCATCTTGTGTGAGGCCAATTCCAACCCTGGGAAGACCCATTTAGAGATACTCAAGCATCTCTGGCGTTACTTGGCTAGCACTGCGTCCTTTGGCATCACCCTGGGAAGAAAACACCCAATTGACGACCTGAAGATCAGAATCTGGGCCGATGCTGCATTTGCAGACGTTCTGGGCTCCAGAAAGTCAACAGGAGCGCATATTGCCTCGTCTGTGGTGGTCCCATCTACTGGAAATCCAAGAAACAACTACTTGTGGTCACCAGCAGTACAGAGGCAGAATTCATCAACCTTACGCCTGCTGGTCTTACGGCCATCTGGATTGCCAAATTGCTGGAGGAACTAGGCTACAAGCAACCCAAGCCAATACTACTTCACACGGATTCCGCAAATGCCAGAGCTAATGCTCTCAACCCTCTGAATGCAGCCAGAACCCGCCATATTGATAACCGCTACAAGTGGATCATCAACCGAGTCCAGATGGGATACTTCACGATCGTACAGGTGGGTACGAATGACATGCAATATTAACACCGTTGGAGTTGCGGGCCAGCAAGAGCTGGAGGACAGACCTCTATCTATCAGCCTCCTCTTCGCATCAAGGGTATCGGCACACGCAAGCGACGCGAGGAGCACACCATCCCTCCACGGATGAAGCACCCCCGCCCTCCTTCCAACTCCCACCGAATCTGGCAGCTAGTTAGCTCTCAAGCACTCGGCCCTGAAGCCTCCAACTCTCAAAAATCCTGCACTCCCGTTTCCCCTCTGAGTCGCCGCCGTTCCTCCTCGCCCTCCTCCTCCCCGCCCGCCCACGCCGGCTCCTCGTAGTCGAACCACTCGTCCTCGCGCTCGCGCCGCTCCAGCACGTCGTAGTCGTCGTCCTCGTCCACGTGCCGGTAGTCGAAGTCCTCGTCGCGGCCCAGCACGAACCGCCGGCGCAGGAAGTCGGCCCAGCGCTCGCGGCCCTCTTGCTGCGTTGAGGGGCCGGGGGCAGGCGAGTCTGTTCTTGGGGTCGCTGTGGCCGTTCCTGTTCCTACTCCCGCTGCTGCCGCTGATGCAGGGTTTGGGGTACCGTTACCGCTACTTCCGTTGCTGTGATTGCCTTCCCTGCCGGTGCCATTCCTGCGAAAGCCGTTGCCGGGACCGAGATCGCCTCCAGAAGCAAAGGTGGGACGGGAATCAGAAGTAGGGAACGCGAGCGACTCGGCCCCCGCGTACTCGCGTATATACGCGTCCTGATCCACAGCCGATGCCGAGATCCCATTACCGGACTGAGTAGACGACCACGACAACGCCGCGAGGTGCGTCAGCTTTGCCTCGCCGCGCAGCAGGTCGACCTCGAGCACGCGGCCGTAGCCCTTGGCGCGGCCTTCCCTCTCGCGCTCCTCGGCGGATTGGAAACGCCGTATTAGGGCGTCGTAGAGGAGAGGGTCTGGGTGTGGTTGGTTAATGTAGCTCACTTCTTATTTGCATGTGATGTGTTGGAAGTGAGATAGATGGGGGTATGAGGCATGAGGGGAGGGGGTGGGGGGCTCACCGGCTAGTTCGTGCTCCATTGATTTGAAGTATGATGGGTGGCGCTCTAGGTATTCTCGCCGGCGGTTCTGCACCCGGATCTGGGCTGCGTGGGCCGGTGATCGCGGCGCGCGCGGTTGCGGCTTGGTGTAAGCGCTGTCCGGGGCTTCGGCGGTAAGCAGAGCCATGGGCGTGGTGGTGACGCGATTCGATTATTTGGGCTCCGATACGTCGAATCTCGATACTTTTACCTGGAGAGACGTGTTTTGCTTTGTGGGTTGGTACTCGAGGCGTGCTGCCGGTTTGCTTGTTGAATGATGGAATGGTCCCGCCACTGGCCCCCGATACCCGCGGATTTAGGGATAACGTCATTGGCGAAGCGGACGCGCCGGTGAGCGGGACTACCCGCAACGGAGGTACACGATTCTCACTCGCGAGTCGCCATCTCGACGTCAACACAATCACATGAAATCGCAATTTTTTGATTGTTTAACTGGTGAATTGTAATTTCGAGGGTTTGATTACGATAAATTTTCAACTGGCGTTGATCACAAGAGGAGGGCGCCGGTCTCTTCGTACAAGTTACAAACAGGAAACCAACCACTTCAGTTCCTTGGGGGACCTGCATGAAGGTCGCAACTGATTCATCTCCTCTACAGAGGTACTCGTCCAACATGAGCGATGAGCCGTGTCACCATCGCCGAGCCGCCAACGTGAGCCAACATCTCCGGACGCGATGAGGCAACCTGGGCCGCGTCGAGTTCCTTACTCCGCTATCAGCAATCAAGGCTACCGAGGACATGGCGAGAACTTACAGCATCATTCGCAAATACCCCAATGACGACGACCTCCTTCTTGTCCAGATTCAAGCTGCTCCCGTATACCGCTTTGGGGCTATTGAGCTTCTCAAAGCCGGATTGCACAGTGTGCAAGATCCCCTGCACGTCCTCCTCCGTCACTCTCTCGTTCGGGCGGATCTCCAGTACCTCGAGGATCGTATCGCTGCCGAAGAGCTTCGAAGAGTCACTAGTCTCATGGAGCTTAAAGATAGGCGGCCCATCGGAGACCGACTTGATGCGTTCCGCAAATTCTAGGTATAGGGGAGACGTGAGGAAGTCTCGGAATTTCGAGGCGCTGGGCCATTCTGAGTGCCACCGTCAGTCTCGTACGTCAGCACTGGGAATGAACAGGGTCGTACCGAGAAGTAGAACTTCTCTGACATCTGTGGTGACGTCTCTACCGTCCTCTGAGTGTATGAAGCCACGCAGTCCGTTTACCGCACCAGCCTCTTGGAGAGCTTTGAGGATCAGGGGTATCATCTCGGGCTCGGCGGCCCTTATGAGCTCTGCATCTTTCTTGAGTTGGGGATAGGCGAGTTCGATGATAGCCATTGCGGTGGTAGAGGTCTCTATTGTGTTCTTTCGGTATATTCACGTCGGTGGTTCGAGGCGACTGGGAATGACAAGAGTGATAGACAACTGGAAAGATGAGACTGATGATCTGTTGGTAACCTCCATCTCGGCACGTCTGGGCCTCAAGGATTTATGTGTGAGATTCCGTCGATTCTCCACCTCCTCTGCTGCCGCAAGAGAGGTCCTCGTGAGCAGGCATGGTCCCTAACGTCGGCTCATGTCGGATGGACTGGCGTCGCGAAAGAGATCGAAGTGGTTCCTGAATCCTGGGCACCCATATAAACTGGGTGGACAAAAGTCTCCGCCCGACCCACCACAATCTCCTTCAGATCAAAACAACGCGTCAATCACCCTTCGACTTCACCACTCTCTCAACACCGCAATTGATAATGGATTTATGATATTTTGGGGACGAATTAAGCGGTAATCGCGTCGCTAACGGCGAATTCACTTCAGAAGCTCGCTCAGCAATCGTGGCGGCACGAATCGACGGCAGAACGCGTAGGGATGTTACAACCGCGTTTAAAACGAAGCGCCTGAAAACCATCTCCAATATTACCACCAACTTTGAGGCCACTTCTACACCGAAATCTGCCCCAAGGAGCGGTCGCCCACCCGTTTTGAATACTCACGAACGCGCTCATGTGATCGAAAAGGCGAGAGAGCTCCCTAAGGCGACGTGGCAGAAAATTCGAAACGAAGCCTGCGTTTCGTGCTCTCCCAAGACTATCAAGAGGATATGTCACGCACACGGCCTCCAGAAATGGCGCATAGCAAAGCGAATCAAGCTCACAGATAAGGATGCTCAGAAGAGGCTCGCTTTTGTCAATTATTATAGCACACCAGAGCGCTTGGAAGAGTTATTACGAGCTATATTCTCAGACAAATATACGGTCCAAAATTCATCTGATAATCCAGGCGATTGGGCCATCCAATTCTCTTCAGAGCGGTACCGTTATGATCTCGTGAACGAGACAGATCACGGCAAATCTCGTATTTCGATAATAGTGTGGTCTATGATCTGGCTACGCGGCAGAGAAGGAGGACTAGGCAAGTTGGTCTTCTGTCCACTCGATCCGGATGCTCCGCGCGGAGGAGTATCCGCAGAGTCATACAAATGGGTTCTTAAGGAAGGCCTGCTTCCGTTCTACGAGGCTGGAGATCCTTTTATTCAAAATAACGTAAAAATTCACCTCACTAGCGGTGTTCCGGAGTGGATGGAGGAGCACGGCATCCACTGTATTGACTGGCCTCCTCACAGCCCCGATATGAACCCAATCGAGCACGTTTGGCGACTTCTGAAGAAGAACATACATGAAATCGAGCCTGAATTTTCTGAATTGAAGGATAATATCCCCCATTATCGCTACACACACGAGTTAATTGAACAGGCGTGGTCGGAGATCGATCCGGAACAGGTTCGGGCCTTGATGGAGTCACTGGAGGACCGAATAGCTGCAGTGAGGCGCGCCAGTGGTTGGTATACACACTATTGACTTAGTTATTAAATAAAATTTATTTGAGAATTCTATCACCAGAATTGGATGCGTTATGGTTCAATTGAGTTGGAGGGTATAGTAGATGGAAGGGGTAAAATTGGGGATCGGGCGGAGACTTTTGTCCACGCATTGTATCAGAACAGCCACGGAAGTCCTCACGCTAAGTGGGCCTAGCGGCGCATGATGTCGCCCAAATAGGGCTGAGAGCCTGCGGAGTCTAAGCCCAATCCGGTGGCAGTGGTTATTACTCAGCCCATTCACTTACTCAGCTACTCCGCCGCACACTTCAATGTTTACACAAACTTCTAAGACCACAGTGGAAGTTGACCTGGAAGTTGATGACTCAAATTAGAAGACTTGAAGTTGCTCATTGAGCTCACCGAGAAGACCCTACCGCCGTCGAGATCGATCCAGCATCAGTATCCTGTCTGTCCACGCCGCATACCTACATGTCCTCGCACCAGAAAGCCTGCGTCCCCTGTGCAGCCGCTAAGCGCCGTTGCGTGCCGCAGACTCCACAATGCCCACGCTGTGCCCACCGCGGGATCAAATGCCACTACAAGAACCAGCCTCTCAGGGGTCTGGATGTCAGGTCGACCCAGCCAAGGCGGCGCATGGGACGTGTCCAGTCTGACAGCGATCGCAGCTCGGATTCCGACGAGACCGGGCCGGCCTCCAGAGAGATAGTCTCGGGACCTTGGGCCATCCTGTCTGTCCGAGAGAACCATGAGCTACGCCTCGATCAGGATGGGACGCACGGTCTAATACAGAGCTGCCCTATCATCGCTACCCCTGATAACTGGGCAATGGATATCGTGACGCGCAACGTCAAGTCATGGCATGAGAACTTCATGCGCAAGCTCGAGACACCCTTCATCCACATGTCCATCTACGACGCTGCGTCGCTCCCGCTTCCTCTAGAGGAGGCATTCAGTGTATGCGCTGCCTACGTCGCGAGGACCGACGCAAACAAGGCCATCGTGATGAGCATTGTCGAGCGACGGGCAACCGCCATCATCGAACGAGACCCTTCGACCATGTCGATGGAAGCCCATCTCGCCTCATTACAAGCCTTTCTACTTCTACACACCATCCAACTTTGGGACGGAGACGCCGAGCAGCGGACACAAGTCGAAGGACATGCCTCTGTCATCGAAAGCTGGGCAATGCAACTGCACACTCGCCTCGCAGACATCTCCAGCAAGGAAGACGCGGCTCTGTCCTGGGACCAGTGGGTCTTGCACGAGAGCGTTCGACGGACCGTCCTCATCACCATGTTCTCGCAGGGCGTGTACGAGCTGAACAAGTTTGGAGTGTGTTCGTACGTCCCGACCATGGCCTTTCTCCCTTTCACCACCGATGACGGGGCTTGGACTGCGAAGGGGCCCCGCGATTGGGCGGAGAAGGGCGAGCAGCGCCATGGGGCCATGGACACCTACCTGAGCTACAGCTATTTTTGGAAGAATACGACTCAAGGATCCCCGAGTGCGTTTGGCAGACTGTTGCTTACCCCTTGTCTGGGCTCTGCGTATAAGGAGCTGCTGTCGACGCCCCAAGGAGAAAAGGATTAGCTGAGACGCTTCATTTGAGGCGCTGTCAATCTGTGGCGTGCATGGAACTCTTTTCTCTCACCTTCCATCTACGTGGATCCAAGTCTTATTGAAGCCGGCTAAGAAGCCGCTCGCGATTATAGCTGTCATGAGAGCCGCTTTGTGAAATATCAGTGATGGTGTACACAGTCGCAATTGATCGTCGAAGTCGCGGATACGCCTATACTTATTCTTACCTAATGCCCCCGCACGCCCTTCGAATGTCAACAGACTGCACTGCGCCTCATTTATTGACGCCATACACGAGACCACGGGGGCTATCACTGTAAGAATCCTCGGGATGCAGAGTTACCCCCGCCGAAACGTAGTGGCCACATCAGGTGTGGAGTGCATATGCGCGCCCTTTCGTCAATAGGATTTTCGAGTATGCCAAATTGGAATGACGCCTTATTCAACGACCTTTGAACCCATTTCACAGGCAACCAATACCCCTTGTATCACATGTATAAGATTCCCATCTGTCCAGCTCAATTCCCTGGAATACAATCGCTTCTGGATCACTTCGCCTTCCAAATATAAATCGACATACCACTGTGAAACCCGAGCATCCGTCTCTTTACCAAGGCAAGCCCCCAGAATCAACCATGGCCGACCAAGAACCCCTTAAAGGCTTCTCCAGCCTGACAACATCCACCCACACAACACCCAGCGGCTCCCTCCTCTCCTTCTCCCACACGCCCGCCTCGCAGCACAAGCCCGGCGCCCCCATCCTGCTGCTCCTCCACGGTTGGCCGCAGTCGCGCTACATGTGGCGCTACGCCATCCCGCCGCTCGCCGAAAAGGGATACACGCTCTTCGTGCCCGACCTGCCCGGCTACGGCGACAGCACCCTTGCCACAAAGGCCGGCGCCTCGGGATCGAAGCATGACCGCGCGACGGTGGGGGAGTCTCTCCTCTCGGCCGTGCGCTCCGTCTACGCCCCCGACAACACCCCTTCCTCAGCAACAGCAGCCGAAGAGACGGAACTCAACATCATTCTCGTAGGCCACGACCGCGGCGCGCGCGTATCCCAGCGCCTATCCACCACCCCGCCTCCCCCCGACCTTAACACAAACACTAAAATCCGCATCCTCGGCACCATGCTCATCGACATCGTGCCCTACACGACGCAATGGGCCAACGCGGCCGCCAACCCGCGCGCCGCGACGTCCTACTTCCACTGGTCGTTCCTGCCCAACGCCGCCCTCAGCAGCGCCATGATCAAGGCCTACGGCGGCGCGCGCTTCTGCCGCGCCATGATGGCGCGGTCCACGGGGACCAACGCTCCTGGTGTAGAATCGCTGCACGCGGACGGCGCCGTGGACCGGTATGCGGAGCTGTACGAGCGCGAGGCTGTGATCGAGGGTGCTAGTGCGGACTATGCCGCTGGCGCGGCGGAGGACTGGGAGGCGGAAAGGGGGGATCGGGAGGCGGGACGAGGGATGGGGGGGTTAGTTTATGTGGTTTATAGCGAGGGGTTCTTGGGCCGCGTGCATGGGGCTTCCGAGGAGATTTGGAAGGGGTTTGTGGGGGACGGGGGGAGGTTGGAGACGCATGGGGTTGGGGAGGGGTTTGGGCATTATTTGCCGGAGGAGGCGCCGGAGGTGGTTAATGGGCATATTGGGAGGTTCTTGGGGGAGTTGGGGGTGTAGGTGTATGTGTGGGTGTTTAAAAGGGAGGGAGGATAGGGGTGGTCATGTATGATGTGGATTACCTACAAGTTATCTCTCTTCGGCGTGGCTTGCGACATGGTGAACATTTAGGTTATCTCACAGTTACATAGACCCCTTTTTGTGAGATCTGTTACGGTAGATGTCGGGGCCCCTCTGGCAGCACCCCAGACATGAACCAACATGACTTGTGTTCGGCTCAGATGTTCATACGTGACTAGTTACATATCAGGCTGATCGCATCGCGTCGTGTCCCTGGTAGTCAGTACCCATGCCTGTGTACACACTCCGCTGTGAAGCGGCTCCTGATCATGCATCGCATCCCCGCTGAAGCAAGCATGCCCGTCCCTACGCCTCGGTACACTCCCAAGAAGAGATCATGTTGTCGAATGCAGCAGGGACATCCCCCTGGTTGGCACTGAAACTCGAGCCCGATCAGTCCGCATCACTACCACAGGTGAAACGTCAGCGGAAGTTTCGCCACGGTCACCTTCATCTTCACTGCTGGTGCGTGTAGTACTTACACGTAGAACACGCACGTATCGGTACCGGCCGCCCCGACTAGGATCGAGCTGATCTTGTCGTCCAAGGTGCTGTCGAGGTTGTCTGATCGAAGAAGTAGAAGTCGGCTAATGTCGGTTCGAGGCATGGTTTGGGTACTCTGCTCGCCCACTTACGGCAGACATCGGCCGCGGTGTACTCGGCCCAGCACGTCCCCGTGAGGCCGGTGCCGTCGCAGAGGTCGGTGAATATCAAACCCTGGAAAGTGATGTTCGACGTGGGCAGGGCGCTGAGTATGGAGGCCATGGCGACGAGGGTAAGGCTCAGGAAGGACTGCATATCGACGGGAAGGGGGATTTGGAGTGGAAAAGTGATTGCTCAAGGTGGTTGTCGGTGGTTGATGTGGTGTAATCCGAAGCTGGCTACCGGGGATGAGGAGAGACCCGGGCTAAGTACTTAGCGAGATGAAGAAATGATTCTAGACTCTCTCTCGTGCCATGTCGTCCCACTATGCTCCATCGTGAACGGTGCAGTCAGCTGATATAAGCATGGGTTGAAGCGAAATGTTGCTCCTGGAGGAATCGTCAATGCCTCACCATGTGGTATATACCATCTACCTCAGGCAGCTGTATTGGTTGACGCTATTATCCCTTTTATGTGTGAGTACGGCACGAGAATCGCCGCAAGGGCAGAAGCCAATGAGCCAACGAGAATATCGTTCCCCTGTCGAACCTGATACTTCTTGATGCACCTAATTTTACTTGCACAAGAGGTAAAAGTGCTTAGGTGAAAGGGGGGCAGTGCTCGTGCCGTACTCATAAATTAAGGGGATCCGGACCTTGCATCAATTATCAGGGAAATAATCTGCCTCTAGATTGCTCATTCGGGCTGAAGGTCTTGATGTGGCACAGCCGAGCTGACGGCTGAGGGCACCACAATATCTTCAATGTTCCATCTCAGACATGACGGACACCTCGAAGCGTCTAAGGTTTCTCAGCTTGGTATCCATATTCTCTCTTCTGAATGTCGAGTGACGCGAAACGTATGGGAAATATCGAGACTCACATGGAAACCAGGAGCAAAGAAAACTCCGTTTCCCCTCCGCCCACAATCCTCCCCCTAAGAGACTATCAACTATGTCGTGCGGTCCATACCCTAAGTGATTATGGCCGGTAAAGTAAACCTTGACAGCGTCGAGGCAACCGCGATTGTTACTGAGTATACCATGTACCTCCCGTATGATCTACCTTGTTCAGCAAGGTCTCAGTCGTGCCTAACATTGAAGGTCATGCCAGGGGGGATCGCTCGTGACGGCGGGGCTATGGGGGGTTCTATGGAGTGCAAAATGGCAATTTGTATCCCGTGGCTCAGGTCTCCAAGGTACTTACTCCCAGTCCATCTATTGTTATAGCGAGAACAAGCAGTGTTTAGGTATGTAAAGTTCCCAGCCTAGCACCTCAAAGGCGTAGAGTGCGTCGTGGAAATCCCAACTTCCTGGTTGATATTCTTCTCAAAAGAAGGAAGCCCTCGAAGTCCCATTACACTGAGCCTCCACCTTCACAATAGCCTGCAGTCTAGGTGTGGACAGATCACCAGACGAATTTGTCACAACATGCAACTGCAGAGTTGCTACTATAAACCGTTTCAATGTTCTAATCTAATCTAGAAGTGTGACTTCTGAACGTAAATTTATGCATATTTCTTGCATCCTGACTGTCCGGTGCCTAAAGGCGGACGCCTTGTGTGCCAGTAGCACCTTTCAACCCAAGATAACATGCCAAAAATAAGCTTTCCGTCGACTCACCTTCTCTCCCACCCAAGTCTCCCACTTGATTCTCTTGCATCCCAGCGTACTAGAAGATCGCTTAATTCGCACCATCGACTGACCACTTATCTCTTCCGCCATCACCACACGGGCTTTCCGCTCTTGCGTAGTCATTGGCGTTTTTCGACCGGGTTTTCGTGCACAGCATCATCGGACGAGAAGCTGGGTTAATCGAAAAAAGTGTGCTGCTTGACATTCATGTCCTTCCGGGCGACGGCGGCGGAGTATGACCCTCTTGGCCCACTTCCAGGCCTCGACGACGGCGGCGAAGAACAGCGCCGCGCACACGAGGACGATGCCCCACTTACACGAGATGCCGACGTGCTTGGAGACGACAGTGTTGAGCCCCGGGATGTAGATGATGGGGAACATGGTGATGAAGCCCACCATGATGGCCCAGGACAGGAACCGGTCGCGCCAGATGTCCACCGCCCACTGCGTGAGTTAGCGCGTCGAGCCCGGCTACATGTCCTACGCGAGGAAAGGCGCGAGCCACCTGTGGCAGGTGAAGGTAGTAGCGCGGGCGCGGAACACAACGCGGCAGCTGTCCGGGCAGCTCTCGTTGCAGCCCTCGCCCAGGTCGCCGCCGCCTAAGCGGTATACCACGAGCATGAACCTGGCGAAGCACAGCACCGCGATCCAGACGCCGTACACGACCATGTCGCCCAGGAACTCGGCGTCGAAGATGCCCGTCCTGAGGCTATGCGGCGGCCGGTTCATGATAGCACTGGACGGTAGCGGACATCTTGGGCATGAGCCTAGCTTCACCTGCCCAGGTGTGCGATCCGTAAGATCCGAAACAAGCTGCAACTCTGAAACTACTCACAAATTGAAGATGGCAATCATTGAAATAACAAAGGCCAGTCGCCAGTCCAGTAGAGCCTAGGCATCGAACGACGTGGGAAGGGTTGGCACTGTGACCAAGACGAACTAGTGGTGCTCTTTACCCACGGCCAGGGACTCGTTGTGCTGGGCAGTCATCCACCGCTCGGGCAGTGATTATCTTGGTGACACATTGACGATCTGGATAACGTATGCCAGTTCGGCCCAAGCAGTTGGGTTCTAAAGTTGATTTGGCTCATAGCTTACCGAGCCGGAAGCATGTATGAGCAGCTACCGTGGGCAGAATTGCAGATTTAGATAGCCAGTTCAGGAGCCCAAGAGAGTCGTCGCAATCAGCAAGCAGCAGTACTGTGCTCTGAGTAGTATCGAGAGAGTAATAAAGTAAGCTCCTCGTATAAGCACGTAGTTGCCCAAGTTAGCAAGTCGTCGCTGCGGCTCACAGGAAAGGTCCCCCCAAGATCTCAGACATGAAATCCCTCCGGGGAAGATGTTCCACCTCAAGACGCCAGTAGACCTGACGAGTCCTCGGCGAGCTTGGCCTGTCGTTGACTCACGTACCCCGGTGGCGATCCAAGCGCGGTGAGTCGGTGCCGACGCCCGATCCCTCTACCGGCAACCTTGGCAGTCGGGGGAACCTGGCTTTCGGCACGGCCTTGGCGCCATGGCTCTGGGTTGGCCGGTTGGGCATGCCGGTGAGGGGGCATGTCGATATGGTGACATGAACTCTTAAGTGTTACTACGAGCAACATGAACGCCTTTGCGGGCCGCGGCGTAGGCACGGGCCGCCGTAAGCCGACAAGCTGCGGTGGATGTACTGGTGTCTTGAGCGTCTTTCGATGGCTGTAAAGTGCGGATTAGTTGCGATGCCAAAACGATAGTGGACTTGAACTTTAAAATCAGCGTGTTGATCTGAAGCAGAATTTATCTTTGTATAGACGACTTGGGCTCAGCTAATTGGTGGTTGTGGTTGATGATTATGGTTGATGATTGTGGCTGGTACGTCGATATTGGCGTGGCTGGCCCAGGTGACATTTTGGACGCGCCACACCACAACCACGGTGACACGAACCACTCAACTTCACAGCAACATCTGATAGATCAATGATGTCTTCCAATTCCTCACCATCAAAGTCGGTGTTCATGACTGGGATCTGAATACTGATGTAAGGCAGAATCCCCTCTGAAACTTTCCATACGGATCACCGTTGCTGCGGCTGCGACTTGCGAGCCCATCATCTGCTGGGAACAAAGACCCTCATATGCGGGCCTAGTAAGACGGCCCCAACTGCTTCATGTTCGAATTGATACTGACAATCGGCTTGTAATAATGTTAAACATCCAGAAATATTTTCAGTTCCAGGCTACAATATCAGGCTACTAAATTGGGCGATATCTCCAGGCTCAGCATTGATATAGATGACCAGGCAGGCTCTTCATCATCGTCACCCAACCGATGTCGAAAGAAGTAACGGGGAACAAAAGGGGTATTGGGCCCGTCCTCCAGACTCATCTTTCCGATGTAGACGCCGCAGCCTCCGCCTGCGTCTCGGTTTCATAGTGAAGAAACTGTATAGGCATCAACAGACCGTCCGTCGGGATCTCTGCAAGTGTGGGCGGATGGACAATAGTCTGATCCGTGCGCTCGAACCCTTCTGGGGTAGTGTACTTCTTCATCCCCGCCGCCTTTGCGGCTGCAAGTGCTGACTGCTCTTGCCCGGTCCGCGGTGTTTCATTCGACAGCCTCTCCCCTATGTACCATCTCTGATTCGCCCCTGTGTATTCAGGGAAGTCGCTTTCCGACATTTCGACCAAACCGCCGTCGGCATCGCGTACGAAGTGGCGAGCTGGCAGCACCTCCAGGTCATACACCGGTAGTATCTGGTGGTATACGTCGTGATTGTGTATCTCGCGGTGGATCTGCTCTTCCACGATCTCGTGGACCTGCGGGCGGACGGTCTCGTGGGTGACGGCTGGAGTTTTGCCTGGTTAGCCATGGCTGAGTGTACTGGGGGAAGGGGGGACTTGCCTGGGGCATGGGTGATGTCTTGGTGCACCTTTGTCGTGTCGTTGAGATCCAATATGCCATCTAGGGCCTTTACTAAGTTGTAGTCCGCTCCTAGATCTTCACTGCTCACTCCGTTGGTTTGTATGCCGTTGACATCGTTGGATCGTTCCACTTCTGTCACCGGAATCTTGTCGTCGCGAGGGGTGAAGAAGCCCTCGTCGTCATGGCCTGATGTGGCATGCTGGTGCATCACATCGCTGGCTGATCCGTTGGCGAATCCTCGTAGCCCGGCCGGTGTCTGGTCGTCACCATAGGTCGACGGGGTTACGTCGTCATGTCCCGCTGTGGCAGGCTGGTGTATCACATCGCTGGCTGACCCGCTGGCTGACTCTCGAAGCTCGAGCGGTGTTTGGTCGTCGCCATTGGTCAGCCGGGTCACATCTTCATGGGCCGCTGTGGCAGGCTGGTGCACCATATCGCTGGCTGATCCGTTGACTAATTTTGGAGGATCGACCGGTGTTTGGCTGTCAACATAGTTCGACTGGGTCACATCTTCATGGCTGGCAGTGACGGGCTCATGTACTCCTCGAACGGTCCATCCATGCGGTTCGATCGGTGTTCGGTCCCCGTCGGCCAAGGGGGTCACATCTCCCTCGCTGGCTGTGAGGGGTTGATGCATTTCATGGTTGACAGTTCCTGGCCGTTCGTTCGGTGTTTCATGTTGGACTTCTGTGGCAGGCTGGTGCACCTCGTGAACTCCCTCTTCCGGGACTTCCTCTTCTGGTATGCCATTATGTGTCTCTTGCCGGCTCGGCCTATCGGTCTGTACTCCTTGGCTGTTTTCTCTATTTGCTCCCAGTGTATTCGTTGGTATCGAGCTTGTGCCGAGTGACTTGGACCTTTTCTTTACATTTGACGAGGAATTGGCTTCCGCGATGATTAAGGCTTTCTGTACCAGACGCTTGATTCGTCGCCGCATGTTGCTGGAATGATATAGTATGCGAGGAAGGTCAAGAGCTCAAAGAGTCGATCGTGCGTACGATGGGATCGTGCTCGAAAATATCCGCGGGGGCCAGTACTTCTCCTCGCCACTCCCCGAGCCCGAGTCAAATCTAGCAGGCACAGCTGATGATTTTTCTTGAACGTGACACCTCCCTGCATAGTAACTATCATGACTTGCGGACGACGACATGGGAATGGTCGACGTCACTTTGAGACGATTCAAGCCATTGCCAGCGGATATCAGTTCAAGCCTTGCGTCATACCCGTCGCTGGCCATGAATCTTTTACTTCACGGCTACTGTTGTATTAAAAAAAGAACGGCGGAACGGGCTGGAAAGTTCATATTTCCCGGTGGATTGCAGATTATATTGGACCGACCAAGCAAAACTGAATTCCCCATTGCAGCCGTCCTGTTTTCCCATGCTGGGTTGTGTCCAGTGCTTGATAGTTCCATGGTGTTCGACCCAGCATACTTGTCCACGTTTACGTAGAACAGTCAGTGGCGTAGCATAGTCGAATAGTCATTGACGTATTACAGCCACTGGCGTCGAACAGTCATTGGCGTTAGACAGTCATTGGCGTTAGACAGTCATTGGCGTTAGACAGTCATTGGCGTTAGACAGTCATTGGCGTTGAACAGCCATCCATTGGCGTAGAACGGTCATTGGCGTCGAACAGCCAGTGGCGTCGAACAGCGATTGACGTCGAAAGCCATTGACGTAGAGCTATGCTGGTTGCTAGCTGCAGACTGGAATTGCCCCTGACGTTTAGCAAGATCGATGAAAGCCAATAAGCTGCTCTGTTGAGGAATAGCACAATGTCATCCCGTACTAGCTTCACCCTCTTCCTCCATGATGAAGGTGCTACGTCAATTCTCACGAGGCGTCGATGTTCTAGGCCGGATGCTACCGCTTAGTGGCTGATAGATGATGCCATGATGAACTAGACGGGCCTATTCCCGACCCTATGTATGGACTGTTTGCCCCGGGTCGTACCCACAGCCGTTCGAACGGCGGGCATCCGATCGGACGATTTGCTAAACTCCCGCTACTTGGTAGCCGCATGGGAAAGTTAAAACTCGATCACCTTTGCGTGGCAATCTGATAACCTTTTGCACTGCCGGTTTCCGTGGCTTCCCCGCCTTCGACTGGAAAGCATATCTGGCAACTGAAGCCGAAGGTCGGTTGGAAGCCATCGCATACCAAGGATGTAATTAGCGTTCACATGGGGCTTTCACGTCCGCGTCTCACCGAGATAATCGTGATGGGGCGTGTCGGTGCATGTAAGGCGAGGTCGTTGGTAGGGCTAACTTCCAGGCATGACGTCGAAGTTGGAGAGCGGCGAGATCGTCGAGGTGGAAGTATCCGAAGAACATGACGAATCTAGATCAATTACGTTGCTGCCATGTAGAGCATGCCCCTTTTTCAGTGTCGTCTATGTCCCTGACATCTCTCACATATATAAGACCAAGTATTCTACAGAGACTATATGGTTTATTAGTACAACATCATCAACTCTCCCGTGAGGCATCGCTTTCACACATTCTTGCCAACAGCTTCCATACTCCACTCAGTTCACCAACCAACAAAATGCCCAACGCCAAGGACGCAATCAAGGGGTTCATGTCTAGATCGGGACAGCACACCACAACTGTGCATGAGACAGCAGCACCGGCTGTCCAGCACGAGGTGGTCAAGCCAACTCAGCACGAAGAGGTCAACACCGCTCTCGACAAGGAGGTCCACCAAGACCACTACCACCACAAGGTGCAACCCGTCCAGGACAGGGAGGTTCTCCCTGAACAGCACACCCATAACGTTGCCGCGGTCGAGCACCGAGACTTCGACCACCGCGACAATGACAAGACGCGACAAGCACTAGAGGCCGAGGCCGCGAAGTTCAAGGACGAGCGTGTCATCCAGGAGACCGCCCGGTCCCAGAGCCACGCCGCCGCCGTCCAAGGCGAGCATGTCCACCAGTAAGTTTCCCCTTCCCCGAGCTCTGTAATCTCTTCCATTGACATAGTTTTCCAGCCACGTCCACGAGACAGTGCAGCCTGTGGTACATAAGGAGACGATCCAGCCGAGTGTCGTCCACACTGCCGTCCCCATCCACGAGACGCACCACAACGCCGCCAAGCACCACGCCACCTCCACCCTGCCCCCCGTCAACATGTCCGAATATAAGAAGCAGGGCGGCGCCCTCGGCGGCAAGGAAGAGCGTTTCGGTTCCTTCGAAGGTGAGCCCAGCGTGCAGAGCTCCTCCATCGGAGGTGCGACTGGCACCCACCGCACCGAGACTCCTGTCAGGGGTACCTCTCACGGTGATTTTAACCCGCTTGACGCAGGAAGGGAGCATGAAGTAGGAGGCTTCCGCCGCGCGGGCGAGGGTGGTATGGCTGGTGCTGGCATGAATGATATGCGGAAGGAGCGTGGGTATGGGCAGGAATACGGACACGAGAGAAATGACTCCGGTAAGGGTTTGGACTCTCCTACTGGGGAGAGAAAGCAGCCGGGTCTCATGGACAAACTGAACCCCAAGGTTGATGCTGACGGTGATGGCGTGGCTGGGTTCATGAAATGATCCATACGGCACCTATAATTACTTTGAGCTGGTCGGTAACGGTGTTGTATTCCAATAATTGAGGATTGTAATTCATAGCATCTTTGTAACAGTTGTATTCTTGATGGTATTCTAAGTGAGTCTTAACAACAAGGTAAGACAAATATAGTTCATTACTCTACGAAGGATCTTTTTGTTCGTGGGCGGCTTCCGAATCAGTAACCATCCTTCGAAGAAAGATATCTGTTGCAAATAAATATGAGGAGTCTTGCTACTCGCTCATCTATATCTAATAGCGACTCGCACTGCCGCAGTTGAATGGGCGCACGAGCGTGACGCATACATTACACAGACGGGCGAGCGGGACGTCCAAATACAGTTACAGGAAGGCGCATGAATTGAGAACATCTCGAGACCGAAAATCGCCGGGACAAGCAAGCTACAGGTACTTATGCTAGGACATGATGCCCCCTTCAACATCTTGATCATCTACACTCACCTATATCTATCATACCCATTGGTCACACCCTCAAGATCGGTGGCCGCGAAGCTATTCTATTCACATATCTGATACTACATCATGGGAAGGGTTTATTCATCCTACTTAGGGTACACAAGCCCTCCCCATGTGCCTTCCATCCACCCGTGCGAAAGTTCGACAGAAGGACCTGACGCCAACTTCTCCTCCTTTCCTCATCTCACGCTCACACTGCCAGCTCTCGCCGACAGCTTCAATGTCGCAGTAGTGCTCATGGGTACGGTAAGCTTCGTACCCGAACAAGAACTCTGCGGCTGGGGCCGGGGGGTGTGGCAGAGCCTGAATTGATTCCATAACATCGATATCATCTCAATCTGCTGGGTTGGGAACACGAAGTCTACGGGGCCGGATGACCAATGTATGTTTTCGTATTGAGGCGCCCCGATCTAAAACATCCAATATCGAACATCAAAAAGATCCGCACTGGGTTCGTTGAGCCCCCCAGCTCTGAGGTTTTCCAGCGCCAGCTATGTGAAATATTAGTATCGAAGACTCTTGTCGTGAAGACCCAGTAAAGGAAGCTAGGGACTGAAAAACAACATACCGCTGCGTGAGATTTAACTCGAATATCATCAGCCTTGTCCTCTGGTTCTCTTCCCTCGTGGCTCGTTGAAAGCAGACTGGTCAGGCCCTTTACCCACTCCTGCTTCTTCTGCTCTCGCTCCTCGGCCGGAAAAGTAGACAAGAGGTAAGAAGAGGACCCTCTAAGCATAGTCAGAAGACCAATACAGTCGACCCTGTTCCATTCACGGTGTGCCACATCCAGTTGGATACCTAGGAATTCCAGTAGCCGCCTGACCAATGCTTCCTTATATGAATGCGCCACCGTCTCGAGAACATGACAGCGTGCCGCGAAACACTGGACCATCATCGTCTTCCACCTGCTCTTCCTTAAGTTCGCCATCTTCTGCACCACATCATCGGCGCGAGCTTCTACTTCTTCTGCCGAGAACTGCACCGTGAATGGATCCTTCGCATCGGGACTGTCCTTCGGCTTGGTGCCTACTTGAGGCCTCGTTCCATCGTTGTAGAGATTCAAGTAAGTCCCCAAGAATCGTTCGAGGTCCAGTCGTGCCCCTTCTGGCCCTTCGCCAAGTTCGCCGGCAGCATCAGTTGGTACTTTTGCTATCACCCGGTACAGAACTGTGATGCCCCAGTCCATGAAGCGAGGATGGAGAAGGCAAAACTCGATGAGGGCGTTAATGAGACTCCAAAAGCGGTTGCTAAAGTCGTCAAACTCCTCGGCGTATGCTCCGGGCGGGGACGCGAGATATGTGAGGAGGGTGTCAGCTGCAGCGTCGATGGTAGGTGAGGAGGAAGGGTGGCCAATGTCGGCCTCGTTCTGGGGTCTAATGGAGAGCCATATGTCCAGGATTCGGATATCATCTTGATCCAAGTCCCAGCCCGACATGATGTGTATGTTGCAGTGTTGAATGAATGATGGTGGTGTTGAGTACTGAGTGGCATAGACAGAGGTTGAGAAGGTTGCAGATTAAGCAGAAGGGCAGACACTAAGTGTCCTAGGTACGTACCTATAAGAATGCTGACGGATTTATCCCCTTAGCCACTGACGTGCCCCACTAACCCGACGCCTCTTCGCTTGAATGTTGCTTCACACAAGCGACCTCACCCTCATACATACACCCCAATTCGTTTCGGCCATCGGAGGACTACCAGGACACGGTCTACCCTTCATACGTCATTAAATCGGCCAAGGGATGGTCACTTGGCTTATTAATGACTGCGTGGCGCATGGTAGGATGAAGCCTCGTCTTACATGCTTGCCCGCCCCCACGATAAAGTTACAGGCTGGAATTCCAGCCCCCACTGCGTCCCTAATATATATATAGAAATTTTCGTAATGTAGTGATCAGTGTATCAATAGATGCCTAGACTACCCAAGCGGACCATGGGGAAGCTTCAACAGGCTGTCTGTAACCCTGTCAGCTGCCTGACAGCCTGTCATGATATTCATGATGATATTTTTATGCACCGGCCCATGGTGGGTTAGCCTATCAGCAACTCTCTGAGAGCTTGACATCCATATGCATTGTGTACCAAGTATACCTACACCTGGTAACCGTCAAGCTGACCTGACAGGCTGACAGGCTCGACAGATCACAGGTGTCAGCATGGGCGGTATGAGTGACCTGGTCGCGCATGCCAGAGCAACTGGTTGAATTTCTTTCGTCGCCCTGTTAACCTAGTGAGTCTAGTGGTGATGGTGGTGCAGCTGGAATTGGCTGACGAAGTCTTGACAGCCTGACCAGGTATGACATGCTGGGTGACAGACTGTCAAAAAAACCTCGTGGTCCGCGAATGTAATCAGGGGTATTTGTGGGCGCCGCCGCCGCCACCACCCGTTCTTGTGCTCATTCATTGTGTCGGTCACTCTCACCCCTTCGTCATCTGATGACGGTTATTCTTGCTCCTTCATCCTCTTATGACGGCGCTTTGCCCCGAGACCGAAAAATTTATCTAACTATAGACAATAACAAGTTCCACGCGCTGGCATATCCTGTAGATCACTGAAGCTGACTGGCCTGATGCACATGATACGAAATCGAGTAACATGTAGGATCGGTCAAGGCAGACTGTGAAGCAACGAATGACCTCATCTCTACCAGGTGTGCAGTTTTTTTTTTTTTGCCTCTCAGATGGCATCAAGAGTGTTCGCCAGCGGAGGCTGGTTGACCACCACCGTATAAGTACCTGGCGTAGATACCCTTCTCATGGGGAGTTTTCGTAGCAGAACAGACGCTTTCTATTATATCATCATTGCTCCTACTTGAACTCACTTTGAATTATACTTCGCTGCTCTGACTTGATTCTTCATCAATCCATCATGGTCAACTTGAACAACGCTTTGTTGGCCGCAGGGGCCTTCGCCACTTTCGCTGTTGCAGCACCGACACAAGCAGCCGTCTTCGAGAGAGACGTAAAACACGCCGATACTGTCACATGTCCTATAAGTCAGTATCACCCCCTAGTTTTATCCTACTCCCCAACTTAACCTTTTCCTGCAGCCGGAGTCTCGAACTTCGGAAAGACGTTCAAGAAAGACGACATCGAAGCCGACATCAAGGCAAACCCGGACCCCAACAACCAGAACTCCGGTTTCCCCAAGGAGTATCGATACAGTGGCAGCGGCGGCTCTTGGCCGTTCACAAAGGACACACACTGCGATGACATGAAGGATAAGGGTGACAAGATATACGAGATTCCGATTGGTCCCTCGGGACAGGCGTGGAAGACATTCGGGAACAATCCCGGAACCTACAGGGTGAGCATATGAGTGCACCGGCAATATGAGCAACTGCTAACTGGATTTTCAGGTCCTCTTCAGTCTTGATGGGGGTGACCAGATTTTCTGTGGTGTGACCGCTCATGCGAGCAAGACTGATTTCAGCAAGGTCGTTGGATGTGAAGACTGAGTTTTCCCCCAACCGTGTGCGAGGACGTCTTGCCCATCAGCCATACAACAAAAGTGTAAGGAATATGATAGGAGGACTGGATTGGCGTGGGGTAACACACACATTGGGGCGTGGTTAGGTACAAGGGACACCAACTGATTTTCTATCTTTATCTGAGCTGCTTTTATCAAAGGAACAATTTGTGGGCATGGAAGAGATTTTCTGACTCCAGGTTCGAAACTGCGACTGGCGGTTCCCCTTTTATTGGTGACCTGCATGGGGCTAATCCCTTGGCGCGGCGGCTATAGGATAGGGCTGCATGGCTGCCCGCTACTATCTTGCGACATCTACTGGCTACCTTGCGACAACTTCCTATTTTCATTAAGACCGAAGAAGTCACGAAGCCTTAAAAGAGGTGTTCTCCTCGATAGCAAGACGCACATGGACGCATCTCTATATCTAGTCGCCTCTAAGAGTACAAGTGGCTGCCCCGTAACATCTGCCAGACTGCCCTCTCTGTCCGCGATAACGGTCAGGGAAATAAAAGCACGTGAACATGTATGCGTACAATTCAAGGCCCCTAGAGACAGCGACATATCGCCCTTACCACTAGCCATTTCCAACCTGGAAGTACCGCGCGCAGGCATACAACAGCACGCGATGTGTTAGACCCGCCATTATCGCGGACAGAGGGGGCAGACTTACAGATCCGGCTCAGCGGATGGTCTTTACTCGCAGAATACGAACAGTGGCCTGGAAATCATCGTCAAGAGTGAATCCCAGTGAGATGCTGTATGAGGATTGCATCGTTGCTCCATCTATAGAGGAAGGTAGTGGTATGATGGATGTAGATTCCGTGTAGTGCTAGAGGTGGGCGGGCGGTGTAGTTTTGTTTGCATTCACGACTTCGCATGTAGGCAGATCGAGATCAAGGTTGTCACAAGTAGCAGTGGTGTGGACCGGTGTGTATTATTGTCCCTAGGCATTGTTCTAGAAACTCGTACCGGAAAGTCCGGCATGTAGACGATGTGCAAGCGACCACCAACCATCCCGGTAGACAATCCATTCATTCAGCCTTGATGGGCTTACCATCCATATATGTGAGTAGGAGAGTACCGTAGCAGTGTGCTAGCAAACTATACAGCCCTACGCATAGTTTCCTTCTAGAGAATGTACCGGCTGTCCACCAGTCTGGCACCACCAGCACTGCTGTGTGAAGACGTTAGGTAGATGCCATATGAAAGTAGTCGTTATCCTCTTCGCCCTCGGCATCGACCTCTTCGCCCTCAGCATCATTCCTCTTAGCTCTTAGCCTCATCGAAATCGAAATCGAAAGATATACCGCCAGTGATTAGTGACGCCTGTGCCTCTGGATTGCCGCTACTGGCGCCAATCTCAGAGTCATGGTCTTCGTTGTCCTGGACGGCAGGCTTGGTAGCTCGGTCACTCTTCGTCTTCTTGGTAGTTTCGTTGTAGTCATTGTCAGTGCCTGCAAACTTTCCAGTGGCAGCTCTCTTTTGTCCGCTGGGAGGCCGCGCTGGAAGGGAACCGTCCTCGCTCACGGGGAACTTTGCAAGGTGCTCCAGGCGCAACTTTCCCCAACGGCGTCTATATATAGGTATTAACTGTGTGAAACTTAGGGCCGGTTTAAGGCTCATTTCACTCGATAGGCTGCAGCACAGCACGTGACCTTCTGGACAACTGGTTGTCCCAGACCCATTAGGGCTTTGAATTGTGGGGCGGACACACTTATCTAATTGCCCACCAGATTTAGCTGTGCCGCTCGATCTTCTTTTTCCTCTTCAACCAGAGATATTTATACGTACATAGTAAACAAGGGCTTCTATGTCCTATTCACATATACAAAACGTCACAATGATGTTTAATTTAAAGATTTTTTTAGTTCTTAGAATAATTTCGATAAAAAAATCTAGCTACGGCCTTGAAACTTTTAAATAAGGCCTTTCTATAACAAAACTACTTAAAACGGAAAATTCGATACTTATAAATTTAATTCGATTTTTTAAAAATCAAAGGGGTGAGTAAAGCTATTAAAACCCGATATAATGCCGCTTTTATTAATATCATAATATTTTTTAACTTCACCTACCTTTAATTTTCGAAATTTTCAAAAAACTAGTTAACTAATTTAAGCGTAAAGCCCTTAAACGTGCCGCTTTTATCCTTTTATCAATTTTGATTTTAGTTTAAATGTTATAGCGCTTAAAGCTTATTATGTAGGTACTTTTTAAAGGGCCTTTATTTCTTTTTTCCTTTAATAGTTTTTTAATAATCTTATAAACTAAGAAGTATAAAAAGGTGATACGCGTCATAAGGGGAAGTAGTCAGTGTGGCTGGCACAGCCACAGTCATTAACACAGCCACTAGTATGTGTGTGGGTTACACATTGTGTGTGCGGACCTGGATAGCTAGGGCTAGACTAGTTAGATAAGGGTTGCACTAAGATAGGGATTGCAGTTACCTTAAGTACCTGCAATCTTTCCTATCTTAGTCCTTGCAACCTAACCCCGCCTCACACATCAATTGACACCCACTGTACAACGCAATAAAAGGCTAAACCTAGCTTTTCTTACAGTAAAATCCACTTAATTATAATCGTTTCTTATATATAAAAAATTATCATTACATATAACGTAGCTGACAAGCGAGTTGACATTACAAGCGAGTTGGCACTCGTCATGAACTCTCCAACTGCCATGTCAAATAACTTCACCACAACGCATTCAGTTCAATTCAATCAATCGGATTCCTCTTCCTCAGAGGTTTCTATCTCTATTGTACAAGTTTGCGCATTATGGCCAGTATTGCCGCAAACGCCACACCGTCACCCACGCGCTGCCGCCCGCCTCAGAGGACGACTACCTTCATCCATTTCCTGTTTTGCCAGCTCAGTACCATCCTTTGTAGCCCAAAGATCTACTGCATCTTCAACGGAAAGTACTCCTCCTTTCACTAAATGTTTGTTTTTTGTTTTCCGGCGTTTACTTAGTAGGTGATTGGCTTCTTCTAATTCGCGGACCCGGGAATCAACCAAAGCGACCTTATGCATAAGACCGTATGTAGCCTTTAAAAATGAGCTCAACGCATCAATTATTGATGTAGGTGAGCTTCCCTGGTGATTTCTGACTCGGTTTCGGATATAAACCGATTGGTTTACCGCTTCGTTAATGGTGGTAGGCGTCTTCGAAGTCCAAGTAGTGGGTGGCAGATTGGGGTCTGGCGACGGTGTTCGTATGATAGCGACAGCATCCAGCTTTGAAATGACACTTTCTGGGTCAAAAGGAATAAGCCCAGTGGCACTGAAACCTGCTCGAATGTTTCCTGGCGTCATAGCAGCGTTGTGTGCTTCACAAAACGCTGTAATGAAGTCCTCCTTCAAAACATGGGTTATATGACGCCGGATGAGATCCTCAATCATGCGACCGTAAGCTCGTTTGAGCAGGCTAAAACAGCCGACATCTAGAGGCTGGAGCCTGTGTGACGAGTGGGCAGGCATACAAAGGGTGATAATGCCATTGTTCTGACAATAATCCTCAAAGACCTGGGAATGGTGGCTTTCGTGACCATCTAGGATGAGGAGGCGTTTACCGGCAGTCATACGCGGTCTGGTATACTTGTCGAAATGCTGAATCTATTCCAAACCAATCTCATTCGTGGTCCACCCGTTGTCGGACACGGCCACCTTCCAATCGTGTGGTAATATTGTGTCGCGATACCATGACGCGAGGTGGGTTTTGCCCTGTAGAATGATGAACGGCGGGACCACCCAACCATCAGCATTAATAGCAGAGATTGCTGTAGACCATTCCCTGTTGCCTTGCTGAGCTTGTCTAGGCCTGCCACGCCTTTCGGCGCTTGTAATGACCATGCCGGACCCAATAATGCCCATCATAAACCCAGTCTCGTCGAAGTTGTAAATATCCGCGTCTTGGATACCATGTTTCGCGACTGCCGCTGCAACTTGGCAAAACCACGCGCGATATGCGTCTGGATCCTCGTTCAAGACCCTCTGGTAGTCTATCTTCCGATGAAAACGCGTCCGGAGGCCTGGTGTACGTTTGATGAAGTTCCGCGTCCAGTTCTTTCCAACGCGTCCAGCCCCATGCGCCGCCAACAATTGATTCGCCATATCTTCAACATAACTGTACCGGGGCAGAAATGCTCGCGCATCCAGGTCGAGAATAAAGGAACAAATGGCATTCTCTTCGGAAACCATAAGTTTCAAAGTATTGGGCATGCTGTCGTGTCGTGATGGCATTCCTTTGACTCTATTGCTCAAAGTGGAACGAGGGACGTTAAAGAGTTTCGCAAGCTGAAATATAGGAATATGAGGGTCACGTCGTTTAGCTTAAACAGCTAGCTGCAAGTCTGATTCGTTATAACGCGGTGCCATTGTTGTTGGTGGAGATATGATGGTTTGAATCGTATTGGTTGGAAAGTTCATGACGAGTGCCAACTCGCTTGTAATGTCAACTCGCTTGTCAGCTACGTTAAGCTTTAATTTTTATAAGCTTAGTTATTAAGTCGATTAGATAGCGTTCAATGTAGAATATTGTGTTTTTAAGCGCTTTTTTATAATAGAAAGCCTTTATCCGTAATATTTGAAATAATATTTGCTATCTAATCTTTTATACATAAATAAAAAGGCATTTTAAGCGGCTATATAATGCTACGTTATATATAAAATAAAGCTTTTAACAAAAGCTTAAGCACTATAAATTTTGTAATCAAAGCCAAAAACGCGGGGTAATTAATAGCTAATTACATACGCCTTGCGAACTAAATTTAGCATTAAAAAACCTTACGACTAAAGCTATCTAGAATACTAATTACATTCTAAACAACTTTAATATCGGGCTGAAAGCGTACAAGTGAACATAGAGGGGTTTAGGTGGTGGTGGTGGGGTTTGGCTGGCCGACTAGTGGGGGTGGCCGACTTCTATGGGGGGATGGTAGTCTGTAAACGGACAGCCGCAGAAGTGGACTTGGTCGGATGCTATGCTTGAGGATCGGCTTCTTGAGGATCGGCTTCTTGAGGACCGACCTCTCAAGGACGTCGTACTTGGTGAACGGCTTCGGCTCCTGGTTCTGCTTCTGGACGAGTCTCTCGAGGAACTTGGCGATGCGCTCCACCAACCGCTGCTGGAGGAGTATTGCGACATGGTATGTTTTTTGCGGGAGTCCAGGTTTGTAAGAGTGTCCGCTGTCCATTTGGGTTCGGTTGGTTGAACACGACAAGCTTGGAAGCGGTCCCGGTCAGGCTTTATATGGGTCTTCAAAGGAAGTCACGGCTCTGGCTGGTGGAGACACAGTAATTGATGTTCGTGACAAGGCATATGTAACTAGTGGCGATGAATGTGACAGTTCTGCATTGCAGAGACAATCACGATGTACGTGTCGTGAGTGACAAATGGTGGTACAAATACCCCGAGATTCATTTGAGACAGCGTCATGGGATGAGATCAGGAGTCAAGGGCTAATCAAATTTATCATGCTACGATATTCATTCTATTTTCGCTGCTGGGCTGTTGCCGGCGATGCTATGATTGGTGATGTTGGTGATGTTGTCTTCTAACGACTTTGAGGACCTACTTGACAGCCGCGTCTTTCGAACGGGCACAAACTTAGTCTACTAGGAACCATGACAGCCTCAGCCTTATATTGCGCTCCCTGTCCTAGCATTTCCGTGCGTTGGAAGAAGATACCAAGCAAGTACCAATACACTCAATACTCGAGAATGCGGGAAATATGCACGTGATAATGGCTTGACTAGAATAAGTGTTGATACGTTGACAATATTCCCGAATCCGACCCAAAGAAGCCCTGTGCCGCCCACCTGCACGTATCCCAAGTACACACATGGTCCTCAGTAACCCACATCAACAAATAGTTGCCAATCAAGGACCGTATCACGGCTTTACCGGTATGCCACCAGCAAGCTTACTGGAGACACTTGAAGCTCATGTAATGTGTGCCAGTGTGACAGGTACCCGTCACATCGATAGCCATGAGCTCGTAGTCGCCAGTGCAATCGGGTCCCATCCAGCCGACGCAGTACTCCAATCCGCGGATCGAGGCGCTTCTCGCAACGAAGTTGCCCTGGCCGCCGCAGGGAGCAGAGGGTGTACTCACGCCGTTCTGTTCGATGATACGGATCAGTATGTAGTCAATGATACCAACAGCGCCGAGATCCGGGAACGAAAAGGGGGCGTGGAGCAAATAGCTGAAATAAATAAGGCGATATTTCCAGTACAAGCCGCTCACGCGACTGGGGGCTTCGAGGAGGAAATGGTATTGGGTACTCCGGGAGTCCGAAGCGACTCACCGTCAAGTACTTGCACTCAACACCCGTATCGGGCGACGGCTGGCCAAGATTCTGGCACACGATGTTGTCTTGCAAAAGGTGGCCCGGCGAGTCGGGACCCTCGTACGAAAAGTATGACGCTTTGCCTGCTCTGGGTTCTGTTCCCCAGAGCAGCCCGTTTCTATATCGTAGAAAGCGGCGAACCAGGCTGCGGCGGGGGTGGTGCTGGCCAAGAGCAGGCCCAGGCACAGCAGGATCTTGTTGAGCGGGGAGGAAGGCATGTTACTGGGCGGTGGTGTTGTCGGCAGTGGTCTTCGTTTATGGAAGCTGTCTCGTCGGGGAGCTGGCTTGTGCCTGAAGGCAGTGGGCGATCTTGGGGATTGTGGGTGGGGCACGATGAAGATTCTGAGAGCAAGAGGCTTATGGGGAGTTTATATAGAGAAGATTCTCTTGTGCCTCTGAATCCATGTTTGTGTCGCACAATGGATACCTGGCGTACGTGGTTGTGTCACATCACCGTACAGTGAATGAAAGACTCGTGTGACGATGCTTTGATCCACCAGCTGAAGGTGAACAATCAGCACGCCTTGCATATAGTGACTTGTGACCGACGGGTTCTTCTTTCGACATTTGCTGGTGCGTTTTCCTGCTGGAATCAAGTCTGCAATCCCGCTCACAGGGCGTCTAAACAACAATCATACCGAACGCACAAGATGTATTCTCCCCTGGGCAATCATCTGTAGATTGTATATGAGGAGTTTGGCATCAGCTTGGAACATACAATCCTGCCTTCAATTGTGGTTTTCATTACCTCCAATTATGGCGTACCAAATGAGACTCACCCCCCTGTCTTTACTTAGTCATCTTGCTTGCCTTTGTGAGTTGCATCGGGGTCTTTCTTCTTGGGAGATACATTTGGCTCGTCTATATCAATCGGGTCTTGGCACCTTGTGCACTGGAACTCGAACAGGCTTCGTGGACTGGTGGGGCGAGATAGGGGCTCAAAAGGGGCACCTCAAAAAGGGCTCCACAGCCAGCCAGCCAGCCATGAACAGGTCCAATGGATGCGCCTGAGAACCCACGCGTAAGCGATCACCGCATAGCCATCTAGTCATATGATAATCTACGAGTCTATAAACCTCTTTCATTTCTTCTACGAGTCGCATAGTTTTCGTATTAGAGGTTTGATCATCAGTTTGAGAGATCTCACCAGCGTGCCTGGTGCCATCAAACATTCCCTGAGAGGCTATTTTCGGACTTTGTCTAGCTCCCGGCAAATGAACTTGGAACGAGCGCCTTGGGATGAACGGTGATGTTAAGCACGGTCCCCAAATGAGTGGTGCCAGATCTGTGGTGTGCTTTCCATCCTGATCCAGAGGCGGCGCCATTTGCCAGTCAGGACCTTTCGCCTGAGGCCACAAAGGCCGCATGAACACCACGAACCCAGCAATTGAGCTGCTTGGAAAGCATCACCTGCTGTATCCAATGTCGGCCCGACAGAGAGCGTGACGGCCAGGTCTGAGCCCGGCGGGTTTGTTCCTGTGCTCTGGCGGCTGTTGAGGTGTCGTGCCAGCTGGTGGATCATATCAAACCTGTCACCCAGTTTATATAGCCTCTAACAGAACTGTGAATGATTTCGGCCTGAGGCCGCAGCGATTTGAAGACTCGCTTGCCAGGCGCACATTAATCTTTTTCCTCCACCCCACCTCGAGCTGTTGCAGCTGTTATGTTCTGCAGCGTTCATCCCATGGTCACCCAGACTTTCAACAACAAAATCTTGACAGCTTCCTGTCTTCCCTCTTCTTGCATGCTTTGAAGCCTTCCTGTCTTCTCTGGCACGTTCCCTTGCGCTTAGGGTCTATCGCTCCGTCTCAAACTATTGCATTCTCCTCCCAACACCAGCTACCATGTCGGACTCGAACCTCGTCGCGGAATCATGGGTGTGGTTTGCGCTGACGCTTACTGTCGTCCTGGCCCGAATGTATGTTCCTCGTCGCCGACTTTCTACCATTATATCCTAACACTATTCTTTCTAGGGTCTCCCGGAGATTGCTACGCGGATCATTCAAGAAGCTGCAGATGGACGACTACCTCATGGCCGTTGCCATGGTACGGAACCATCATCTTCTCAGGCTTGTGCTTCCAAAGACACGATTCTAACTGTACCTACTCAGATCACCTACACCATCCTGCTTGTCGGCGTCAAGATCCTCAACCACACACCCACCAACCTCATTGACCCGAATGATGCGACGATTGTGCTTACTCCCGAGAGCATTGTGACAAGAGCATATGGGTCGAAATGGGTCCTTGTCGTCGAACAGATGCAGATTGCCACGATTTGGACCGTCAAGGTCTGCCTGTTGATCATGTACAGCCGGTTGACGTGAGTATTCTTAACTCCAAATCATTGACAGGCATGTCGTGAATGGACCAAGACTAACGCGACAACAGAATGAGCTTGAAGCAGAACTTCCTTGTCAAGATCACGGCAGCGTACGTCGCTTTCGGCTTTCTCTTCATGGAGATCACTTTCTTTGGCGCCTGGTGCCGCCCGTTCTCCAACTATTGGGAGGTTCCTGTTCAGAGCAGTACGTTTCTACCCTTGTTCCTCTCGACTGGAAGGAAAGACAAGCAAGCGGACAACTAATGACATTGTTGCAGTTCAATGCTCGGCCGAGAGGAACCACATGATCACGAACGCTGTCTTCAACATCACCTCGGATCTCATGATCATCTCTCTCCCCATGCCGATCTTTCTCCAAGCCCAGTTGCAGCTGGAGAAGAAGGCGATCCTGATGGGCGTCTTTGCGCTGGGCATATTCACGGTATGGCCACTCCGAATCCCACGTCGGACTTCACTTCGTGTCATATGTCAGTCGTTGCGAACAACCAGCTAACAAGATCTGGCTACCTAGATCTTCTGTGCCATCCTCAACAAGTACTACAGCTTCTCAGAAACTTACGGCACCCAGTGGATCTTCTGGTACATCCGCGAGGCCTCCACCGCTATCATCGTTGCCAACCTGCCGCTCACCTGGACCCTGCTGCAGCGCATGTTCCGTATCAGTTCCTTTAGCGGCCGCTCAACACGCCCGCGCGTCAGCGTGGAGAACTTGCGACATCGGCCCATCTACGGCAACCTGCCGAGTCGCGCCCAGGATCGCCGACCAAAGATGAGAACCGAAGACCAGGACTCCAGCCAATCGGAGAGCCATGAGTATCCCGCCTACCCGGACTATAGCCAATATGGGAGCCAGGAGTATGGTATCTACAGGGTCTTGCCTCTTGAGACATACCAGAATAACGAGATCACCTTGGAGGACTTTGAGGCGAACAGCGGTCGGATGTTACCATTGATTCCTACTCGACCAGAGTACACTTTGCAGAGGAGTAGAGACAGCGACGTAGTCCAGACATAAGGGACAGGACTCGAATGCCGACGCGAATCTGGACGTTGCCATGACGGCTTGCCGTGGACTTGGATGGTCGCGGTATTGGAACACATGGTCAAAGATCCGAACCCTTAAAGTGTAGATACAGACCCTTTGGTGTTCTAGAGTAAAGTTTCAATGAGAACCTTTCCCATTTCATGCCACACTCCAGCTATCTTACTATGCTTGTGTAGTTCGCTAGGTATTCAAGTTGCAACTTGGTCTTCTGCCTCCGTCAACCTACAGGCCCCTGCACGTTCATCTCAACATAGGAACCCCGGATTTCGACTACAGGCCGGGGTTGGTCATCTCACCGAGACTACTTCGCCAAACAATAGGGTGATGTTCCCACAAAGAATCAACACATACCACACATGCAGTGAGGTGTGAAAATGCTTGCCGCAAGGGTGCGCGCCTTGCTGTGGCTGAATGAGACAGCTTTATTGGAGCGTGGACCTGGTACCAAGCCAATCTTAATGGCATAACTCAACAGGCTTCATGCCTTGGTCGCTGGGGAGGATATGAAGAGACCTGCAATTCTACAGATACCACACATTAGGTAATTGTGGCGTTGGGGGGATTTGGACGAAGCATATTTCATCGTCTCCTGCGCCCACCACGATCTTCTTGATCTAGCAACTTTCCTGCTCCAATCTTAGACAAGGAAGGCCATCTAGTCATGGATGGAGGTATATGCGTTGCGTCAATAAAAGTAAATGGAGGGAAGAGCAAAGTGGAGCAGGGAAGATATCATCTACATCTAGCACATTAAACCTGTATGGAAAGTAGAGCAAAATGTAATCACAAGCAGGCCATAGGCACGGGCGTTAGATCAAATGGCAAGAAAGGTAATGCAAGAATAAATCTGCAAAAGTAAAAAGTAAAAGAAAATCGCACCCCACCTGGGACTCGAACCCAGAATCTTCAGCTTGCAACAACCGTGTAGGAGGCTGACGAGTTAACCATTTCTCTAGTAGGGCTTGACAGGTGAAAAAAGTCTGGTATTGTGGTATTAATGGCATGGCATGGCACGTGTACATGTACATGTACCTACAGGTTTAGATGACACATACCAGGCAGCAAGTAGAGCAGCCACAGCAAATCAAAACAAAAGAAGCAAACGAGCTGGAGGGGACCCCTTTGGCTAAAGCAAGTTCTGTCGTCGCATCTGCGCATCTGAGAAGTGACAGGCCGGGCATATCAAGGGAACCTGCATCCGTCTGCATGAGGCTTTTCGCCAGGCTGACAAGCATCAAACGGCTGGCTGCCCACTGCAGCGCCCACCCCTATCCAGTTCCGAATGGAAGATCAGAGTACAGTGTTGTAACAATGTAATCCCAAGACCTTCCCATGGGACCTTGCAGACATGACGATTCCAGTGATTAACCTTCAATGGATTGCACAAAGCCGCCATGCAGCCCCCAGCAGCGCGGATCCGACAAAGGTTGGAATCCGTTCCGTCCACGCGTGCCTGCACCTGCAAGAAACAGGACTCATTTCTAATATTTATCTGGACCGGTAGATCTAACATCCAGTTAGCGATGCTTCTGGGAAGTCACAAGTCTCGCTGCCCCTGGTTGTCGCAAGCCCCCCTGCCAAAACGATCCCCCAACGGAGCAAACGCAAACTCAAAATGCAGCTTCAAGCCCCTTCCACAACAGGTGTCAGTTTACACGCGCCCCGACGAAGCTTCTCGACAATCAAGAGTAGATCGGCCGTACCATCCGTCACAGCGTTTTGAAGAACCCGAGTATCTCCGCCACGACAGCATCCGACTGCTCCTGCTGCACCCAATGTCCCGCGCCCTCGATCAGCTTCGCACCTCTGAAGCAGCCCTCCTTAACCGTTTTGGGATCCTCATAGCCCTCAAATGCTCCCGGCTGCTGGTAGTTGCCCCAGTCCTTCTTGCCGCTGATGAACACACAGGGCACCTCGATCCTCCTGCCTGCGTAGAGCAGCATGTCCCTTGCCGATTGCGCCGTCGACGCAGTCTGCGCGCGGTACCAGTTCAGCGCGCCCTGGAAACCAGTCCGTTTCCATTCGTCGCAGTATACGCCCAGCTCTTCTCCAGAGAGCCATTTCTCGGTCTTGGAGAAGTCTTCGCCTTCCATGTTGTGGGCGACTGTCTCTGGCATGGATTGATCCTTTCGCATGATGTAGTACTCGGGCATGATCTCGAGGTTCTTCGCGCTCCATTTCTCCAGGGGATGGGGATCATTCTTGTCCCAGTCTGCGGACTTGAGATGAAAATACCCCCGGAGAAAAGCTTCGAGACCTTGGGGCGGGTTGTCCCAGTCTGGTGCCGCCTCGGGGGTGGAATTATACCACTTGTAATGCTTTCGAGGGGGGCTCAGTCCAGCCAGCTCAGCGCTGATATCGACCTTTTGCTTCGCCGACTCGTCTCCTAGCTGAGGCGTCGGCGGAGCATGGTGAGGATGGCTCAGCTGCACCGTCGACTTGAAGATATCAGGACGCATCAGGGCAGCCATGGCCGAACTCACAGCGCCAAAGTCATGCCCGACGATACTATGGACCTCAGTGTACCCAAGCTTATAGACCAAGCACACCAGATCGCGCACCAGATTCGTGAAGACGTAGTCGTTCAGATCGACCTCGTGGAATCCTCGGCGCGGCCAACCGGTCGTGCGCCCGTACCCCCGCTGGTCCATGGCGACGCAGTAGTATCCAGCATCGGCGATCTGGGGCAGCACTTTTCGCCACGAGTATGCAAGTTCTGGATAGCCGTGACAGAACAGCACGAGTGGCATTCCCGCTTTGCCGGCCTTCAAGATGTGCCAGTTGAGGCCGCATGACGCGCGACAGTCCACGTAGTCATCGTCAACGCCGTTCGGCAGGCTCATGGGTGGGAGTGCCTCCATCGCTGATGTTGAGTCGGTACCCATGCTGAAACACCAATACTAGGACGCGAGCTCTGTGAGATATACGGTTGACTTGATTCGCGGCACACTTGTAGTTAGCCGAACTGTGGGAAGTTACAGGGGATTTGTTGAAGACGTCAACTAGCACGAGCTTCCCCGCAGATCTAATAGTGTCGTGCTTAATAATCCTCCCTGAGCGGTCCGCGGCTTCCTTTTGGGACCATGTACGGGCCTTGGCCAACGGCACTGTTACTTACGTCTTGATCGCCGGACGTGTGGGCTCTTCGTCTTCCATAACACATCATCCCGACAAGGCAAGTATACAACAATCAAAATTCGGGGGAGAAACAGCCCCAGCCTTCAAGGAAGTCCAATTGCTGGCTATAGCATCTCACGGGAACGATTCGAGCATTACTATGGAATTGGTAATGTCTTCCGTCTTTGCGGATCCTCACGGGGACACAGCATATGGCCCAACGCAGGCATTCAGCCTCCCCTGAATTGACATGCGGCACGGATTCATGTCTAAGACGTCAGAGGAATAGTGCTGACATATCCCTACTAGCAGCTCCCAATTCGGGAGACAAGACCGAGGAGCGGAAGACTTCAGCATGCGGCTGAATACACCCATGCATTAGGGGGGCTATGTATGGCGAGCCATGGGGAGGAAGAGCGGTTGGGCAACCAGTCAGAGGACGCAAAGATGAGGCTCTTGGCCCCCGAGGGGCCTAACCTCAGAGTCGACATGGATTCACGTACCGTGGCAACCAATACTAGGATGCATGAGTGCGTGGCCCAGACACCATAACCGGCAGCTGAACTGGGATTGGAGTCAGGGGCAAAAGTGCACTTTTGGGTTGAAGACCAAAAAGCAGACGATGCCCAACCCAAGGCCTATGTTGCAAGACCCGATGTTTCTCGTTCACTCACCATTCCTTGACTTAAAGTATATCACAACTGCGGAGGCTCGTCTCGCCATGGCACCGCGACTAACCATGCCACCTCTATCCACCACCCTCCTCCTATGGGCAGGCTTCCTCGCCTCGTCCGCCAACGCAGCCATAACGTCCCAATTCCAGAATTTCTACCCGCAGCACGGCGACAAGTATGAGTACATCCTGCACCACAACTGCAGCACGCAGTTCGCCAACTACCTTACGGGCCGCACGCACGACTTTCCTATCGATTGGCTCGGCGGCGGCAGCAAGCCCACCGTCCTTACGGAGCCCGTGATCCTCTGCCTCCTGAACAACGTATCCGAGTACATCAAGTCAGCCTCTGCGTCCGCACAGGTGCTCCTGGGCATCACGCCGACGCTCCTCGCCCTCCTCGGCGCCAGCACGGAGGAGCTAGCCATGCTGACCGTCCTCGGCCGCCGCCCGCTTCTCGCGCTCTTCCTCTCCATCGGCAGCCCGGCCGTCTACGTCAGCCGCGCCTTCGAGTTCCACGACCCGCGCCAGCCGCTGCGCGACCGCTGCGGGCGCTACCACCTCTTCCGCCCCGCGTCGAAGGCCTCGCGCTGGGCGCTGGCGGCGGCACAGTACGCGGTCGCCCTCGCGGCGGCCGCCAACATCGCCACGCTGAACTGGGAGCTCGGCGTGCGCACCGCGTGCACGTTCTGGACCGAGACCATCTTCGCGCCGCTGCTGTGGGGGATCCTCAGCGTGCCGATCCACATCGCCGGCACGCTGGCGCTGCGGCTGCGCGTGCGGCGGACGACCCGGGGAGCCGGCGATGACGATGTGCGCTACACCTTCGCGCAATGGCTCCGCGCCACGCCGCGGCGCGTGGCTGGACTGGCGCGCAGCGAGTGGACGCCGTGCGCGGCGCAGGACGAGCTGCGCGTCGTCGCATTCGACGAGGGCAAGACGTTCATCTCTTGGGCGTGGCTGCTGTCGACGTGCACCATCATCCACATCCTGTTCGGGACGCTGCTGCTGTCGAGCCTGCTGTTCGTCGGCCCCCAGGACGCGCTGGGCGTCATTGTGAGGTACATGGCGTCGGTGCTGGCGTGTCGCGTCGTGCTGATGTTTGAGATTGCCGGGATGCGCGAGAGGTATGTGGCCGGGCCGTCGGAGGATGGGAGGGTTGAGAGGCTGATTTTGGGGAGGGAGATTGGGAAGGGGGGCGTGAGGTGAGCGGACCTGTAGTAACACACCGATGTTGGGAGCCTAGTGGTATATTGTGTATGATGTTGCTTCGTCTTGGCCACCGGTCCAGATGGAGTTTCCCAGAGGTGCCGAGCCGATAGGAGAGGGTCTAACTTTGGTGCGTGAAGGGGGTTGAGTTCCATATATGCTCGCCTAGGAGGGATAGGGGGGATAAGGAGTGCCTTATGCAGGAGCAGCCCCTAATGACTCCTTGAATATACTGCGATAGATATATGTGGAAACAACAGCGAATATGTTACTTGAGCAATATACATGACTTCTCTGCATTACTCCAGTGGTACACTTGAGATAACTCTGGACAGTGCGGTGGTGTTTAAACCGCATGTACGCACGCCTCAATCTCCTCAGAGATCGCCTACTGTCCACTCCTTCCAGCCCTTCTTCTCACCTGGCAACGTCACTGCTTCCCATTCCTTCCGAGTAACATTTTTCCATTCCTCGACCGGGATCCAGCCGATGTAAGCTCGATCACCAAAACCGCCCACCCAGTACACCTGGGTCACCACCAGCCGCACAAACTCGGAAAAGTGGATGCGGTTGCCGGGCAGCCAATACTTGGCATCCGAGTGCTTGCTCACGAAGCATGATGCCAGAGCCTCGGTGGGCATGGAATCGATCTTCTCGATATAGCCCAGCAGACTAAAGCGCGGCAGGTTGGCTGCGCTATAAGGCACAGTATCCTCGGATTTGTCACGCCCAAAGATCCAATCAAACAAAGTCGACTTAATGCGCTTGTCGGGAGGATAGCGTGGTGTCCACTGCTGGGACAGGCTGATGTTGGAACCGTCCCGGACGTTCTTGAAGGATGTCTCGATGTTGATGGCGAGAAAAGTTGGGTTCCCCTCATCCTCACAGTCGGCGACGTATTCCATGAGCGCATGAGGCATTCCCCCCAGGCCATCAGGACGGTTCTCCTGGCTGGAGAAGTGGCCATCGGATGAGCTTGGGAAGACGGTCCCGACGGTGCCGAGTGGACTAAGTGCCAAGATGCGGCGACCCAGCACAGCAGACTCGTACGAGGTAGGAATCCGATAACCTGACTCCGAAACGGGCGGGTTGCTGAAGACGTATTGGGGTTCTGAAGATGGTTCAGCCACACATGAGTGGGCGGCGAATGAGATGAGTGGTAAGCTGTGAAAGAGCCTCATGGTGGCGGAACGGAGCGATGCTGTACGGGAACCTCGGCAAGTTGACGGAAAGATAAATCAAGTACGATGAGACGCAGGATGAACAGCCAAGCTTAAGAACCAAAAGATACAAGATGCAGACTCTAAGGGTGCCCCTATAGCTCGAGAGTCACAACAACTCCCAGAGAATGGCGAGTGATACAAAATGCCTGTGAGTATCAAGGTTGGAAGTTGTGAAACGCGGCAGCAGCGTGGACGTCCGATGATGGATGCAGCCTGACAGGCATCATGAGACTTCGAGCATGGGGGTCGTCCTAAGGCAGTTAGCGTACCTCAGTGCAGGTGGCGAGAGGCTGATAAGATAAGGAGGGGTAGATTTAGCCGATGATCAAGCGAAGATGGGACATTCTTCTCCGGGTTAGGTCACATGACCCCAGAGTGGGTCGGACCTCGCTCTGACTCTTACAACCCACACAACCGAATCAATCCCCCTCGGCCGCAAAGAATTTATCAGCGAAACCGCCAACACCCAATTTCGTCCTCTCCACCCAAGGTCATCATCAATCAGCAACCGACAGACTACATCGCAAATCCGTCAACATGGGAAAGGTTCACGGTAAGTCTACTTCGAAGCACGAAGAGAGAAGATGCGCAGACGAGGGCATCCAGCAGGACCCATGCGTCATCGGAACGACAGCCACCTGGCAAGAAAGACTGCTGACATGCTCCTCCAGGCTCCCTCGCTCGTGCCGGTAAGGTGAAGAGTCAGACACCAAGTAAGTCGACACCGCAGGTGCACCCCGAAGTACCCATCAGTATCACTCGACAATCGCGACGAGGAAGCGCAAGGCAGTTGTGAGAGGACCAACGACCAAAATTAATCGAACAACACTTGCCGCCGACTACCATTCGACCTTCGCCACCCGTAGTGGCAACCTAGTCCTTCGAGGCAAACCAGTCCGTCAATATACTCGACCGAGCAGCGTTTCCTCCGTCACGATTATAGCTCTAGCTCTCCGAATCATGGTCATCACGGATCGCAGACTGCGGCTGACATAATGATACAGAGGTTGAGAAGCAAGAGAAGAGCAAGGTCCCCAAGGTACATAGCCCCTCTCAATTTTGTAGCCCTCCATGGGCTTGATATCTTCAAGTCTCAAAAACGACATGCTAACATGCACACAAGGGCCGCGCGAAGAAGAGACTCGTATACACCCGTCGCTTCGTAAACGTCACCCTCACCGGTGGCAAGAGAAAGGTAATTCTTGGCCTCGAGACTTGGCTGCCCTCTGAATGCGATGCTAACCCCACCATAGATGAACCCCAACCCTGGCGCGGCCTAAGCGCAGAACGATGTCCCACCTCGAGAGAGCAGCCGACGATATGGCCGGGAGGTATGGAAGGCGATGGACGAGTACATACTCGAGCAGTGTCCTACTCTGAGCACCTACCTCTAGGACGTATTGCAGACAACGACAACAACCTGCTCGAGCACCTTTGGAACCCATGAAAGGAAGAAGAACGTGTGGCTGTGGATATGGCCTGGCTTTTACATCGTCGTTAAGGAGTCATGGCATCATCTTTCAGGCTTGGTCATAGGCCCAAGCCTCGTGTCTGTAATTGCGCAGGTATCGCCTGGTAAGGCACCAAAAAAATCAGGAGATCAGCAATTATCTCTGCAACAGATGCTTGTCCTCTACCGTGATTGTCCTACATTGGCACCTTCGGCATTTCAAGTCTTCTCGTAAGCTGCCATCCGAATGCGCCGTTCCTGTCCATGCGACGTTTGGTGCTTCAATATCTGACTGTACCTCTTGAAGCATCCCCCGCGAGCACTCGTGGGTCGCAGAGGCGGTCACTTTGCGAGACCATCGCGACTTTCCTGTTTGGTTCGGTACGTTGGCCGCAGCTTCATCCATATCGTGAACGGTTCCCGGTATACGTTAGTATGAGCTTGACCTGTTCTGCCTTTCAGAATTGTGGTACTATGAGAACATGCTAGCTAGCCACCCCAACAATCCTGCGTCGAACTGCCGGATAATATGGAAACCTGCTGACTATGTCTTCGTTTCGGTTTCACTCGTTGCGTGCTCAACGACGACCTAGTGGCCTGCCCTATCTCCAGGCCACTGTCACGCCATCATAATATCGACTACATGCTGCACCCCTGGATGCTTCGATGACGGCTCGTATCACGCGCATGACCTTTATCAAGGGATTTTCCATGCGCTATGTGATACCAGGCCATCTCCTCTCGGGCTCTCACGACATTTGCTCCCTAGCCTCGTAGCGTAGAACGTCCAGTCACCTGGCCTTTGACGGCTCAGAAGCTCTGACATCTATCTAGTCAGCAGTCTGGTCTCCAGTGTCGTGCAAGAATCACATGGGTCGTCATCAACCCGAGGAGTGGGTACCTTGGCATCAATGTCTCAGCTGCTCGGTTTCATGCACTCGTTCAATGTAATATGCTCCTCTGACCTGGCTTGGAGTCTGCTACCAAAGTGACCATACCGCGGCGACTCACTGGATAGTTCGACGTAGGGATATACGGGTCCTGCAAACTCAAAGCTCTCGGTGAAATCCTCAGGGACCGCCCTCAACCTGGACCCAGCGTCGTCGTATGTCGCATCCTACGGAAACATAGAGACAGTAAGAGGTTATTGAAGGCAGTGCGACATATAAGGGAGGATCTACAATGTTGAAGTAGACATGGAGAGCTTCCGGCACTCAAGAACGAAGATACCGAGGACCTGCTGCCATTGACGAGGGGCGACGTCAAGAATTGTCGGAATACGTGAAAATAGGCCCCTTCTCTTTTCGTCTCTGCCAGGCGCTGGCTTGGACTGGGGATACACCACCAAGGCAGACAGCACCATCCTTGCTGTTCTCGAGTAAAGACAGAGTACGGCTAGCCTTGAATCCGCCCGACGCTGGGTACTAATAGGGAGTGAGAGAGCCTTGAGCAGTGACGAGTGTACGAGCATCGTGTGGGTAGCGGGGCAGGGTAAAGGTGTTAAACATGTAAGTGTGATGCTGGTAGGACACCGGTAGTTCGCAGTCGAAGGGAACATGGAGGGTGGCAGTCGCCAGTATATCAGATGATAAAGATATATCAGATGATAAAGATATATCAGATGATAAAGAGAGCAGTGACCTAGTCTGCTTCTCTCTCTGGCATAGGAGACTTCATGGCTCCCACCACAGTAGACATGAATATTTTCAACAATTCAGCGACCTTGAGCAAGGTGACGATTTTTCTCTCTCTCCGTTTTTTTTCCCCGTCTTTTCTTCTTTTTGGGCCATGACTGAACGCTAAAAATGTTCTCCCTAAACCTCAACGCCATTATGGCTCCAGCAAAACCTTCGCCCTTTTGCGATGAGTCGCGAGAGCCCTGTTTTCTGACATACGAGACTAGGACTCACCAAGGAGGTACAGAAATGCTGTCTGGTAGAGAAACAGTGGGTCCTCATAGACCAGATCGTCACACTACTTGGACAGAAAACAACAATGTTGATCAAGCAGATGGACACCAAAGGGTTCAAGCTACGTCCAGAGTTAAAGAATTCATCATCATGAACATCCCGAGTCTGACTGACATTCCAGCATGGAGCTGTCATCCCTCTCTAAACTGGTACAGTCTCACGAACTCGCATTCCCCGAGCCCATGATCTGAACGGTGCGTATAAGGTAGGAAACCCACACACACACCCTAGCCATGAGGTCAGATTAATTCCGTACCTCCTCGACAGGCGTCGCCTCAGTCACCACGAGTTCTCGCCGGCGTTCAGATCTCCAACGCCGCCCAGTCACGCCTCGAGAGTTGGGTTTCAAGCGAACAAAGTTCGACCGTACGAGGACAATCCCAAGGCCCCTCGAAGTCCGCGGGACACAAGTCAGACTCTCGGGCTACCATGGGTGGACGAACCAGTTTACAAGACATCACGCATCTGCCCATGGTTAAAACAGACTTGACAGCCAGTTGGGCAGTTGGGAATGTATGCCCGTGTCGCGATCCAAGACCGTGCAGGCAGTAATCGGTAACTTAGAGCCACAACACCAACTACGCAGTCCTTCCCTCTCCCAGTCCAGCCCACGTCGTGCCGCCCCCTTTCTCACACCCAATTTACATCAAAGGGCAAGCTGGAAGAAACGGTATCATACTCCCGCAACTCCCCACCCGGGTCAAACTAGTTCCAATGTCATCCATACGGCCAGCAATTCTATATATCCTTCCCTCCGCTTGTCCATCCTATTCCCTAACTTATCTGCAGTTGTTCAACCCCGTCCACGACAAGCAGGACTGACTCACTTGACTTCTTGCTCATCAGCGCCATTCCCCCGTCCCGTTTTCAGCCCGCCCCGGTACGCGCAAGTAAAAAGGACGTAAAAAGGATATAGAAAAGCAGCATAAGTGAACACAAGCGCCAGACCGAAAAACGACGAGTCCTGACGTCTCTCTTCGCCCTTCGGATTCTTGGACTCAGCACACACATCCATCTAACGAGCTTTCCCCATTTTCTCGATACTCGTCGCCTTTCCGTCATATTTCCATTGCAGCAATTATAAGTTGTTAGACTACTAGCTACTGAAAACTCATAAAGGGATATCGATAGAAGTAGTGCAAAACGACACGTCGTCAGTCCTAAAGAATGGAATAGAACCAACAGATTACATCACGCAACCACCTTCACTCCGCGTCGGACAGACAGACAGACCATCTCGGGACAAGTGCTCTCTCTCATGTATTGTTGACGGAGTCTACCTGGGCGAGGTAGTTAGTCAGCCCTCCAATCCATACACCAGCTGTCAGCCCTGAGCCATGAGCCATGGTTGTGTGACAAGCCAGCAACACGCAAGTAGACAGACAGTTAGCTCGCGTGCTGCTGGCGGGCTGGTTGGCTGTTCTCTCTGCTCTGCTCCGGCATTGTCCCGGCTCTTTATTCTCGACACATGAGCAACCGAAGGTGCATATATATGCTGCGATGCTCGGGGGTAAGTAACTACCCGTGTTATGGCCTACTCCCAGGGTCCATTCCTCGTATAGAACCCACTAAGTCTCTATCTTGAAAATCATGACCATAACACACCTTCCTGTCTTTCTCTCTTACCCGCACCATATCTAATCCCCAATAACGAAACGAGACAGCAAACACACGAAGCATCAGACAAAGCGGAATACCCAGCAAAATCCCAGTGTAATGAACTTGTCAGAAACAGTGGTACTCGATTCCCGACGGCTCACATCTCATCTGCATCTACATCTACAATGGTTGAATCAAACAAGCAGACAGGTATCGCAGCAAGTGTACAGAGCATGGTAGGCAAGGCAGTTATTATTCATCCAACTGCGAAAACCCGCAGCATCATGACAGGATCGCAGGGTGGCAGTAAAGCAAGCGTATCAGCATCACCCCTCTCCTCCCCTCACCCCTCTCTGGTCTCAGGACCAGCGCCCGCTCAACATGGCGCAGCAGCGGCACCCTCGCGCCTGTTGCCGTTGTTGAGGTCCAGATAGCCATACCCATCACCCAAGCCAGCAGCCGTGCTTTCCGCGAAATGGCTCTTGCTTCACATCAACAGTTCCCAACCGGAACTACCGCATAGCCACGTCTACAAACAACTGCAACAATTGGTATGAATTCCCTCCTCTACAAAATCCCAAGTTGAGCGCAAAACCCTGGCCGCCGATCGATGGAAGTATAGAACTCCGAACGATTTGGCGAATCATGAATGTTTCGTTCCACCCGGTGGTTTCGTTCGTATCGATTCTCGTAGACCTCCTTCGCCGTTCACCCGTGAGGTTAATCGTGTTGAGCCTCGCGAGCGTGCTTCCGTGGATAATGAACGTTGTTCGAGGCGGCAAGTCTTAGCACTCGATAGAAGAGCAGCACATTGCGAGACATGTAAACGTGTAACTTCATGACAGACCAGTTCCAAGCTGACGCGATATGACGGAACGCCAGGCTAAAAGTACTGGTCTCAAATGCAGATGGTACGAGATAATAGTATATGTCGGTAGGCGATGCGATAATCTTCGGCACAGAAGCAACCATCGAGCCTCTGCGGGCCCTGTCCAGTCTATTGTGTAAGCCGCTCTCAATAGGAGCCGGACGTCGCCCTTGAGATAATCACGCGCGTGGAAATGGTCGAAAAGAAACCGGACCCTCAAGAGACTAGTTGGGAAGCCTCTAGTATGCCGGATAATTGGTATCAAAAATTGTCGCTGGATCAAAAACAAGATATTAGACATATCGACGTTGTGATGTGTACGATGTCGTATTTCCGTCTCTCGTTGTAGAGCGGAAGCCCGACGACCGGCTGTTGGGCAGGAAAGACAGCCGTCCTGGGTAATGATGCGCGCTCAAAATCAGATAACCTCCAGACCGAGACCCGTCATACCCGCTGCAGTGATTCATGCGTCGCCAGGTCGTATCGATACAAGTTCGTCTCCAGGCACCAGTAGTCACTAGGTGCATACTCCGTCGTAAGGTGCGCTCCCATGTCGTATGTTTAAAGACTCATCGTCAACCATTCCCATTCCTGCGGTCCAGCTCCAGCGCCCGCGTTCATCAATCCGTTCAGAGGCACACCCGGCATTCCCGGCATATTGGGCGCCATCATTGGTCTTTGGGTCATGCCAAAGCCATTGGCGAGACCTAGGTTTCCAGGATTCTGCATGTTGATGAAACCGCTTGAAGAGCCGACAGACGGAGCGGCTTCGTTCGACCCAGTCGAGTTCTCGGGACTGTCGACGTCCATACCACCAGATGACTCGTTTGCACCAGCACTCTTGCTGCTACGCCGTTGGCGTTTCGAGGAGCCTGAAGAGCCAGAGTTGGCAATGCTGCGCGGTAGTGATGCAGCCCCAGGTCCTGGGGTGTTCTTAGGGGGAGCCGCTGCGATCGGGACTACGCCTTTCCCACCCACGGCGCCAGTCGCTGAGCCTGCATAACTGCCTGGTGTACTGCCTGCCGTGTTCCCACCGGAACCAGCGGCACTAGCTGGACTTTCCACTTCGTTGACACTGCTGGCTCGGTTCGTTGCTGGAGGAGTGGTTGCTTGTGCTGCGTTGGTCGATGCAGATACGGCCAACGTCGAATTCTTCCGCGACACAGGCCCAGAGGCTGTGGCCGGTGCATTGGCGGCGCTATTCTTTTTCGATGCTCTAGTACTCGTCCCAACGATTGGCAGACTCGAACCCGAGCCGCGGTTCCGCTTCTTGATGACATCAGTCTTCAAGCTCAACGGTCGAACGACACCGTGCAGCTTCAGGAAAAGCCCGCAGGCGTTACAGAGGGGTTGACCCTCGGGATTGCGCCGCCAAAGTGGTGTTGTCTGTGTAAAACAGTTAGTACAGGTGGTAGGAGCGCCTCCATCCCCTTGGTTCGCCGCAGCAGCTTGCAGATTACTTGTCGAGCCGTGTTTAGAGCCAGGTGGAGAAGCTGGACGACTGGGCGCGACAGATGAGTATCCAGACAGGTTTCCTGATGCGTCTGGCGGTGGTGAGTTGGCATCCGACAGGGCCATCCTGTCGAAGGGGTTGCCGCGACCGCCCATGGGTGTCGAGGTTGTGCGCGGGATCTTTTGCCGTCTGTCGCTAGACGTCGTGCGAAACGATTGGGATCGTGGCAGGTTCCCTTGACTATCCCAGTCACCGGACTCGACATAGTCGGTTGTTGTACCTCCAATCGTCACCTGCTTCCGAGGCCGACCACCGGGGTAACGAGCGGCCTGCGTGCTGAACCGACCCGGCAACGAGGCATCCCATCCCAAGGGGTTGGTACTGCTCATATCCATGCCCGGCTCATCACCTGGCGAAAAGCCTTGGTGCACCCCCATGTTACGGTCCGCAAATGCGCTCCCCTCCTCATCCTCATTATCCGAGTCGGCCCCAAAAGTGAACATACTCTCGTGCATCATGCCGACGCCAGGCGAACGGGCTGGATGGTCGGGCTGAAAGACCTGGCTTGGATCGACGTGGCCAAAGTTGGGAGCCGAGGTAAATGCAGAGGACAGGTCGGCGCCGCTGGAGGCAGGATGGAACATGGAATTGCCATTGGAGTGATACATGAACTGTTGACCCATCTGGTTACCCATCGACCCAGGGCCTTGGTGGAAACCCTGTTGCCGCTGATGGCGCATATCCATGGAACCGAAGAACATGCTCTCATTTTCGGCCATGGGATGCGGCGTCGAGACGGTAGACTGATAGGCGGATCCCGGGGGAGAGTAGTAGTCGGGACCATTCATCGACCCCGAGGGGTTGCCGCGATGGTTGTACATATTGGAGAAAGGGCCGTGGGGAACCATAGGCGACGTCGACGGCGAGAAGGAGAAGTTCTGCTGGTATGGCCCGGCCGATGTGATGATGGGGTCATTCTCCATCTGGAAGGTGTCAAGTGGGAAAGGAAGAGCGCCAGGATGCTGGTGCATGTGTGCTGGGCCGTTGTGGTGAGAGTGAGAGGTGTCCAGAGAATACTCATGCAGATCAGAGTCGGCGTCCAGCTCATTAGCAACAGCACTGCTGTTGAGAGCGGAAACATGAGGGGAGAAGTCGGCGGGACGCTTCAGGTTGCGAGTCTGGCGGCGGGTTAGTCTATCTATAGAGTACACTCCATGTACGGTATCCGCAGCTCGAGATAACGTGGCAGCGTGGGTGGGTGAGGGCGGATAAGGAAAAAGCAAGGGCATCTGAGAGGATTCGCCTCGGCAGGCAAATCACCCAGGCCAGGCCAGGCCAAACATAGAAACATCGAAACATAGACGATAGGCAACCGGCAATTGAACTACAGGTACTCACTCGTCTCTCGTCGATGCTCGTCTTTCGGTGATGGCGGGTGATGTAGCCAAACTCATCCTGGTTTCTCTGGTGAGGAGGCACGGGCACCGATTGGGGGACGAAGTGCTGCGCCGACGTCTTGCGGGACTTGATCGGTATTGCCGCCGCCGTGGTGTGAGTGTGAGTATTCGATCTCTCCCCCTCCTGCTTGATCATCTCGGGCGAGGGCGTCAGTCCCGCGGGAGTCGCCACATTCTCAGCAAAAATGAAGTCATCTAGGTTCATGGGATCTGCCTGCAGAAGGCTTTGGTCCGAGGTTTTTCTAAGTTGCGCAATGCCGCTGGGCGCATTCGCATTCGCATTTGCAGCAGGGCTTGCTGCCGCGTTGCTGCTGCTGCTGCTGCTGCTGTTACCGGACTGGCGAGCAGCCATACTAGAGGGTCGGTCAGATTTGCGATGCGCACGCTGGCACTCACGTAACGTACCTGGCGTCGTCGTCCTGTTTCCGCTGCTTTCGCATGTTGGTATGCATCATGCGCCATGTCAGGTTCTCCATGCGCTCCTGGCAGGGCAGGCTCTGCTTCGTCTTGCTGAAGAACTTCCAGATCTGGGTCGCCAGCGGATCGCTCTGCTGCATCTGCTCTATGCTCTCGTTCGTGCCGGACAATACGCCCTCTAGACTCGGATGAGCCGAGGCCTGGAGCAAGTCGAAGCGGGCGACATTGTCGTGTTTCGCAAGGTCCAAGTTGAGTTCGTGCATGCGCAAATCGCCGGGGCTGCTGTCGTCGCCGATCCTGTTGGTCAACTGCGAAATTTCGGCGTCGTATGTTCCGTCGGCGGCCGTGCCGGTCGAGTCGAAGGGTCTTCGAGGGAAGCGAAAGTCGTGCTCTGTTGTCGTGGGATCCATCATGTGTGAGGGACTCGAGGTCGCGGTCGGGGACGATGTGCTGGCGGTCATGTCGCACAATTACAAAGTAAAAGGAAACGGACCTCCTCTTCTCGGCGACTCGTGGTGGTGCGAGCAAGCCCAGTGTTTGAATGACCGAGTGGTCGAGTGGTCGGGTTGGGCAATGGGGGGAGCTGCCTGCCCTCGTATTACAGGTCAAAGGTGTTTCCCCACGTTCCAAGGTTCGGCTGACAGCCGTTCCTTCGCAAGCCGAGCGCTGCTGCCAGAGTTCGCTTCCAGTCTCTAAAAGCCCCGCAGGTTTGAAAAGGGCAGTCAGTATTGCGCGGGATGTGAATATCCTAGAGAGGTAGAGCCGTGGGTTGTGACTCTTAAGCAAGTTCGACACTTGGAACTGACTGTGCCCGTGGAGCAGAGTCGGAGGTGGGTGGTGATGTATGACTATGATCACTCCCTCGCTCGTCATGCACACACTTTCACACGCTCTGTCTCTCTCACTGTCGGGGTTTGTGGAGGGCAGCAGGGCAGCAGGGGAGGGGAGGAGCGGCGGCGGCGGCAGAGCAGAAGCGGCAAAGCTCACAAGCAAAGTCGCAATGACGGACCAGGCTGCCAGGTAGGGTGTAGGCAGAGGCAGAGGCTACCTAGTCTAGCACTAAGCAGAGCAGAGTCCCCAGTCGCTCGCGATCACAATGTCCGGGCTGTGAGTGGGCGGCCGACAGTGGATAGGCTGGTCAGTGGTTGCCCAGGGCTTGGCTCGGCTCTGCTTCAGTGCTTGACTTGTGAAGTTGGGGGTGCGCCGCGGTGGAGGTGAGGATGGCTGGCTACTAGCTACGAGTCCTACAAGGTATAACAATGCTTGTAACTGTTGTAATGTGGTGCGTCCCCGGTGAAAAGGGACAAGGGGGCCACTTGGCTGCTTGGACGACGTACGCCGTCTGGGTTCTCCGGTCCAGGCTCCTCGTCGTGGACCTCGTGCTAGAGTCTAGAGAGCTACCCTAGACTGTTATGGCTGGAAGGGCCGCAACCAATAGGCCCTACTGTAGGGACGCTCGTCTGGAGGCTGGCGATGTGCTGGGCCGATCTGGATTTCTTAGAAGAGTGCGTTCGGCCAATCCCACGCCGACAATTGCAAGTTGCTGCTTCCAATGCTTGACTGCCAGACTGCTTGGATCGAAGACCGTCTCCGCACGAGTCTACAGCATGCAGCTGAAGCGAGTGCAGCTGGAGGTGTGCATGTCGCGCGAAGAGGGGACGAGGAGGGGACGAGGGGAGCGAGGGGGACGAGGGGTGGATATTGCCATTACCAGGTGGGGTGGGGGTGCGGGTGGTATGGAGTGGGGGGGAACGATGTCGCTCCTCGGCGGTTGTATTGGTTATTAGGTAGTACATTAGCGTCTTGTCATGTCACTCTCGCTGTACCTTCTACTTCCCGTCATCAGAGTCCCGACGACTATTACCCAGCACCCAGCACTGTATATCTTTTACATGGCATCGATCATGGATCATCCATCGAAGACCTAACAACAACAAAACAACAACAACCCACGTCAAGCTCGAGGATGGAATGAGAGAATTCAAGCTGAAACCCCCCTTGTATTATTAGGCAGTCCCGTGACTCTGGTCGGGACTAGGGCGAACTACTCGAAATACTCCTGGTTATTATTAGTGCAGCGAAGGAACATGTCGGTGTTCGAAATCGGTCAGGAGGGCTCCTGCAACTGGCAGCTGGTTTCCTATTCTAGCAGTAGGCAGCGCTGCCCATTTGTGTGATGGATGTATGAGTCGCGCACTTCTAATAAATCAAACACTCTCTCTGTCACAAGTGATGTGAGCAAATAGGCACAACTAGCATGTGCCACGTTCGCCGGCGAAACTGTACGTTACAAGTAGAACTGATGGTTTGATTCTTGAAGAGAGGACACGGTCGGGACCGACGTTTGGACGGGGCGAGTTGTTAGCGGTCCTCAGGCTTCAGCAGTCGACAACTTGTCAACTTGTCCGCAGGTAAGGCTGACCTGTGTTTCCGACTGTACCCGAGCCGTACCAACTCCCTCCATCCCTCCATCCATCCATCAACAAGAACATTGATGAATGTTCTTCCATGTCTGCAATCGTCCAGACTCCAGACTCCAGACCCCACGGTGCCGAGGCAACGCTATTGTCCATTGTCTGCTGCCGTCTATTGTTGGATCTAACTCACCACTTGGCAGAGACCGTCAACGAGTCACGGGGGAAGTCTTTTGACGTTTGGCTGGCACGTGGCTGGCCCACGGACAGCTCTCTGCATCACTGGTGTTGCGCCGGTCATGTCGCAGATTCGCGCGTTGCAAGGAGACACGCTGCTCAGAAATTAGCCGGCTCGATATGCATCGTTGGGAAGGTCTGCGTTGATCGCTCAGCCTTGTTGTTGACCTAGGACTGCAGCACGTGGAATAATGCGACCGACGTGGCCATGCCTTCTAGAAGCTTTCCCATCGGCCATCCATCATCATGTGCCATCTGCCAACCTTGGAACGCCGGAAGCCAATAAGGAATAAGGGTGTGAACGGGCGTGGGCCCGAGTACTGTCGACCTCATCCAACACGAGTCTCGAGAGTTCATCCCGCGCTTGAAAACAGAGAAGGTTACATTTCGCTCATGACGTTTCTTTCCATTTGGGAACTCAGGTCGTCTCGACTTGACAACTTGCTCTGGAGTCCTCGCGAATCCTGGTCAATTGCAGGCATGCCGCCCTGAACTGCTGACATCCCGCGCCGCCAAGAGCATGTGCCATGGGGGAGCAAGCCACACACGGGACTTCCGTAATGACTCGGAATAATGATAATTTGCGCGACCGTTGCATGTTTCTCTTGTGGTTATTAGAGCTGTTGTGGTTAGAGAGACCTAGATAGACCGTGGTCACACGCACTGCACTGGTGCCAGTCCGGTGGTACTCTCCAAGCCTTGAGACCAAGACAGTAGTTTCCGAAGAGGAGACGTTGTGCTTCGTCACCGAAAGCAGCCATGCGGTTGTCCAGGTCTTCCTTCCAGTGTCCACGACCCATCCCGTGCCATCGTCAGCCTCTTACCGAATCCAGCTCCGTCCGGTGGTCCAATCCCAGGCGCTTTTCACTAGATGCTGGACGAGTCTGACCGAGGCTCCTACCGCGGCGCGGGACTGCAGTGGCAACTGCGGGTCCAACGGGGGAACCCAAGGGATCGTGAAAGGTGGTACTACGAAGGTACTGGACTTGAGAAGTGGATGGTGGCCCGGTGGCCCGGTGGCTGCGGCGCGGGATCCTCTCTCTGCCGCCGGCGTGTCCACGTAATTCGTAATATTCCTACGTATCCTGACAGCAGTCCACGTATGTGCCAGAGAAGCGGTTCCCGTCGCATATTGTCTGCAGCGGCGGACGTTTCTCGCTGGGTTAGTGAATGCAGGGCGCCGGTGCATCAGTTCCGAAGTCGAAGTCGAAGGTGGGCAGCATAAACCGGGCCGTTCGAGAGAAGATGCCCCGGTGGAGATGCCCGCCACCTGCACTGACAGAGCGTGAGAGCCCAGAGGGGGCGGCTGGCCTGCTGGCCCGGTACCGCTCAGGTAGACGGTACTTGCATGCATGGGATGTGCGCCTCAATGGCACCGAGTCAAGGATCAGGGGGGCCCTGGGAGCATGCATGATGCTGCTTGGGGCCGTGAACCCCCACATGAACCGAATGCTCGTGCAAGCCGTCGAAGGGGTCGTGAGCTTGCCATCAAGACAGGCTCAATTGGACTTTGTAGGTCATACGCCGAATGAACGATGCCCCGCCGTGGTGGTGACGGCGGCGGCGTATGGCCTCGGGCCTCGACACCACGTTTGTTACTGGAAGAATTCGATCGACAGCATTTGCGTGTGTACCGGTAGTGACTCGCGTGAGTTCGTAGGTACGCAGCATCGTCGTTGTTTATTCCTGGTAGAATTGTAGCCCGTCGACAAACTCACTGCCTACTGCTTTTGGCTTTGGGCCCCTGAGACTTCAAGTCCGTCTTGCACATGACCCCACTGTAGGTACTTACTTAGGTACTTACACCTATCAAATGTGTTTGAAATGATCTTCAGCCTTGCGACTTCCACACAGTCCCAACTCGCAACTTCCAAGTACCTATGTAGTTGCGAGTTGGCCGACTCCCCGACTCCCGACCACCTCCCCTCATCTCCGACCTCCTCGAGCTCCTCTCTACAGTACTACCTCCCTCCCCGCCCGCTGGCATTATGGAATGGGATACTGAACAGCAAGACCACCGGCAAATGCATTGGCTACATGTAGGTAGACGACCGAGAACGCCGCCTCTTTCCCAACGAGACAACCCACATATGATACATCTGTCTGCACTGTGCAGTGGGTGGTGACTTGTAAGTGGTCCTCCGTCATCGCTAGTCGGCGAACTCCAGCCGCACATTTCATTAGTCAGTCACCCGCTTTCCGGCCATCGAAGGGACCAAGCGGTCACGATCCGTCATTACGTACAGAAGTTCCAGCAAAGAAGCTCATCCTCCGGGGAAGTCGACAAGCGTCGAGCGAGATGTGGGCGTGTCCGTGTCGCGGCCAGCAACGACATCCATCAAAGGGATCGCGCTTTTCACTTTGCTTCATCACATGTGAAACCAGCGCTGGTCTGGCAGTCTGGAATGAGCTCACGTGTAGTAGGCACGCTGATATCTATCACAAGGCAACTCACGACCTGACCATCTGCCACATATACAGTAAACCATGTACTATTATTGTCGACTCCAACAACTCGTTCGTAGTTTCCCAGAACATCGAACATCAGCCGACTCTATTAATTTCCAGACTACGTAACATATTGCTAGTCTCGGATAAATGCCCATTCGTGGATTTCCCAGGCTATTGATGAATCTCCAACAACTTGCATACATATCAAGATCGAAAGGACCCTGAAATCTTGAACGGGGTGGTGGGTCGGCAGCAAGCAAGCCCGCACAGGAAATCTGGATGCCACCTCGGAGCAACTAACAAGGTGCCCCTGGCTGCTGCCCAGCTGCCCCATCGCAGGATGGGTCTGGATAATGGATATCTGGGTCTGCAAGCACCAGCGGCTGAGTCCTGGCCACATTCTCCGTGACTCCGAACACAATGCAGGCCATGCTGGGAAAGCAGGACTGCCTGGAGCGACAAGCCCGCCTTCACACGAGGAATAATCGGGACGAGTTCAATCGGCGACTCCTCTCCACATAGTACAGTCGCGACCTTTCTCCCCGCCACGGCCCTACGTGGGCGGTAGCCCCGAGTCATGCCAGGGGGCTGGCATAAGGGCTACGAAGTTGCCGAACCGTTGCAACGAACGCCGGCTTCTCTCGAAAGTCGCCAGTCTGCAGTACAGAGAACCTTACCGCCAAACTAGCCGCGTAGTTGCGACCATCGAATTGCGCCGCCCAATGAGAACCCCGATATTTACATCTTCGCATTGAGAGTCAAGAGCCGCGACACGACCCGACTGCTATGACTATTCGTCTAGACCCAACATATATCACCCGGTGGTAGCAGCCTACGTCGAAGGCCCGAAAGTGTCGGCCGTACTTTATGGAGCTACCTGCTGGCTGGATCTTGTCTGCTTGTCTCCCCTCCTCTATTCTGGTCGTCCCCAGTGCAATGGGCTGGGCCATTGACCGTGCTTTTGCGGAGGCCGTACCCAACGTGTCAACTTGCTTAGCTACCTTCTCTGGGATAGATGGCCAAGTCTAGACTCGAGAACGAAACTTCACTATTATACAGATAGTCGACGCTGATCGAAATGTTTGTTGGCAGTGTCTTCGCGGCCTCGCCTCACTCATCTCACTTGAAGCAGGCAACATGCCGAACGAAAGACGAACACCGAGCCAGAAGAAGATCTAGAACGGGGTTCTGACAGGCATTGCATGCAGCGCGCGCAATATGCATGGCGGCAATCACCAAGATGGCAGGCCAGCAGGCCATTGACGAGTGGAAGCCGCATACATACAGCAGCTGCAGTTGCAACAACCTTGAATCAACCCACACGAGGTTGATGAGCAGAGCATTCAACATTGTTCCTTTATTTCCCATTGCAGCCGCGTGCAGGTCTCGCACCGGAACTCCAATTAGACGAGATGAGACGGCGTGGGGGTTCCAATACGACCCTGAATGGTCACCTGGGGTGGGTGGTCGCGTCAGCCGGTTCTTTGATCCAAGAATCCAACAAGAGAATGCGGGGGCGCCTGTCTCTCGTGTGGGAGAGCTCGAGTCGTCACGTCCGCCGGTCTCATGGAAAAGTGAGGTCGGTGATCATCATCCACCTACACCACCGTGGTTCATGCTCGGTCCCCAAGATCTTCACTCGTCGTGCGTAATCAGGTCGTCCCGTTGCCCGTCTGGGTGGTGAGATCACCCGCTGTACCGGTGAGCGATCTTGGATATGATGTCGTGGTGGCCATTGTCGCCACCTCGGCTCTCCTCCCTGCTGCCGATGGCAAGCTCTGGTTTCGTGCCTTTTTGTACCGGTAATGTTTGTTGAGAAGGATCATCTCTTTCCGGATTCCGTCCAGCTGGACCCCGCCACCCGCGTTCGCGTACAGTATTCGCAGTCGCTCCATTGGCCAATCACTGTAAACGCTTTCGTAATCCGGTGGGCGAGCTCTGGACGTCGAATGTCGTCGTCGCCATCTTGGTGAAGGCATTCAGCTGGGAAGCTGACAATGATCATCTCGTGCCTACTTCGTGGAATCACGTAAGGTTATATAGGCACAGCAGATTATAATCTGTGACCTCTTCTCATTCGAGCTCTTGCTTATCTCTAGTCCCTGAGGATGGGCGATATCGCCAAGGTACTCCAAAGCGGCAGGTGATGACTGTCTACGATATGTCTCATCGGCAAGAGAGATTAGCTCTGAAGAAATGTTATCAGGACAGCAATACAAGCTCCCAGTCGCCAGAGCCGGACTCAATAGGCGATCGGACATCGCACCTATCAGCCGTAGGATTCGGCTCTTCGATGCGACTATCTTCAACAAGTCGCAGATTAGAGACATGAAGGCCCCGATAACTTGCGCGACATGGTAACTGCCTGCTCAGTGTGCTGTTGCACGGTTCACAGGATGCCATGTACAGTAATGCTATCTCCATATCTACGAGATCATAGATGTACATCACTATCTGCTGTGCCCAGCCAGCGGACCAGCTTGTCTAACCTATACTATGCTATCCATTGGACGAAGCTGCACGAAGGGTCCAAGGAGCAGCGTGCGTGCAAGGTAGATACTGGCAGACTGGATGGGGAGAGACTGTAGGGAGGTTCGCAAAGCCTCGTCTGTGGTTCGTATCTCTCAAAGGATCTATTCTTATCTCTTGCGCCATGGCTCACTTATCTTCGCAATAGGCAGAGAACGCCGCGGCCTTTGTACCTCCCGAGTCTGACTATCCATAAATACTCATGAACGCCGCCCTTTGTGCGCGTGGGAGGCTGAGCCTCCTCTTGGGACTTTGGTCTCGTGACCCGTCCATAGGAGTCATTGTCGAGGTCCCATCTCGTGATCGAAGCGAGTTGCCATCTCATCTTACCACTCCGTCGTGGCGCTTGTTCCCTCGTCGATGGACTCAGCAACCATGGCCTTCGCGATTGACAGAATGCGGCCACAAAGCCGCATCCGAGGCCGTCGTCTTTGTCGGCCCATTGTCGACGACCATCCCTTTGTATCGGGACCATTAGCCACGGCCGAAGACGACGCACGCAGCACAAAACCCAGGCGCGACGCGCTCGACGGGGCGGCCAGGCCGCTGCCTGTTGCTACGATGGCTAGCCATACACGAACACACGACGCTTCGTCGACAATACGACTTCGAACATGTTTACGTCACCACCACCAATACCAAGAGAAGAAGACCACTTCAGCGCGAAGCGGTTCTGTCTGCAGGCCCTGCTGTGGAGCGGGCTGCTGTTTGCGCCGGGGCGCTGCGACGGGGGGAATGAAGCGTCGATCGAGGGGGCGCATAACGAGCTGCTGGTTATAGGGACGCCCGTTGCGCACCTGTCCACGATCACGATCACGACGACCATAGCGTACAAGCCGACGCTGATACCGGGGGCCGCGGCGTACTCGCTGCTGGGATGTTACGGCCAGCCGGACGATACTGGGGGGCACGTGTTTGGGGCCGACGAGCACTACGCGTGTCCCGATACGGTCCCGGCTGCGAAGTTGACTATACAGGCTTGCTTGGAGGGTTGCTCTTCGTTGCCGGTGCCGAGTAACGGCTCGGAACATTATACGTATGCTGGACTTAGGAATGGAAGGTAGGTGGTGACCCCTGAGCTTCTCGTCTTATGTTTAGGAACGCAGTTGAGATAGCACGTGCTGACTTTGGAAGCAGTGAGTGCATATGCGGTCTACAGCTCTTACCTCAAGTACACATGCTCGCGGACGACGACTGCAAGACGCCCTGTGCCGGCGACGCCAGGCTCTCCTGCGGCGGAGAAGACATCCTCGCTATATACGGCCCGGCCTCCGCCGCCAGCGGTGCCAACGGTGGCGATGGATCTGACGGTGCTGATAGTCCTGACAGTCCAGATAGTCCTGATGGAGGCAATGGGGACATTGGTGCCAAAGGTCCCGACAGTGCCAATGCGTCAAATGCAGCCAACGGGGCCAGTAGCCGTGAGGGCGGCAGCGGAAGCGACGACAGTGAAGGGGGAGCTGCATCAGCTTCGAAGACAGGCGACCAGCAAGACGACAGCGCGAAATCTGGCGAAAGAACCGCAGAGAGCACGGCCAATCCAACGTCGAACAAGATCCAATCCACGACGCCAACGACAACACCAGCCACCACCACGCCCTCCCCCAAACCGACCACCACGAACAACAACGCCAAAGCCGCCCTCCCCGACCTCCCCACCACCACACCCCCCGGCACGCCGCCGGCCCCAGCCTCAGCGGCGACCATCGGCGCCATCACAGGCAGCATGTCAGGCGCCGTGATCCTAGCCGCATGCCTCACGCTCTGCTTCCGCGCCTACCGGCGCAAGAAGCGCCGCCAGGACCTGCACGTCAAGGTGATCCTGGACAAGAAAAACGGCCGGCCCGTGCCGTCGCCGATCAGCACGACGTTTCGGAAGCATCACGACGCGGACGGCCGCGATAGTCGGGACTTGAGGGTCACGGCCGACGGGGACCTTGTGCCCACGACGCCGGCGCTGGAGAGCGGGGGACGGTATGTTGGTGCTGGCGCTGCTGGCGGACTGCATGCGCGGATGCCGGCTAGTGCAGGTGTGGTGGAGCGGGATAGTCTGTACAGCACGCTGATGGGCGAAGTGCGAACCGGGCCCGTCGGGAGCGGTGTCGCCGCTGCTGCGTTTGCGCCCTCGTCGGCGATGGCGGCGGGAGCGGCAGCAGCGGACGCAGCCGCGGCCTCGGGCGTGCAATGGCGCAGTCTGCCGCCGACGCCGAATCATGCCAATTACAACCCGTCGCCTACGCAGACGCATAGTCGGACGCATAGTCGGAAGGTGAGCTCGCATATGAGAAGCCAGGGGTATGCGTTTGCTACGGCGAACAATACGAACGCGAACGGGAGCGCGGGCGCTAATGTTGGTACGAGGACTTATGGCCCGGTCTCGCCTCCGGCTTCCGCGGCGCGTGTTGAGGGTCTCGGCGACCGTGCCTGGCATAGACGTAAGATCTCGACGCCGTACCAGCCGCAGGCACAGGCTCAAGGGGGCGTACCGGTATCGAACACAGGCAACATGGCAGCCAGAGGACCACCCAGCGGACCCCCCAGAATGCCCCTGCCGCCGGTCCGGCCGAGACGGTCGTTCGACACGATACAGTTCGACGACGTGCAGATAGGCGCGCCGCACACGGGCCATAGGCGCAGCAGGTCATCAATGGGGTTCGAGCCGCCGTTACCGCTGAATATCCGGAAGAATCCTCCCCCTCAACAACCACAGCAGCAGGAGCCTCAGATACGGGAGGTGATGCTGGCGAGGCAGGTCCGGCAGGATGCCGTGGACGACTCGCCGTTGCTGGGGCAGGACGGGTGGGGCCGACTGCCGCCGACGCGGTTTGGTGGTGGTGGGAATAATGAAGGTAGCAGGGGAGATAGGGGCTTGGACGGCAGGGAACCGACGGTGCCGGTGCTGCCGCCGATTGTGCCGGGCGAGAACTTTGATTCGAGGAGGGTGTGGCGGGGCACGATTTACGCGGAGAGTGACGGGAGTAGTCTTCGGAGTAGTCATCAGGATAGTCATCCGGAAGGTCATCATCCGGATGGCGGCGGCCCGGGGAGCGCTCTGCATATGGGAAGGGATGGGGATAGGGATAGAGACGGACACGGCGGGGATAGGCCTTCGTCGGGTTGGAGCGTTGGGACGAGCATCTTGTTTCCGTTGGACGATGAGGATATACATTGATATTGAGTCACTAGTATGTGAGGGAGTCGGACCATTATTCAGTTCTCGTGTAGATATTTTCGGACGTATATAAAGTAGTTTATCATCCAAATGAGCCTGACCTTGACCGGTGTTTTCAAAATCAGAAATCAGCCGTGATGAAACCAGGACATCACAAGTCTAACCTCTTTTCCCTCCAGACCATAAAAGATATTTGTACATGTGGACCAAAACTCCCATCCCAACAGTCAATGAACGGAAGGAAAGAAGGAAAGCAAGCAACACCACGGTGTGAGGGGGCCGAACTGTGTACACCAAGCGAGGAAGCTGCTCACAGCATACCAGCAACAGCAACAACAGCACCCAGCGCAACACCCATCAGAACCGTAACAACCGAGCCCTCAGCACCCGGCGCCCCCATCATCCGCGGTGCCGCCGCACTCTCGTCGCTACCACCCGTACTAGCAGCCATGGTCCCCAGCGTCGTCGAAGTCGTCGTATCGCCACTGACAGCCAAGGCCACAGTCGCCATCCCCGTCCCGGTGATCTTGGCGCCGTGGTCGTTGGTCGTGGTGTAGGTGACGGTCTGCGTGGCCGTCGGGCCCCAGCTCCAGCCCGAGCCCCAGCCGACCCAGCCGTTGAACCCGCCCTGGCCGTTCCAGCCGCAGTCGGGGCCGACGAACCAGGGCGAGCCGGCGAAGGCGCACCCCGTGACGGTCACGACGCCGCCCGTCCACGTCTTGGACCCGCTGTACGCGCTCGCCCACTCGGACCAGTACGAGCCCGCGTCCGAGCCGTTGGCGCCGCCCCAGTTGCCGCCGGCAGGAGGTCCGCCAATGCCATGGTTGCCATTTTCACTTCCGTGGCCCCAGTTTCCGCCGCCGCTGTAGCCCTTGCCGTTGCCCCAGCCGCCGGGCGCGCCCCAGGTCACCGGCCCGCCCGCGTACGTGACGGTCTGGACGCCGGTGCTGCCGGCCTTGGTGCAGCTGGCGTAGCGCGAGCACAGCGAGCTCGACAGCGAGGTGTAGGACGAGCAGGCCGTCGTGGTCTTGGCGCACGCGCCCTCGATGCACGAGCCGACGCTGTTGCCGGCGTCGGCGTCGCCGCAGTAGTCCGACTGCGCGGGCCACCACGACGAGGCCGTGATGGTGCCGCTGGGGTTGGAACCCCAGGCGGATGAGAGGCAGGATTGCTTGTCGTGAGTCAGCGCGAGTAACATGGTAGAGAGATGCATTGGATTGGGTTGGGTTGGGTTGGGGGAGAGGCCGGAAGGGGGGAGCGATATGAGAGGGGATATTTACAGCACACTCAGGTGCGCCATTGTACCATTGTGCCGAGGCGACAGAAGGGGCTAGGATGGCAGCGACGGTTGAAGTCTTCATCATGCAGGTGGTATAGCCAGGGTCGTCAAGTAGAAGTAAGTTGTTATTGCGTGTTTTGTATGTGTGCGTACCGAGTAATGTATGTAAACGAATGCCTTGCGTACTCGTAATTAGCCAGGGTATAGTATAGAGCAGAATCGGGAGAAGAAGCGAAAGGGAGGCTGCAGGACATATACTTATATGAGCCTCGCGGACAGGCAAGCACCCTTAGCCCATCGCAAACACTTACCTACATAACTTCGACCCTACCGGTACGACGGTTGGACAGACAGCCACACATCCGGCTGGGCGTACAGACAAGGTTTAGGATGCCTCACCCCCGCGCGCGTCCCCATTCAGCGCAGTCGTCATCGTCTCAACTGCAACACGTGACCCCCTATGTATCTGGCGCGCCAGAGACAAACGCCTCAGGGAAGTTAAGGTAGGCTAAGTACTTAGTCATACGACTGTCGAGTCCTTCCGCTGGTGCTCTAGGTGGTAAGGCGCAGATAGAGTTGCGATGGCTCGGGCCTAGCTTTCACAAGAGTCACAGCGTTGGGTCTGGTGACGGTCTGCTGTTAGTAGGTAGATGCTAGACTGTATGTCTAGAAGGAGATGGTGCCCTTGGACCCTTGGACGGTTGAGTAGGTAGGTGATGTGCTTAAGTGCGCGCGTGTGCGATGTTCCTCCCACAGACGCAGACCTGCCGCGCGGCCCTGCGCCTAAAGCCAAGACCCAAAGCAGTGGTCACCGTGAATAGGACGCCCAGGCTGACTGATACTCCTCGCAAAAGACAAGTCGGGTTTCACAGGCCGCGGCAACGTAGGTGGCTGGCTCTAGCTCTGAGTTACCGACGAGTTACTGACGCTTCTTCTCTTTTTTCTTACCAAGAGGCGTGGTTCACGTGATACAGAGACGAAGAGGTTGGTTTTATTGCTTGGGGGCCGTTCTTGGTCAAGTAGGAGAGTGTCAGCAGGTACAGTGCTGCTTCTCGAGACCGTTCTTGTGAAGTAGGGAGAACATGAGCTGGCTGCTGCTGCTGACCTCGGGATGCTACTGCTCATGCTGCTCAGTGCTTCCACCACCTGAAGCCACCAGGTGTCAGCAGGAGACATTCATTCACCGCGCATGTGGCATGTCGAGGCACCGCATACCTACCTACCTAGTAGGTAACACCACAGCAACATTCCTGACTGGCGCAGTCACAGCCCCAAGACCACGTAAGGTAGGTAAGACGTGTTGTCGTCAGCAACGTAGGCAGTCGCGAAGTAAAGCAGCAGTCGAAACAGAGTTGAAGTCGTCTGCTAGGTGGTCCCTTGAAGGGTGCGCAGGGCATGGACCAACGGGTAATATGGAGATGGAGGTTGGTTGGGGACGTCCGGCGGCTCGGGCCCGAAGTTCTCATGGACAGCCAATGAAAAGCCCGTCTTGGCATTGGCCTACCTCGAAGAGGCAATATGAGAACACGGTAAGTTCCGGGCCCGAGGGACAGGCCTATGATCTGTTTACTCATCAGGTACCAGTAGGTTTGCTTGCCAAGGGACGAGGACATCCAGAGTATCAATCTGACACAGCCTACGTTACCCAGCTTCGCGTCCCCGATGTCATACACGGCAAACCACTACCATCCCCGCGGGGACCGGTATAAGCTGCCAACAGTGCCGTTAGGACCCTTAGAATGGTCAATCATTAGGTACATACCTCAGGGCCCAGCGGACCTTGGATAGTCGGCAGCAACATCAGATCAAACTCCCGTCCTTGCGTGAGATGCAGCCTCAGATCTTGCCGGGAGCCCAGGGGACTGGGACAGTGAGTCTCTTCGTCATCGTTGGATGTCTGACCGAGAGGTACAGAACGACTCCATGCCCGATCAAGTTGATCCTGCCAGCACTGACCATGGAGACGTAAGTGAAGGCAGGATCGTCACTTTGGTAATCCAGATTCGTCAGACAACGAGGCTTAAGAGCCTCACATGCTCAATAAAAGCAGTCTAATGCGACAATGTTCTACATTACAGACAGTCCTATGCTGCCCCCTCATACAGCCATTACTCCTGCAGTTTTCGTCTCTCGTACGCATACGCAATTGACTGGTATGCTGTTCCAGACGCCTGTCCAACCATCTGCCACAAAACTCCCAAGACCATATTCATAGACACACGGCTATGCTCCAAAGAGCATCAATGCATCTAGTCTCGGGTCCCCAAGACTAAGACGAATGCTCGCCCTGGTATCACATCGTCTCATCCAACATAATCTCGTCTTCCATCTTGAGAAAGTCCATATGCCGCACCGAACACAAAACAACCGTACTCAAACAAACGAAACTAAGGCCACCTGAAATGGGACAGCGGACGCTTGCCCTAAAGCATCGTGCCAAACGTCCCGTCAGTCCGGTCAGTCTGGATCCGCTTCCGAGGACTACCATCCTCCGTCGTGGGTTTGCGATGACGAAACGTGAACCCGACGAACAGGCCCTTGCCCATCTCGTCATCCCGGTCAGCCATGGTCTCAAGGGCCTGTTGTTTGTCATGGACCTCCTTGTACTTGGCCATGTCAGCCTCGTTGGTAAAGTCATCGAAGTACCCCGCATCCGTCTCCGAGTCCAGCTCGGGAACAAAGGGGGCCTTGGTTTCTCTCAACGTATCCCAATCCACTTCGCCAAAGTACTGATGCTCCAGGATGTCCTGGATGTTGGAGAAACGCTTGGATCTCGAGTTGATGCACCTGGGAGTTTGTCAGCCTTGGCGCATGTTGTACAATATGTATGCAGACTTACGTAGTGATGAAATTCCATGTGCGGTTGCTCAAGAAGTAGTTGGGGTCCTCCCAAACCGGTCGCTTGAGTACCTCCTTCCAATGCTTCAGGTTTCTCCACGTCTCGTCGGCCGTGGATCCGGCGAACGGGGGGAAATCCGGTGAGAGCCTCGAACAGCATGCATCCCAAGCTCCAGTAGTCAACAGTGAAGTCGTACTCTTCGCCACGAAGGACTTCGGGCGCCATGTAATCCGGAGATCCCACTATAGACTTCGCGTAGTTCACATCCTTCTCTCGCATGGTCTGGTAGCCCTCCCGGCGCTCTGCCAAGGTTCGCTGCTCCATGGCCTTGCCGAATGGTACACTTGTCTCGGAAGCCTTCTCAAGTCTGACTCGCATCGAGTTGATCTTTGATGATGCGACGTTGCCGGCCGCCAAACCGAAGTCAGTCAACTTGACATGGCCCGTGGAATCCACCAGGAAGTTCTCCGGCTTCAGGTCGCGGTGGATATACCCGAGCTTATGAAGCGCATCGATGGAGCAAAACATCTCTGCGATGTAAAAGCGGGCATGCCGGTTAGAGAGTACACCGGTGTTGTTGAGAAGTGTTCTGAAGTCTCCACCGGGCACGTATTCCATGGCAAGATAGATACTCTTGTCGTCTTGGAATGAGTACAGGAGCCGGACCAACCACTCGCTGTTGGAAGTTGTGAGAATGTCACGCTCGGTGAGGACGTGGCGGACCTCGTCCAGCTTGAACAGCAGCTTCTTGCTCATGACTTTCAAGGCGCACACCTCCTTGGTGTCCTTCTTCTGCGCGAGGAACACCTGACCGTAACCACCCTGACCGACCTGAGTCAGGATCTGGAAATCTCCATGCCGGAGACGTACCCGGCGTTTGCGCAGGGCAGCACGCTCTCTTCCAGCGTACTTGGACCACATCTTGTTGTACTCCTCCTGTTCGGTCTCGGGCGGACCTGGTATCTCTGCCTTGAAGGCATTGTACCGCGACTGTCGAGAGCCGACGTAGGTGAGAAGGTCAAAGTAGTAATCTAGGAAGTCTGCATCATATTAGCAGCACGTTCATGAAGCATGGGCTGAGACTCCTTACACAGCTGAGTGACATTAACCAAGCGGCGAACGTTGGGTTTCTTGAGGATCTCGAGCTCTTCGGGCGTGAGCCCACGAGACGTGTTGAACTTCTTAGTCGTGGGTGTCACCGGCCGGCTGTCTCTGAGTTGGTAGAGATCCTGACGCGACACGGCGGCCTGGTTGTGCTGGTAAACCGCGTCGGGTTTGGGGATCCGCGAAGGTGGAGTGTTCTCCTGTCCCTGTTTCTTTAAGGGGCTTCCGGGGGTTTGTCCATGCTTGTGAATGATACTGTGATCAACGTTGGGCGAACCCGTCGAGAAGTAATCCTCGTCGGCGGCCTGGATGTTGCTCTTGGCGGGTGATAGTGGGCTGGCGGCATTCTGAGGTCGACCGAGCTTGGCTGGGCTGTCGAGGGCATTCGAGGTAAGCTTTAGGGCATTGTCGAAGGCGGTGGGAAGATCGTGGGCTCCGGGAGGCAGTGTCTTCTTGCTGGGGCTTCCCTGAGGAGTCGAGGCGGGTGTGATGAAGCTGTTCTTGGTGGGTGTGGCAGGACGCTCCGAGGCAGGGGACTTGGCATCTTTCGTGGCCTGCGAAGAGGGAAACATGTTGGCGATGAAGCTCGCCATGGTGGGCGCGCCTGGGCAAGGTCTCGCGATGGGAGTTGGAAATGCTTTTGACTGCCAACGAAACAACAGGAGGCGAGTGGTCGACGGAGGACTGGCTGGCTCTCGCTTGCACTGAGACGAGGCAGATGGAAGATGAACGGATTGCTGCAATCAACAACGGTGTAGTCGAATGCGTAGGCAAAGTGTACTTGGTAATAAGAAAGATGGAAGTCAGATCCAAACAAGAGCACACCTACAGTATGCACGCAGGCTGTTGATCGTGAACAACCTGGGATGATGCTGGCTTGTCTGCTTCCAAGGTTTGCATGTTTGGTAGAGGACCAGATGGAATGATGGAATGGTGGGTCGCGATTGGGCATTGGCATGGTGGGGTCAGGGAACTGTCAACACCGTCACCCCGGCAGCCACTGGCCAAAGTTGGTTCTGAAACACCGACAGCCCCGCGCCACAGCCTTCCCTGCCCCTGTTGCATTCCCGCCGCCTGGACCACTGCTGGCCAGACCACTGGAACCGCCTGCAGCCACCACCTGGGCACCCTGGCAGCCTGGAAAGCACGACACAGTGAGCCATATCTCTCATTACTGTGCAGCACATGTGATGTTGATGTCGATTTATACAGTGTCTTCAACCGTCATAAACTGTGTTTCAGTGTGACGCAAGAGCTGTGATACAGCACAGCAAGCACTCTGCAGGCAAGGCTGAAATCTTTGGCGGCTTAGAGCTTCAACACCAAAGATTTCATTGTTCGTGTTGCACCAAGAAACACACCTTCTCGACCATCTTGATACCCGGGCGGCTCGATACATACGTCAGACAACATGCCGAAAGAACGCAATTTCAACCCCGTGCAAGAGCAGCGCAAAGCAGACAAGGCCAAGGCCATCAAGAAGGGTACGCTCTGCGTCCGACCCGTGCTGTAAGCTACCTGAGTGCTGACTATGTCTCGTAGGGAAAGCAGAGGCGACCTCGCGTCGGAATGAGAAGCTCTCGAAACGGAACCCCGAGCGCATACAAAAACAAATCGACGACCTGAAGCAGATCACTTCGGCCGGCGGCAAGCTCACGAAACACGAGGAGGCGGTACTAGAAGGACTCGGGCGTGACCTCAAGCAAGTCAACAAGGCGAGAGAGACACTAGGAGACAAAGCACCGACCTTTGGGCGCGGTGGTCCTCGGAGGGATGGCGAAGACCGTGGAGTACTAGGCAAGAGGAGAAGAGGCGGCGACGATGCGGCGAGCAGCGACGACGATGTGCCAGACGACGTCAAGAGCATACCGATGCCAAGGGATACACCGCCGCCGATCCCGAAAGAAGTCCTCGACCAATGGTACGCGAAGCGCAGAGCGGCAAGAGCTGCGAACGCGACCAGCGCAACCAACGCGAACGAAACACCATTGGGGGAGCGGGAGGGCCGGCCACCCCGGCACCAAGAAGCGACACCTGCACCAGTCGAGGTCAAGACGGTGTACGAGGCGAAGCCTATGGTACGCGACTTGCGGAAAGAGGCTGTCAGTGCATTCGTACCTACGGCTGTGCGGATGAAGATGGAGAAAGGCAGAGGCCAGGGCGGTCTGATGGAGCCAGAAGAGGCGGACCGACTAGAAAGGGAAGGCTACTTGAAGACGGCACCCCAGAGGGATGTAGCAGAGCGGGCTACAACAGGGCCTCAGGGAGTCACGATGGAGGAAGTCGAGGATCAGGAAGAGTGAGGAGGAAAACCAGGTCCCGTTACGAAGGACCATTCGACCACCTCTATCATGCCTAGATGAAGCCCAGGAGTGCACAAACAGCCTCTATCGCAGCAGTCGTCAATAGGCAGGTCTCTGTCGCGAGCCCACGGCCATGTCGCATTGCCATACAGACACGTTGCTCCATCAACTTGGTTGCGTACGAGGCTACAGGTATGGAGTACGCGACCAGTCTTGCATGATGGTGTGATAAGTTGCCTGACATAACAGATTATAGCAATAATACGTGCATCGTTCTATGTCGACCATCGCCGATATTCTCCATCCCCGCGATTCATCGGCTTTGTGGTGTTATTCTCACAAGCCACGCCCGCTATATGAGGTCGTTTGTGTCAGCTTCGGTTTCAGCTAACGGCGCGCCCTCCAGTGTCAGCCCTTTGAGTCAACACTCTGAAACGTAATTATCATACAAACCCGTATAGGTTCCCCGTAGATGCGGAACGACCTGCCTCTGGGGTTTATGGCGGGGTTATAGGCGTGCTTACAATAGCGTTGGTTGGTTGCTTGCATTGTTACCACCCAAATGACCCTCTCCGACTGCGGCACCTCCCTGGCTTTGGATAAAAGTGTCATGGGAACTCGGTCGAGCCTGAATTCCATTCAACATGTCGATGCGTCGACCATGGACATGGATGAAGCCGACCCACCCACGGCCCTCGCAGCGATATCTGCCTACATAAAAGTGGATTGATGAATCTTAGTATCTTTTCACGTGAAGATACCACTTTCAACGTCTTAATGGTGGCTGGCTAACCATATACATATTACAGCAAACCCTTGTTTGCCATAGTTGCCGCATCCTCATCATCTTCCATGGTTGTTCTTGGGTGTTAGGAGGAATGGATGACAGAGGAGAAAAGGCCGTCGAGAGCCAACGTGCGGCACGCGACGCAGAAGGCCAAAGACCTCCGTCCAGCCATGAAAAAGATGGAGTCGAACTCAACTCAAACCCCAACCCGCAGCTCTTCGTCGTGCAAGATGACGGGCAGCCGCCATCCGAAGAGAAGTCGGATGCGGAATCCGGGCGCGCGGTGACGCTCATGGGAGATGAGATGTACCCCGAGGGCGGACTGGAAGCATGGCTCGTTGTGTTCGGCTCATGGTGCGGCCTGACGGCCTCACTCGGCTTGATGAACACCATTGCGATTTTCCAGACGTACGTGTCGACCCATCAGCTGCTGGGCTATAGTGAGGGGTCGGTGGGCTGGATATTCTCCGTGTACACAGCGTTGTGCTTTTTCTGTGGCATTTACATCGGGCCATTGTTCGACAAGTACGGGCCGCGGTGGCTCATCGGCTCGGGATCCGTCATTGTCGTCGCCGGCGTTATGATTATGAGTATTTGTACCCGTAAGTCGATGAATACCTTGCATCCAAGATCTCGCGCCCATCAGTCTCTTTGACTAATACCACTTAGAATACTGGCACTTCATGCTCTGCTTCGGCATCTTAAACGGCGTGGGCAGCTCACTCCTCTTCACCCCGTCCATTACCGCCGTGGGCCACTATTTTCGCAAGCGGCGCGGCCTCGCCTCGGGCCTCGCCAGCACAGGCGGTGGCGTCGGCGGCGTCATCTTCCCACTGATGCTGCAGACGCTCTTCGAGCGCGTCGGCTGGGCCTGGGCCATCCGCTCGCTGGGCTTCCTCTGCCTCTTCCTCCTCATCTTCGCCAACCTGCTGATAAAGAAGCGCCTGCCGCCGGCCAAGAACGCCAGCGCACACCCAGACTTCAAGATCTTCAAAGAGAAGGCGTTTCTGCTGCTGACCATCGGCGTCTTCATGCTCGAGTTCGGCCTGTTCATCCCGCTGGCGTACATCTCGAGCTACGCGCTCGCTAGCGGTTTTGATGAGACGTTCGCGTTCCAGATCCTGCCGATCCTCAACGCGGCGTCGGTGCTGGGCCGCGCGCTGCCGGGTTGGTGGGCCGACCGCATCGGGCCGTTCAACACCAACATGCTCTCTATCGGCGTAACGATATTTGCCTGTTACGTGGTGTGGCTGCCTTTCGGGCGCACGATGCCCGGGCTCGTCGTGTTCGCCGTGCTCTTCGGGTTCGCGACGGGCAATAATATTAGTATCACGCCCGTGTGCGTCGGCCGGCTGTGCCACACGCAGCACTACGGGCGGTACTACGCCACCTGCTACACGGTCGTGTCGGTCGCCTGCCTGATCGGCATCCCGGTCGGCGGCAGCATCGTGGCGGCCGCCGGGGGCGACTACTGGGCGCTTATTGTGTTTACGGGGCTCACGCAGGTCTTGTCTGTTGCGGCGATATATGCGGCCAAGGGGGTTAGTGTGGGGTGGAAGCCGTGGACGAATTTCTGATGGCCCGGACGAACTTATGATGGGCATGAGGCAGTTGGGTTGATTGGTTTGTGCACAGTACTTCAATGTTGGGCCGTAGGGGTGGTTTGGGAGAGCGCGCATAGGGAAGCTCCCACGAGCCGCGATGACTGGACTCTCAAGCGGCCGACATAAAAAGTTGCATGACAGGCGAGCGACTGGAAGAAGTACCGGATTGCTGCTTATATCACTGCAGTCCACTCGTGCATACATACAAGTGGCTTCTGAAGCCAATTCAAGCCTCCATAAAAGGCGAGGGTACCGTGGCCACGCGTCTGGCGTTCGGAGCTCCGAAGAGCTAACACGAAGCTTATAACCTCCTATCCGCCAATAGGTCACCGTCCAACGCGGAACGGATCACGAGCTCATCCCACCGCCAAGGCAGCGCACCGCCGCCCCAGCGGTTCACCGGCCAGATGAACGGTTGCGTGCGTATCGTCAGCCCCTTCTATCGACGTATGTTCGGCGTCGGGATTCTCTCGTGTCGTGGTTTGGGGCCGTCGGAGATACGATGCTAATAGCCAGTCGGTGACCGGCCCCACGGTACATCATTTCAGGGTTCGACCTGTATGATAGCCATGTACACCCTGCCGTTACCATGATTGGTTCTGTAGCTCAGCTAGAGCCACGGCACTCGCACGGCCCGACAGCGGTCCATAAAAGGACCACTGCCAGACCGGGCTTGGAAGTTGGGACGGGAAGAACTTCCCTTCTCGATCTCGCGTCCGTTGTGCGGAGTCAGGCCCGCACGCAACAGTGGCGAATTCAGCCGCCCGCCGTCTCTCGCGCTGTGGAATGAAATGGAGGGACATTATCAACTAGCTGGCAGCTGGCCACGACGGCTGGCCAGGCCCCCTTGAAGAGGCTCACGCCCAGGCCCAATACATGCAATTTCTCTCTCACCGCGTAGCCAATGCTGTGAATGTAGACTACGCTGAAGTTGGCCGTTGACACTTCGCTCCCTCTCGTTTTCGTCACTCGTGACATCTTGCACAACAGCAGGATGGTCTCACAACCGATCAAGCTGGCTCTGGTGGCCTTATGCGGCATCGCTGCAGCCGTACCAGCACCAGCTCCGGCAGTGGTAGACATTGATGAGCGGCAACTACTCGTACAACCTTATGTACCGATACCGACGACCTGCCCCAGCACCGCTCTTGTCCGCCCGGCGACGAGCATCAGCTTGAACGAAGCTGGCTACGTATCGGCCCGGAAGAAGAAGGCAGATAAAGCCCTGGCAGCCTGGCTAAAGAAGCAAGGCAATTTCAGCAATTCATCGCAGCCAACAGTCGGCTTCACCTCAAGCGGTGGAGGCTACCGCGCCCTTCTCTGCACCGCAGGCGTAGTCCAAGCCTTGGACGGCCGCGACAGTAACTTCACCACGAGCGGCTTGTACCAGGCTTTGACCTACGAGGCTGGTCTGTCAGGCGGATCGTGGTTCTTGTCGTCCCTCGCGGGCAACAATTGGCCGACTGTGTCGTACCTCAGAGACAACCTTTGGGAGCAAGCCTTCCAGAACTCGTTGCTGGTACCGGCAAACTTACTCTCGATATCTGGCTTGACAGAGTACGCTGCCGTAACGACTGAGCTCGCAGCCAAAGAGGCAGCGGGCTACCCTGCCACTATTGTCGACCCATACGGGCGTCTGCTGTCCTATCAGTTGCTGCAAGGAGCCGATGGCGGCGTTGCGACCAGATTATCCGGCCTCACGAAATTGAGCAACTTCACTTCGCATAACGTGCCATACCCCATCATCACGACAACAGGCGTCAACGGTACAGGGGCCCAGTGTGTCCCTCCGTTCAGCGCGCTAATCTACGAATTCCACCCCTACGAATACGGCTCCTGGGACACGGGCATCGCCGCCTTCTCCCAGACAGCCTACATGGGCACCAAACTCACAAACGGCGAACCCACGATATCTGGCGCTTGCACGGCGCACTACGACAACCTTGGCTACATTTTTGGAACCAGCAGTGATGTCTTCTACGATGTCTGCGCTGTCATTGAGCCTTCGAATAGCTCGTCCAGCGGTCTGCAGAATGTACTGGAAGGCATTGTTAATGACGTGCATGAGCCGGACTTCCAGGATCTGTTTGGTGTCTATGTGAATCCGTTTTATAAGTATCCGGGATCGCCGATGGTAAAGGATGAGGAGGTGTTGACCATGGTGGATGGAGGGGCGACTGATCAAAACAATCCGATATGGTTCGTCCTAGAGACTACATGGCTCGTATTGCGGGCTGATTGCTGACGATTGAACAGGCCTTTCATCCAGCCAGCAGGTCGTTCTGTCGACGTCCTCATCGTCAACGACAACAGCGCTGACAACACGGACAACTTTCCCAACGGCACCGAGATCATCCAGACGTACCAGAACGCGGAAGCTGCGGGGCTCACTTTGATGCCGACGATACCACCCGTCGACACCTTCGTCAGCCAGGGCCTCAACAAGCGCGCCACCTTCTTCGGCTGCAACGAGACAGATACCGTCTTTATCGTGTACCTGCCAAACGTGAATTATACGTACGACTCGAACAAACCGACGTCGAAGGTTCAGTACGCGGTGGCGGAGACGGACGCGATGATCCTGAACGGCAATGCGATTGCGACGCAGAATGGCACCGCTGGCTGGCCTTTCTGCTTGGGCTGTGCAATCAAGCATAAAGATGGCAGCGGGCTGCCGGAGGGTTGCGACGCTTGCTTTGAAGAATATTGTTACTTTCAGTCCGACACTACTTAGTGGGTAGCTAGGCTTTTGCAGCATCTGAGGCACGATGATATGATGTACACAGCAATGAGAAAAGAATATGCACGGATCTTGTGTGTTATAAGCCCCTTCATGGCTTATGATCTTATGTGACTTATTATAAGAGCTGTATGAGAGGCGGGTTGACTTGACTTTTTATCTTGGTGTCTGGGTCCAAAAAAGAATCCATACAATCAATCGCACAGCGTTTGCACGTGCCATGCCGACGTCTCCGCTCGTCCGATGTTGCTGTGGGTCCTTTTTGGGGTGGCTCGCTGACCGAAGCGCTCCGGCTCACGGCTCCCTCCCTCATCAAGGTTGAATGATCGCACATCGTCACAGAGATACGTGAGAGGCTTGAGGCACTTTCCTGCCACCCACTACACTGTTACCATTGTCATCGGGGCATTGCCTTAGTAAGTAACTCCCCTTTGCCGCTACTGTCTAGTCTCATTGTTGGTGTGTTCAATGTTGTTCCTGCCAGCCAATGTGGTTATCCCCCGCGCTGAATGAAACCACCGAATCTGGGGTACCGGGGAGCCGAGGTCCTGTACATTGGACACCCGGATGCCCGAAGACCACAAGAGACAGCCGGCAAACCTTATGACGACATATAAGCTTCGGAGAAACGGTCGTTACTTCTGTCTTATAACAACAGCGCATTCGTTTGCCCTCTTCATGGTCGCTGCCGCTGTCTTCGCGTTATTTGTTTACTGACCACGCCATTCTCACTCATCTCACTCACTAACACGATGGCACCACAGGAAGTATCAAGACGGGACTCAGAGTCGACAAGACGGGGAGGCAATACACCGTCTCTCAGTCTCTCATTCAACCTCTCTGACGCGCGCTCTTCCTCTAGATCACCATCCATCTCATCCTCATCGTCACAAGATACCATGTCGAGCCATACCACCAACACAACCGCCCCTTTGCACCAGGTGGATGAGAATGCCTACTTCAACTCCAACCCACCGCCCAAGGCGCTACCCCAGCACATCGCAGCAGCCGAGTCATTCATAAATCAGCATGCGGCAGCCAACCGGCGAGTCGTGCTTATAACCTCGGGTGGTACGACGGTACCGCTGGAGAAGCAGACCGTGCGCTTCATCGACAACTTCAGCGCCGGCACGCGCGGCGCCACGTCGGCTGAGTACTTCCTCGAGGCCGGGTACGCCGTCATCTTCCTGCACCGCCAGTTCAGCCTACTGCCGTACAGCCGGCACTACAGCCACTCGACCGACTGCTTCCTGGACTTCCTGTACGAGGGCGCCGACGGCAGCGTCGTCGCCAACCCGGCCCACCAGGAGAAGATGATGCGCGTGCTGCGCAAGTACACCGACGCCAAGCGCCGCAACACCCTGCTGATGCTGCCCTTCGTCACCATCACCGACTACCTGCATGAGCTGCGTGCCGTGGCGCAGCTGATGCGACCGCTCGGCCCTAATGGGCTGCTGTACCTCGCTGCCGCCGTTAGCGACTTCTTCGTGCCGCCCGAGCGCATGGCCGAGCACAAGATCCAGAGCACGGACGCGACGGACAAGTTGCGCCAGGGGCCCACGACCATGAGGCAGGAAAAGCGGGAACAGCAGCAGCAGCAGCAGCCGTCAGAAGGAGGTGGAGGTAACCAAAAACAGAACGGGAGCGGGAAAGACGGAGCGCAGCCAGAAGAAGAAACCTTCGACAACTTCGACTCGTCGCCCGCGGTGCCGCGCAGCAAGCGCCTGATCGTGGACCTGGACCCCGTGCCCAAGTTCCTCAAGAACCTGGTCGACGGCTGGGCGCCCGAGGGCATGATCGTGTCGTTCAAGCTCGAGACGGACCCGGGCCTGCTGGTGCACAAGGCGCGCTACTCGCTCGACCGCTACCAGCACCACCTGGTCGTCGGCAATTTGCTGTCGACGCGCAAGTGGGAGGTCGTCTTCGTCGGGGCCGGCCGCGACGACCGCTGGATCCGCGTCCCCATCAACCGCCGCAAGAAGACGATTAGCGGCGCCGAGGAGCTCGTCGGTGCGGCTGAGCGGGACCGCAGCACCGGTGGGGGCGGCAGTAATAGGCCCCTGGACCCGGCCACGCTGCCGGAGGGTGAGCCGGAGATGGAGATTGAGAGCTTGATCATCCCGGCTGTGGAGGAGTGGCACTCGAAGCATGTCGAGTCGGCTACCACGAGGAATGGTGGCGCTTCTGCATCCAGGTAACAATATGTGGTTGGTACGTAAATCTCTCAGGAACCGAGGTGCACGACCATGTCTACGGGAAGGGAGGGCAAAGGCTCGGTGGAGTCGTCTGATATCATTGAGAAGTCTTCTGAAGATAATAGGGCGCACATGGTGTGAACAGCATACTACAGGATCTCGGATCAACGCAGCGGGAGTAGAGGTAGAAGGGAATATTGGTTCGTACGGTAGCTGGCGTTCGCTGGTCTAGATATAGCGGGAGCTAAACGCTGATGATGTCGATGGGGAATGAAAAGGGGGCTTATGGGTGCATAACTACATGCGTGGATACAGAGGCATCAAGCAAGCATCGTACGTCAAGTTCAATGTCGTATAGCTGTGTTCCCTCGACAGGGGTATCGGGTCAGTAGAATCCGAGGAAAAGCAAAGTTGCAAACGCACATGCATGACTCATGAGCAAAAATCGATCACCTCCACGAGGGGTGCACTTCGAAACCAAGCTTCTCTACCTTCACTCATATCTTGTCCATCTTCTCTATTGTATGTCAATCATGGAAGCTCAAACCGAAGTCAAGAACACAGGGGCAACTCCAAAGTCGAAGTCGGAGGCTGGAATCGCTCGCGAGAAGCGGAAGAAGCAGAACCAGAAAGCGCGTCGCAAAGCACAGGCAGAGGAAGTGGCCCAGGGCCCCGCGAACGAGGGAGGGAGAGCCGAACCGCAGCAGATCGTCAAGAACATCCCGGCCGGGAGCGAAGTTGGCAGAACTGGACCTGTCAGACGCCACAAGAAGGCCCGGTTTGCGGCTCCCGTCTTTGCGGCAGACAACATTCTCCGCGTCGAGTCGGCGTCTCAATGGAAACCGGCGGCGCTGAAGCCCGGCAAGCAGCTGGTTGAGTTCGGCGCAGCGTTCGATGTGAATGAGTAAGGAAGAGTTTCAACCAAGCCCACTGCTCTCCTATTTCTGACTAGAACCCATGAGCACAGCTCGCACCTGAAGGACCTCGCGAGCGCAAGCCCAGCCTTCCGCTCCGGCCTGCGCGCCATCTACGCCGGAGGCGACGGGGCCGCCAGCCGCACCTCCGTCACCGACGAGACGCTGCGCGCTCTAGTTGACGCGCGCGTCTGGACGAATCTCCAGCACATCCGCCTCCTCGGGTCAACGGGCGGATCCACAAACGGACTGACGGGTCTCGTGAAGAGCCCACCGATCCAATCCATCATCATATCGGCCAAGTCGCGCGATTACATGAGCGGCATGTCCGTCTTGCCGCTCATGCAGTCGGACAGCCGGACGCTCAAGTATCTCGAACTCGTCAACTTCGAGGTTGATGACTCGATCGAGCAGTTCTTGCCGACGCTGACGAAGATGATTCCGGGCCTGGAATTCGTGTTTGGGACTGGGAAGAATGTGGCTGTGTTTCGAAACGGAAGTGTGGTTGTGTAGTGGTCACACCTCGTCTCGTTGGCAAGCCCAAATCTGGGTGGCTTCTCGAGGACTGGTCCGTAGGTAGGCACAGTGAGCGCGCTGGCAATCTACCATTATTGCCGCATTATCTTGATTATTTCCCAGTAACCCCTTATTAGTAGACCGACATTTAATGATATCCCATGGCGGTGGTTTTTTTTTCAACCATCAAGCATACACAGCACGCTATGGCCGCGGTGCAGAAGGCGTCCAGTCTGAGGGTTCGTTCTTGGAATGAGATCCCCAGTATGGCCTTGATGTTCTACTACAACGCCCAAAAACCGGACCAGAAGAGCAACGGGAAAACGGCCGATTAGAGCCCGTTCATTCCAACTGCTCTGCTGAAATCGTGATGACAGCATCCAAGAATCCCTTACGTGTCGTACAGGATTTGCCTTCCCCTGCAAACCTGTACTGCTCAATCGAACTAGGCAATGATCTTTGCGCCCTTACACACGTGAAAGCCCATCAATAGATCCATGCCAACAATGAGAAGAAACCCTTAGTCCACCCATGAAAGGCCCTCCCGCCTGCAAGCACGAGCCTCGACGACAAGACAAAGCCGCCTCTCCCTTTCAAGGCCATCAACCATAAAACCCAATATTCAGATAAAATCCAAAGAATCCAACATGAAGCCCAAGGATAATCTCGAGCCTGGAGTAGATATCACATAGGATCGAACAAAACATGACACCCTCTTTCCTTCACCCTCCCCTCCCCTCCCACTTCCTCGCCTCGCGCCTCGGCGCCGCTGGCAAGACCTACGTCTGCGGACACCGGCTGACCCATCTCCCGCTCCCGCGGCTCGTAGCCCACTTCCGAGCACCACCTACCAAGCCGCATGAGGCTGACCAGGACGAGCCAAACTGTGCCGCCTCCCTTCCCCTCCAACAGCCCTGCGCAGCATGCCAGCTCGCGACAGCCGCCGGCGTCGAGGAGGCCATTGCGGCACTGCAGTGCGGGCCCGAGGCGCTGGTCGAGCACGATATCGTGCAGGCTTTGTCGTTCTCGCTGCTGGAGCTGTACGCGGCGTCTTTGCCCTCGACTGAGTCCGAATCCGAGTCCGAGTCCGAGACTGAGGATGGGGATAGCTTGAACTCCAAGAGCAACAATAGCTCGCCCACTCCAACCCCCACCCACGAATGGGACTGGCCCTACCTCTGGGCCGAATGGGCCAAAGCCTTCGAGTCAAGCCGCAAGCGCGTCCACCTGCCCGAGCTCACCCACAACCTCGAGACCCTGCTCCCGCGCTCCCACTCCCACGACTTGGCCCCAGCGTTCCGGCCCATGGCCGTCGAGGCGTACACCCAATATAAATGCTGGATCGAAACGGGATGCGCGACGGATCCCGGGGCGGCGAACATGCGGGCGCTGGAGAGGGAGGCGCGGACGGTGCAGGCGCCGCGGGAGCTGGAGGCGTACCTGTGTCGGGTGGATGGCTGGGCGCGGAAAAAGATGTTTTTGAACTTTCGGCTGGAGCCGTTTTACGATCAGAAGCTGGTGGAGGAGTAGTTGAGGTGAGTTTCTTGCTGTTGTGTTGTAGTTATGGCATGAGCGTTGTGTCGAGAATCTGTAATTAGTATATATTTCTTACGCTTCATACGTACCTTTTCGCTACTTTGACGCTCATTGTTCTAGTGTTGTGAAGTTTCATGGTGACACGTCTCCCCAACGGCCTCGTCAGTTCGGGGCAACCGTTAACCTTTGCATACAAAATCTGACATGGAATTTTTATCAACCAGCTTCGTTGGAGCTGGGCAGTGCCCAGCCCATTACTAACCCAAACCAACCCTTACTCCGACGTACAAAGAGAACGGAAGGAAATGAACGCCGAGATACAGAAGCAGCTGAACCGTCGATGGAGTGGAAATGTCCCATAAAATGAATGAACCCGTATTGAAGTCATGCAATTGGATGGCCAGTTGGTGCCGCCGCATCTATAACGTTACTCAGGGGAACAAGACACTTGGATTAGATCAGGGTAGATAGGCTCGATAACGCATAGTAGCTCTCAATTGCTTTCACTCCCCTCTTGCGCCTGTAGATACGCTCAAGTTGCTCTACTTTTAGTAGCCAAGAGGACATAGGCTTCGAACCTAATACCCCCAAACTGCTCTATCTCTTCCTTCACGGACTGACGAACAGACTCGACCCACCTAGCCTCCTCTTCCTCCGTGAACCCCTCTCGCGCCTTGACCATCAGAGGACCCGACATAAGCATAGTAAGCCCAGCTACGTTTTCGTCGTCCTTGACGACCAACACCTTGTCGAGCATTGTCATGCCCTCCTTAGCGAAGCCACTCTCTTCGACCACCTTCTGCAGCACGCCCTCCTCGAAGAACTGTGGACCAGGTGTAGGCATGAGTGGCACGTCCGGGCGAACCTTCCTCTGGGCTGCGTGCACGATGAACATGGGTGCGAAGCGGCGCCAGCAAGTCACGATGGCAAGGCCTGCCGGGCGGAGGGTGCGGTATGTCTCGCGGAGGGCGTCATTGGGGCGGGCAAAGGTCTGGATGCTAAAATTGTCGATGGAGTGGGTGAAGTAGTTGTCAGGCACCGACGACAGATCCTGCGAGTCGAGCTCCTTGCACTCGACGTGGGACAGCGGGGAGGCGACGAGGGATTCGCGCGCGGCCGCCACCATCATGGCGACACTGTCCGAGACCAGCATCTCCTTCGGCAGCTGGTCCTTGGGGAGGCAGGCAACAAGCGCAGCACCGCCCACACCGGGACCCGCGGCCGTGTCGTGGACTACGGAGTCCGGACCTATCGGGTGGGCAGATGCCTGGACATTGTCGGTGATGACATCACTGAGGATGTCCAGAGTCGAGTGGCCCGTCTGGCGAACGTAAACCTGGGCGAACTTGGAGAAGAAGTCAGACCGAGTGAGATTTTGGTTCTGGGCCTGGGAAGCCATCTTGAAGACGAGGGCCTGTTGATTCGGCCGTGGATTTAGTCGGTGTCCACTGTCAGCGGGAGAAGGAGTCGTGCTAAAGGCAAGAAATAAGAACAGGATAAGTAGTCGCAGTCTCGGTAATGATGAGAATGAAGAGGGTCGCTTGTTGTTTTATGAAGAAGGTATCTGTGGGAGAAAACTAGAAGGCAACTGCTAATAGAATCTCGACTCATACGTCTCCCTACCTTACAGAAGAGAGTGGTAAGAGACAAACCGGGCTCGAGCAAAAGCAAGCGCTGACAGACCTTGCACCTGTTCCCGTATATGTATTGTCGTCGTGTGTTGGTCTCTCTCCTAGTTCTTACCTACATCGACGTAAGTAACGCCGGCCGAAAAGTCCCCGACTCGGCCGAATCATGATCCACCATTTTGTTGATCTACGGCCCGGTCTGCGTCAGCGACAATCAGTCGACGGCAGAGACCGAGAAGTTGGAAATACAGCGTACCTAGGAGAACCGCCCGCAAGTGAATAATGTTGCACGAACAGATGCTAGCAGGTGAATATGGGCGCCGAAGAGCGTGCCTTGGTCCTAGATGTGGCCGACGTCGCCGACCTCACCGACCTCCCCCAACTTGATGGTCAACCTTCTCGACTGGATGGCCAACCTTCACGACAAAGTGGGCTACCCCGGGCTTAACATGCTCAAACTTCGAAGAGTTAGTCCGATAGGCCCACCAAGCATGAATGGAGATTGCCTGCTTATCAGACCTTCGTCGCAACCGCGATCCCAAAAACCACGCAAGAATGCAAGAGTCTTGACGAGGTCGGCTGGTACGGTTCGGCTTTCTTTCCGACCTTGGCGGTCTTCCAGTCGCCCTGGGTGAAGGTCTACAAGCACTATTCAATCAAGATTGTATAAGGTACCCTGCATAGATCTTCATATTTGAGTTGGCAGTCACATTCATCGTCTGTGACTTTCTCGCCCTTGAATGGGGTGGTGTGTCGAAGGCTTGGGGCGACGCAGATGTCCTTGGCACACTCATCGGCAGTATCTTGCTCGCTCTGGCCTTCGGCGTGGTGCAATGGGCACTCGATCAGCGGACCTCGACCACATTGGTGTACCAGATGCGGCAGAAAAGGGGTATATCAAGGATATCAGTACCAATATGCATTAGGTACTTTTGCTGAGTGCTTAGGTATGGACTTATTATAATTTTACTTATTTTATTGGGAATAATCAAATGGCCACGGCGTATACAATGTCTACTTATTTCTCTTGTCCTAAAAACCCTAGATCAAGTTCTGTTCCCGCCGACTTACATGCACTAGTTAGCTTGACAAACTGGATAGCAGCCCCTTGACAAAGCTGGCTTTCAACAGGGGTTGCTCTTTCTCCCAGCAGTACTTCCGAACAAAGAGGTGGACTTGGTGTTTTATTTTTAGAACCAGCTTAGAAAAAATCAAAGTTATTATCTTGTTCTCAAATGTGTATATAGTCCCAGACAGAACCCTGCTGTTTCAAGACTAGCTGAACTCCCTCATACTTGCAATCATCATTGTCTCTCACACCTCTTTCAACGAACCAAAGCAGATTATTACAATCCAGTTACACGTCACTTCAAGAAGGGCTACTGCCAGCGAGGACCGAGCGACATCTGCCGAGAATGGATATCCAATCGCTTCTTTCGTCCAGTCCCAAGTTACATGCTACGATCCCGAGTCAGCCGCTTCCATCTATCCAGGATGTCGCATCCTCTGTTTTTCAGCTAACAAAACCATTAGACGAACTCCACCTAGGAACACCCACTAACATCCCTGCCGTGGAAAGAGCTCAGACGTCAAGCTTCATCCCGCCTGCTAAGTGCCTCCCGCTTCCAACCGACTTCCTCTCTCTCAGCGCTGCTGTGCAGACGCCTGCCGTCGCTACGAATCCCTCACCACAATCCATTTCACAAGACGCGCCGACCAGAGGCCAGACCAAAAGGAGAAAGAAGAGATCGGCGCAAGCCGATCTGGTGGAGGAAATCAGCGCGCCGCTCAGTGTGCTGGCCAAGGATCTCTCCCACATCGAGGATGTCGACATCGAGAAATTCGTCCACCACGGGACCGAAGAGCGGATGAAAGAGAATGAGCAAACCGGCAAGGTAAAGCAACCCCTCAATTCATTCATGCTCTACCGAAAGGCGTTTCAGAACAGGGCTTATGAGTTGCTGAAGTCCCTCAACTTGGGCGATCACTGGCAGCAGAGGGTCTCTACAGTTTGCGGCACCAGCTGGGCAATGGAGCCTGCGCAGTTGCGCGAATGGTTTCGCCAAATGGCTCAAGTCGACAAACAATACCACAAGTTGGCATTTCCTAGTTACCGTAACCCAGCGAGGATACCTGATCCAGAATCCAAGCCTGCTAAGGTACGGGAATTCCTCGAGACCCAGGAAAGAGTTGATTGGGCCTGGGAATATCTCGAAGCCAAGAGAGTCGCCAAGAAAGTCACACAAGATACTCTCCTCGCAGCACTGGTGGGGAGTGCTGCCAGGGAAAGATGCAAGACAGGAAAACGATCGATGATGACAGATGGGGCTTTGAGCCCTCGACACAAAATGATTTCTCGAGCTGCGAAGCAAAGAGGATTTAGTGGACCATGTGATAACTTTAGACTACGAGTAAATGTACACATGTCTTTGGCGCCGTTACTTCAGCTTCTGTGAAGTGCTTAGACGTCCGTATCAGGCAGGTGAAAGGGGAAGCACCAGTCAACGCTATTAGGAAGCATGGAGAAAAACAGTGAATTTGGTTCTACGAATGATTGTGCAAATTTTCCAATATACCTATCTAAAAATTGCTAGTCGATGACAATATACTCGATTCTAGCGGGCAAGGCCTCGGAGTCTTTCTGGGCCTTGAGAGCTCGCTGTTTCTTGGCATATTGTCCCCGTTTCTTAGCATTGGCTGCAATCACGCCCCGGGAACCTGTGGTAATTTGAAGGAATGAATATGCCTTGGAAGACTAGAAACATATTACTAGTTGGGGCAGCGCTGGAGGTGTGGGGGCGGATCCGACGCGATGTGAGAGTTTCAAGAGATGAAGTATCCTTTGGTCGACGTAGGGAGTCAAGATATGGCCGCAATCTCTTACTTACAGCTTAGAATGACGATACCATAACATAAGACTATTATGGTGCTTACGGGTTTCACAGGGATGCAATCTAGAAATGGATAGCGACACTGGTCGGAACCGTTGGCTCAAACTGGGTACGTTGAAGCTTCGACAACGAGGCAACAGCCATAGGAGATAACGATATAAACATCGCAGCGGTGTATAGAGCCAAGCACGTATTCGCTATCTATTCTATATGGTAACATCTCTCCCAAGATAATACAAGCGCGGTCATTTAGGGCCACTCAGTCTCCATGCCCTCATGGGCAGGCTCTGGAGCACGAGGACCTTCTTCCGGATATACAAAGTGAAGGTCAAGACTCCGACGATGACACACAGGACGTTCACGATGTAGTATCCGTCATGGAGAGTCTCACACGTGCCACCACCGTTTACACATCGCTCCCTCTCGGCTTGGACGGTGCAGGAAAATGTGCTAGTCACGAGCGGACCATTCAATGCCTGAAGTGCTGTCCCGCTGAGCTTTTCTGGTGGAGGATGGCAGGTTGCCTGCGTGAAAGAGTCGACGAGGCGCAGAACGAAGTACTTGGGGAACGTGCCTCCGAGGTTAGAAACGCTATCTGCATGTTAGCTGATGATCGATTTCGTCAAAGATCGGTCGATAACTTACGTGGCAAGCAGAGTCATGTAGGTGCCGCCGATCACAGGGTCTGCAACCTGGGCGTGGAATGCAGAAACTGCCACGAACATGATCGTTTGGGTGAATGTTGAGAACACGTGTTCACCGATGACCAGAAGAAGGTACCAGGGCTGAACGCCATTGGCAGGGAAGATGGCAACAGTAACCTGCGCGAAGATGGCAGCGATGAGACGCCCCACAAAGCCCCAGCACCAGAGACGCATTGGTGTGTATTCCTGGGACCACTTGCCGGCGTAATAGCCCAACCCAATCTCAAAGGGAAAGTCGATCAGCACAGTCAGTGCCATGTTCTCCTTGCCAAAGCCCTTCTCTAGCAACTTCAAGTTTGTGACACCGTCATTGGCTTGAAAGCCAATCTTCGAGATGAGATGGACAATGATGATTGTCTGGATATTCTTGAGTTTCAAGACATCCCACATGATCTTGTACACATCCCAAATTCCGTCCTCGTTTCGGGTCTTTTCCTCCTTCTTCAGTAAGGCTAGACCCATCGTGATGGCAATATAGGCCCAGCCCCAGAAAGTCAAATAGCCTCCCAGGCTCATCAATCCTCCCTCGGTTGGAGCAGAGCGGAAATACTTGTTGGCAAAGTCCTCGGAGTTGAAAGCCAAGAAGACGGTGTAAGACAGGAACTGGCCAGCCGTGAGACCGACAGTCTGAGCCGTCGAGGCGTATGAGACATTCCCAGGGGTAAGTAGGGTCAGGGCCCAGCCGTCGACAGCGATATCTTGGGTGGCGCACATGAAGACCAAGAAGAACCACCACCAGGTGAAATTCCAGACGGTCACTCCGCCAGGTTTGCCAGTCGTAGCCATCATGTCCTCAATCATGGAGCCCAGGTACAGCATTCCAAACCCAGACATCAACTGGATGGGCAGGATCCAGCTCTTTCTCCGTCCAAATTTGGGGCTCCATACGGCATCAACGATCGGGCTCCAAAACAGCTTTAGCGAGTATGGAAACGAGGCCAGGCTGAACACGCCGATCTCGCCAAACGACAGATGTTCTTTCAGGAGGAATGGCACAGATCCACTCGCCAGGCCCATGGGAACACCCTGAAGGAAGTAGAGCAGCACGAGCAACATGAAGTTGCGCTGGTCCTGTCGCGGAAGCTCGAAGAAGCCATGGTTGTTGGCAGTCGGTGTCTTGAGTATCTCGTCATCAAGAGAGAATGTTTCGCGGGACATCAGGTTTGAGGTAACCTGGCTCGACTCGGACAGTGGGCCAGCGTTCTTCCGGCGCAACTCCATGTTATTCATGTTTTCCTCCGTGTCACCATTCACACGGCCGGTCGTCGAGACTGAAAGCTCGTCTCGCGTCGGAGACCTCGACCGTCGCGTTTTGACACCCATTCGTGATAGTGATGGATGAAAGTCTGGGGAGATCGGGACGAGGAATCGCAGCAGTCGCGGGGTTTCGTAGAAGTCGCACAAGATTAGTGACGAGTTCTCGACGAAGGTAAAGAGTCGTAGTTCAGAAGTAGAAGTTTGGCTCCCAGGTAAGTTTCCCAGGCGATTAGATCAGTGAACGAGATCTGCCGGACAGTAGCTGAGTAGGTAATGGTAGCCTTTACGAGTAATGAATGGCCTAAAGATGGCAATGTGGACCGCACAGGAGAGGATAACAAATTAGTGAATGATTAAAGGATGACGTGGTCTCTAACAAAGAGTAGGTAGGCAGAATACAGAAAAGACCCCCTCCCTTATTATACCACTGTTGGCCAAGTGGTCGTCTTTTCTTGGGGACGCGAACACCAACGAGAACTTCGAGAAGCAGATATGTGTTCACATTCGAGGGAGCTCCAGCTAAAACCGAGGCAGCCTAGCAGAGGATGCAGGTCCCGAAAATAGAGGTGACTAAGCAGGGATGGACCCCACCACAGCAGACCCCACCTCAAGATCGCGTCGGCGCGTCCCTCGTCGCAATTCAACATCGGTCTTGGCTCGAGCAGCGGTATAATGGAAATACTCGGTACAGTGTCTTCTATATCCTCACCACAATGGCTGCAAGAGACAGCCCATTCCCGGATTTATCGATAGCCGACCAGCTGGACAATGAGATTGCCAACCTGAGAGCTCAAGGTGTGTACCGAGGCACAACTCCGCGACGCGTCGTTGCGAGTCTGCAGCGCATTCTAACAACCTCCAAGTCGAGTCCCTAAGGAAGGATCTCAAGCTCCAGACGGCAACGTTGATGACATCCGAGTCGACGCGCCAACTCCTGCAAATCAGTACGAACAAAGGCGCAAGATCAAATCGCGCCGACGATGCCACGAAGCAGAAGCTCCTCGAACGCGCCGAGGAGCACAACGCCCACAAGCAGCAATCTCTCTACCGCGCATGCGCGTCCATCACCACTTTCAAGGCCCGCGATCCCGACCCGAACGCCGTTGATGGAGGGAGTATTCTTGGCCTGCGCTTCGAAGTCATGTCCAAATCGAGGTTCCTAAAGCCATACTACGTCATGCTGAACCGCCCCTATTCGAACTCCCGCCACCTGCGCATACACCGACATACCGTTCCCCAGTGCATACCCCTTTCGGGTCTAGCAGCGCGACACCTGCCTGCGCCGTCTATCAAAAACGACGGCGGCACGTCCAAGATGCAAGATCTGTCGCAATTCGTTCGGACACTCAGGAGAGAGCTGGTACGCTATCAGAACCGGATCGCGGTCATTGGGGACCTCAGAAAAGCAGCTGGTTTGGAGGCGAAGAACGACACGGACAGAGAGTCGGAGCTTGTCAATATTAGCTTGGCGGGTCCCATGGCTAAGCAGATACATATGGAGTGGAGCGACGGCAGAAGTGGCCGCTTGGTCATGGGCGATGATGGCGAGATACTGAAGATGGCCGTTCAGGGGCAGAACGGTCAAGATAGGGAGACGGTGAGAAACCTGCTGGGAAGGAGTGTTCGTATCGAAGAGGTGGTCAAGCAGCTTGAGGGTGTTTGAGCTTCCGATATGGCGGTGTTCCGCAAGCCTGTCTGCGGACAAGCCCTGAGGTGACGCTTAGTATCTGTTGAGCTTCAGCAGGATCCTAGTGTCAGTTGTGTGGTTTAGCTCCTATTACACCTTGAGGGTGATACCATGGATCATGTCGGCAAAATAGAGTCATAGGTGCACATTATCACTATTCATTCCGACCTCTCCGTCGCTCACACAAACGGTCAGCCAGAGTATGTGATAACCAAATATACGTTTACAGGACTGACATGTAATCAATCAGTATTTTTGACACAGTTTCAGTTCATCCAACTTTCGGTGGTCTTTCCGGTGTGGCGCACCTGAACAGCCAGTTCGGTTTAGTCACCAAAGCTATTCACTTTCACTATTCACTCTACAGATCCGACAGATGTGCGATTAGTCTGGTGCGAGCCTCTCTATATAGACTTGTCATGTCGCCCTCTGCGTTCACCGCTGCAAATCAGCAAATCTATCTACCAGCAGACCATGTCAACATACCTACCTTAGATTACCATAATATCTGCGATCCCGAGAAGAAAGTGAACATGCCGTACCATCACCTGAAGAACCAACAGCACCTGGAATTCCAGCTGTACCTCGTCATCCTCGAGAACCGGGGCCACACCGAACAGGTCTGTCCTTGTCCCCTCGATCCTGGACGTAGATATGGAATACCGCAACGGCCACCACCGCTGACACTGGCATTCTTAGTATTGGACCTTCGCGATTGGCGGCCCCGCAGAAGCCCCCAACGGCCCCATGGCCTTCCCCCAGCTCATCGATGGGCGCTGGCAGTACGCCGACGCGGACCTCAACGCGCTGACCATCGTCGTCCAGTGCCACATTGCCGACCTCAGCGACGGCGCCAGCCTGGGAGGCCTGCTCCACGACATGGGTCGAGCCCGGCTGCCTGAGCCGCAGGAGGACAGGCACAGGCACTACAGCTCCCGGGAGAACGTCCTGGGCGTGCTCCGGCTGTTCGATGAGGGGGAGGGCGAGAAGGAGCGGGACGGGTTGTTTGATTCTGTTGGTACGTTATGTCCCATGTAAAAAGCTTACTGCATTCCGACCTTGGCATTTGGAGTTCTGCGGTAGGCAGCGCTGACTCGCTCGTACACAGAGGAGACCATGGAAGCCGCCGCGCATGCTGCAAGGGCTCACAGAACCTCCCTTGGACAGAGGGTGACTGCAGGATTGTCGGGAAGGTGGGGAGTTGTGAGGTCGATGGGTGCGAGATTCGCCGCAGGGACGTGATACGGGCACGGTCCCGTGAGACGCGATATCGGGCTCGGCGGGTTTTGGGGGCTTTGAATGCTTTGTAGTGCTGTACTTCGAGTGGTGTCTTGGCTTTGAGTTTCTGGGATTTTGGGAGACTGGTATAGGGGTGATTGGAGAGGATGTCTTCGGTTGTGGCGTTGATTGGAGCATTGATTTCTTTGGAGGGAGGCATAGGTGATGCTGTATTGTGTTGGTGCTCTTCTCCTTGGGGAACTACACAGGCGTCCGTTCATCTAATTATCGGCAAGCCGGAGGCGATATCATTGACCAACCTGAACATGGAGATTGATCAACAGCTTCCCATTGACAGGACTATCCTAGCTTCACAGAGGTGATAATCGAAGGCTCGGTGGTTGAACACCGAGAGTATCCCGTAATCCAGTCAGTTGTGCCGTATCCAATCAAGCTCCCTAGCCACTTCCTGCGATTCGGGCTCCCAGTCTTAACTGTAACCGAAGTGTCAACGAGTTTTCGGCAGGTGTCCCGAGCCCGCTGGGCAGAATGTAAATCGCCCCAGATGAGCTTATGAGAGTTACTATACGTTGCCTTAAGAGATAAGACAATAGTCGAACGCAATACGGCCAAGGGCACGTAAATTTGGTCAGGGGCACAAAGGCTGTGCTATTGGGGCTTTATCTCTCCTCCATCCTCGAGCACAGCAAAAATACCACACATCCCCAATCTGCTCTTAGAACATTGGAGGCTGTCCATATTTCTCAGCCTGCAGCTGTGAGGCAACTGCCACGGCAGCGTTACATCCACTTGAGATAGCGCCCGGAATCACCTTGTACGGAGTGATGCAGTCACCAGCAGCAAACACCCCACGAACGCTGGTCTGGTGGGCAGGCGCGTCCGCCTGTATATCACCCATTGATGTGAGGGCGATCCCAAGCTGGGAGAACCACGGCCCCTTGACGGTGGTCAGAGGGTTGTGCACTAGGAACTTCTCCTCCTTGCTGGACCCGTCAACGAACTCGACGGTAACTGAGTCGGCATGCGTGTTCTCGACAAGACGCTTGATCTGGCGTGAGTCGACTTGGAAATTGTCGTTGGCGACGGGGTTGAGCTGGGTTGTCAGGTCGTTGTTGCCGTTGGTGTAAAGTGTGACTTTGTCGCTGAGCTGAGCCGAGCCGCGTTTTCCGCCATGTGAACAACCAATGCGGGAATCAATACGGGAAAGACGGCAAGAACACCAGAGGACGTGGCGCCTCGATCTTCATAGCCCTTGCAGAAGAGGCAATGGAAACTAGACACGCGGTATCAGTCTTTCTGCAGAGAAGTCTGAGGATTCAAGAGGGTGGCCATACATGCGCTTGGTCTAGAGGTGTCCATAGCCCTCGAGTTCGGGGTAGGTGTCCTCCGAACCTACTGCGAGCAGGACCTTACGGAAGTCCCACTCTTTGCCCGTGGAGTCCCAGAGTAGGAAGTGGGCGTCGCTCTTCTTCTCGACTTTGGTCACCTCGGCATCAGCAAATTCGATGGTGTCATAGTTAGAGATGATGTCCTGCTTGGCTGAGCTGCGAAACTCGGCGGGCTGACGGTTCTCCCGGCCTGGGACCATGTGCATATGAGTTGCGTTGGCGTTTCGATAGCTCTTGGAATCGAAGACGATGGCAGTATGCAACTGACGAGCTAGAGTACTGGCCGCCGTAAAGCCAGCGGCTCCGGCTCCAACGACTGCAACATCGAGGAAGTCCATGGTAAAGGGCAAAGCAGACAAGACCGTTATTCGAAGCTGTGGCCGAGGAGTATACTTTGAAGGGAGTCGCGAAGCAAACTCAAAGTGTTGTACACCTTGACCTCGATACTGCTGAGGCTCTGAACAAGGGTGTAATTTGCATCGGCCCAGCTAGGTATTCGCTTTTGGCGATTCCGCGTTCAATTTCAGCGTGAAACTGTAAAGCTGTCCCGGTACGAGTTCAAGGCGTGGAACTTTTTTGTCCAGGGGTGATCTGGCTAGATGGTCTGCTGAGATCCCTTTTGAATTGAAGGTAAGCATGGCTTTTGTTGGTATTGACGTACTCACACTGGGTACATGATATGTAGGTGTATTTGTGTGACGCTGGGATTGAGGCACAGCTGCAGGTTGGAAGTTTGGGTCGTAGATTGCATCCCTTCGTGTCACCACATCCAACGGCCAACATGCATGAGCCATGAAAATGATGCATCAGGTTCGCGCCAACATGGCCAGCACGAAGCCTGCCAGGGATAGGACTAGTGGTATAACCACAACAAAGCTGCAAACTGGAACTCCGTATTACGAAAGCCCCAGGACAAGGCTCTGCGTATCTTAGCTCATCGAGGTCGCCTCTCCTTTCTCCCAAACGCTTCATCCGAAGTACGTTGTCTGTCCAATGACGTTTGAGTATCTTCAACACCGCACTTGTCCGTCGCGCACTGCATCCCCACTACCATCATATCGCGGCAGAGCAGTGGTGTTGGTGATGTCGCGGAGCCAGGTAGTACTCCTTTGACACTGATCGCGCTCTTTGAGATCGGCTCCCTGGTCTGTACTACAGCGCCCAACTCGGTGGCTCTGATCGTGGGCCGGGCAATAGCTGGTCTCGGTGCCGCCGGGATCTTCTCGGGCGGGATACTGATCACGACGAGGTTCATCCCACTATCGCAGAGGGCCGGCTATCTGGGCGTCAGGCCAAGTGTGTTCCGGCTAGCCGCGATCATTGGCCCGTTCTTGGGCGGTGCCCTCACTGACCGCGCAACGTGGCGATGGTGCTTCGGGATCAACCCTCCCCTAGGAGTTATCACTGCCGTCTTTTGTGCGGTACTCGTTCGCCTCCCTCCCAAGGAAGCCGAAACAAGGAGCATCGGCTTTCTAGGCAAACTCCATGAACTCGATCTCCCCAGCACGATCAGCATGGTCGGTTGCCTTATATGCCTCCTGATAGCGCTCCAGTGGGGAGGATCAGCCTACCCCTGGAATAACGGAAGAGTCATCGCCATATTTGTGGTGTCAGGAGTCCTCGCGGCTGCGTTCCTTATCACGCAAGCGATATCTATCAGGGGGAATGCGCGCACCATTCCGTTCAGCGTGGCGCGGAACCGTGATATCTGGCTCGCCGGCAGCTACGCCATGTGCATAACAGGAGGCGTCTATGTCGCCGTACTGTATCTTCCGGTCTGGTTCCAAATCATGCACGGCGATTCCGCATTATCATCTGGGGTCATGCTTACGCCGCTCATTGCCGGCTACGTGGTCTGTTCCGTCGTCGCCGGAGGTGTCACCAGTGCCATCGGCTATTATAGCACTGGTATGATCATGGGCACTGCGCTGGCAATTGCAGGATCTGCGCTTCTGACAACTATTAACCTGCGGTCTTCGACGGCTCGCATCGTGGGCTATCAATTCTCTATGGCTTTGGTGTCGGGTTCGGCTTTGGCTAGCCAAGCTATGTCGTCCAGACTGTCCTGCCCTCTTCCGACGTGCCGCTCGGCGTCACTCTGATCACCTTGCTCCAGAATCTCAGCGCATCGGTGTTCGTCGCCGTGGCGCAGAGCGTATTCCAGAGCGAGTTGCGTTCGCGTTTACAACCCATACTGCCGAATCTCGACGTCTCCTCAATTCTGACCTCAGGGGCTGGCGACTTCATATCCACCCTACCTCTTAATAGCCAAGCAGAGGCGCTAGAAGCTTACAGCACTTCACTCGTGCTGAAATTCTATATCTCATTGGCATTAAGCGTGGCGTCCGTTGTGGGTGCACTGAGCATTCGATGGGGGTCCAGTAAGTATCATTCCCCCCTCATCTCCTCCCTTCCTTGGTCGGAACTGCGACAACCTACATACTCGTCATCTGCAACGACTGACACTGGCATACAGTGCATAGAGGGGTCGAGCAATCCCGGACGGGCATCGAAGGTCAGATGACCGAACAGAACCTTACGACAGACAAGGGTGGTGGTAACGCATCAAAAGACGACGGCAAACGAGGCGATGAAGGAGCCGTTGAAACCAAGAAAGTCTGGTCGGGCAGATCTATAGTTACTTGACATCAGTCACACTCTAGACTTACTTGTCCTGGCTAACTTGTTGCAGACTGATAGGCTAGGTACTCAATATTCTTGGCTTATAACTCGCCTTTGTACATATACCCGCCACCCAAGCCTGGAAGTCATTCATGAATCAGTTCTACTCGAGCCGATTGGCGCGCGGCTCGCATTATACGAGGGACTTGCGCACGAGACGCCAGGGGGTAGAACTGATTTACAGAGCAGGAGATAGAGCGGGTCCGGTTCCCAGAGGTGCACGATCGAAGGCAAGCCAATACCAGACTTTTCCACACTCTACTGTAATACAGAAATTCTCGGAGTAATAGAGGTTTTTAAAAGGTGGACCTAATGCATCATTTCTCTGGCTCATGCATGTTGGATGTTGTACCACGCAAGGGAGGGATATCGTCTGTAGCCCAACTTCCAACTGCAGCTGCCCCATGTCACATGAATGTACATGCATAGGTATTATGTACCCAGTGTGACTATATCGATACCACGAAGCATGTTACAAGACAACCTCTCCGCTCCTCGGTACCAAAGACCTATGCCTGTTCGAAAGACGCAGTCTCTCAAATATGAACCCGATACCAACAGCCTTGAAACCACCGTCGTGATCTCCTTATTTCTCGTACGCCCGTGGTGTCCATGATGTCTGAAGGTTAGTCGTCTACGTTGCGCGGATCCGATTCCGAATCTCCATTCTCACCGATGCTGGTTGCTGAAACCGAATAGCTAATCCCAATGTCGAGGCCTTTTTGCCGGGCTTCGAGTACCCAGCCAAGGCCGACCTTCGTAAGGATGTCTACAAGCCATTGCCGACGGTCGCTCCTAGCACCATTGACCCGGCTTCGATGGTCGGTGATGTGCCGACTATCCAGGCCCAGGCAGTCCTGGATGCCTTCAATACAGCATTGGGTAGCAACGACCCTGGCGAACTCGCTGGCCTTTTCTATGCTGAACAGGCGTTCTGGCGAGATATTGTTGCACTCACTAGTCACTTGCGTACTTTCGCCATGCCCGCTGTCATAGCTGATGCCTTGGTGCAAATGAAGGTCCTTCGGGGCGTTGAGGCCAATATCGAACTCGCAGGAGAGCCCCATTTCGTCGTTATGAATCCGGTCATGGTGAGTCGCTACGGACATTCTGCTACTTCACTTCAAGACGAAGTTTACTTACTACCGTCGGAAAGATGTTCATCGACTGTGCGATATCGTTTCAGACGACCACGCCTGCGCTGGCCTGCATGGGAAAGATGGTCCTGTTGCCCGTGAAGGACGACTTGACGAATGGCACCATATCCTGGAAGATCTGGGCTCTGTCCACGTGGGTTGAAAAGCTGATCCAGCATCCAGAGGACGAGAGGTTGCTTTCGTCACCTAGCAAGAAGCTAGAGGAAGCCGATACAATCAAGACTGACGTTCTCATCCTCGGCGCCGGAACCTCGTGAGTTTCCCATGACAAGCGCCTCTGCGTTACCACCTTGACATGGGCTTACCGGTTACAGCGGCCTGATGACGGCAGCAAGGCTCAAAGCCCTGGGTGTCGAGAGTATCTTGGTGGAAGGTAATGCACAGATTGGCGACAACTGGACTCACCGCTACGACTGTCTCAAGTTTCATGTTCCGACTTCCAATTGCGAAATGCCTTACACTTGTAAGACCAGCCATGCTCAGCGATGAGCCCCTGCCCAAGTGCGAACTGACACGCGGGTACTCGCCAGACTACGGGAAGGAGTTGCAGAGTCCCCATCGCCTGATGAAACATGATGTGGCAGTGCATCTTCAGAAATACGCCAGAGATTTCGGTCTCAACGTGCTGCTGTCGGCCACTGTACAATCGACTGTCTATAACACATCTCAGAAACAGTGGACGATCAAGCTCAAGACTGCGGACGGAGGTGCAACGAAGACCATCGTCAGCAAGCACTTCATACAGGCCACAGGAATAGGCAGTGGGAAACCAAACCTCCCAGTGATTCCCGATGAGCACCTATATAGAGGTGTCAGCATTCATTCCACTGGCTACCGCAATGCTCGGATTTTGGCAGAACAAGGGGTCAAGGTGCGTTAGATCTTCCGCCATGCTGATGTTTCCAGCAGCAATTCAACCTTCTCCATATATAACTTACGAATCTCGTCACTAGTCTGTCGCGATCATCGGCTCGGCCAATACGGCTTTCGACGTGATTCAAGACTGTCATGACGCAGGACTGAAGACGACTATGGTGGCTCGCTCTCCAACCTATATCTTCCCTTACGAATATGTGATGGATCCCGATGCCATTGGGGCTTATGTCGCCGTATGGCGCAATGGTCAAATGCGCCTGGTTGTGTTCTCGTTTGTGCGGTGGGCGACGAGAACAAGTGGGTTCGAATCCTGCTATGGCCCCCTTCTGACCCGGCTTGTGCGAGTCTATAACCAGCACACGACAGTGGAGAGGCCCCTTATCGCAGAGCCCGATAGCCAAACAGCTTGTCTCCATAACACCCATTCCTGCAAGGTTTTTCTCCTTGTGGTTTCCCTCGCCAATAGATAACAAATACCTACTTCACCCACCAATGCGACATACATCGAACGGCTACTGTAACAATGTGTACACCAGAGGACTGAGGTTCACTGGGTCGCTTAGTCACTGGACAGGAGGTTTTTCTGACAGAATCGTGTTTGGGTATTGACTAAAACCATCTGGTCACTCCAGGTTGGTACCGCTACAGCGAGGATAGGCTCGTGCGCGGATCTGAATGTATTTAGACTGACACTTCTACAACCTTGCGATGCAATGGCTCTGGGAGGCGTGGTTTGCCCTGTTGAGGGACTGCACCCACGATAAATAAAATCAATCAATCAATCAATCATTGGGGCTTATGTCATATGCCTCTCGACGCAGCCGACAAGCTCCTGAACACCTTCCCTCAGGCCCATGACGGCCAATTCTCTCACGCGCTATTCGCCCATCTCGCGTCGCAGGAGCCGTAAGTTTCGCTCCAAGTCTACAGACATCAGCAGCGTTTCCTAACACTCAAGGTAGCGATCGGTACTTGGCCCTCTCTCAAGCAGGCTTTCCTGTCCTCGACAGCAGAGATCCTTCGGTCGATGTTCAGAACCACCTAGTCGAACGCGGCGGTGGCCATTACGTCGACGTAGGGGCCACCAAGCTCATCGCGGAGGGCAAGGTAGCCGTACGCGGGCTCGTGGAGCCCGTGGGCTACACGGCCACCGGCCTGCGCCTTTCAGACGGTAGTCACCTCGACGCCGACGCCGTGATCTGGTGCACAGGCTTCGCGGACACGAATGTCCGAGCCACAGCGGGGGGATTGCTTGGGACCGCAGGAGCCCAGGAAACCAAGAACGAAGAGGAACTTCTTGGTCCGATCGAGATTGCGGCGCGACTGGATGCCTCTTGGGGCGTGGATGCCGAAGGAGAAGTCCGCGGGATAGGAAAACGCCACCTGCGCATGGAGAACTACTGGGTTATCGGCGGTAATATCCAGCAGCAGCGGTGGTGGTTGCGGGCCATGGTCCAGCAGATCAAGCTGGCTCTGGAGGGCTCTTTGCCGCCTGCGTACCGTGATACGCCGCAGCCGCAGTGAGCCCAGGTGAGAGACGATGCTTCACGACGTGGGTTTTATAAGTTTCGTTGCTGCTTTGGTCCACGCTGCGAGCACCAACTCGTATGCAAGACTATTAGTCTCAATAACCCGATATTGCTCAGGAATCCACACTTGCTCAATATACAATGTCTTATACTTTCTCCTAAAAGACGCTAATTCACATCACTCACCAGCTGGGCATCAAGGACTGGACTAACACCAGCGATTTTGTTGAGTGAAGATCTGTTGATCCAAATACACCCGACGTCTGGCCGCTCTCGGCGGTGTCGTCGACCTCCTGTCACAGACATCACCATCTCCCTCTTCTTCTTCTCATTTATCTTTGGCTTTGTTGATTAGAGTTCCTACTAGAGGGACGCCTTTCCTCAAAGCGACACGGACCTCTTACACCAGCGACTCTAAATAGGTACCTTCAAGGTGTCAGAAATCCAAGTCCAAGGAAACGGCTCGAGAACCTTTGACCGCTGGTGTTAGAGTGACCCTACGAAAGCCGGCATTCCTTCTAATAGGAAGAGCGGGACTGACTGTACTTATTATCTTGAGACCTCCACAACCCTGCGATGCAGAGGCTCTGGGAGGCGTGGTTTGCACTACTGAGGAGCTACCCCCACGTTAAATACAAAACAAACAAACAAACCTTCTAATAGGAACTCTAATCAAAGGACCCGATGCCACACTTGAGACAACTGTACGGGATGAATCAAATGGTACGTGGGTACCCCCAGGGCACCTTGGTCATGTTGCCAAGCTTCCGACAAAACTGCGAAGGTAAATATGTCGCAGGCAGGCGGCCAGGCGAAGATGCGCTTTTAATCAATCCTACAAAGCAGGGCAAATACCACCTACCTCGAATGGTTACGAAACCCCTCTTTGGGGCTACACAGAGCCACAGCCGCGTTGCGCGTTGGTCTGGGTGTAACCGACACATCGCACCCATTCCATCAGACAGGTAGGAACCTAGTTAAGGTAGGTAGCACAAACGTAAGCGAGGTTGCTCTAATGGGTATAGAGTCAGATGTAAGCAAATAGCAAACATGAACGAGCCCAACTGAAGCACGGTACAATCGTCCGTCGGTTTAATGTGTTGTCTGCAAGTCCAGCTTTTCAAACATTCCAGTGCCAGCAGTTGAGGAGTGCAAAAAGGAAAGCCCGTGGACGGGCAGACCGTAATGGGTGGTCCCGTGAGTACCCCTTGGTGGCGTCACAAATTGCTGACGACAGAACTTACTTACACGAATGGACGGTCGTTGAATGGCGCACGAGCGATTGCTGATTGCTGATCTGACATGCGATTGTTCTACGTATCACAGTCAGCGTCGGTGGCGCATCGATCTCTGAAGCCCTGGGGTTTTCTCTAGATTTGATCAACGTATCATCGCGAAAGAGTATGTATGAGGGTTCGAATTGTTAGAGACAGACAGCAAACTAGATGATGCTGAATGGTAAATCGTAGATTGTACAAGATAACAGGCATAATGCCTGTACGTAGTATCCACCTGAAAGGGCTCTGACAGGGGTGGCTATGGTGACATCGGGCGCCCCGCGGCGTAATCACCGCGGCTCGGCGGGTGCCGTAGGCCGCCCAAGCTCAGCTCATGATCACGAATTCCCGATCGGTCGGGGCCATAGACAAGATTCCGGAAAGCACGGTAACTTACCTCTATGTTTCTTAGGCGCGAATCAAAAGACCTCACGATCCAGGAGGTGCGTCTACACGCCGTGGAGACGGGCCGGGCTTGACTGGCGACCTGCAACGCCTGAGTCGTCCGCACCCGGCCTTGTCGACGGCGCCAGGACTCGTACGGCCTCCTACACCTGGCGTGATGTGTATCCACCGATTCGTCATTGTCCGGGTGCTAAAGTATCTCTAAACCTCCATCGCGCCAAGGACTCGCAGGTTCGTAGGGACTTGAACAACCACCAATATCGTGTGCTTAACTGAATCGTAAACAGGGAGGCCGTGGCCTGCCGTCAAGCCGCGATCCGTCGCGTTGGTAACCGTTGTCGCGCGCCTGGAGCTGTAATTCCGCCGAGAAGCTGAGGGCCCGGCAGGCTGTCAAGACCTCGGTTCGGGGCGGAGAGGCTGGGAAGGAGGTCGCCGCAGAACCCATATTGTATCATATATGACCCATATTAGAAGCAACGATGCAGCGCTAGAGCTAGTTCCCGTGGATGTGGGTTTGTTTGTCTTATCAGGCTCGAGTATTTCAAGTCAGGTCCCAGTCAGGTAGGGGTAGGCAACTTGGAAGGATCGCATTCAGAAGGTCCGATCTGCCGATGTCTTCTATGAATGAATGTAGCTGGGTTGGCATTATCAGCTGATTCTTGGCACCAACCAATGGCTCAGTGGACCTACGGTTTGCACTTCGCCCTATTTCCGGGCTTGCATCGAAGCTGTGACAGCTGAGTGGAAGAACGGTACGAGGGTTAATTCCTGGTTGGTTTCACTAGCATTGGCCAGAGGGGTCGGAGGATCACGGCGACAAGGTACCGAGGCGGCGAGGTAACCATCACTGCCCATTCGAGTCTCGTCGTGAGGCATCAGCATCAACATTGAATGCGCCCGTCAGAACCGTCAGAGTGCTGTGGCCAACCGCCTCACACCGCCACTGCGAAGTACACATTTACCACGGTGCTCGCAGGCGAAACAGATGTCTGCGTCGTATTCTCCGCCGCACTCGTACTCAAGTAGTAGAGCGGCACGGCTTCTTGGTATACTCATAAACGGAAGCTGGCGCCGTCAAAGACAGAGGGAAGAAGGAAGAAAAGCGAACGCGTGAAAGGGAGACAGCCGGACCACTCGATCGGGTCTGGACAGTCGGGGCTCTCAGTCTCTCAAGGCCCAAGCGTGTTCTTATCTCTCGAGTCTGGGTACAGGCGGGGACAAGGGACCAGATGGCGGCAGGCAATTCGGAACAGGCCAATTCCCGACTCAATAAATCCTATGAATGGCGTATACGGGACCAACGTTGCTTGGCGTCAGAGGTAGGTAGAGGCAGGCAGGTCCGCGGCTCAAGCCTATCACACACTCCACATCACCAAGGCGCCGTGGCGAATGCGATGCTTGATGAAAGCTTGACTCCGGGATCAGACCGCGGTGTGCGGTGTGTGTGCCAGACTGTCTTATCAGCTCTAGCGGCGCACGCCTTGGCAGCGTGGCGTTGTGGTCCCGCTTGTTGGAACTTGGGGACCTGTCCCATGCCTGTCACGAGCTGGTGCCCCTAGCACGAGCCTAGTTCCCAGGGACCCGTGCTGGGGAGCCCTGCTATGCCCTGCTTTGGGTGATCTTACCGGCCCTGCGGCCTACCTAAAGAACCATGCAGGGGGGGTCTTATCTGGTGGGCCCGTGTCACCTGCCTAATCGGGTCGGGTCCCCGCGATCCGAGCATGCCCTTCCTTTCCAATGTTTCCATATCGCCCTCTTTCTAGAAGCGCAGCTGAACACCCCTTGACACTCCCCTCAAGCCGACTGTATACCCCGGCCTATCACGACCCGTCCATTGTTCATCTGTAGCTGTAGCTATCGCGCAATCGGTCCAATGACGGTGCCACCTCCGCATTGGGTTGCATAGTCCGCAGCCCATGCATCTGTCGGGTCTCGAAAGACTATCAATGGCCATCAATTCGCTGGTTCGCTGCGACGTCGATCAATGGAGCAATTTGTAATTCCGTGTAGCCGTGCCTTGGTGTCTGGTGTCTTGCACGCGTAGCCGTCTGCCCGCCTCCCCCGTCTCCCTCCCTACCTATATAGGGTCTTAGAACGCCAGAAGACCCCGCCCTCGCTCGCCCCCTCCTTCTCCCATCTCACTCCTGTTCACCTCCCACATAGTGTGCGCGTCGTTGGAGATCAAGTTGCGCCGCCAACCACAAGAGGGCTTCAACATGGGTAAGTCTTTTCACGTTATGTTCGCGGGACTGCGCCGGTGCCATACAACGCGAATCCTTACCTTCACCTTCACCTTCGCAGCCGACACTAATACCAACCTGTAGCGTCCAACACAGAAGGAGTCGATCGGTCCGACACGGCCGCTCTCGACTACAACGAGAAGCACGGTCACGGTTATGAGAGCAGCACCTCGCCCCCTTCTGAGGTGCAGGCCGCCCTCGCCGACACCAACATCCTGCACAAGGACTACGAGGGCAAGCCCACCGACGAGGAGCTGGTAACTCTCAGGCGTGTTCCCGGGGGCGTGCCGTGGGTGGCCTACTGCCTGTGTGCCGTCGAATTCTGCGAACGTGCCTCTTACTACGGTGAGCCACCCCGAGACTGATTAACCGATTCGTCTGCTGACTTGGCTCCCCACAGGATGTGTCTCTATTTGGACCAACTACATCAACAGGCCTTTGCCCCCCGGCGGTAACGGTCTTGGGTCGCCGCTCCGCGGAAGCAACTACACCCAGGGTGGTCTCGGTCTCGGTGAGCAGATTGCCACTGCCACAAGCCAGTCTTTCAACGTCATCGCCTACTGCTTCCCCGTATTCATCGCCTACCTTGCCGACACCCGTTTCGGTCGCTTCAATATGATCTTGTGGGGTGTCATACTCTGCGGTGTCGGTCATGTTCTCATCGTCGCCGGCGGCGCCAGGGATCTGCTTGCGAGTGGCGAGGCCAAGATCCCCTTCTACATCGGCGTCTATATCCTAGCTATTGGCGCTGCCATGTTCAAGCCAAACGTCACGCCCATCATTCTCGACCAGATGTCTTCCCACGTGCCCATGGTCAGGACACTGAAGAGTGGCGAACGGGTCATTGAGGACCCTGAGCATTCCACCGAAAGAGTCATGCTGTGGTTCTACCTCCTTATCAACGTGGGTGGCTTCATGGCTGTGGCAACGTCGTATTCAGCTCGTCTCGTCGGGTGGTGGTTGGCCTTCCTGCTGCCTCTCCTCCTCTACCTCCCGCTTCCCATCCTGCTGATCTGGCTGAAGCCCAAGCTGATCCTGCACCCGCCGGGAGGCTCTGATTTCCCCAACTTCTTTCGCGTCATCGGATGTTGCCTCAAGAATGGCGGTCTCAAGAGGATCGGCAAGACTGGATTCTTCAACGTTGCCAAGCCCACCTACCAGCTGGCCCACGGCCTCCCGGTCTCGACCAAGTGGAATGACCAGTTCGTCGACGACTGCCAGCGCACGCTGCAGGCCTGCGGCATGTTCGCCTTTTTCCCCGTCCAGTTCTGGAACGACAACGGTATCGGCAACGCGGCCAACTACCTCGGTACCATGCTTACTGGCAACGGTGTGCCCAACGATGTCATCAGCAACTTCAACTCCTTGAGCATCATCGTTTTCAACCCCGTTCTCAACTTCGCCTTATACCCGTTTCTGCGTAAGGCCGGCATCCACTACGGTCCCGTTGCCCGCATCGCCACCGGTTTCTTCATCTCCACTCTTGGCGGTCTGGGATACACGCTTCTCCAGTGGAAGGCCTACGAGAGCAGTCCCTGCGGCTACTATGGCTCCTCGGCCCCCGAATGTGTCGACAACGGCCTGGTCTCGCCCATCTCCCTGTGGCTCGAGGCCATCCCGTACGCCCTCGGCGGTATCTCCGAGCTGTTCATCAACGTCCCGGCCTACGGTATCGCCTACTCACGTGCCCCCATGAACATGAGGGGTGTGGTGTCCGGTCTCAATCTCTTCTTCAGCTCCGGTGTGGCTTACATTGTCAACCTGGCCACGGCCAGCGCGGTCACCGATCCGTGGTTGATTGGCGCTTTCGCTGGTCCCACCGCCGTCGGCGGTGTCGTGACAGTCTTCTTCGTAAGTCTCCTCTGCTTTGCGTATATCCCGTCTGTCTGACTCATACTTACCCCTTACATCAGTACTTCTACTTCCGCCACATCGACAAGGAGGAGTACGTCCTTTCGACCAACGTCATGCCCCAGACCAACATCTTGGACGACAGTACTGGCGCGCGCCCCAGCTTCGTCGAGAACGGCCTAAACAAGTCGCCGAACCACCCCGCTCCCATCGCCGAGAACGAGACGGGCATCATCTCCACGAAGCAGTAGATAAACCTGCGCTGTGCGTGATGAGCTGGACGCGTTGATTTGGCAAATCGGTGCCGTTGGTGGGGCGCTTAGCCTCGCAGGAGACGTATTAGACGATGTTAGATCATAATGAGACCCCCGCTTTATTGTAAATAATGCGGCCCAGAACGTTGGCGACATCATCCGTAATGATGTGTCTGTCGGTTTTCTCCGCCCAGGTCACAAGACCAGGCGGTCACGCCTGCGTTGCTTCAAGCCTTACTCTCGTTCAATCACAACGCGGCTGAAGATGTGATTCATAAGTTATGCTGGACTCTAGTCTTCATCTGTTTTCGTCTACATGTGTATAAGTGCGCTTGGCAACCTCATCTGGAAACCCTTCCGGCTTAAGGGTAGTGTCTCGGACTCTCGAAAGAAAGCCTGAATAGGCAAGCAGGAGAAAGCCGTGACATCGCACCGAGTGACTGTCCAGTGAGTCGTGACCCGTCCCTAACCACTGCCCAGACCGAGCCGAACTGGTCCTTCCAGAAAAGTCAGTCAATCAAGCTTCCTGATGCGGCGAGCCCGGCCGTTGGGGTAGTCGATGGTTGGCCGCCGACGGAAACCGCGGACGCGGATCCGTTATATTGACGATCTGATGGTCTCTCCTTGGCAACGGTTAGGCACTCGGGATTTGGAATTCACCAAGCTGGCCAACGCACAAATTCTACTCGAGCCGATGGACCAGTAAGAAGAAGAAAGACGGCGTCCTTTGAGTGGGCGAGACTCACACCCGGGAAGTGTGAAATGGGGGACTGACACGGTCCGAATCTTGGTTGTGTAGTCGTAGTTGCTTGTCTGAGGTATCGGCGGTGAACGGGTGGGAGTAGGATAGCGCTGGGCGTGGAATATGATCGCCTGGCGGTGTACTAGATATCACAACCACGCGGCTTACAGTAGAGTCATACCTTGAATCAGGTGGGTCCCTCGAAGGTGAGCTTCCATGGGTGGCACTACCGTCTACCTGGTTCGATCCGTAGTCCTCTGACGGTTATTGAACACAAAAGATGTGTGATTCCAAGCTTCCGGTTGCTCCGTAGCCGCCGCTACTCCCCGGGCCATCGCTCAGCAGCCCCACCTCGGAGCTGGACATTGCACTGTGTGTTGTCAGGGGCATGAGTGGACCGTAGCGATAACCCCTATTAGGTTTGCAAGTCCGAAGAAGCCGCGGGTATTCCGGCCACCAGCAGCTGGATCGATGCCGGCGACTTTGGCGATGACGACGCGTGGCAGTGGGCCACGGGGTAGCGTTCGTAGATGCTGGGTATTGAAATCCGTGTTGTGCATATTGGGAAGTGTTCATTTGGCGCATCCGCCATTGGTGTTTTGGTATACGTTGTAAGTACTCATCGCATCGCTTGGTTGGGGGCTATGAGAAATGACTACATGGGACAGGTCGGCACAGCCTTCGCACAGAGTGTCCCCATCGCCGCGGGTATCAGTCCACCTTGTAAGTTATCACATCACCGACCAGGTATATGACTCCAGCACACACGTCTTCCTAAGACCAGATCAGGCGTTGGGCCCTTCGACAGGCAGCAATGGCACGCTCGATGGAACATGTATTGTTACTACCGGAAGTAACAGCTCTACTCCTCGTGTTTCTTCAAGTGAGGCTGCAAACAAGTCACATGGTGGCCAGGACGGCTCATCCCGAGCCCTTCTATTCCACTATCCACGCTCGGCGACTCGCGGTCACCGGGTTCTCGGGCCCCTACTTCCACCCCCCACCAGCTTGCGGCTCCTCGTCCGACGTGGAATCGGACTCGGGCGGGGACGAGGACGAGGACGCGGGCGCGGACAGGCCTCTCAGCTCATGGTCGCGTATTTCCTTGCACTTCTTCTCCTCTTCCTCGAGATAGTTTTCGATAATTTTTTTTTCTTCCTTCCGCCTTGTTTCGATCTCCTCCTCCTCGTCGGGGCGCGCGTCCGCTAGAATTTTCTTGATGCCATCTTCAAGTTGCTTGATGGCATTGTCCCGCCTACCCTTCGCGTCCGTGACGCAGTTGCCGTAGCGGAGTGAAATCGAAACACTTGTCATTTCCGGCGCCATCCTAGCCCCGACGCTCGAGATGAGGCCAGACAGGCTACGAGCTTCGCTGTGGCTGGCATGCTGGGGATAGGGTGAGCTGAATGTTCGCTTCATTTGTGTGTTTGTAGGAGGCGCGGGGCGTTACTTACCTCGTTGGACACGGGTGCTCCAACTACCCCAAGAACGGAGATTGCGATCACGAGCGCGGAAGGTAGATGCATTGTAATCGCTGTTGGTGGTACTGTCGGCGAGGTGGTATTGACGGCGATGGTAGTTGTTAATGTGGCGCGAGTTTGTCAAAAGACTGTTAATATGTGATGGTCTACTAATGGAAACAATGCACCTTATCTGGAGGGGGCTCACAAGCTCCTATATACGTGGGAGATTCACGATACTGGGGCCAAATTGTTATAGAGCCTTAGGTTTAAAATAGAGCCTCAGCAGGCATCCAGGGAAGTCCGAAAGCGTGACAGGAATAGCGCAACGAGTAGATGAAATCTGGTGCTATGGAAGCTTGAACGTCTTTTGGACACTGGTCTCTTCAGGCCGTTGGTAACGGCAGTTCAATACTGTCTATGTGACGTACTTCCCGCCACTTTCACACATCGACAAACATGGGACCCGGATGCCTGATAATAGATGGCGCGCGGGCGGATAGCATGCTGGTAGGGTGCGGTACATGTATGACGGGAGTATGGGTCGGTATATGATAGTGACTGCTATTTTGATATTTGACGAAAAGTAACCATGGTAGAAAGTCCTGTATACTATTGTAGAAAATTATATACTAGAATACTTGGTAATGTATATCTTTACCTGTTCATAACAAGCAAAGTCTATAATTGACTGCAAAGGTCCCTGTTACGTGGAACCGCTAACCATTAATATCTTGGAAGCCTGGACACCTGTACTGGAGGATGCTCGGTCCCGAGGATCTTCTAGTAGCTGGCTTACGGCCCTTGCTATCGCCACAGACTTGGCATTGATGAAGGATCACCGCCACGCTTCGCTCGGAGGCCTGGCTGCCTGGGTCCCGCTCCATCCAGGTACGGACAGTCTGTAGCTGGGTTGTCGCAAGCGGCGACACCGATGCACAACAAGGATTATCTCCACACACAGCCTCACAAAAACAACTATTTTTCTTGGCGCCCCGCTGTTAGGGCGCAACCTTGATATTTGCACTAAGCAGGGACTTCTCTCAGTAACTGACTATCTCTGCCAAGGCACAAGAGAATTTTTCTTACAAGCCGGATGGCACCCTTCCACGACGGGCCCCCAAACACGCCCGTGGCCGTCCCAAAAACGACCACCGGCGGCATGCTCAAATCCCTGGCCCCTAGAAAGACATACGGCCCGGCAACTCCGAGCAGGCTCCGCCAGGCGCTGCTTGACGACATCAGCAACAGCCCGTCATATGTCTCTGAGGCTGACTTCACCGTTATTTCCCCTCTAAAAAGAAAATCCCGAAATGTCAATGACAGCAGCACCACTAGAATGAAATGACGTCAATTAAACGAAATCTCAACAGACCAAGCCATTACATACGATATAGGGAATAAAGCCTCCTCAGAGTGCCAGGACCAAGTTGCCAGAATACTGGCTAAAGACAAGCACCTTTATGAAGCCAGGATAACAATGTTTCAAGAGTGTGCTGCAGTAGTTGATAAGACACTTGAGAAAGCTGGAACCGAACTATACTCTCATGCCAAAGAGTTCAGCGCTTTCTTCTCTAAATGTCTGAACAAGTGGCTGGAAACCCGAGATCCGCCCAAAAAGAAGACCATCCCTGGGGGGATAGGGATGGTAAAGCCCACCATGACCTTCGTCCAAGCTGTCTCCTCTAGCCAACAACAGCATCCACGGACAGTCAACACTACCATAAAGAAAACATAACCTGGCGCCCTCATCACTGCCAACCAATTAAAAAAGAAGCAGGATGATCTCTGGGTCTTTGTCTACATAGATAATAGCCACCTAGAGCCTGACAGAATAAAGTCTACACTGAACAGAAGACTTAAGCTCTACCCTTAAGAGCTTAGAGAAGTGACCCGGTGCCCCTCCAGATTTACCTTACACCTAAGAGACAAGCCAACTCAGGCTAAGCTCTTGGCCTTTCAAGAAGAAATCACTGATATTCTTAAGGCAGAAAAGATCGAGACCCACACGGTCTGGCATCACTACAAGGTCGATAGATGCCCAAGAAAGGTCATCAGTGTGGAAAGATTGATAATCAATATTACCGATATTGCTGTTGTTGATGAAGTTAAAGCCCAAACAGGTGACAGACCTTTAAGGTACATATTCTCAAAGAACACAGCTAATTCTGATCTGGAGACCACATGGGTGATCTCTCTGCCCTGTGCAGCAAAGAAACCATTCACGCTTTTTGCTCACTTAATGACCTCAAGGCACATTCAATACTCCCCCAAGGTTCACCAATGTGCGAGCTGCTTCAGATACCATGGTAGGAACTACCGATGTGAAAAGCAAGTATGTGCACGTTGCGCCAGTACAGTACACCAGGGGGAATGCAAAAAACCAATCCCAAAGTGTGTCAACTGCAAAGGACCTCATGCTGCCAATTTTGATAAATGCCCTGCACGCCCCAAGGTTATGAAAGGCATCATCCACAAGCACACATGGGAGCAAATCCAGGAAATAAGGCTGGCTGTAGAAAGAGCCAGATCCAAGGCCTTCAATGAAGCAGGCAGAAACCAAGCTGGGTCAACACCCAGCAACAATAACGAAGACATCACAATACAAATTGACACAACAGATACAACTCATCCTAGAGATGCCGATACCATTATTGTTAATCAATGTTAGGTACATCAAACAGAACACATCGACACGGGCATCTAGTCATCCATTCTGTGAATACAGCAGGAGGACAAAAGAGTGCAGGCCCTACAGAGTTAGCCATTAACCTGGCTGACTACAAAGGAGAACAAGCAGACATCATTCTGATGCAAGAGCCCTGGGTTGGCATATTACCAGGCAGGAAAATGGGAGTAAAGACACACCCCAATTACGATATATACTCCCTAATGGATTCTTGGGACAGCGACAATACACGGCCCAGATCTCTCATCTATGTGAGAAAACACCTTTAAGCGGATCAACTTCGGCCCTATGCTACACAAGACATCACCTGGGTTAAGGTACAAGGCATTACATTTGCCAGTGTCTACCGGCCATGTGACAACCCACAGGAAGTGGATGATATTCTGGAAGTATGGACTCCACCTTTTGGCTGTGTTATAGCTGGAGATTTCAATGCTGGCGACACATCCTGGGACTCGAGCAATCTAGAATATCATGGTGGTGTCATACTTGCACAGACTATGGCAGACCACGGACTGGATCTGATTTCTGAACCAGATGTCCCAACACATGATGACGGAAATGTACTAGATCTGGTGTTCTCAGATGTCCCCATGGCCGAAGCCTCAGTGAATGATGCACTCCAGTGCACTTCAGATCATGAGACATTACGAATAGTTGTCCCAATTTAGGGAGATCTAGACCGAGTCCCCAAGGCCAATCATTAGATAGTACCAGACAATAAACTACAAGAGCTGGCAGACAATATCCAAACCAGGATTCATGAACTCCCCTGGCTGGGTATATCCCCTGGCCAGGTAGATACCTTTACACAAAGCTTGATCAACATGATCCAAGGCTGTATCAGGACAATGGGCAAGAAGTCCCGTCAATCTAGGCCCACTGCTTGATGGAATGATGACTGCAAAGCAGCTGTTCAGACATACAGGGCCCTTTCTAAACAGACTACAAGCCAAGAAGGGCGGAATTCAGCCCGACGGGAATTTTGCCGCGTGGTTCGGAAAGCTAGGAGAGAGTACTGGCAGACTCTAATTGATTCAGCAACTGAGCCAAAGGACCTATACAGAATCGTCTCTTGGCACAAGTTATCAACAGGATTGCGTTCCCCTCCAATCATCATAGGAGACCAAATATTCGAGTCACAAGAGAGCAAGGCAAATACATTACGCTCAGCCACGCTTGAACGAAGTACCTCAGACAACGATATCATCGACCCCTGGTCCGCTCAGATCACACAACCCAAGCCATACATCCCCCTTGAATACCATGTCGGACTGGAAGAGGCTGAAGGGTGCACTTTAGGGACCAAGAGCAACTCTCCAAGAATAGATACCCTCACAGTATGGATTCTGAAAGCTTACTGGCCATTTATTGGGGAACATATCAGAGCCCTTTTCCAGACCTGTCTACAGATTGGACACCACCCTAAACCATTCAAAGTAGCTGAGGTGGTGATGATCCCAAAACCAGGAAAGAAAGACTACTCCAATCCCAGGGCCTACAGACCAATATCGCTATTGTCGTGTTTTGGTAAAGGCCTAAAACAACTCATCACAAAAAGAATTACCTGGTTTGTTGTCAAACTTGGAATTCTAGCTCCACAACATTTTGGAGCTCTACCAAAGCGCTCTGTCACTGACCTGGTAGCTGCACTCATACACGATATTGAGCAGGCCCTCGACCAAGGCCTCGTTGCAACAGTAGTCACGTCAGATATGAAAGGGGCCTTTGATGCTGCCCTAATGAGACGGCTGGTGGTTCACATGAGAGAACAGGGCTGGCCGGGCTTTCTCATAAGATGGGTCCAGTCATTCATGTCCGAGCGGTCCGCAAGGGTTTGGTTTGAAGGTATTGTGACCGATATTAAAGCTCTCACTTGTGGGCTACTACAAGGCTCACCAGCCTCTCCAATCCTTTACATGCTATATACAGAGCCAATCTGTGCCCGACTTGGTATGAAAAAGAGACGCTTTGGATATACAAACGACCTAACGACTCCCTGCATTGAAAAGAATCTTAAGGAAATAGTTATAAAGGCTTCTAAAAATCTTTACTTGCTCAGTTAATAGGGACATAATAACGCTATTAAATTTGACCCTAATAAAACTGAAATTATGCACTTCTTAAGGAAAAAGAACTCAGACAACCCTTCAGTCCGCCACAGAACAATAAACAAAATAACAAAGGACTCCATGCAATGGCTGGGTGTCTTCCTGGATAGAAAACTAAACTTCAAAAATCACGTTTCCTACTGGGCCAAGAAAACTAATAAGGTAACAAATCACCTTCGAGGACTATGCAACACAGTCAAAGGACTTCTAGTAAAATCAACCAAGAGGGCTGTGAAAGCTTGTGTTATTCCTATTCTTACACACGGCCTGGAGGCCTGGTACCCAGGAATCGAGAAAGTTGGGAGCTTAGGTGGGACATCAGCATATCGCATTAAGGGGCTTCTTGGAACAATAGATGCCGTACTACGAACGGCAATCAGGGCTATCTTGCCAGTCTAGAAAACACACCCTGGACATATCCTACACTTTGAATCGCAGATTCCCCCAGCAGGAGTTCTTGCAGAGTCAATAAGACGACGTCACGGCCTCTGACTAGGACGAATAGACCAGAGACACCCTCTTGTTGGCAGGCTTTAAATACAAGCTCGCAAGAATCCAATAAGGCTATAAAGGAGCTTCCAGTTAGTCCCTGACTTCCAGAGACCAGTACTTACCAGGCCATCATAGAAGAAGCCCCCAATCCGTAAAGATAAAGACAAAAAAATAGAGCTCTTTAAGTAATGGCTACAGGAGAGAAATATGAATACTGACCTTGTCATCTATTCAGATGGATCATAATCGGGAGACCAAGGCACAACCCGCACTGGATGGGGTTATACCATCAGGAAAGGCGGCACTATACAAGAAATATACCAGGAAAAGGGCAGACTTCTCTAAACAGAAATAGTAGATGCTGAAGTCCATGGTGCTCTCCAAGGTCTTGCAGCAGCCAGGGTAATTGGACATGGAAAACAGCTATATGTCTGTCTGGACAACACATCAATGGTAGATGGGCTCAATGGACTCCACCCGAGACATCACAGAACATTTTTCTATGATTTCAAAAACTTGCCACAGCACACACTCCTGGAGTGACTGTCAAGTGGATTCCTAGACACAGAGATATTGATGGTAACGAAGCTGCCAACACACTAACAAAAGAGGGTGCCATGCTAAAAACAGACATAACAAACCTTCCTACAATCTCTTGGGTCAAGAGAGATCTCAAAAAAAAAGACAAAGAGTTCAACCAATGGTAAAAAGACCAATCAGAACCTAGGTATCAAGAAGTATACTCACATATAGTAACTAAAAGAGACCTTATATCTTTTAAGAGGAGTACTTTACACAGACTTTTAGCAGCCAGATCTGGACATGGCGACTTTGCCAGATATTATGAACGCTTTGGGCATACAGACTCGAATGATCACTGCAGCTGTGGTGAGAAAAAAACACCACAATATATTTTCTTTTGTAAGAGGCTAGGGAAAAACCGGCTGCTGCCTAGGTACTCGCCTAGGACAGCTTGTTTACAATACTTAAAGGAGAGGAGCACAGAATGGGCAAAGTTCGTGGAGAAGAGCAAATTCTTTTTATCAATCTGTCCTCGATAGATAGCTGTTCTTGAAGGACCAGATGGATGACCCAAGGTCATACCGCCGCAACAACGGGGATGGGCCCGTGAGCGGGACTGACTGTATGTTTGTTTGGTTTGTATTTAACGTGGGGGGTAGCTCCTCAGTAGTGCAAACCACGCCTCCCAGAGCCTCTGCATCGCAGGGTTGTGGAGGTCTCAAGATAATAAGTACAGTCAGTCCCGCTCACGGGCCCATCCCCGTTGTTGCGGCGGTATGACCTTGGGGTCATCCATCTGGTCCTTCAAGGAAGGCTATCTATCAGGGGCAGATTGTTGAAAAGAACTTGCTCTTCTCCACGAATTTTGCCCATTCTGTGCTCCTCTCCCCTAAGTATTGTAAACAAGCTGTCCTAGGCGAATGCCTAGGTAGTAGCCGATTTTTCCCCAGCCTCTTACAAAAGAAAATGTGTTGTGGTGTTTTCTTCTCACCACAGCTGCAGTGATCATTCGAGTCTGTGTGCCCAAAGCGTTCATGGTATCGGGACTGACTGTACTTATTATCTTGAGACCTCCACAACCCTGCGATACAGAGGCTCTGGGAGGCGTGGTTTGCACTACTGAGGAGCTACCCCCCACGTTAAATACAATCAATCAATCAATCAATCAATCAACAAGGATTATCTTCTTAACTCCACCGAACCACCTGCAACGAACGGGCACGCCTCAACGGGCAGTGTTCCCATTCCTGGCTGTGCCTGCCAGCTCGGAGCCAAGTTTCAGCGACTGAGGTGGGTTGCGATGTCAGCAGCCGAGGTCCAACAATTGTAATGTGGAACCTCACATTGTATGTTGATATCTTTCTCCAAGTACCTAACCTTAGGTCTCGTGCTGTACCACCACCAAACATCACGACCGCAAAATACTCAGAACCCTCTCTATTGTGTATATTAGCATCGCCAATTTCCTCAGCGTCGCCATGTCTTATCCAAAGCAGTTCGGATCGCTACTCGAAGCGTCATCTTACCAGAGCCCTGGCGGAGGAGCCAAATATGCGCCAATGCGGAAGAAAATCGTGGATACCGCAGTCGAAATGGGCTACGATGCAGAGACCATGGTAGAGGTTGGAGTTGTGTGGGCCGACGACCACGATCCGTTCCAGCACATCAAGAACCACCAGTATCCGCACTGGGCGAACACCTGCAATTTGCGCGTCTTTCAGTCCTTCGAGGCACATTTGAAGGACAAATTCAAGGATTTGATGGCTGCGCGGCATATCGGTGTCATGGTGAAGGGTTTCAGCCTCGACTTGAAGGCTCCAGTCAACTTCCCTGACTCGGTAAGCTCCCTCGAGATTGCCTCCATAAGTCGCAGCTGATGTATCTAGATCATTGTCGCAAACCGCCTTGCAGAAGTGAAGCCGGTATGTAACTATACTGCCATACTGCAGCCGGGCGGCCAATCTGTCCATTCACGAAACTTGGCTAACATTGTCGTAGGATCGATATAAAGGCGTCACTTCGATGTGGTCACTAACCCAGGGAAGAATAGTTGCAAACATGGAGGGCTATGTGGTATTCTTTGACTACGACAAGGGCCGGCCTGCGAACTTGCTTGAAGCTGGGGGAGTCCACGCAGACCTGTATCATGCCCTTGAGGCGCGGAGGGCCCGCGAGGAGAAGCGCGCGCTGGACTGGGAGGCAAAGAACCCCAAGAAACTGAGAGCCAAGTTTTGACAGCCAAGAGTTGATACCTGTCATAGTGAAATCTGGATTTGCAAGGACGTTTGCTAACGTGGTAGAAACAATGCCGTCGTCTGCTCCGTCTCCTTCAAGTCCTCTGTCTCCTCTGCATGATTTACTTGGTGAACATAGTGTGGCTCGTCTGCCTCGTTTGCCCGGCGGAAATCATCCGTTCTGTGTGTTTCGTACGCTTGGATTAATTGGGGTATGTCATCTTTCTCTTTCGTGGTGCGTGCGTCGGCTGCTTCATCTGCATCGCTTGTGGGACCTGCTTCGTAAGCTTCCTTTCTACGGTTCGGCTGTAAAAGTTGGCGCCTTGAGGGGATTACTCACTCCATTGCCTGGCCCACAGCTCCTTGCGTCTTTTCTCTCTCGCCAGCGCCAGTATGGTGGCGAATTCTTCTGCTTCATCTGCGGATGGCTCCCTAAGCCACAATGCTGGACCGCGCATGGTTTCGAGGCGAAGGTATAAGGGCGGGTAGTGAGGCGGGTGCGTACAGAGGTCAAAATATTTTCAATTGGTCATAATGATCAACTTGAGAAGTGCTGGGCTACCGCGGTGATGTTGAACGAGGCAAAATTGGATCGGGTAACACTAGGCTACTACCATATTCAACAGGTGATTGAATTTTACAACGCCTCAGTTCCTATTACCCAACAAGTCACGGCCAGCTAGCGGGTTCCCATTGACCGTTCAGAAACTAGCCTTAGCTGCAACTGGCAGCTGATAGTACTGCAAAAGTCGGATACCCATGCACTGGCCATGGCTACAACTTGCTGATTTATTGTCTTCCGCCGTCAAAGTGCTTCCAAATCATATAAATTGCAGAAAGATGTGTCCAACGGAATGATACGTGTAAAGTAGGTAATCCTGCTTCCAATGCTCGCTTGCCCTGGATGGACAACGTGTTGGAATCTAGGGGTTCTGGTTCACCCTGAGGTCTCAACGTGACCAATCCTACCAGAACCCCATATCTGTCCTGTGTGCTAGGATTGATAGAAAAGGACACACTGTCCTTTTCATACACATTCTTTCCGTATTTCTTATATATAGATTGATTGATTGTATTTATCGTGGGTGCAGTCCCTCCATAGGGCAAACCACGCCTCCCAGAGCCATTGCATCGCAAGGTTGTAGAGGTGTCAGTCTAGATACATTCAGATCCGCGCATGAGCCTATCCTCGCTGTAGCGGTACCAACCTGGAGTGACCAGATGGTTTTAGTCAATACCCAAACACAATTCCGTCAGAAAAACTTCCTGTCCAGTGACTAAGCGACCCAATGAACCTCAGTCCTCTGATGTACACATCGTTCCAGTAGCTGTTCAATATATGTCGCATTGGTGGGTGAAGTAGGTATTTATTATCTACTAGCAAAGAAAACCACAAGGGGAAAAACTTCGCAGGAATGGGTATTGTGGAGAAATGTTGTTTGGCTATCGGGCTCTGTGATAAGGGGCCTCTCCACTATCGTGTGCTGGTTATCGATTCGCACAAGCCGGGTCAGAAGGGGGCCATAGCAGGATTCGAACCCACTTGTTCTCGTCACCCACCGCACAAACGAGAACACAACCAGGCGCATTTGACCATTGCGCCATACGGCCTATTTCTTATATATAAGGGCCTTTTGCCCTACAGGAACTACTCCTGGTTTCTCTCCTTCAATAGAACACTTTGAAATCTCACACAACGTCACCACAATGTATCCATAGCTCGGGTGCAGGCCAAAAAGGATGTAGACCTAATCATACATACATTAGCTAGAAATAAGCCTTAAACCCAGGTGATAATGAACGAAAGTGTTTCTATTCCAAGGTTGTTTAAGTACAGCTTAGTCGATGACCCAATGAAAACCCCAGAGGAAAAGTATGACTCCAAAGCTGCGCCTAAAAAGGGGTGCAGCATGCATGCGTTTCCACCCTCATCCCTTCACCCGAACGCCAAACCAAACGCCGAACCAAACGCCAAACTCAACGCCAAAGTAATGACTGATGCTTATCCAAATGAATCCCCTTGCCATGTGCCTATTCCCTCCTATGCCTCTCCCAATGCGGCCCGCCCTCCTGACCCTGTCTGAGTCTCGATCACTCGTCGGAGTCGTAGAAGGATTCAGGATAGTAGATATTGTAGTAGATGTTCTGGCTAGGGGACAAGGTTCTGCAGTCATTGTCGTAGCTATATTCGCAGTCAGGACTGAGAATATCAGCAAGTATCTCGTCAATCTCCACGTCCGCGCTGTCATCGTCGTATTCTCCGCCTTCATATTCGTCATAGTTGTCTGCAGTAGTGCTTGCTCCGTCGACAGTGGCAATGGAACCATCAGTACCATTGCTTGCCTTCGAAACGGCCGCTTTCTCTAGGTGGCTGTTTCCTCGGCTGCTGCGTTTGTTGACAGGCGTCTCTCCGCTTTTGCGAACTTTGGGGGCCTTGTGAGTCTCGGCCGCCCTAGTGTTCTTGCTCGTGACTAGCCCATATTCTTCCCTACGGACATGCTTGAGTCCTTGGTGGCTGTTTTTCACCTTGGGAGAGGGTGCGGCATGGCCGTTCGCAAGACCGCGGGTCCCATGAGCGACTGGGGCTGCCAGGACACCTGGGCCCAGGAGGACAACAGCGGCGATGAAGGAGTAGGAGAACTGCATTTTTGCTGCGAGGTTCGAGCTGAGGGTTGGATAGAAAGGTACGTGTAATTGAAGGACACTTGGTTTTGGTTTGGGTGTTCAGTGGAGAATGGATGTGCGTAGCTTTTGAAGACTGGCCTTTCTAGTGTTGAGGTTGCTGTGTGTGTAGGGTTATAGTGATCATGGTGATGATGGTAGTATAAACTCGATACGACGATGCGAGATGTTATCCTTTATGTATCCGAAGAGTGCGCATAGTGTGTACAAGGCTTTGATCCACGAAGTCCATCTTGAGCGCAACAGTGCAGTTCCCACCCTTACTTCGACCAGAAATAGCATTTCCGCGATATTTCTGGGAGAGTTGATCAATTTCTGGTGTACCAAGCCTTTCGGCGGCCTCGCCCGAAGTCTCGGAAATGTGGTTGAGCTTTTGCTCATAATACTCACCACTGAGCAATATCTGGGATACCCAACAGAACGGCACAGGTTTCGACTGTTGGCGATGGCCGCGCTGAGCCGGTTGGCGATGCCTGAGGGGTATATCCTAACAATGGAAAAACTGGACTCTTAGCTATTGATAGACCTTGTTCTTCGCTGTTGTAGCTTTCCCGCGCCACGCTGGGGTAGCTCGTTGGTAGACGCGGTTGATGGCCGCGCCTCTGCCCAGCGACGCAAGGGCGCCCCCCCCTGAACTGAGCCTCAACCCAACGTAACTGAGAGCATTATACGTGAAACGATAAGTGCAGTATGAGCGTGACAGCGTCGTTGTTTTCAGGAAAAGGTCTATCGACTGTTTGTTGGTGGTAGAATACACTTAGATGCCCTGTGGGTCCCTATACGACCCGACAGCGTGGCTGATCCCCACATACCGCTTACATATACAGATGGATACTGCTCACAGTAACTTTGAATTTCTGACTGGCAATCGGTCTTTGATAAGCACGTTCTATGCAAGGGTGCATTGGTTAGTGCACGGCACGTTGATTGTCGTGTTTGTTTCACAAGTTCCGATGCGTATGTCTGTTCACATTCACATTCACATAGTTCCCGGCTCCACAGACAGAACGAATACTGTACGTGTTGAATGGCGCGCAAGCCACCGTGGCGTTCAGGGAGGTGGCAGTGCACCAACAAGGCCAATAGGGCATTTTTGGGCCACTTAGCCCACAGAAGGATTTTCACAGAGATACAACAAGAACACGGATTACACCAGAATATACGTTTTCACCCATCCAAATGCCCCCACGCTCTGTTTGACAGTACGTAGTACCCAAGTATTTACAATTGACTAAGCTCACCCCAGACGTATGGTCCGTCGAAGTCTCACTACCATTACCCTTCCAAGGTCCACTACAAACACTCAAACTAGTAATCATTGGAGGTGTGGCAGGTTCCTGATGAGCAACCAGGTCTACCCATATATCCCGAGCCACCGCAATGACCATAGAGGTGGCACACTGCAACATCATAAGTCAGCATATGCCATTCTTACTCTGGCTTCTCGACAGCAGGGATGTTAACGGCGCTTAAGGCGTAGGGCTTTGTTAGCCAAGGAACAACCCTCCGAGGAACCTTGTGCGGGGGAAATGGATATGGGTACTACTTACTCTGGCCGTATTGCGGCTTCCGGCTAGGTCGTCGTGACAGTGGACGTAGCCAACGTCGTGGTCGTACTAGGGGTCGTACCCGAGTCTCCGGCCACCAACTTGACAGTGACAACACCCCTGGCGGGAACAGCCACAGTCACTGCGCCCCCAGACAGGGTAGCAGACGTGGTCGCAAAGGTGCTCCCTTGGTTCGTGACCCAGGCCGACGCCGAGCCTGACGTAAAGCCGCTGAACGACACCTTGGCGGACTGGCTCGACGTACCGCTGTTAGTGAACACGACGACGACGGAGCCGTCACTGTTCTGGAAGGCGCCGATGATGACGCTGGAGATCGTGCCCGTGGTAGCAACGCGGTGGGCGCCTGGGCGGATGTATCGGGACCACATGGCAAAGGCCCAGAAGATGCCCGATGGAGTAGGGTTCGTGCCGTCGAGTGCGTCGACGAGATGAGACCCAGATTGAGACTGCTGGATCTCGAAACCCTCCCAGAAGAGGTAGGCCGAAAGCTGCGCGTTGACCATCGCAACTGCTATCTTGTTGGCCCACGTGAAACCTTCGCTCGTACCCCCATTGCTATACCACGTCGTCATGAAGGCCGTACTGGGGCCGCCCTCGGTGTTCCACTTGCGAAGCGGAGTCTGGCTCAGGGGACTAGTAGCATCGGCGCTGTACGAGTGCGAGGTGATGACATCCAAGTATTGCGTTGATCCGGCATTGACGAGGGCAGTGGTGTACGTGCCCTGCATGGCCCAGCCGACGGCGTCACAGCAGGTCAGCTCGACGCTCAGGCCCGCAGACTTGACCGTGTTGTACAGGACTGGGATGAACGAAATAGCTTCTTGGGCATTGCTGCTGATCTGCATCTGCGAATAGCTGACCTGATAGTCCGGCTCGTTCAGGAATCCTAGGTGCGTGATGTTGTACCCAGCCGAGGCGTAGAGCTGGACGTACTTCACAAGAAGTCTGCGTATGCCTGTTGCCAGTCTCCTGAGGAGCACGTGTGTCCAGTGGAGCCACACAGATATCCAGAAGTTGACTCGGAGCCGCTTGTTTTCATGAACCCTGGGGCGCTCCAGGCGTCGGCGTAGATGGTCTTGACGCCGTAGCTGACGGCTTGCTCCGTGAACCAGAGCTGTCCACTGTCATCGTCATCCCATACATAGGTCGGAGAACTCGACGGAGATCCAGGACTGTTGGGTTCGATGCTGTCACCACTGCCCCCAGACCCTATCCGATTACGGATGATGGAGAAACCAGCTCCAGTCGTGGTACTGAAGAGGTAGTCCAGCGCTGTTTTCTGAGTGGTCGAACCAGCATTCTGGAATTCCTTGGCCCGACCAAAAGCCTGAGAGAAGCCGAAGCCGTCGATATGTTGATATTGCGTGCTGACATTGACTGTGATTGCGGTCTGCCCTGCGACTGAAGCCGCCAGGGTGCCAAGAATGGCGAGTTTGGTGATAATGGTCATCTCGACTGATTGCTAATTGGGAAAGATGCAAAGGATCACTCGGTACAAGATCAACAGGCGCCTGACACTTATATGTCCGTGGTTGGAGCTGTACCTGGTGCATTTCCGTCATTCCCATTGAAGCCTAACACCCTCATGTGGTTATGTCTCCGGTGGGCGATTGGGTAGCATCAGATCCTAAACAAGCTTTGCGGCTCGCATCTCCGCCATCTCGTGACGCTCACCTGCATCTGCTGCACATTCCGGAAAGTGTAGGTACGGGAGTCAGCTGTCGAGTGCTGCTAACTGACGTCCAGGGGTATGTTCTAGAATATGTATGCCTGTGACTGACCTGTCACCACGTAGCGAGCGGGTCTGAAGTGGGAGTGACATTGAGTCTAGACTGTCCCAGAATAGATCTTCAAGCTTGTTTGTCTCCTTTCTCCCAAAGCATTCACCAAAAAGTTGATCTATTGGAGGAGTTTCTCTGCGGATCTTGCATACCCCCGCGCCTATCGACTGCTGCCAGGGTACAACTAATATTGGTATCACTTATTATATTTAGCCTATTAGAAATATTGGACAGCATACTACGGCCTTATGCACCTTAGGGAGATCTAAGTGACGCTGTGAAGCAGCATCACTTTAGCCGTTAAACCCCCACCAATCAATACCAAGCCGTAGGTTGTTAATGCTACCAGCCGGCGCATCAGTTTCTGCATAGAGTCTATGCTTCTCGTTTAATTCAACACGCATCGTCGACTCCCAGTGAACAGCAGATCGTAGTTCGGCCAAGCTACTTACACTCTGACACGGAGACCGCCGCACCCATACATCTCACTCGGTTTTATGAGCTGTGCCTCATGGGCGAACAATTATAACTCAATCTTGATGATTATGGTGTCCGCGAGATTCAACGGGAATTACATGCATGATAACAAAGACACAGGCATGTCTGTTACCGCGAAGGGAATTCTACTCAAAAAGCTGTCTATAATCCCTCCATCACAGATCAATGTGTCCCAATCCACTCAGCTGTATCTCCGCGACATCCACCGCCTCCTTCCTCGTCTTCTCGATCAGGCTGTAGTCGTCGTCATCCGAACCATCAGCATCGTCGAACCAAAGCCTCGCATTTCCATACGAGATGCAAAGCTCTTCGCCCGGATGTATGTCACGATAGGCGACGTAGGTGATGCACTGTGCTTGGAAGTCACGCAACCAGATCACGTTCAGTCGCGTCCGCGAGTGGTTGAACATCGATCCCAGACCCAAGGCCATGGCCTGTGTCGTCGATTTCCCGCTGGCTGACGGCCAGTAACTTTGTGCATAATGGTAAGCACATGCTCGAATACTTGTGGGTGTGCTGCTGAAGTCTAACCTTAGCAGTGACAGGTAACTCACTACGTGTAATGCCAGAGGCATGTCTTGCTTATGTGGTGTTCGACCTCATGCTCGGGCAATATTAGCACGGGGGAAACATCTACGACAGTGCCCTTCTTGATGAACTGAGACGCGAATACTCCTCGTCCTGGATATGCAAATGTGTGAGCACGAACGTCTTGGATCTAGCGGGTTCCACAACTATCAGGGGCACGACGAGTTGTGCGGTCGTCCACGTTACCTTTGGGCGTATTCGAAACCAGCAATAGACCGTTGGCCCGGCTCAGGGGCTGAGTATCGGGAGTCCGGTCCGGGCCTTGCGGCATGCCTGAAGATATGCGGTCGAGTTGGTATCAGGGCGAAGATCGGCGAGTCGACGAAACTTTGACGGCGAAGTCGCTGCGCTCATGTGACTTTGCACTTCCAATGATTACCGACCGAGTGGCAACGCATGGCACCCACCCACTTGATTAGGGCTTAACCCACGCAACACTAGCTCAACTTTGTTCAGCGTGAGGCTCGAGCCGGCTTGACCAGGTTACCCATTAGTGCGGGCTTTGTCGTCTCCACAGGGAACCTCGCCTCCCTCACACCTCTAAACCCATAGCCAAGAAAAAGAAAGGCAAAAATGGAAAGCCAACCAGTAATCAAGACAAATCAACCAATCTGACAATAAACAAAAGTAAATGCGACCCAGACGGGATTCGAACCCGCAATCTCCAGAGTGAAAGATTTCAACCGAAATCTAGCGCGATACCATTTCGCCACCAGGCCGATACAAGTAGGGACAGTAGAAGCGGTAAGCGGATTACGTAACAATATATGAATTCTTTTTTTTTGGCCGTATGGCGCAATGGTCAAATGCGCCTGGTTGTGTTCTCGTTTGTGCGGTGGGCGACGAGAACAAGTGGGTTCGAATCCTGTTATGGCCCCCTTTCTGACCCGGCTTGTGCGAGTCGATAACCAGCACACGATAGTGGAGAGGCCCCATTTTATCGCAGAGCCCGATAGCCAAGCAGCTTGTCTCCACAATACCCATTCCTGCGAGGTTTTCCCCCTTGTGGTTTCCCTTGCCAGCAGATAATAAACACCTACTCCACCCACCAATGCGACATATATCGAACGGCTACTGGAACGATATGTACACCAGAGAACTGAGGTTCACTGGGTCGCTTTGTCACTAGATAGGAGGTTTTTCTGACAGAATCGTGCTTGGGTATTGACTAAAACCATCTGAACACTCCAGATTGGTACCGCTACAGCGAGCATAGGCTCGTGCGCGGATCTGAATGTATCTAATTTGACACCTCTACAACCTTGCGATGCAATGGCTCTGGGAGGCGTGGTTTGCACTACTGAGGAGCTACCCCCCACGTTAAATACAAACCAAACAAAACAAACAAACAATATGTGAATTCTTTCATTATTAAGCTCTTCGACTGCAAAGGTCCAAGTCCAAGGAGGCTTGTTCGGTATTCAGTACAGCATCGCAAATGCCAGGAGCCATGCCTACTTCCATGCGCTTATTCCCCAACTTCTCTTGGGCACGTTTTGCATCTGCCAGGGATGCCTGGAACACTCTTGAAGCTCAAAAGAACTTCAAATGCTTCCAGGACGACGACCTCAACAAGCAAACCTTCCAGCCAAAGCGATCATCGTGGTGAAGTCGTACTTGAAGACCTGGGCCATGAAGCGAACCGCGTGCTCCACGGGTGAAAACTCTTTCTTGTCGATGTCCTCCTCGCGATACTGGCGAACGTAGGCCGCGTTGGTAAGGGCATAGTGGCGCGTTACGTCATTGTAGTCCGGCTCGGTGTCGTCGGGGTGTTCTTGCAGGTAATCCTGGAGATGCTCGTCGAGGAAGGGATGTACTGCTCCGGATGCGAGGTATCCCTCGAGCACCAGGTTGTGGCCGAATTGGCCGAATTGGCCGCTCAGCTTCGCCCGCAGCTCTGTGAGAGCTTGGTTGCTTTCGGCATAAGGGACGACGTACTGGTAGCGAGTTGGAGCTGGAGCTCTGATTTGTGTGTGTACTGAACTGCGACTGGGGTGGCAAGGAGACCAGGGGAAAAGGGGGCTGGGAGGCAGGATTGATCCATATATAGATAGAAGGTACCTGGTGTCAGATTTAGGAATGGTCTTTATTAGAAGAGAAATAAGGATAGCTGATAGGGGTACCATCTTACTTAAATAGGTAAGAAAGGGACTTCTAACAGCTAACATGTGATTTTATAAGACGACATTATAATAAGGCTAAGTACGCTATTATTATAATATCTAATACGCCTTTTTAAACTAAAGGTATTACTAAGTTTAAATCTGAGTGAATTTTTTTAACACGTGGTGTTTTTTTAGTTTATTATTACCGTATATTACGCCGGCGCCTTTTAACTTTAACGGTGTTATACTTTCTTTAAAACTTATTTTATACTACGCCTTTTAGCCTTAACAACGCTAATATATAGTTTAAAAAATGCTCTTTATAGGCGTTAAATAGCTTGAAAATATGAAAGACTCAAATAATAGCGAATAAAAGGCTTAAATAAGAGTAACGGTCGAATAAAAAAACTTGATAAATATCAAGTTAAATGTTTAACAAGTAGTTAATTCATAATAACGAATAAAAAGCTAGCGATTTAATAAGTAGTTAATTTATAACGAATAACGAAAAGCGAGGCTTAAAATACGTTATAAGCGCGCAAAGCTTTGAAATAATAACGATAACAAGGTAAAAAGGACCTTTACTGTTACGATCCGTATTACAAAGTAGGAGCGCAATGGATCCAATTACTGTATACGTATGAAAATCATCTGGTGGGGAAGGAAAAGAAGATCTTGACTCGCAGCCAAATTGGCTGGTGGGATAGATCTAAGCAACCGCCCCGCAATCCGGCTACGGAGCAATGTTGACCAGGTCGTGTGACTTGCACGTGACGGGGACTAGGGCCAATGGTAGTGGCTAGGTGGCTAGACACTATCACATTTACCCTTATTATATATACGTTATAATATAACGAAAATTAATCGCAATTATAACGACAATAAACGTGTAAAGTAATCGTTAAAGTTGAGTGTAGCGTTTTAAATAACTTAATAAATATTAACAGTAAAGTAATATTAACGTTAACATAGATGACAAGCGAGCGACAATTACAAGTGAACGGCAACTTTTTACCAGCCTTCCAACCAACATATCAAATAACTTGATCAGAACGCATTTAATTCAATCTGTAAGCAGTCGGGTGGCTCACAGGTGTGCTGTAGCACGCTTCTAGGGGTGACAAGGCTGACAAGGCTGACAGCAGCACTGAAAGGAAGGAACAGCCTAGAAGCGGGCTTTGAGCTTTAGTGTATCTGGGACAAGGGATCTTTACCCTCCGGATCAAAGGCTGGGCATTGCTTTGAAGTTGGTATGTGTATTTAGTACCTGAACAGGTCCCAAGACCCAAGGGTAGATCTGCACCCAGAATGTAAGCAACATGATGACCTGAACACTGAACCGATCTTTTCCATACAATCTAATTAATTGGTTTCCTCTTTCTCAGATATTTATATCTCTATTATACGAGTTTACGCATTATGGCCAGTGTTGCCGCAAACGCCATAACGTCACTCACGTGCTGCCACCTTCCTTAGAC